TTGAATATCACAAGCTGCTCAGCATAATTATATTTTCTCAGCCATTACTCTCCAGTGAGACGTTCTGTAGCGGCCAATTGTAATTCACTTACTGCAGTGTGACGGTAAGTGACTCCCATAGTTTTCTCAGTGGGGGTGTTGTCTGTAAAGAGTGTGTGCATGTGTGTTAGTGCGTTCTTGTGCATTTATATAGACAGGGGCACTGAGGGTCAACCCCTTTGCCCACTCCAGAGACAGGAAATGGCTCCAATATGGGCCAGAGTGTGGCCTCATGCAAGGCTCTGGGGAGTGATTTGAGCGTCTTGTCAGGACCACAACTGCAGGATCAGTGGGCAAAAATGTACAAAGTGAAAAATACAGATGTTCAGCTCGCACCATTTGAAACCATGGACCTCTAGCAGGCTTCACAGGGACCAAAAGGTTTATTAATAGTGTCAGTGGGGCAGCAAACGATGAGCGGATACGTCAAGAAAAATGTATGTCCAGTCTGATAGTTAACTTAAGAAGCACAGAGGGCCTCTTGGTGGATAGATTTATAACGTTTGCTCATCTTGAGGCTTAGCATAGACATTTTATTGGAAGTTAAACACATTTATTACGCCGTTACGTCTATTAAACTAACACTGTAACATCAAATATTTCCATTTGGCTTCCTGTACACAGACTTCAGCACAAGAGGATCTATGAGGCAACTCCAGGCTTAACACTCTTGTCCTCTTGGACCAAGTGCAAATATTCTACCTAGATGGTCAGAGCGGCGGACGTGCATCTTGGCTGTGATGGTAGCAGAGATGGTTGTTTACACAGAGCATATTTCCGGACGTCTGGAGCATCATCTCTCAGAGGGATTTTTAGGGCCACACTTACGGTCTCCTTAATGTCAGAGGAGAAGACAGTGTTTTATTTACTTTGTAAGCAGTTGGTGATATGTTTTGACTTTCCAGACAGATTCTATTATGGATGAACAAAGAAGAGATTAATGTGTGATACAAACAGTGAGTCCATATCTTGATAATTTTCCAAATTAAGAGAGGAGTCGATGTTTGCTTGACAGTGGTGCTATGTAACACCTTTCATAGACTCACTATATCCATTATGTGCCTTTCTTAATCTATACTACAAAGATTCAAAGTTAAATTTTGTGGTCATACCTCCAATTCAGACTGTTTTGATTAGTATACCTTAATATTTTAAACGTGACACACCAATTAAAGCTCCTTTTAAGAGTTTTTGATGTGGATGAAATTCATTGAAATTCATGTTGATGCAGTTTTATGATATACAAAAGCAAAAAAGCCCATCAATTAAAAAAGTAATGATTTTTACCTTGTAACTTTTATTGCCTGACATCAGTGCAAATGAGTAAGCATCAGACAGGCAAGTGAAGAAACAGCGCTGTTTGTACATTCATATAAAATATTCACATTAAAAGATTAATTTGACTGTGATTAGATTTTTGTCAGAAAGCACAACTTCCATTTGTAGATGGCAATATATGCAAAGACTGTTTTTGTCCACAGAGGGGCGCTAAGATTGACACAAATGTAAAGTTCCTCACTGGAACTTCAAAAATCCAAAATAGTTTCAAATTAGATTCTGACACAGCTCACTGATATATAAGTCAACTTAAGTGAGTGAGAGCAACAGTAAAATGTTTGTATAAATTGACATCAACACAATAGTGTTCAATTTCAAATAATCCAACAGGGGTAGTATGTATTCATTTCCTGATTTTACTTTGGTGTCTTTAGTTTTATTAAGACCACTTACATGATACACACTCACTAGGTGAACTACTGGAGCGCCCTGTTACAGAGTTCTAGTCAGTAAATGTTTCACAGCTGCTGAGGCGCCTGATATCTGACACAACGCACCATAGAAGGATGACTATGCCTCCAAGACTCCACAACATGGAGTGAATCCAGACCTGATGCGTACAACTGCAACACTCATGAGGATCCTGTGAAGGACATTTATCAATGAAAACACAATAATTTCTCTGTTCTTTCTTTAATGCATATGCAGTTTTGTAATTTTGTGCAGGGATTTATAAAGAATGACTTGATAGATGCAAAAATAATCAATACAAATACATAAATGTTGTGTAGAAAGACAGTTTTCCTAGGGAAGTACATATGAATCATTGCATATGACTCCAAAACAAATCTGAAATAACTTCTTCCAATAAAACACAATTTGTGAGTTACCTCAGTTACAAGCATGGAATATGCTAAACAAAAGGGTGCACTTCATTTGAATCTTCACTACTGTGCTTTTTCTGCCATCAAAGCAAAATACCTGAGATAGTACAGCTTCTCCTTCCCTCTCTTGATCCTTTGCTTTACAACCAGCTAACCAGTCCTGCTAATACCACAAAGACACTTGGCAGATATGAGAAGAGAGGATTGAAGTGCAGATGATGAAAGGGAGTGAGGTCAAGTGGAAACACATTTGGGACTTTATATGTCGTCATAAGTCGTGGACCTCTGCCAATAACAAAGTAGTCCCAATGATAGGGGACATACAGCGCAGGAGGAGACCCTATCTGTCCAACACTGTTAAAATATGGCAACAAAACACGATATGATGTAAAGTCGCATCTGATACAATATTTTGAACTGTTTATGGAAAATTTTACCTTTTTTCAGTGGTAGTAATGTGTGCTTTCTAATAAGATTACATCCTTGTAATACACGCAATCAGTATCATCAGTTTTCAGTACAGAGCAGTTCAAGAGGGGAATGATCAGTGGACTGGTCATACTGTGTGTTTCCTTCACACAGTCTGCCACCTTGTGCTGAAATTGTATATTGCATTGTGTAGATAGTGGCTCGTTTGACTACATACCAAAAACTGTCCGTGTGTTGTGTTTGTATTTATCTAAGTATAAGTCTGGTATTTAAATTGCAATTGAAATAGTAGAATGGCATTCATCTCGCAATTTACACCAGAGAGTTGACAGGAATAAAGTTCAATCAACTAAATCAAGTAAATCAGTAAAAATATGTATGTGGCAGAATTTTAAAGGAAAAAAAGGAAAAGAAAAAGAAAAAATAGTAAAGGGATTATTACCATGAGAAACTTTAGATTTTATTTTGATACTACTTTCATCCAGGGCTGGGCAATAAAACAAAAACGATATATATTGAAAATTAATTTCCCTCAATATCAATATAAAACATGGTCGATATGCTTTTTCGATAGTCGGCATTCTGCCATGTTTTGGTAGACTATACAAATAGAAGGGCTAGGACCATGTGCTTTTCTCCCAATTCGATTCTTCTACGATTTTTTGGATGCCGATTTGATTTAAATTGCGATTTTACAATGGTTGATTTTCTCAATTTTCAGTCTGCATTCTTAACACCAATGAAACAATTGAATGTGGATGATTGTCTACTGACTTTTCCAGGAACCATATTTCCCCAAAAAATACACATCACATGTAAGTCAGTTTTTAAGATTTTTTCTAAAATTGAAAAAAATTTAAAATTAAATAGATTTTTTTCTCCCACCCCTAATGAATAGCCAATGAAAAGGGGAGTTTCTCCAGGTCCACCAAGCATGTGCTGAATTAGCACCAAGTAGCAAATAACTGCGTAGTAGCAGGCTGCAGCTACATGCAACCATAGCACTTTAACAGTGCAACGCCTTACAACAAAACGTTGAAGAGCACCAAAGACCTCACAGATGTAGTAGCTTATTGTATTGCAAAAGACATGCTACCAATAAACACTGTTAAATTTCATTTTTTATATTGTGATATATCGATATCTGTGGTGGCCAAGAACCGCCACTGCTGCAAATAAAGAGAATGCAAAAAAAAAAAAGAAAAAGAAAAAAACCACAACAGAAGTTACTGATGCAAAAAAAAGGAAGCCTGCTGCACATAAAAAAAGAAACAATGCAGATAAAAATAAATCAAAAAACCCACAACTGAAGTTAATGACACAAAATAAGTGGTGATGCAAAAAAAAAGTTACTCACTGCGAAAATAAAAGGATGCAAATAAAAAAAAGCCACAACGGAAGTGACCTGCCGGGGACCAATATTGATGATGCACAAGTGTTTTACGATTTAGGCACAGAAGACGACGGCGACAAGACGAGCAGAGAAGTTAGTGGAAAGGTTATTGTCTAATTTCGCTTCGTAAACTTTTCAATGTGTCATTTGGTTAGACCATGTAGCATCTGAGTCGATATGAAGTTGAATTGGAGGATGCTGATGTAGTGTTAGCTTCAGCTCAACTTTGCATCAACTCAGGCACTACATGGTCTAACCAAATGACACTTTGAAAAGTTTACGGAGCGTAAACAATAACCTTTCCACTTACTTCTTGGCTCGTCTTCTCGCCGTCATCTTCTGGGCCTAGATCGCAAAACACCGCGCATCATCATTATTGGTCCCAATTTCGTTGTGGCTTGTGGCTTTTTTTATTTGCATCCTTTTATTTTCGCAGTAAATAACTTTACATTTTTCCATTGCCTCTTTTTTTGCGTTGTTAACGTCCATTGTGGCATTTTTTTTTTTTTTTTTTTTTTCATTATTTTTTTATTTGCAGCAGTGGCGGTTCTCGGCCACCGTAGATATCGACTCGTATGAAAAAAAAATATTGTGATAAACCTTTTCCCATATCGCCCAGCCCTACTTTCAGCAATCATTGTGTTACTGACAGAGTGCCTAAAACTCTCGGACATAGTATACGATTTTACCTCAAAAAAGCATAGCAAACCACAGTTAAGTCTAGGCATACTTACTCTTTTTTTCAAAGGTTCAGTTGTCTGTATCAGTTATTTTTGGGGGCCACAAAAATGTAATTTAATTTTGGGAAATGTTTAAATTAAATCAAAACAGACTTTTTTTTTATTGGTTTCTTTTAACCTGAAAAAGAAACTAACACCTTTTGTCCGATGAACGTAAAAAACTTAATATTTACCGCACTTTCAGCGTCACTGAATGCAACAGGCGTGATGCGTTCAACGTTCCGGTGAAACCACATTCGACGTCACTGCCACAGCCACCATGTTGGATCAGGAAGTAGGCAGAGTCGAAGCAGGAATCCCGAGCCGAGACTAACGCTGACGGCCGTCTTTATTTGATCGGTCCACCGTTTCACCGCTCTCACCTTTAACATCCAGGTTACATGCTGCGTGGCTTTTTCAGTGGTCGAGGTAGGCGCTTTCCTTCGGATTCGATCGTTTCGCAGCAGCAGGAGCAGCAGCTATGTCCTCTCTCACGCAACGGAGCTCGGGCCTCGTCCAGCGGAGGACCGAGGCCATTCGCAGCGCCGCCGCCGACAAGGAGAGGGAGTCCGGCGGGGAGGAGGACGAGGCTCGCCGCGGGGAGGAGGAGGACGACGACAAGGGGGACTCGAAGGAAACTCGGCTCACGCTGATGGAGGAGGTGCTGCTGTTGGGCCTCAAGGATCGAGAGGTGTGGGCTGTGTTTAATCCGTGATCTAGTAGGGTTTATTCGTTTGGAGGCTCGTCAACGCAACACTTCGTTAAGGGACGTATTTGCAAACGTCAGTAAAGTTTACTCAGGCAAAGGTTAACTAGTCGAAAATGTGATATATTACGGCTTTGTGCGCCTGTTTGTGGTGAAGCAACGCTTACTACATTGTGTATAAACATGTCACAAATACGTCGTGCTAATATCTTCACCGTAAGCTGCGTTTACTTGTCGCTAGTAAGCTGGTGAATGAAAGCAATCAGCTCAAGTTAAGCTAATTAACTCGTGTAACTTTCTACGTGGCTCTCTCTCTCTCTCTGTGTCGCTACCTGGGCAGTTTTTGACAACTTGCCAGCAGTAATGTGACTGTAACCCTGTCTCCTGTATTCATACAAACACGTCAGCTATGCTAACAAACACTACACCTTGGCTTTACCCTTTCTTCCTCCTCCTCCTCGTTCTACCAGGGTTACACGTCTTTCTGGAACGACTGTATTTCTTCCGGACTTCGAGGGTGTATGCTGGTTGAGCTGGCTCTCAGAGGACGGCTACATTTAGAGCCCTGTGGTGTGAGGAGGAAAAGCCTGCTCTCAAGGAAGGTGAGGAGTGTTGTGCTGATGTGTTCAGGTGTTCTGAGGAAAAACGAAGCTGGGCTCATTCTTAAGAAGGAAGGACTTCATGAGCAGATATCCTGTCATTCAGATACACTACACTGATCAAACATAACATTATGAATACCTGGTTATTCTTATGTAACCCAATACAACAACTCCACCGTAGCTTCCACTTTAACCCCAGAATACTATCACTAAAATTAGTAACACCATCACTTTTGCCGGGTGATTTATACCCAAAATAATGTACCCAAGAAAAAGGACTTGTCATCTAAATATTTCAAGAAATTTTCTTTTATTTTTAATTGTGCAATGTCCAAAGGGAGGGAAAAAGTGCCATAAGGGGACCATAAAAAATGCAGCAAAAAAACTGAAATTAGGCATTCATGAACAAAAAATTCCTCAAAAAATATTATATATAAACTTTAAACTTAGTTTCTTTTCCACCCATTCCTTGGGCATGTGAGTCTCCCCTGGTGAAGACTAAAGGTCTTCGGCACAATGACAGCTGCAGGAGAGAGAACCAAAATATGGCAGATTTTGAGTGAGTAAAAATGACCAGCTGACTAAAATATTTCTTATCACCATGTGAATTCCTTGAAAATTACTACTTTGTGATAGTTATTCATAACCACTACACTAATTAAAGATAGCATGCAAATTCCAGGACCACTCTTACTGACCTTATTCGCCTACATGCAGCTGTCAAATCCACCCAAACTTACTTTACTCTCTATCACTATTAAGAGATGAGACATGCCTGTAGGAAAAAGCAGGTTTTGGATCAGGGAAACAAATATTCCTTCAAAGATGTCAAAGGCAATGCTGAAGCTACTCAAGAACCCATGATACTCAGACAAAGGCAACATAATGAAAATCATGTAAACATGTTTGGTCGGGTGAAAATTACCCGGCGATAGTGTTCTAGGGTTAATGAAGCTCCTGTTGACATGGGCTGTAGGGTAATAATTGTTCTTGAAATAAACAGTTGAAGTTGTAGTGAGTGTAGGTACTTCATCCTTTATCATTGCTTCATTTGCAAACATTAAAACACCTACTTATACTGAACATGTATTTTCAGAAACATTAAGTAATTCACAAATCTTGTTTATTGTTATTAACAAAACAAGGACTTCCGACTGCTACAACTAGGAAGTGCAATCCACAATGTTATTTTTAAAATATAGCTGCAAAGGATACAGGAGAGCTCTTATTGATTTTATGGGTTGGGGACCTTTCTTCTTCAAGCTCTAATGTACCCTTGTGTCTTGCATGTTTTGAGTTGATCCTCTCACAGCTCTTAGATTTAACAGTTGCATGATGCAGCCTCTGTGGAAGGATACAGATATAAATGGCTTATTTTTCAAGGCTGTACTGATAAATGTGCTGACTTCTACTTTACAGCTGTAAAAGGTAAATGTTATTGTTAAAGTCAATAACTAGGTTACTTTAAGTTAACAGCAACTTATGATGACTAACTTAGGACTTTGAACGAATAATGTGCAACACATTTATATTAATACAGGCTACCAAAATGATGTTCTGACCTGTTTTTTTTTTTTTTTTTACCTAGGAGGGAATCAGAAAAAGTTTTTTTAAGATTATACTAAAAAAAATTTCCCCACATTCCTAAATGCTTCTTGAATGCAGGGATTCCCTGATGGGAAGTTGCATTCTTGACTTTGGCGTGTTCGCCACAGTCAGCAATGCCACAGATCCACCCCAGGCCTCAAGTTGAAATTTGTCAACAGCGCTGACATTTCTAATATTGCGTGTTGGATTTTCACTGTAGAGCACTAACCCAGGACAATCCATCATGCAAAGTTACAGACAGTCTAAACTCATATATTATACCTCACATGGTGTTCAGGTGGATTTTTCTTGTCATCAACACAGCATTTACCTGAGCCCACCTTTTGTTCTCATCTTTGTCATCAGGTTTGTTCTGTTTGGAAGTAAGGGAAAAATTTGACCTGACGTTAAGAGTCATGGTTCCAACCCTAAAGAGGCATTCACATACATTTGCACTGTTGGAAATGCATATTTTGGTTATTATTAAGACACAAACTCACTCCTTATTTCTTGGGTTTTCAGAGTTGTTTTAAAGCTTCCAATGTGTCCAGGACTTTTTGTTCATGATAAGAAGCTACAAAGTAATTCAGCCTTATAATTTTGTATAGGAGAACAGAGAACCGTTGTAGAAACACATTTTGCCCTTCAGTGAGGCAACCAGTGATGTCTTCCACATTGACAAAGTTAACTCACACCCGCAACTTCACTTATGCGTGAAATGCCCTGCTGTTTGACAGCTTGGCCCACCAAAAGTTCCTCTGAATTTCTGAGTTGAAGGTGGTCACATTAAGAGTCAGTCTGCCGCACTAGAGTGTTTTTTCACGGCACAAGAATCATGACACCCTTTTTTTCTCTATTGTTTCTGAAGAATCCATGAGAGAAATTACCTTTTGTTTAAGTGTGTGTATTAGGTCATGTGCAAACAGGATGTGAGTCTGGTTGGAAGCTGCACAGACGTTAATATTCATCCCAGTTCAAACATGCAACTTTTTGTTTGCCAAGGTGATCTGCAAGTCAGACGCCCCGACAGGAGATGTGCTGCTGGATGAGGCCTTGAAGCACATAAAAGAAACCCAGCCTCCAGAGACTGTGCAGAGCTGGATAGAGCTGCTGAGTGGTGAGATAAGCCCTTCAGAGTTTACTTAATAGATCACACATATCTCTTGGACATACTAGCTTTTTTTTTTTTTTTTTTTTTTTACTGTTGTTCAATACTCTTTCATCTGTATACGTCAATGTTGGGTGACCAAGAAAAAACTGCGCTGATGTCTTTTTTAACAGGTCTTGAGGCAGCAAACACATAAAAAAGTGGTTTCTGTGTCTTTAATTGTTTTTTTTTCTGTCTCTAAAGGAGAGACCTGGAATCCCCTGAAGCTGCACTACCAGCTGAGGAACGTTCGAGAGCGTCTGGCCAAAAACCTGGTAGAGAAAGGGGTCCTCACCACAGAGAAGCAGAACTTCCTGCTCTTTGACATGACCACACATCCGCTCACCAACAGCAACATTAAACAGGTGAGCTGAAGGAGTCTGCAAACAAGGTTATTTCGCTTTAATGAGAGGGACTTTCTACAATATTGACGTGGACTTAAACAAATACATGAACAGTTACTTCAAAGTCAGACTCAGATTTTGTCTATTATAGTTTGAAATTCCTAAAAGAATGAGAAGAAATATAGAATAGAATATTTCTTTATTGATCCCCATGGGGGAAATTTTTTTGCCACAGCAGCATCACAGACAAAGGTAGTGCAAAATGCAGTTATAAAAATAAAGATCGTAATATTAAGAACTTAAATAAATATTATAATTAAGAAAAAAATTAGAAAAAAGAATAAGGGGGAGAACAAAATAAAATAAAATAAAACTATTTACAAATAAAATAAAACTATATACAAGGGCTCTTTTGTTACACAACTTTGCTTTCATAAAATTACAACTTTTATCTATGCAGTCAATAAAAAAAAAAAAAAAAAAGGTTATAACAACCAGGTCTACCTATGAAATGTCTCTGCAGCTGAACTTGTTGAATGAATCATGAAAAGTGGTGAAACTTCAAAGCTGGTCCACAAATCATATTACATCCCCAGCACCAAAAAAGTTTAGACACTGTGTAAAATAATCTTAAAAATCAGATTTTGATGGTTTGTAAATCCGTTAAACCCTTTAGTCAACTGAAAATAGTGCAGGGACAGTGTGTCAAATGTTGAATCAGAAAAATATAATTCTGTAGAAATAACATTCTCGTTTAAATCCTGTATCGAAAATCACTGCACAAGCTTCAAATTTGACATTCTTCCTGGAAGACGACAGAGACCACCCAGCTTGTTATCAGTGCACAGTTCAAAAGCCTCACCTGTGATGGTGTCGGAGTGCATAGGTGCTTTTGTGTGTGCACCTCACATATCTGGGAACACTCCATTAATTCTGAACTAAGTATTCAGGTTTAGAAGCTGCCATTCAGACAATGCCCTTTCAGCAAGACATTGTCAAACCACATTCTGCGTGTACTACAACTCCATGGCTCTGTAGCAGAAGAGCTGACCTGCCTTGAGTCCCAACTTATCAGTACACTAACGAGCAGTACTCACGTTAGTAATCAAATTAATGTTGGTCTTTGTCAGCTACATACCCAAGCTGAAATTAAGCATTTCAGCCTCTGGTTTAGAAGTAAAATGAACATACTGAGACTTTGAGGATGTTATTATTCTTGATTAAAGGAGAATTGAAGTTTCCTCACTTCATAATATATTAAAAGCTTCCAGCGTGTAATGTGTTAAAAGAAAGGCTGCTGTCAGGATAAAGATTGGGTAGGATAAACTACAACAAGATGTTCCAAGATTGTACTCATGTCACTCAGTTTTATATATGTGATGCATGTCATGAGCATAAAATACTCAGTCAATATCATTGCCTACAGCGCCTCATCAAGAAAGTCCAGGACTCCGTCTTGGAGAAGTGGGTCAACGACCCCAACCGCATGGACAAGCGAATTCTGGCTCTGATCCTTCTGGCCCACTCATCCGATGTTCTCGAGAATGCCTTCGCCCCACTCCAAGACGACCAATACGACCTGGGCATGAAGAGAGTCCACACTCTGCTTGAGCTGGAGCCTGAAAAGGAGAGCACGAAGCCCAACACCAATGAACTCATGTGGGCTGTGGTGGCCGCGTTCACTAAATGAAAACACCTGATTGGTTGGACTGGAAGATCTGGCTATGGTCTGTGTTATTTAATCGGTTGAAGGACTTCACTTAATGAGACAGACTTCACTCTAATGAGACAATCTATTTTTGGTTGGGGAGCCTGTTTGTACATCTATTCCAGATGACATTTGTTGGTGGTAGTCCATTTTAACCCAGTGCAATGATTGGTGGTGGGCTTCACCAAATAACGTTTGGTTGGTTGGAACGATCTAATGAAATACGACTGACTGCTTTCACTCAATGAGGTAAAAAAAAGAAAAAGAAAAAAAAAGACCTGCCAACGGCCTTGATACACATGTAAACATCAACGATACAAACAGATGTGCGTCTGTTAATGTTAGACAACGACAAAGAACAAAGATGGTGGCCGCAGCAGTCATTGTGGATATGAAGATTTTTGACTGGGGCCAAGTTTCCCTTCTTCAATGAGGAAACATCTCTCCATCATTACAAGATCAAGCCAGAATGTCACGCTGGTCTCCATACTGTCCCCACACGCTTATGCAAGGATACAGGATAGCAAACCACACGGCTAATGATGCTTTTTGCACTCACGCAGGTCATCTGCTTTCACCTTTTCATTCCCACCTGTCTTCAGACTTTGGGGTTGCTGTTAGAGTAGACTACCTGAATGTTCCTACATTCGCTTTAGCTTCTCATGAAATCCTCTTTTCTCTTTTCCTCCTCAGCACATTGTGAGGAGGAAAAGAAGAAAGCTAATAAACACTCTAGGTTATCTTTTCTTTTCTTTTTTTCTTTTGTCTCTTCCTCGGATGAAGAATTAAACTTTTAGTCTAACCAAAAGTCATTATGTTTCTGTTTCTGCAAAGGGTCAGAGCTTGACCAGTCTTCCATTTGTATTTATGTTACTTATCGATGCTTGGAGTAGACGCCATTTAAACTATTTTGCACAGTCAATAGCCCAGTATGTAGGTTGTAGATCGTATTTAGCAAACATGGCAGAAAATAAAAACAGATCTCACTTATTTTTGTCTACAGCTATTGAGCTTTATTATATCTTAAAAAGCATTCCTCTGGATATATAATAAAGAAAAAAAGCTTCTACTCATATTTTGATGTGTGAGTTGAGATGGAAACGTGGGAATGCTAACAGTGATCAAATCTATTCTGGTATTCTTCACCCCAGACATATATCTTATACATGTGGGCTGAAAAGGTTAGCTTACTGGGCTAGTTTCAGGACAGAAAGGCGTTGATTCTCCCAAATATTTAACGTTTCTGTGTGTAACACTAGTAGTATCTGCAGCAGCCATGCAGGTAGTTGTGGTTGTATTCAGCTGCTGAAATCCCAGAGAGAGTGTTTCCTATTCAGACGCTAATCAGCTGTAAAATAATATATCTGAAACAACATCTCTTCCTGGAGTTTTTGTGACTAACCTACAAAGTTTCCAGTGTTTTTATTTAGAAGTACTGTTTTTCTCTTTTGGAAGATACCCCTCCCTCTCCCCCTCTGTGAAATGCAAATGACTCAAGGGAGGTAAGTGACACCGAGTTTTGTTTAACTGAGGTGAACTGGCGCCATTGTTCCACTTCATTTGTGTCTTAGTTTGTCCGTCATGTCAACACATGATATTTTTGCAGTCTATTTTCTTGTTTCATACATGCAGATTATTGGAGAGTTACTTGCGCCCCAGATAAATCCTTTGTTAAAGACTGAAACTGTTCGACATCATGCAATCTAAACGTCTCTATGGTCTGATGAGTGTGATCTATGTATGAAGTTACATTACCTTTTGTTTCATGGCATACTTATAAATCTGTCTTATTTTTTTTTTTCTGCCTATAAAATACCAACAGAAATGAAGAAGTGTTGAGATCCGTTTACAGCAAGGAGACCATGCATGCTATCGGTGGAGGGCTGGGTACTTGTGGATGTAGCTACAGAGAAAAAGGCTTGTATGTAATTATTAGTCATTTTATGTGTACGATCTAATGGAATTCAAAGAAAGGGATCTTCTCTCCTATCCTCTATAATTCTGTATGCTTTTGTATTACCACACAAAATAAAGTAAGGATCCTTTAAGTGCCTGAATTTAGCACTGTTTGCTGTTGTTTTTATTTATAAGTCCTTAATACACCTGCAGTCTTTGTTTCTCTTTCACAAAAGTTGTTAAATAGTCCATAATTCAGCTCTAAGGATATTCTGACGTGAAATTAATTGAGGGTCAAACACACCGTAACACTGAGTTAGACACCCCCTCGAGAGATGACTGTTGCCGACCGCTTGCTTTTCTAGTTTTACCAACTTTAGTAACGACCGCAGGATAGTAATACACAGCGGTCTGAGGAGCCATAAACAAACCTCAACCAAAACGCCACTCTATAGCCAAAAATAATGCTCAGAACAGCACCTAACTTCATCAACAGTACATATAGGGTCCCAGCCACAGCACTAGCCACCAAACATCTTTTTAACTTTGCCTGATTTCTTTAGCAAAGAGACTAAACACAACTCACCCACCCTCTTCCAGCAGTCGCTTGTTTGTAACTTGACCTCAGGCCAGTCCATTACGGACTGCAGCGGGGTGACACAGCTCAAGGAAGAACATTTATGATGATTATTTTATCATTTTCTTGAAGTAATAATCATCATATTCATCATTTTGCACTGCAGACGCGGCAGTTCTTCTGCCTTTGCATCTCGGTCTGATTGCATTTCCAAGAACATAAATGTTCTTCCTTGAGCTGCGTCACCCCGCAGCAGTCTGTAATGGACTGGCATGAGTTCTCACTACAAACAAACAAACAGCTGCTGGAAGAGAGTAGGTGAGTTGTGTTTAGACTCTTTGCTAAAGAAATTAGGCAAAGATAAAAAGATGTTTGGTGGCTAGCACTATGGCTAGGACCCTATATGTACTGTTGATGAAGTAAGTTGCTGTTCTGAACATTATTTGTGGCTATAGAGTGGCGTTTTGGCTGAGGTTTGTTTATGACTCAGACCGCTGTGTATTGCTACCCCGCGGTCGTTACTAAAGTTGATATTGCACTGATGGTTGCTTTAGAGCAGCAAGCGGTCGGCAACATTTATCTCTCGAGGGGATGTCTAACTCGGTGTTACGGTGTGTTTGACCCTAAATTAATTTTACATCAGAATACCCCTTCAACTCTGGACTGGATTCATCAGAAAGTGGACCCTTTCTCCTTAAGTAAGAATTTTTTATAATTGAGTAATCATGTAATTAACTTCCTGTGATTCAGTTATGTACGTTTTGGTCCAAAAGAAGTTAAACACAAACCTTATCTGGGGGAAATATGATAAAACCTTCGAGGGAAGCATAAAAAACAATCAGAATAGTTAGAGATGTTGGAAATATGTTTGGGTCCCTGCTATAAATAAGAGTTAACAGTCTATTGGCCATTTAATAGACTTTTTAACATAATATGTCTGGGTATAAATGTATATTAACATCATTTGCATTGATAAATAGTGGTCAGTTTGTCCTGTAAAGCCCACGCTGTATTAGAGAGCAGGCAAGGGATGGACCTATAAAAATTTACAATGGCAAATGAGGACAGCAAATTGTATTTATAATTTGACAGTGATGGTATTCTCAGGGTACCATTTTTGTTTAGGTGCTGGTAATGAAATATTTTTCAAATATATAAACATGGGATTATCTCTGGTCTTTCAAAGGAATAATAATGTCACATATCTGCTAAAATTCCCTTGTTTCTTTCTTGACCCGACTGATTATCTGTTTCCCATCTGCTGTTTTCAAAATTCAAGCCCTTTCCATTTAGTTAGAGGGGTTTTATTTACTGTAGTTCTTATTTTGTTAATTAGTGAGGTCCCACTGTTTCGTACATTGTGATCTGTGGTTAGTTTCTCAACCCTTTGTGGTTCGTGGTTTCATTTCAGCTAAGCTTTTCCTGTTGTCATCTGATGTTTACATGTATTTTAACCTCAAATTTGTACTTGAGTTTGTGTACTTTTTGTCCTTGTGTGTTTTTTGTATTAACTTGACAGTAAGACAAATATGCCGTGCTGGGCGAATTAAGTTCATTGTCAGGTTCAAGTAAACACACGGCTGGGAGCTAGCACGGCGTGTGATGACTTAAAACAGTCGGGTGACCAGACGTCCCTGATTTCCGGGGACAGTCCCCATTTTGGATGACCTGTCCCCGTAAATGTCCCCAGTTTGAGCGTTTCATGAATGAGAACAAAAATGTTGTGTGTAGACTAAAACGACGGTTATTATGGTAGCCGAGTAGGTAGGACACAAGATTAAGAGTATGTTGCGCGCAGTCCTGAACAACAGTCGTTACCAGGGGTTAAGTAGTACCGAGATGTTGTCTGTGATCACGCAGCCCATGGACCCCCCCTTATAAAACAGGGCTCTGTCCAATTAGAAATAAGTTCCTACTGGCGCCATTAATGCTCTCCAGTTACCCTGAATATAAACCCTTTTTATAAAAATCTGAAATCTGGAATGTAAAAACGATTCACTGTGCCTGTTCCTCGTCTTTATGCCATGTTAAGCTAGCCAAAAGTGTCAAACTTGCAGTTGTATCCTGACATTCATTGGCTTACATTTGTGTTAAATGTAACACACATGACCACAAAGCACTGACAGCTTGGAGTTACATAGTTTATTCTTCATTAAATAGTTTCATTTTGAAAGACAGACAGTCATCACAGACCAGAAAGTGTCTTAATTCTTCAGTCATCAGTTCTCCAGAGAACTCTAAAGTGACAGTATTATATGCACTATTGTCCAAACACAATCAGAGCACATGTGACAATCAGCACCTCGGCACATAGCGTCCATTCAGTTGTTCTACTTTGGCTTCAGTCACCAGTGGGTCCCAAATGGAGGGTCAACACCATCCCACATGTCTGATTTCTTCTGTGGCGGTCCTGACTTGAATGACAGCAGTCCACAGACAGCGCACATCCAACATCCCCTCCAAGATGTTTCCACATGCTCACATTCACCTCGAATGCAACCTCCAGTTTATGAGTCCAAATCCGAGACTCTTCAACTTTGGCTCAAAACGCCATAGAGTTTTACAAAAATCCATTTCCTCCTCATGGTCTAAGGAGACATTTCATGTTAGATTTTTGTGACAGTCTTGTAGTTCTTGATCAGAATCTCCAGCAGTTTGTATTTCCAGTCAAGTACGTCTCCAATTTGACGCAGCTCGTTTGCGCAAGTGTCAAGGGTTTCAGCCAAATCTGAAAGCGAAAGAGGAAAAAGTAAGAACTCATGATCTAATACAAGTCAATGAAGTTAAGATAAAAAGATGTCAAGTTGAATAGTTTTTTGAGTCTCTTACCGTGGCCAGCCATTTCTCTCACAACACTGTCTCAGAGGAGCCGGTAAAAGGTTTGGTTTTTCTTCTTCCCCTCAGCGCTGCTATAGCTCTGTAGTTGTTGTTCAACAAGAAGGAACAGGTTTGAACTATTGATAGCAGAGCTCGCTTAAATACTTTGCTGTGACGCAACTTTATGGCTGAGGAATCCCCGCAGGCCACAGCCAAGTTCCTCCCACAGCAAGGTAGACGTCCTTTCACAGAAGTGTTATGAGTTTTTTTAATCAGAAGCAGGACATATATGGTGTGCTTACGTATTTTACAATTTGTAAAACACAACAAACAGGTTGTCTGCTGTATGCGCCAAAGAGACATTGTTTGCAGAAGATATTTCATTTGAAAAGTATGGAGCCTCAAGTATTAAACTTGTGTATGAAAATGGAAATAAAAAGTAATTTGCATATGAGAATTAAACAACAGAATCAAGATTTTAGTTAAATTGATTTTTGAGAACTCGGTTAAATATTGTAAATTTCTCAAAGTTATCCAAACGCAGTTTTGTTTTGACTCTGATAAAATAGCCCTGTAGAAATGTACTGTATTTAGAAATGGATGAAAGGAAATTGAGCAACTTATCACACAAAATTAAATCATCATTATCAGAAGCCGAGTGTTGAATGAGGTCACATATGACTACAGGAAGTGGGAAAAGAAAACTAAACCACCTTTGGGTGTCATGTGAAACCAGGCTAAAGCATGACAAATCACACTATTCAAAACACAACTGAGTGATTTTCACACTGTACACTTATATAATCCCACCATAAAGTTTTACTGTCCGGTCAGGGTAAGACTTGAATGCACAACAACAGTCCACAGGAGCATCAGCAGATGATTTTGTGTCCTAATGGGTCAATGGTGATAAGATATTCAAACCCACTATAGTTGTTTTTTCAGGATGTAGACCGTGTCACACTAACGTCATTACACACATTATATAAACTGTTCATATGCAAAATAACCAACCTGGGCATATGATCAGATGGAAGTGTTTATATCAAAACATGTTATATCACAAGAAATGTCAAAACAACATTGAGCAATTAAGGGAGAAGATTTGCTGACTCACTTAAAGTGTCATTAAAGAGGTATTTCATTCAAGCAGGGCAGTCACGTGAATGCATCACAGACTAATGACAAACTCTGGAATGAGAAACAGAAAATGTGAAGAGCCTTTCTTTAAACTTCCACAGAACAGACACAGAGCTGAGATACTCAGCTCCACACACGTCTCTTAGACATGTTACAGCTTGCCTGCAGCCCAGCTGCAGAAACGGGGAAGTACCAGGAAACAACAGTGGCTGCAGTCAGGTGATATGAGAGACACGGACAGGATGTTAGCATTTGCTCATCAGATGCAAATGAAACTGATTCATTTTACATCTGCGAATAATTACGCTTTAAATTGAATTCAGGAACTACTAGAAACAAGGAGAGAGGAACCAAAACTCAAGCCTTAAAAACCTTAAAGAAACTGAGTGAAATTCAGACCCTTTACATCCACTGATATGGAAAAATAGAAACTGTCAAATAAAAGAAATTAAAAGTGCTTGAGTATGATTGATAAAATGCTTTTTAAAGAATTGTTTGCTCATTAAAAACTCTAGTTTTCTCGTACAAGATTATTTCTTTTCCAATAAATAAACATTTGAGGTTAAAGCTCCCGTGAGTAACTTTCAGTTTGTATCAGTTTTGGCGCCCCCTGTGGACAAAAGAGCGTTGACTTTTTTGTCCTCTACATTCCCAAGTAGTGTCTTCTAACAAATTTTCTCCTTCTGCTGACTTTTGACGGTCAAATTTATCATTTATCTTAACTACTTCACATAGAAATTGTAGTACAGGTGCTAGGCTGGCACCTACCACTTCACACCAGTTTGAGGCATTGAAAATCAATCAGTCTTACTTATGTTGTGTTATCATTAACAATACATTCCTTTAGGTAGAGAATAATTATGTTAAACACTGCCATAAAATGATCATAAAGTAATTAAAGTTCTTATAATCAATGGCTTTAATTGTCATTATCAGAAAAAGCAAAGGGGAAAATAGATTAATACAAATGTTTCTTGCGTGAGCATTTCAGCCTCAGTCATCTAAATGAAACCATGTGAGATGTTAAAAGGGGAAATACCTCCACGGTGAAACGTCCAACAAATACCAGACCTTTAAAATCAAGCACCGGGCAAAACTTCATTCTGAGCCAAAAAAGTGGTACAAACTTCATGTTCTGACACAACCCAAAGTGGTTTATAATTTTTAACATGTTTTCAGTGTGAATTAGTTATTGCAAAATGCTTTTAGGGCCACGCTGCAGAGGAAAGTTGTGCAAAGATCAGCCCAGTCACCTAAAAACTGCCAGTTGTAACCACAATCTAGTTCAGCCTTCGAAAGGTGTGAAGGCTGCAGGAGACCCAGAGCTGATAACAAATGTTATAAATCATTGTGTCCTCATTGCTCCACTTCTGTACAGTTTGATGCCTTCATGCCGAAGTATCATAAGGAGGGACTAATAGAGAGAGAGGAAAAGAGAGGGCGTTTTCATCATTACTGCACTATGGACATGCTTATCAGACTTACTGTGCCTGCACAGACTTTAGTCATGTGATATCTTCATGTAATCAAACCGCGTTTCTGGTTTTTGTTTTCATGTTGTGAAGTTCTCTTGCATAAGTTGTCTGAGGATATAAATGACCTCACGCTTTTTTTCCACTGCCTTGAATCTTAGCAGGCCAAAAGAGGTTTTCATGCCTTCTGGGCTCTGAGTAAACTAATGATTAAAAGATAACTCTAAGGATGTCTAACCCCGAACAAGTAAGACAGGTTCGTTTAAGCTGTGTATCTGTTTGTCAAAACCAATCCTGTGATGTGAGTTTTTGTTATTTAAGAGAAATAGAGAGTCATGAGAGGCTGCCACGTAAGTGTTTACGTACTGAAACGGCATTACCAAGAACTAAGTACATTCGTCAACAAAGCTTTAAACTGCAAAATCCAAGCCATGAATGAACCTGCATAGAAGATGCTGTAAGTCTTAAATGAAAAATAAAACTGATCCTATAAAACGTGCAAAGTCTAAGTTAGTAGCTGCTGATCCAAATACTATTGTAGAACAGAATACAATAGCCTTTATTTGTGACATGATTGATTTCCCCTTTCAGTGCAGAATTAAAGGGATAGAATTAACATGTGATGGGGCCTTATAAGACTGGAAATGCATTTCCAACTTTTCATCTTCCCCTACCAAGAAATGGTTATATTGTGCTCCATTTTCAGTCTGATTCTTGCCATATTCCCATAGTCATACTTGTTTATTTTCCCAGTCGTTCCAGGTCCTTGTTACTCCCTCCTGACCTGCCATGATCTCTGGTTCCTGCCTGTCACTCTGCATCACCTGACAGCCAAAACAAACTGCTTAAATGTTCCCATTATCTCTGAAAAACTGTACCCAGAGGTCATTGTCAGGTGCTTTAAAATTTCACAATATTCAGAATTATGTAACACATCAAGTTTTATAAAATAGGTCAGACTATGACTATAATATACACCTATGAATGTAAAGTAAATGATGATATATACTCAGTAGGGCAAATGACTTCTTTAAGAAGTATTTTAACTCATTTTCCACAAAACACATTTTTGCTTTTCAGATGAAGATTTTCTAACTGAAAATATGAGGATTTCAGTTACTCATTGGTCTACACTAGGGCTGGGACGATATGCTTTTCTCCCAATCCGATTCTTCTACGATTTTTTTGGATGCCGATTTGATTTAAAGTGCGATTCTACGATATTGTCGATTTTCTCGATATTTAGTCTGCATTCTTAACACCAGTGAAACAGTTGAATGATTACGATTGTCTACTGACTTTTCCAGAAACCATATTTCCCCAAAAAATACACAAAACATGTAGGTCAGTTTTTTAAGATTTATTTTAGAATTTAAAATAAAAAAATAAAAAAATGAAAAAATAAAAAATCGTGATATTTCTGTGAATCAATTTTTTCTCCCACCCCTTGTCTACACGGTATAAATGGTAAGAATTTTTTTGCGAAGTCTTAAGTAAAAGTTGGAGGAAAAAGTGTTTGTTCTTCTTCTGTATCAGCGTTTATGTTTTGTTTTTACTCCTTTTCCTTACTTTTAGGTCATGCTCTTTGGGTTGTTGTTTGATGTTTGTGAATATAGGCCTAACTGATCATTTGTTATGAATTAAGGAGACATTTTGTAAGTGATTAAACTTACTAAATAGAAACCAAATAGAAACTAAAAACGTATTCTTATTCTTAAATAGAAGAAAAAATACACCTCAACAGTGCATTGTATTTAATTCAGTTTTTTTTCAGTTGCTAACAAGCATTTGTCCAACCAGTTGTCACATTTTTAAACTGTAAACATAATTAACACAGCCTCGGTCTTTTGTGGCCATACCAATCACATATTTCATGTTGTTTTCACACAATATGCAGTCAGTGAACACATTTCCACAATGCTTACATTTTCTTAACAGACAAGCTTTACCTTCCAACAAAATTATGGATTGTTTTTATACTATTTACGAATGTTAACACACAACATCCCTCAATAGCAAAAACAATATTCCAAACCTTAGATACAGTATAAAAACCTCTGCTTCTGCAATGATATCACTTCAAAAACAATATATCTCAGCTGATAATAAACAAACAATTGAGTAATTGATACACAGCTGGTTTATGTTGGGTAAATTGGTGCCAACCACTCAGTGGCAGGGGTTAAAAGGAGGACTTTGAGGAGTGATGTTTTCGGAAACAGAAAAAGACAAAACACTGTAATGTCTGGGTGAGGACGAGTAAGAAGAGCAGGCCCAGGCAGAGATGTAATGAGAGGAGCGGGTGCAGGATATTTTGTTCACTGTAAACAAAACCGTAAAACCTTTTCTGTTCTATCATATTGTAAACCGTATTCCTTGTGTACCTCCTGTAGTAAACAGTAAAGGAAAATAAATTATTAGCTTTTTACTGTAATGCTTTTGAATGTGAACACTACACGTGGACATTCAGTTCCCAACCAAGAAATTTAGTGTAAACAGTGGATTGCATGTTTTGCATGCGAATACCTGTAAACTGAAACATAAAAGTCTATGCAGTGTTAGTAATGTCAGCAATAGCCAGTTTCTTGAACCCTGGTGTACTTTGATTGACTGCATGTACCTCGTGAAGTAAAAGCAAGTGTTTTTCTTTGACAGAATAATTCATTTTGAGTCAGATTTCCAGTGTTTTGGTAAATTTATTGTGTGCAGAGAAAGATGTGTTCTATTTTGAGATGAAGACTTAGTATATTTAACAAAATGTGTTTTTGAGAAGAAAATTATCCATTTGGCCAATTGTGTTTGGTAGGTGTGAATCTGTGTTAAGTTATGTACATCCCTCTATAAACCACTTGGTGGCAGCACGGTAATACTGGGGATGCGTGCCATAAACTTGTGAGGTCCCTTGTGCCCAACCCACACCATCACTATCACTGAGCAGCGAGTCCAACAGTCACTCTCAGTCAGGTGCCAAACCTGTTCAGATGTGAGACCCTGTGATCCTTGTAAAACATGAAAAGCCTTCATTTCAAGGATTTCTTCTGGGTGAGTTTCTTTCTGACTCTGATCTAATATTGTGTCTTTAAAGTTCCATTATTGTTTGTACATTCGTGGTAGTTGTCAGTCATATATTGGAAATCAAATGAAGGAGCTGAATATAAAATCAAAAGCATTTGTTTAGTCACCAGTAGATCTATATAATGGTGGGCAGATAATAAGATATATATTTCAAAGTGGCTACAATATAAATATTGAAGCTGAGTACATGTTTCTTACCAATAACTTTACAACAGCTGTCTACTTTTCTAAAGCCGGGAAGTCAGTGTCTTGCTGATTCTAACATCTCCATGGTTACATTGATTGCATAGTGTAACCCTCCTCAGCTTAACTAAATTATGGAGAGGTCATGTGCAAAACATCAATTTACATCAGTGTTTAAGATCTTAATGTGTGAGTGTATTTGTATGTCTGTGTATTTCGAAATTTCCATGCAAGTATTTAGGGTCAAACAAGTTCAAACTGAGCTGGATTGCTGTGCAGTAAAAGACTGGGTGTTAAAGAAGTGGGTGTAGACTACATTTGTAATCACAGAAGTTAAACAGAGTGAGTATTTTCCATTTTGTTAACAGAACTCTGATCTGACCAGCACCGGAGGCTATGATGTTATCATCCAATATCTCAATGATGGCAGGAGGACATGCAAGGAGGTGGAGGAGTTCATGAAAGCTAGGTAATACCGTGTTCTATATATGATAGGATGTGACAACACCAATGCAACTTATTTGTGTGATAGTTTTAGTCTGTTTCAGATAACAAAAATATCAAGCTAGCTGTTAATTATCACTGTGGTTGTTGATATCTTGCAACTTAGAGGCAGCAGGTTGGATTAATTCAACACCTGTTAAAGCTAAAGATACAAACACAGTGGGTAAAGTTCAAGTTATCCGCTCTTGTGGCTCATGTGCGATAACAGTTACAGTTTTAGTGTTTGGCACTTCGTGAGAAAATCAGCTGAGAGTTTACAGAAAATGAAAGCTAAAAACAGAAAGAAGGTGAACTGTAAACTCTGTGGTCATTATGGTGGGAAGTTGTAAGATTTATTGCCAAAGATAAGAATGGAGTAATATGTGCTTCTTAAGTGTATAGTTTGTATGTTTAGCAACCAATGACAGAAATAACACAGGAATAAACAAAACTTCATAGAAAGGAGGTACGAGAAACTAATTGCTAAGAAACGAAAATCAGAAATTGGTCCAGAGCGGTTTCCCTGCTCCAACACACCTGATTCAAATGATCAGCTCGTTATTAAGCCATTACAGAGCTTGATAACGAGCTGATCATTTGAACCAGGTGTGTTGGAGCAGGGAAACGTCCAAAACATGCAGGAGGACTGGACTTGACAACCACTGGTCTAGAGTAATAAAAGCTGCTGTATCTAAACATGTGGAGACAGTATAAAATGCCTGAAAGCATTCTCTAAAGTCTTAAATACACAAAATATCAGTTCAGTAGTTTTATCAAATGAATTTAAATCTTTTTATAATGTTCTGGTTTGATATTTTGAATTTTGAGTGTGTACAGTTCTGTGTTATGGCACCGTTGAATTGCAGCACTAAATTTACCTAGAGGAGCAATGTAATAAATTCCTGTACCTTTTACGAATCGTTTATTATGAAGCATCATCTAGATAGAGTTTATGATGGAGTCATTCAAAGTTTGCCATTTGAATTTGGATTTCCTCCTTCCTCTTAAGATAAGTAATCTGTCATCCTTACGTCTCTCTCTCTCTCTCTCTCTCTCTCTCTCATACACTCACACTCAGCATAATGCAAACACAGCTGTAAATATAGCAAAGGAGGGTATTTTGAAATAGCATAACTGAAAGTATCCTTATTGTAGAACGAGAAGTATTCACAAGAGTTTCCTAAATATCGCAAGAGCCGCCGTAAAATGTTCAGTATGGACACATGATAGAAATGCTGTTAGGTATAGAGGAAGAAAAGCAAGTGAGAAAGATTAACTTGTGTAACATATACTGTAGATAAAAGTGCAAATATTCTGAATTTGTTGAATATGTTAGTATGATTTTATTACTTTTTTTATCCGTACACAAAAACGTAATGACAAGGGCTGTCAAGAAAATATAGAAGTAAAATGCACAAGTTGTTGCTGTCAAGGCTGGTACTTATGATAAGCAGCAGCAGCACCTTCTTCAAAATGTTGCTGTAACATGTCGTCTCACTAATTACATGTTGCTAATGTTTCTCAGCGATGAAGTAATACTCATAACAGGCACATGTCACTTCTCCAGCACCATAAAAAAAACAATAGTTAGATTTCAAGCACACCAACGTTGAATTTATACCTGTATAAAAAGATGTGTGGGTTACTAAGTTAGATGTTTCTTTAACTTTGACTGCAAACTTCCTGCAGTCTTCTTCAGAAGGGTCCTGTGATGAACATAAATAAAAAGAAACTGTACAACAACATCACCTAACTCCAAGTTTGTAAATTTAATCACACAAAGAATAATGAAGACTAAATGAACCTTTATGGACCAGTCTGTGTGGATTGTATCAGACTTCCTGACTCTGCAAACACAATCAAATGAAGGGTAGTCAGGTCAGTGTGACTAGAGATTATTTACAGAGGTTATTTCCTGGTTGGCACACGTGTTGTCTTTTTGCACACGTGTATGAAATATTCAAACAATGACATTTCGAATTTGGCGGATAGTGTCAAATTCAGAGTCAGTCAGTCCAGCTCAGAATCTCTACCCAGTCTGGATAACACAGCACATTAAGCACAGCCATATCATCATTTAAAAGAAGTATATCTTTTTTTTTTCAGTTCACTTTTCTCATGATGTTTCACTTCGATTTCAACGCAAAGATGATAACTGTTTTGAAAAAGTCATTATGACTCCCGAGCCACTCACTTGCAATCCATTACGCAATATTTCATAGTCTAAATATATTCTTATTGTTTTATTCTGATTACTTCACCACCAGTTCATGACTTCAGCTTTAAAGAGTTTGTGATGACCGAGGTGTGTATGTGCGTAAACAAGTTCTGTACTCTGTGTTGTATTTATATCCGAATGATCGAACCTTTTTCCCCTTGTTGTTTCTCTCAGGGCGTCCATTGAGGAAAAATACGCCAAAGATCTCTTGGGTTTGTCCAAGAAGGTGTGTGGACACAATGAGATGAAGTAAGTGGCCCGGTGCCTTTTTTGTGATAAGAAAGTCCTTGGTTGACAAATGTGGGAACAGCTTGAAAGCAGACATGAAGATCACACGACTCTTATGTCTGTACTCTCTCTATATTGCAACTGTGGGGGATCAAGTTTTCTGCATTGTGCATGAGTGTGGACAGTTTGTTTGTGGATCAGCAAGTCTAGTTCCCATTCAGTTTGTGGTCACACTCAGAGGCATGTTGTTTCTGCTTGTTAGAGATGTTGTTTGGTGGGAAGAGGAAGGAAGACTAATGGGGGAGGGTGAGAAAGAGGACTACTTCATAGCTTCATTTAAAACCTCAAATGTTCTCTATAGATTGTGTAAGGTCTTAAAAGGACAGTTTTATGATTCTTTGTACATATTTAGTCTTTTTTAGACCGTTCTTTTGGCCTGTAGTAGGAGGTGATAGTATTTTTAACATATATTTGTACACAATAAGAACTAATAATGGGCCTGACTTCTAAATAACATTTTGTGGCCCCATCACCACGGCCAAACCTATCTCTGCACATTTTCTATGACAACTCCTCCATTACTTGTATCCACTAAGAAGTTTAAATGACTTAAACTTTGTCTAGTTTCTCGACTAATACCCCTAAATCTATAAGTGTATCTCAAAATATTAGAACACTGTGGAAAAAAAATGAATATTTTCCATCAGTTACTTATGAAAATGAAAATGGCACATATTTGATGGTCATTCAGCTATCCTACTATTTTAGTCCAAAACCTAAAAATAAAACATGTATCCAAATATCTGAATATTTCAGTCTCAGTTACTTATTTGGGGGTACTTCCCCTGGAAAAGAACTTTTAACAGTATTCTGAACTCCTCAGATTCACTGGTAAATGATGAGCTTTAACCAATCTTAAATGGTAAAAGTTGTGCTCACCTTTCTTTTTCTTTGGGCTTGTTTTATCCTTTATTCTTAAATCACTTTGGTTTTCTCCAGCATCCGTAACTTGGCTCTTTCCTTTAAGCACAATTTTAGAGCTTTAATGCAATTATTTATTATCATTTATTGTTAAAGAAGTATGTTGAACATCTAAACATCACCTGACTGATGCAGATTCTTCCCAGGCAGAACCCCTGTCTTATCTTTTTCCCCTTTTCCCTTTTTTAAGCACACTAAAAAGATCGCTGGACATGTTCAAATTACGTAAGTGAACCATTTTTATGTCAAATTTTTGGTGCTGTGTGCAGCTGAGAATGCAAACCATTCTTTTACCCCCCTGTAGAGACTGAACATGTGAGTCTGTCACACCTTCAACTGGCACAGAGCATGAAAGATGAGGCCAAAAAACTGGAGGACTTCAGAGAGAAACAGAAAGAAGTGAGGAAAAAAGTAAGTCTGATCCTGCGGCATGAGAAGCTGTGATGCTATGAGAAATGATAAATGATCAATTGCTCACTTGATTTGATTGATTGATTTCAGATTGAGCAGCAGATGGATGCTCTCCATAAACAGAAGTCCTCACAGTTCAAGAAGACGATGGATGTGAGTAAAAATCTGTCAAACTAAAACCACAACAGCCTGTTTCTTACATTTAAAGGTGTAACAGTGATAGCGGTTTTTAAATAAGAGTCATTCTACCTTTAATGTTACAGAAAAAGCAGGAGTAAATCAGTAAATCGACCTCAGCAGAACTTCTTTCGTGAGTCATGTCAGAGGGGTTTCAGTTGTGTTATGAAAACAGAAAAAGCGCTTATCCCTCTCTCTTCTTCCTCTTTGGTGAGGGAAGTTGTTTAGGCCAGTCTGGAGAGAAAACCCACATGGGCAACATTTATTACCATCAATCTCCTGAAAGAAGAAGTACTTGTTATGTTCACAGATGAATAAATAAAATCTTAATGAAGTGGATGCCAGTCTTTGATTTAATGCAGACTGTTGCTGTGTCCTCAGACGAAGAAGACGTACGAGCAGAAGTGTCGAGATAAAGAGGAAGCAGATCAGAATGTGAACCGAAACACCAACAACACCAAGCACATAGAGAAGGTAAAGTGAAAACAAAGGAGCAAGAGGCAACCGTTTGGCATGAGAAAGGGCGTGTTTTTGTAGAGCAGTGCTATTCTTTCTATAGGGACATTTTGCAAAATTATTAATTATTTAAGCCTCTGAAATTTAGAAAAACATTCCGGTTTAAGATGCATGATATTAAATGTTTGCAGTTATACTATATTTTGAAACTCCTTTTTGACCTACTCTGTTATTGATACCGATATATACACACTTTTTATTTAACTTTATAGTACACAAATTTTCCTCACAAAATATAATATAGGTGTTACTCTTATCAGGACAGTCTGTTCATTCGAGATCCAGACATAAAACAAGACCTTTGATTCTTTCAAACACGATCGTTGTACATTTCGTAGTGTGTCTATACTTCCAAACAGACAACACATGTAAGTTGCCTCGGCATGCACATGATTAATGCGTCACCTTTTTTTGTCTAATGATTATATCAGCAGAAACTGTCAAATCTGCTCATACTAATAATTAACTTTTTAAGCTATTATCAGCATGTCTTCACTGAAATCATACAGATAATATCCTGCATCCCTAGCTCCAGCTCTTTGTGTCTGCTTTTTCAGACATCGTGTTGGGCTCTAAAAACTGAGGACATTTTTATTGACAGAATTATTTGCAGATATTGTAAGCTGCTATTATTTTGCATTTATATTGTCTTGTGATTTTTTTTTCTAAGCAACAATAGCAGATTAAACCGTGACAAAGAAAACCGTTTTTTAGTGCCTGAAACTACTGCTGTGAGGTAGGTGTCAGATGGAGTGGTTAACCACATGCTGTGAAAGTCTTTGTGGGCAGTTTTCACAGTAAAACAAATATAAGGGAGTGATACATTTGACCGGTAATGACGGGGGGATTTTTTATTTCATTTGAAAACTAAATTTACACTCAAAGAGCACAAGACCAGCCAAAAGAGAAGAGGCACCTCTTTGTCCACAGTGGGTACCAGAACCGACACAAATCAGAAGTTCCTCTCAGAAACTTCAGTAATGTCAAAAAGTTTGAATGAGCAAGTTTCAAAAAGCTGAACAGTATCTCATTTCACTGTTAAGGCAGTTGTTCTGATGTGTTTCCCTGGTGTGAGACAGAGAGTTATTGTCCTGTAGAGGAAACAGAGTTCAAAAGGTGCTTCTGTTTAAACATGAACATTTATCAACAGAGTAGTCATGCGTATTGACCGCTGTCTGATCCTCTTTCTTCCATCTGCTGTGCTGAAACTTCCCATAAAGACAAATGCCTGAATGTCATAACTTCCATGGCCTTCTCAGCTGTCATTCCTGTTTGCGTTACTTGTTATGTGATGCATTGTGCTCATCTGTCCTTTTTTATTCAACATCTTACAGCTCTACTCAAAAGCACAGCAAGCCAAACAGAACGCAGAAGAAGCAGGTAAGCTGTAAAAACAAAACCTGATGCAGGCGTCATAATCAGAAATTACACACAAAGGTCGTGAGCAAGCGTGTCAAGTATCAGACTGAGCTATTTGGGTTTTTGGTGTCACGCTAAATCATGCCCATCAGTCCATCTCTTGTGGCTAAAATATCTCAACACCTCACAGTGTCAAAGTTTTGGTTTACCTCTAACTCTCTAAAAATCCTCCAAATGTGTGGTACAAATTCAGGTCATGCAAAGCCGTCATGAGCAAAGAGCCACCATCAAGGCTGATGTGCATGAGGCTCACTTAACCAGCGTGATACATGGCATGAGAGAGTTTATGAGATATTCTAACGTGATGTGTGTTTGACTTACTAGACAGGTTATACCACCAGAATGTGACGACGTTAGGAAAGGTCAGAGATGAGTGGCTGAAGGGGCACGTTGAAGCCTGTGAGGTAAAACTTAGACTGACTTCAGAGTCCAGAAGTTTCAAACCAACACGTGTTCAATGAAGGAGATGAAGTTTTCTGCTGTTTATGTTCTTCACAGGTGTTTGAAAAGCAGGCAATGGAGCGCATCAACTTTCTAAGGAACACAGTGTGGACTCACCTGAACCAGCTCTCCCAGCAGTGTGTGACTGGTGATGAGGTAGCGTTGAATAACTAACTTGTTTTTTTATTTGATCAGAAAGACGGAAGAGTCAGTTGTAATGCCAAAATTTGACCTAGATAACACTCAGCTTTATGTGTGTTATTTCCTGCAGTGAACTGGTAAGGAGTCCTTTATCACTCAGTGCCACAAGTTTGACATTAAAAGGGGATTTTTCTTTAGTAAAATTTACACAAATGCATGACACAGTCAACAAAGAGATAAGAGGAGCCTGACAGGATCTTTTACTGACTTTGTTTGTGTATTTGCCTCTCTAAAACCTGAGATATCAACTTTCTCTTTTATTGCTTTCTGCTTCAGGCTCACATGAAAGGGGGTGGCTGGTGCATTATTTGGTGTTACTTCTGCACAAAAAGAAATGATCACCACCAGTCTGATTCAGTCAAACTGACATGATCGGAAAAAGCGATGAAACTGAAGTTATGGTTGTAAATATGGCCGTTTAGCTGCTGCTGCAACTAAAGAAAGGAAGAAATACTGTGTTACTTAGAAAATTCATCCATTGATGAAGTGCATTTATTTACATCTCAGTACAACTCTACTACACATGGTTTCAGTAATGAAGGCAGAACTTCGATTACATTGGGCACCTCCACTTCATTAAAAAACAGAAATAACATAAGTTTTGAATTGGCTCCTGTGATACGATACAATGTGTTGCAAACTCTCACAGCTGCTGATGACATACATGTCGGCATCGGCGGGGATTGAAATAATAGCTCTTTATACCCACTTTCAAGTCGTTACTCTGAACATCACCTTTACCTGACCAATTTTGGAAGTTAGAGTAAGTTACCATGGTGAGCTAACCAGCTGCGTAGCGAGCCAGCATCATGACACAGAAAAAATCCTGCTTTAAACTCAACAGACTCAGTTTATCCCCTAATTTTGCTTCATGGTACACTCTTCAGGTGTTAGTTAGTTAGTTAGTTAGTTAGTTAGTTAGTTATAGTTTATTTCGGTATATTCCATTCAGTGACATTTCAATTACATTTTGTTTCAGTAATCATACTGTTAGGCCGAAAGGGTATAGGCTGAAGCTCAAAGCTTATAACGCCTACCCCATTTAAATGAAAAGACAAAAGAAAAGACAAAAAAAACAAAACAAAAAAAACCCAAAGAACAAACGGATAGTACGACACATGGTTTCATGTTGTGCTGTAGGACATCTGCTAACCCAATTAAAGATACAAACTGAGTACAGAACATCAACAAGGGAAACAGAGGAGGGAAGGGGAGATATTTAAAGATATAGGATACGGTTTAGGTTTTTTGTTTATTTGTTAGGTACTGTACTGTACTGTTATAGTGTTTTATACTTGTCCATTACTTTGCGTTTAAACATTTTCTTAGATTTTGAAACTGTGGGACACATTTTTAAATCTTCTTTAAGGCTATTCCACAACCATACTCCTCTGGTTGACAAGCATCTTGCTTTTGTGTCTGTCCTTACATTTGATCTACTGAAAACTGCAGTCCCCCTGAGTTCGTACTGCGACTCACGTTCTGTAAACAGCTCCAGCATGCAATGGGGTGTTGGTTTGTAGTGAGGCTGCCGTTAATATCCACTGTACTCTACCTTCTCATCTCAAACAGATTGATTCTAGTACACCTATACCTATAAAAAAAGAGTTTAAGTGTTGAATTGTCGCCACAAACAAATGAAAACTCATATTTCTGAGTGTCTGCTTGTTGCTCACATGTATGCTATGTCAACTTTGCAAGGTAGGAAAATGTCAATATGGTGTTTACCGCTTGTTCTGCCCAAAAAGTGATTAAACGCAGGACTAAAGTCATTCACTAGTAGTATCATGCATATAAAGACATGATTAGGTATAGTGGACTCTGCCCTTGTGTTGACAGTTGTTGTTTTTTTAACTGTGTGTGTACTTAGCTGTATGAGGAAGTGAGGAAGTCGCTGGAACAGAGTGATGTCCATGAAGATATTGAGCACTTTGTTAACCTCAGGCGGACAGGTGACAAACCACCAGGTAGGACTCCACTGACTCTTGTTTACGTGTTAAGTGTTGGAGTACACACGCAGAGGAAGGTAGTGAGCATATTCTGTATTATTTTTTTAGTAGTGGGAACAATAATCATCCTCCACTCCGACAGGTCCAGTTTTGTATGAGAATTTCTACAGCAGTCAGAGATCACAAACTGGACCAACAGCTCCACCTCCTCGACAGCCTCCACCAGTCATCAGGTAGAAGAAGAACAGACTCTCTGAGAGCTAGCCTTTAGTTTTATCTTTACTACATTTATGTCTCTAACTTACTTTATTATTGTTGTTTCCTTGTTTTATGGATTTGCAGGCGAGGGCCGTTACCTGATCCATCGAACAACAGTAGGGGTATGTTTTGTTTTCCACTTTAACACACAGTGATGTTGGTTACTTGAAGAAAACGCATCCTTTTTGGTTTGATTTGAGTTTGTGGCTTTAACATGACAGTATACAATATCTGCTGCACACTCCTGCCTTTCATACTTCACCACTACAATGTTTTCTTTTTACTCTGATCGCAGATGATACTATCTACTCGACAGTGCAGGACGCCGGCTACAGCGTGATCCAATTCTGACACAGACACACAGACAGATCAGCTGCTGGGGTGAGATCAGATCAGCTGTGCAGCAGTGGAGCTTTGTAATGGACACAAAGGTTACACAAGCCTCATCACTTCCTCATTTGTGATTTCCTGTAAAGATACCAGATGGAAATAAGCATCATAAAGGTGTAAAATGTATTTTTGGGTGAGGTTTGGGCGCTTATTTAAACACCAGAGTTTTATGAGCAGAGCAGCGAATGTCTTTTTTTTTTATCCTCAGGTTCTTGTGTATTTCTAAAAGGAAAACAGTGACGTTATTACTGAAGCTCAGTGTGTTCTTGTAAATACTGGTTAGAGCTAAAAGGCACATATCAGTTACATCAAGCTAATAACTGATAAACCATCGAGACAAAGATGTTTATAAATCCTTCACCAATGTCTGTCTTTGTTAAATTGTTTCTTCCTCATCTTTAACTTTGTCTGGACCTTCTTTTATGTAGCATCACTCGTCTTCAGTTTTTCACTCATGTGTCGCCTGCAGACCCGTTACCTCTTCGATATCAGATAACAGGAATACTGTGGCTGATCAAGATGAAAGTTTTGTTAAAAGTCCTTCATGCGACACTTGGCCCACATCTTCACTGTTTGATTATCTTGTTAAACATTCACCTGAAAGCTCAGATCTGTCAAGAGGTGTGAGAGATCAACATTTCACTGGTGTCTTTACAAAGAAACTCCTGTTTCTCTATTTGCACTTTATGTTCTGATTTTTTTTAAATAAAAGTATGACTTGCCTTCTTCTGGTGTTCTTCTTTACCTTAAACTAAGTTTTGAACCTCCATTTAAAATGTTTTTTTCTTGTTTCTCACAAAGATGCCCTTCCTCTGTTGACTTTAAGACCCACTCTGATGAAAATCATGTTTTTCTTGTTTTTGATAATAATAATAATAATACATTTTATTTAAAAGCACCTTTCTGAACACTCAAGGACACTGTACAGGGCATAAAAACACAGTTAGAAACATGATTAAAATAAATAAAAACAACATACAAGTGTGAAAGTGGACAGTTAAAGTGAATATGCAATTTGGAATAGGTGTGTTTTGAGTTTGGACTTAAAGTGGGGTAGTGAGGGTAGTTTATATGTTCGTATGGCATTTTTCTGATGCTACAGGACATATCATGAGAATACTAAATGCGAAATCGCGTGTCTGAGTATTTCTTCATTCAAATCGCTGTGAATCTCTGGCAGACTTGATTTCATACGTAACCAATCCGAGCTCAGCCCCCAGGGCCGCACTATGCGGGCCATTCTCTGCATATAGAGGGGAAATACAGAGGACTTTCGCGGAACAAGTGTGTATATTAGCGGATTGCAATGCTTGTAAGAAAGCTAATTATGAGATTAACTTTCATTATGTCCCTAAAGACATTGGTGTCTGAGAGCTGAAGAGCTTCTATGTTACCTGACACTTCTGCAGCACAGGCAATGTTAGGCTGCAAGCTAACGTGAAGACGAGTGTGTAGAGCAGCGCTGTCTCTGCCCACGACTCAGAGGTGAATTGCTTATGATCTACTGGAGCTGTGCAGAAGAAAAGGCCTTGAAAATGACACAGGTAATGTGATTTTTGGCAAAAACGTAATAATCACAATGTAAAGGTTACTGAAAACACTTTAAGTAATAATAATAAAAAATGATTGGAGTGGGACTTTAAACTTTACAATAACACCTTTGACATAGACGGGCTCTGTAATGACTTATAGTATCTCTATGAAAGTATGATAGACACAAGCTTGAAATAAAAATGTATACAGCTTTATTTTAACCATTTTTTTCCAACATAACTTTTCCTCATGATGTTTTCTTTCCGCTCATGATTCAGCATGTAGTTTCTATGTATTTCATATGATACAGCCTTCCTCAATGTGAGTGAGAAATCGTTACAGCCATCAGTTCGTCTTAGTCTGCCAGATTTGTCGGTCTTGCATTTCAGAGCAAGAAACAGGAAGCACTTTGTCCCCAAGACACCTGGACGCACGGCTCTGAGGACTGCGGGAGAAAAAGTTCTGAGAACAGGTTCTTCAGAGGCATTTAGACCCTTTGGTGGTCCAATATCACATAGTGTGTTCTGATTTGATCAGATCCAGGATCAGCTGGATGGTCCTTTCACCTACAACAGAGACAGATTAGTTAAAGAGGTTTCTCCTTTTATCTTATTAGCAGGTTAATCATTTATTGATAAGCTGAGGAGGCGGGAACTCATTAATCACACGACTTTACCTTCCAGATTCATCCTCGGATTCTCCAACTTCTTCTCAAGCAGTGAGTCCATTAGCTTCCTCAGGTGTTTAAAGATGACACCGATCCGTACAGGAGCCTTTCAGGGTCAGAAACATAGATTGCATTTTAATAAAGCAGAGTCAAGTTAGTGAAACTATTGCTGCTTGTACTGGAGAAGGTAATGGATTAAAGTGCACTGAAAGTCACAAGTCTGTTTCACACACACTCAAAGACAGCTTCATCTTGATGGAGGGGGAAGGTCGTTCCATTTCTGAGCCTCTGTTATAAGCGGTAGCAGGGGTGAAAAACAACATCAATGCTACTTTTGCCTCTGCAGTGACATAAAACTAATTTTCCGTATGAAACATTAACTTTGTTTCACTCAGAGATTGTTGTGAAGCCAAACACAACGAGGTTCTACCTCACTGGAAATCCCAACTGGAACTTTCAGCTACTTTAAAAGGTGGAGTTTAAGGCCCTCATTGTGCCGACATGTCAACAGTTTGAACACGTCAAATATGCCACACCCTTAACCATGCAAAATATTTTATTTTTTTGGTCCCTCACAAAATACACACAGAGGACCAAGAGTGCAAGGTTCCTGTGTGTGAAGTCACCATCCACTTAAGGACCCGCAAAGCACATCTGGAAAAACCCAGATTTTGCATGGCCCTGAAGTCTGAATATAGTCAAAACAGATAAATAGTGAAAAATGTCACCCCTGTGCAGTTCTTATAAATAAAAAAATGAGGTAAATGAACCAAAACTGCTTATAAAACAGGCTGTAAATGTCCTGATTTTTGCTATAGAGATCAGTGCTTTAATATGGGCACTTCCCTTTTTGTTTGTGTTGTAAAAGAATGAAAGTAGTAAGACAGCAGCACCCCGTCGAGGTCTGTGAGCACCATAAAGAACAAACCCCCTTTATGATCTCTGACCTGGAAGTGAATCCATCCGTCTAATGTGATGAGCCTCTCTCTGTGCTGAATATCGATGTCACCTCCAAACAGCATCATGGGGAAAGGAGAAATCAGAGAGGTGTCTCTCAGGTAGATCTTAGTATATTTTACCTGCGGAGTAAAAACACACATTAGTGTAGATGTTTCTACAGACAGGCAGATATATACACTCAGAGTCGTCATCCAAACCTTCTCCTGGTACAGCAGCCAGCCGTGGATCTGCAGGTTGCGGTTCACAGATGAGGGGTGGACCTGAGCTTTCCCCTGAGGAGTCTCTACAGTGCACGCCACCCGCTCCAGAACATCCACAGAAGGTGTACACAAGACCCGAGCCACGCTGTCATAGAGTCCTGCAGTCAGCACCGCGTTCAGGACCGAGATCTGCTGCCTGGAGAGCGGAGCAGCCTGTGGCTTGGAGTGATGGGAGGAGCGAGACCAGAAACCTGCCTGCTCCATCATCTTCATCAGCTCCTGCTTCACGTCCTGGAGAGATGATGGGAGTTTGACATGTACAGACGGGTCTGAAGAGAGTTTTTAGGATGAAACAGAGAACCAGGCGTTACCTCTATGGTCATGAGAGCTGTGCGGTTGAGGAAGTGTTTCCTGCAGTAGGACATTTCTGTTCTCTCGGTCTGGGAGTTCTTCCACCTGAGAGGACGAGAAATAAGACAGGCTTGCTTACTTCAATATTTTCTGCAACATTTACTTTAGACTTGATTTCTCGGGTATTCTTATTAAACATCTCAGTGATGTGATAAAGAATTTGGCCTCTAAAAGTCCCAAACTGCACGTCCTTATTGAAGCCCATACCCCAGATAGGCGTTGTATATCGTCAGGTGATCTGAGTTAGCTACTGCCAGTGCTGCTTTGGCCAGGTTGGCTTCCTCTTTTCTGTTCATTGGTGTGGAGAAAGGAGACTTTTCTGTAATGGCTGCTGCGATCATCGCCTAAAACAAAAATCATATGAACATACAAGAAAAGCTGTGAAAGCCCAATAAATGATATATTAGCTGGGTGCACAACAACACTTTTTCACTATACTGTAAGGATTATATAGAACTTTTTGTTTTTGCAGAAACAGCAGTAGTAGTAAAAATATTTATCCAGATATATTCTGCTAATGTGGCTCAAAGTTACACAGCCGTAAGACTTACTATGGGCTCCAAGCAGCCGAGTATGGCTCCATAAATGAGCATCTTCCCGATCTTCACGTTAACAGGCAGACTGGCCAGGTGGAGTCCCAGTGGGGTCAGGACGTGATCGTTAAGTTGACACGCACCGATCTTCCTCAGCAGGTTGACCGCGTTACTGACTGACTGAGACAGAGGAGGATCCAGCGCCCTGCTCAGGAAATCCTCTGGGGAGCCGTATTGACATTTCTACATGGGAGAAGATGAAGAGGACCTTAAACACGGGCTGTTGAGTGGCTCTTTGTTTTTTTTCTGTGTGTGTGAGTCTGGTGGTTTGTGTACCATAATATGAAGGCAGAGCTCCTCCAGTGGAACCCTGAGTATCTCAGGAATGGAGTAATCCATGAAGGCATCAAACCTGTGGGCGTGCAGGGTGAAAAGTCGTACAAATCAGTATTTAAACCACACCATCAACATATCATGGTAATTTGACCATTTACATCAGAAGTGTTGATGCTGTCTGTACCTGAACTTTGGGTAGAGTCTAAAACAAAAGCCGTTGCGGACTCGCCCAGCTCTGCCCTGCCGCTGGAGGGCGCTGGCTTTGGAAACAAAAGTCTCCACGAGGGAACTCATCTGGCTGCTCTCGTGGTACCTGAGTGACAAAGTTTTAATATCACACAAGAACTTTAAAATGACACACAATGACATCAAATGTGCAGAAATTTTCTGACGTGGTTGAAGAGCTCTTACTTGTTTTCTTTCGTCTTCCCGGTGTCGATGACAAACACGACATCAGGGATCGTCACCCCTGTTTCAGCGATGTTGGTCGACAAGACGATCTGTAACAACAAAGAGGTCAGGACTCATTAATATTATGTATTTATTCATCATTGAAGTCAAACAGATTAATTAATGTAACACTTAATAATCAACATAATCTGTAAACACCACAAAGACAGCAAATAAACAGTAAATGAACGGTTTATACATTTATGATAGTTATATCTGATAATATGAAATCTAAAGGAAATAAACTGTTATAAATTTAATTTCTCGAATCATCCTCGGGCACATTTGGATGTTATTTTCACATTTCTCCATGCTTTATTTTAGCACTTTTTTGCAGTACCTTTCTGACACCAGCAGGCGGCACTGTAAAGGCAGCAGCTTGGTCCTTAGATGAGAGAGTCGAGTGCAGAGGAACAATCCTGTACCTTAAAGAAGAAGATGAACAACATAGATTTATTTTCCGCTCTCTCTTTAATTGTTCTTTTTTTAAACGGATACACATTTATTCATTTGAGTAAGTCACCTGTTTTTATCTTTGAATCTTTTGTCTGAAGTGAGCAGGTCATAAAGCTGCTGGATGTGAGCCAAGCCCGGCAGAAACACCAAAACTGCTCCATCCACCTCTGCAAACTGAGGGGATTTTTCTGCAAAAAGGCAAAAGTACAAAAATCTATCACACACATGTAATAAGATCGACACACAGACAAAGACTTGTGTGTGTTTTGGTACCTAAATAGTGAATGAGGTCGACCAGTAAGTCCATGTTGATCTTATTGGGGTTCATATACTGCAGCACGTGCCGAGTCCTGCCGCTGAAGTGGTCCAGATCTGGTCCCAGGTCCCACCCGGAGGAGGAGTCCCTCACAATTACCTCCTGGATCAGACAGAAGCGAGTTAGATCCCGGAGTCAAACGCCACTATCACATAACCCATTTATTCTTTGGTGCTGCTGCAGAGGGACAAGCTCACCTGGTGCTGTAAAGTCTTGCCCCCTTTTTGCGTGACAGCGACGCTAACTTCCTCCTCCTCCTCCAGAATCTTCTGGCTATACTCTGAGTCTTTTTCCAGGACGTAGCCCGTCTCCTCCACAATATCCTCCAAATGAAACACCTGAACGCAAAAATGCAAAAGCTGGATCTCCTGCTTTGTTCCTATCAGGTCACCACAAAGCTTGATTATAAAGACAAACAGACAGCTTACCTCTACAGGGAAAGTCCTGCCAGGGATGGAGATCACTGGGCAGCGGTTGAAGTAGTTGGAGAACTTGTCACAGTCCACAGTGGCGCTCATCAGGATCAGCTGCAGGTCTGATCTCTTCATGACAACATCTTTAAGGATGGTTAACAGGAAGTCTGACTGGACACTGCGCTCATGGACCTGAGGAGACAGAGGAGAAGCAGACAGTGATGCATATTGATGACAGTATTACAGTCAGTTTTTTCACTTCCTGTCTTGATAAGAATTAGTAAAATCTGCAGAATTTAAAGGGATATTCTGGCGTAAAATTAAGATAGGGTCAAACACACTGTAGCACCGAGTTAGACACCCTGTCGAGAGATGAATGTTGCTGACCGCTTGCTTCTTTAGTTATAGCAAATTTGGTAACAACTGCAGATAGCAATACAGAGAGCCACGCGCTCAACCAAAAACCAAAACGCCACTCTATAGCCACAAATAATGCTCAGAACAGCACCTAACTTCATCAACAGTACATATAGGGTCCCAGCCATAGTACTAGCCACCAAATATCTTTTTAACTTTGCCTGATTCCTTTAGCAAAGAGACTAAACACAACTCACCTCCTCTCTTCCAGCAGCCACTTGTTTGTAGGAAGACCTCCGGGCGAGTGCATTGACTGCAGCAGGGTGACGCAGCTCAAGGAAGAACATTTCTGATCATTTCCTCATGGAAATGCGATCATACCGAGACGCTAAGGCAGAAGAACTACTGCGTCTGCAGTGCAAAATGACTAATATGGTGATTATTACTTCAGGGAAATGATAAAATAATGATCATAAATGTTCTTCCTTGAGCTGCGTCACCCCGCTGCAGTCCGTAATGGACTTGCCCGGAGGTCTCCATACAAACAAGCGGCTGCTGGAAGAGAGTAGGTGAGTTGTGTTTAGTCTCTTTGCTAAAAGAATCAGGCAAAGTTAAAAAGATGTTTGGTGGCTAGTACTATGGCTAGGACCCTATATGTACTGTTGATGAAGTTAGGTGCTGTTCTGAGCATTATTTGTGGCTATAGAGTGGCATTTTGGTTGAGCGCGTGACTCTCTGTATTGCTATCATGCGTTCATTACTGTTGGTATAAGTAGATAAGTAAGCAGTCAGAAACATTCATCTTTTGACGGTGTGTCTAACTCTATGTTACGGTGTGTTTGACCCCAACTTAATTTTACGTTGGAATATCCCTTTAAGGGGTTAAATCAGGACAGATTCATACACACTTTGGTGGTGTGTGTATGAGTGAGTGTTTGGGTGTTTCATTCAACTGCTAATACTGTCATGAAAAGTTAAAATTCACATTAGATAAGAGAGTACGGACATGCTTTGAACTTTCAGGGTGAAATGTCTGTAAATATAAACAACTAATCTGACTTTACGTTGACTTTTCCCTTCAAGCCTCTTTATACATTTTCTATGAACACTCAGGAGGAGTAGGAGTGTGAACGCAGCAGGTAAGAGTTGAGATAATTCACACAGAATGGTGAGTTTCCTGAGGTTGCGTCATACTTTTCTGCCTGCCAGCATGCAAGAGTGCACATGTGAAACCGACTTCACATTAGTTGTATCTAATCTGAGGTTATCCACAGTCCTCTATCTGTCAATGAAGGTTAAAAAAGCTGTTTTCTTCTGTACCTCATCCACAATGATGTGCGTGAAGGTGTTGAGGTGTCGGTCATGCTGCAGTTTCCTCAGCAGGACTCCAGTAGTGCAGTAGAGCAGGCGGGTCCACTCTCCAGACTGATTCTCCATTCGGATCTGGTATCCACACAGCGACGACTACAAACAGATTTCATCACCAAACATGAGAATTACAGCATCCCAAAAGCGAACACATTTAAGCACGGAATCTTGTGTCGAACTTTAGAAATCTTGTTGAACTCGTCACCTTTGACCCCGGTCCGTCCTCACAGCCGAGCTCCTGGCTGACTCTGCAGGCCAGGCTCATGGCAGAGATCCTGCGCGGCTGCGTCACCACGATGTTGCACGGTCTCGCCTCTTTGCTTCCTGTTAACAGCTCCTCCAAGAGGAACTGAGGGATCTGGGTGCTCTTCCCACTGCCCGTCTCACCTGCAACTACGACCACAGGGTGGCGCTGCAGAGCCTCCAGGACCCGATGGCGATGCTGGAAGACTGGAAGCTGCTGTCGTTCTGCCTTGAAGGTTAAAGACTTACTCAGTAACTTTGATTCAGTTTATGTATCTTAACTATTGCAGACAGACTGTAAACTGTTAAGATGTGTTTACCTGCAGTTTTTGGGCCAGTGATGACTTCTTCAGCTTCTTCAAGAGCTCCCTAGAGGCCTCAAGTGCTCCTTCCCTCCTCCCTCCCCTTTTCTCACTCTTCTCCTCCACCTCCTCTCCTCCCTCCCCAATATCAAGACCAGCCAGGTTCTCCCAGGACTCCTCAGGCTCTTCATCACCAGCCTGGTCCTGCCCTTGCTGGTTTCTGGATCCTGGTCCCTGCCCCTGGTTCTGGTTCTGCTGCTGTTTGAGTCTGGTCAGAAGACGAGAGATGAACTGGTCTCTGGGTTTGTTGGCTGCGGTGCGGCTCTCTTCCTGCTGCTGCTGCTCGCTGTCTCTCCACTCCAGCCACACGTCCCTGTAGGTTGGAGGGAGGAGCTGGTGCACCGACTGAAAGGAGGGGGGTGGAGAGAACATGAGTGTGTTAGTTATTTGAGACAGAGAAAGTAAATGAGAGATAATCAGCACAGCATATGAGCTACCTGTCCTTTAACCAGGGTGTAGAGAGCCAGAGTGGCTGCTAGATGTTGAGCCTGCATGCTGTCCTCAGTCAGGATGGTTGGACAAACTTCAAGGACGTCATCTGGCTTCTGAATCCGCACTCTGGAGGAGGTGGAGATGACAAATTTAAGACAAATAGTCCTCAGTTTTGTCCAAATATAGAATTAATGTGTTTACAGCGTAATCTAATCTATTACTGAATTATAATCTACTGCTGTGAGCATTTTACTCTTCAGTGAATACATAGATTAAAGGGGGAAAAAGGAGGCGAAAGATGAGATAGAAATGAAAAATTTGGGATGAAAAAACAACAGGATTAACAAATAAAAGCAAGAACAGAACAAAAGAAAGGAAATAAAGAAGAAAAGAAGAAGTTCAGACTATAAAGATGAAAAAGAAAAGGGAAAAGAAAGAAAAATAACAAAGGACAATCCCCGATATTTTTCTCTTTACAGATTTGTCCCCTCAAACGGACTTAAGTCTGTGTTCTCAACATGCAAACACACTCACCTGCATCTCCAGTATCGACCAGCAGCCACCTTGTGAAAAGCAGGCGCTGGACTCTTGGGAAGGTTCTTTCTGACCCAGTCGATGAGGAACTGTTTGGGAGACTTTCCTGTCCAGCTGCGAGCCGTGTAGTCAAAGTTACGGATGTCCTTTGGCTCATTCTTTTTCACAACTGCAAAGGAAAAAGGAGATAAAATAATCAGTAAAACATCTGTGAATCTGTGAGATGATCCTTTAAAGAAACTGCTGTTTGGGTTTTCCTATGAATGATTCTTTGCACCTGTATCTGTTACTATGTCCAAGTCTAGTATTAGATACTTAAGAACAGCCTATAATTAGCTATTTAATGTTTACTCAAACCTATAAACCCATGTTAAAGTTATATTAATGACACTAATGAGGTAAACCTTTCTCTGCTGGAGGAGGAGGAGCCTTCTCAGCTTGTTCAAACAGGTTGAAGCCCATGTCCTCTTTGTCCTCACTCACAGGAGGGGCTTTCTTCTCCTTTTGAGGTGCATCGACCACTTTTAGAGCTGGATTGAATACAGGGTGGGACTCCAGTGGTTTCATTTCTACAAACAGAAAATACATTTAAGTCAACAGTTAGAGGAGTCGTCTAATCTGTTGCTGTCAGGGCACCTTTACCTTGCTGTATGATGCGTATCCTGTCCTGCGCCATCCTCTGGCCCTGCTTGTCTCCTTTTGTCTTCGCAGCAGCTGCCATGTCTTTGGCATCATACAGCTGAGCGGTAAGGATCAAGTACCTGTCATTCTATAAACACACAAAATTAATTTGTTTGTTAGGAAAATTGTTGTTTTTACACAATTAGTTTATAGAAAAGAGGGTGTGAAGATCTGCTATATTTCCGTAAGCTTTTCTCTGATCAAAAATTCAGAATAAATGTTTTCTTCTCAGTAGTTCAACTTTTACTCACTGGATCGAATTTTTCATCCAGCTCAGGATTGCGTCCAGTCTTCCTTCCATCCACCTCTTCCTCTTCTTCCTCTTCATCACTGCTCTGCTCTGCATACCTTAAGATCCAGTCCTTCATGGTTGCGGCTTCATCTTTTTCTGTAGCCTGGAGATGAACAGACTTATAGGATTTGGTTTGAGCAAAAATGCACACTCACCCAGCCGTCTCACTTCACTTCCGTGTACAAACCTTGGGTGTCTCTTTGCGGGTGTTAGTGGCAGCCTTTGGGCTTTGTGCTGCAGGTCTCTGCTGAGTTTGAGGCTGAAACCTGGGCCTGCTCTTCTGACTCTCCTCCTGCATCTGCTGGCTGAAACCCTCTGGAAGCTCCTCTGTTTATAAGATAAAATCACAGTTTTGAAAGTCGTGTGTCCTTACCTATGGGGGGGAATAAAAGTGTCTGCAAATGCCAAAAGTTACCGTCTTTAAGGTTGAGGCAGAGCCAGTCCAGAGCAGAGTGAAGGTCCCCTCCATACAGGACACTACTCTTCATCGCCTCCTCAATGTGCTCTCTCTTAAAGTTGAACTTCTGCAAAGCTGTGTATAAATCCTGTAGGCACATACAAGACAGCAGTCATGAAAACGGATCTAAATGGGCCTTTACGAGGAGAAGCAGAGGGGTGATTTGGTCTTTACCAGCAGCTTCTTGTTTGTTAGTCTGCCTGATATGGGCCCTTTGTCTCCATTCTCTTCTCTAAAGTCATTGATCAATTTGATGATCTTCTTCTCCAGGTCGGCTTGGATAGAGACCTGCATTAAAAATCAAATCACACTTAGATAAAGGACTCTAGTCAGAAATTTTTCAACAACTAGTTATCGCTTCAACCTTTATCGAGAAGAAGAGACAGAAGACTCTATGCTGAAGAAGTACTTACTTTGAGTATTGATTTGTCTGACACTCCACTTGTGTCAACCTGGGCAGTGTTGGCAAGACTGTAGGTCTTTGGAGCTGGGGAAGGAAAAGTGGGGCTTACTAAACACCATGAAATATCAATGTGTTTTCATTTTCTAAACTTCGGGGTTTGTCCATTTTGAGTTATAAGGTTTCCATTATGAGTTATAAGACTTTAAGTTTGTGTACCTATCTGGCTGCCTATAGACACTCTGCAGTAACTCATGAGCTGAATACACCCATTCAGTTAGACACAGACACACTACAGTCTCTCGACGGTACAGATCAGCCTCACACTGTAACTGGGATTATTTTAAAACTTCAAAACATTATCAAGCAGTAACAACCATATCATACAACCTTTTGACTTGTTTTCTTTGGCTGGTTTGCCTGCTTTGTTACTGGCTGGCTGCTTCTTCGTGTCCTCCGCCACACCGTTTCCCGGTGCAGCGGCTCCGGTCCTGCCTGCTGCTCCTGCCGGGGCTCCCGGTGCAGCCGCTGGCGCCGCCGATTTCTTCTTTTTTCCGCCCATTTTGTTACCAGAACTCTGTCTGTCTGCGGCTCTCTAAGTGACACTGTGATGACAAGTCATCAGCTCCGTCCTAAATGGTGATGGTTTTGTGTGTAGGGCATAAAAGGCAACGCTAAACGTGTTTCTTCCTACAGTCATGTCAGACTGAGTGACTTTTGGACAACTCAGCTTCCGTACTAGTGTTCCGTCATAATTTGCTGCTGTGATCTTTTGGGGTATCCTTTGTCAGTTGCGCATACACGCACAGTATATACCCTGTTTTTACAGCTTTTTAATTGCAAAAGGGTAAAGGTAATGTTGTGACACTCTTGAAGAAAATCAGTTGAAGCGTCTTGTTCCCAATATAACAATGCAGTTATACAGAACCACTCTGAGTGATAAATAACATATCCTTGTTATTCACCAAGAAAAATGCGCTGAAATTAAGCTAGGCTGCATACATAAACGGTAGTGGTGACAATTTATTGTATGCTGTTAAAGATTTTAACAGTTTATGCCTGAAACAAACCTCTCGCGCCTGCGCAGACAGGCTTTGGAGCATGTTTTGAAAGGTAGCACTCCTCGCTAGAACACCGGAAGTATTACAGCGTAGTTGCCTCGTGTTGTATTGTGGGAAGTGTGCCCCTAACAATCATGGCAGACGCCTTCGGAGATGGCTTGTTTAGCGTGTTTGACGAGGAGCAACAGACAACCTCGACCAAAAAGATACCCGCGTCGTTGACCCCAGATATTGGGTAAATATGGAGGGTTTTTGTTTCAAGGTTTGGTGGAAATGTGCAAATATTGTGCCGGTTAACGGGCAGTGAACGCAGCATCATGTGTGCTCGTGCCACTGAACGTTAACCTGCCGCGAGCCAACGTGTATAATAAACTATAAACTCATGAGCTGAAATATGCTTCCATTACAGAAAGGTTGGTGGTAAAAACGGGTCTGAGAAAGATGCTGGTCCATCTGTCCGGGTCAAGAGGGAGGCAGACAGTGACGGAGGAGAGGAGGTGGTGTTTGGGAAGAAAGTTCGACTTGACACTGTCTCTGCAAATGACCTCAAGTAAGAAGAGTTTCACCTGAAGACTGAGACTCTGCAGGGAGATCAACTGTTTAAATCCTGCTCTACAATTCTTTAAACTTAAAGGGATATTCCGGCGTAAAGTTAAGTTAGGGTCAAACACACTGTAACACCGAGTTAAACACCCCCTCGAGAGATGAATGTTGCTGACCGCTTGCTTCTCCAGTTATTACCAATTTTAGTAACGACCGCAGGATAGCAATACACAGCCCTAAATTAATTTTACGCCAGAATATCCCTTTAATCTCTAACTCGTATTTACTGTTACATACACTCTGGTATTGTCACGTACAGCCAAAGCTCACATCATGAGTACACACCACCACCTCGTTTAGTACTGCACTTTCATATACTGCGATGTTCCTGTTTTTAATGAGGGTTCAGTTTTTCTCACACCTTTTGGAGAATGGTGTTGATTTAAATGTGAAATCAGAAACATTGAAAGTGTCTCTACAGAATACTAGTTGCTTAAAAATTGCTTAATAGGTAACAGATGTTGTTATTTTTTCCTCAGTCTTGCAGAATTTATGCCCCAAGTGAAAGTGGAGCAGGTTGACACTGTGGAAGGATGCTCACATGAGGTAAGGAAAGCACAAGTTAACAAGTAAACATCCAGATGGAAGGTATTTCTTTCGAGAAGGCTCAGTTTATACCTCTCTTAAGGAATGAACCTTATTCTTCTGAAGTCTTGTGATGAATCAGGTCTGCAAAGCATTTTATCTGCCAACTGCAAAGGCTGCAGGGCTAGAAACCTTCAGCTCATACCTTAATTTGTCACCTTTCTGATCATTTTTCTTTCTTATAACATCAAAAAATTGATTGCTGACACTCTGTTTCCTCCTCAAAGGTGGCTCTGCCTGCTGGTGATGATCATAAACCACTGAAACCACGAGTAGGGAAGGCAGCTAAGGTAAACTATGTAGTTCAAAGTTTCTTATACTTGTTGAATAATAAATTCTCTTCAATCTCTAATATTATTCAAATGTAGTTTTAGTCACACGTTGTCTGTATTTTCCTTGCCTTGCAGGAGTACCCTTTTGTTCTCGACCCCTTTCAGCGCGAGGCGATCTTGTGTATTGACAACAATGAGTCCGTGCTTGTGTCTGCACACACCTCTGCTGGAAAGACTGTCTGTGCTGAGTGAGTACCTTCAGCAGACATCAGTCAATGGCTGTCTTTTCATCAGAGACACTAGCAGCCCTGAGATCAGAAATTACTTGTTTTTGTCAGACTCACATTCAGCTGCATTTTGTATCACATTATCGGATTAATATTGGAAACTGGTTCATCCTGTTTTTGTAGATATGCTATAGCTCTAGCCCTCCGAGAGAAGCAGAGAGTGATCTTCACCAGCCCCATCAAAGCGCTCTCCAACCAGAAATACAGAGAGATGTACGAAGAGTTCCAGGATGTGGGTCTGATGACGGGTGATGTCACTATCAATCCCACCGCCTCCTGCCTCGTCATGACAACAGAGGTCAGACACAGGGAAATCAGTATTTAAATTATTATCCCTTATTTTATCGGAAGACGGTCTTAGACATCTTAAATTACAACTTTTTTTCCCTCCACAGATCTTGAGGAGTATGCTGTACAGAGGCTCTGAGATCATGAGGGAGGTGGCGTGGGTTGTTTTTGATGAGATCCACTACATGAGAGATGCAGGTGTGTGCAGAAATCAAACAGTACATACGCTTTTGTTAAATCTTCTTAATGCAAGAACTTTAAAGACACGCACACATCCTTCCCCAAACAATCTTGAGGTTTTTGTATTTTGTTGTATTTTTATAGCTGTAGTGCTCTGAGTTTTTATGTTACTCAACACTTTGGGTATTTTTGCCTTCATAAGGTGGGAATGCTGAAGAGAGACAGGGAAAGTGGGGTGTAGAGGGTTTGGGAAGACACGCAGCGACGGTGGTGACTGATATCGTTGCTTGATGAGCTAGCTGTTCTTTAGCTTGAGTGACCTCAGCCTGAGCGATATTTACTTTTTGAAACTGATGCTAATTATTGAGTCGTATCCATATCAATATTCTTATTTAATGGGCATTATACTTGTAATTACACAGAGATTAAATCTGTTCAAAGCCTAAAAAGTCTATTTTATATCTTTTAGACAAGGACATTTGTTAGTTTGTAATGATCAGTGGCTTACAAAACAGTCTCAAAGTAGAAAGTTTAAAAAAAAAACACAGTGGAAAATTGTGACTGTAAAAAAAATTAATGTTGCCCAGCTCTAGGTTTTGTTTGCTTAAATATGCACTGGTAACAAACCTTTGTGTGTTTCAGAGCGTGGTGTGGTGTGGGAGGAGACCATCATTCTTCTGCCCGACAACGTGCATTACGTCTTCCTGTCAGCCACCATCCCCAACGCCAGACAGTTTGCTGAGTGGATCTGTCACTTACACAAGCAGGTGGGACTTTGTCCTGGTGTCTTTCATGAGGGTCAAGCTGCTCCTTCGTCTCTTCTTTGAAATCTAATGAAGATTCTGTCTGATCTCTCCTGCAGCCATGCCATGTCGTCTACACAGACTACCGTCCTACTCCACTGCAGCACTACATCTTCCCAGCAGGGGGCGATGGACTCCACCTGGTGGTTGATGAGAATGTAAGAGCGAACACACTGCCATATTTCAAGTTTATTTGAAAGTTTTCACTGTCTCATTGACTTCACATAACTTAAAAAAACATGCTTAATTTGTGTCTCTGTTTTCAGGGTGACTTCAGAGAGGACAATTTTAACACAGCCATGCAGGTGCTGAGAGATGCAGGCGATTCTGGGGGCAGCAGTGGAGGAGGCAAGTGGGACCCAAGAGGCCGAAAAGGAGGCACTAAAGGTGTGTGTCAGTCTCCAAACAAATGAAGTAAAAGTCAAATATGTCTTCATGACAGTTTCTGATGGTGTTTACTCATTGATCCCCGCAGGTCCGTCCAGTGTTTTCAAGATCGTGAAGATGATCATGGAGAGGAACTTCCAGCCGGTCATCATTTTCAGCTTCAGCAAGAAAGAGTGTGAGGCCTACGCTCTGCAGGTCGCCAAACTGGACTTCAACGGAGGTCGGTGTTGTGTTGTATGACTGTCTTTGTGTGTACGTTTATAATTCACCTGCATATAGATCACTGCCATCATTGATACTGGCCCTCGTATTATTTGTTTCATGATCACAATGATCATCTGCGGTTTTCTGGGAGTTTGCTCCTGATATTTGGAGCATCAGATATCAATCTTGAGGAGTCTGGATGGTTCGTGCTGTGTGAGGGTATCATTTATGTAACTGAGTATTTACAGTTTTTAAGGGTCTCTATGAATATGATGGTTTCCCTCAAAATATGTTTATGTTAGCAGACATTGAAAGTTTCCCACTGGGGCTTTAAAAGCATCAGCTTGGCCTGTAGAAAAACTAGCATGTCATTTTTGACCATCCTCCTTTTGTAGGAAAATTATCTAATTTAGTCATAAAATCTGGTTGAGCAGATTGATTTCATGTCAAACCTCAATAGTTCAGTTATTTCTCAGACCTTTTCTCAACATCTTTGACTTCTTTCTGGTGTACTCTGTGTTTTGACTGTATCTGTCAGTTATTTTTATTTATATTCCAGTTAAGTCACTTTATCAGCGCTCTGAATTCTTTGTGGAGTTAGTGGGCTGCATACTTAAATACCAAACAAACATGTTTCAGAGACAAATTGCGGCGAGAGCGTCGGAGGGAGTTGAAATTAGGCAAGCGAAACCGCTCACCAAAATGTGAAACTGTTGGCAAGTGGAGCTGAATAAATCCTCCCCACATAGTGAGGACCATCAATCTGGTTTATTGTTGCTGCACAGCTGGTCCTGCTGTTTGGTTCAGCGGATCAGCGAAGTTTCCTCACAAGGACAAATCTCTGCAGGGCGGGAGATAGTCCAGCATTACATTGAGGTTGGCCGGCGTCCACCTGCTTCAGGCTTCGTCAGCGAAGTCAAACATGAAGTCTTAACTCGAGAAACATTTCCCTCCCTCGTCTGGGTTTGTTTTTCCTGCATTGTGACATTCTCATAAATGAAGAGGTTTGTTTTAATGCCGCGCTCTTCCAACACTCAGGGCCTTTCCAATTCCTTCATTAATGTAGAAAAACTCAAACAAACGGAGCATCTCTTCCAAAACTAATCTCTCTTTTTCTCACAGTTTGATGAGAATTTTCTGATGTCGACGTTCTTCGAAAACAAAGCAGATGTTGTCCGATGATTCCAGTCGAGATGATTTGCACTTGACTGTGAGCAAAAATGTTTAAATGAAATAATCAGATTGCCAGATGAGTCGAATTATTCCATCAGCATGTTGACGTCGTTGAAAGACTTGAAAGCCTTTTTTTTACAACATGCACTGTAATTGATGTGTTTATGTGCCTGCAGAAAAAAATGGTGTCATTATTTAGCTGAAATCATCTCTTGGCCCGTTCAGACCTCTGGAAGGGGTTTTTTATTAGAAGAGCTGGTTTTTTAACCTCGCGGGGGTCCGTCCTCTCCAGCAAACTCTAATGAGTCAGTGTGTTCGGGGGCAGGTTGTTGGTGTTGTGGAGTTTCTTCTGGGTTAAATTGAGGAGAAGGAACCACGTAGTCCTGGTTTCTGTCAGTTTTTTCTTTTCTTTCTTAAATCCATATCTTTCTTTTTACAGTGTTTTATGACAAAGTCCCCCCCCCTTTCTCTCTGTTATGTGCTGTGACACATACTTTCTAGGCAGCGTGTGTTAAATGGCAGCGCAGCGTTGGAGTCAGGGGACCAGCTGGTGCCGAAACATAAACCAACTGACCGCTTGAAAAACTGCAGCTTTAAAAAAAAAAAAAGTGAAACAGACGCCATAGATCCAGTTTCTGTTGATGTGAAGCAGCAGAGTTTGTTGCTTTTTCTGATTTTGCTGCAGTGAAGCTGTTTTTTACTTGTACTGGCAAAGCTTAAGGCTGATGAAGTCAGTTGTGTGGTGAATTTTTTTAATGATCTGTTGATTCAAGTTTCGTGCTTTCTTGAGGAATTAAATTAGAAAGAATAACACCGAAAACTGAGCCGACAAAGAGAGGACCTGAATATTAGCTGGTCTGTAAAATAACATTTCCATTACAGAGATGAAAACAGATACGAGGGGCTTATTCTAAGAGCGATGTGGTGAGTTTATAGCTGTGATGAAAAAAAGACAATTTCCACATGCTCTTAGCTCAGATATGACTTTGCAAAGTTACCAAGAGTAACTGAAACGCTCAAAATTACTTCAAGTTGTTACCTGGCTATGCAATATTCACTTAATTCTGATTGGCGGATGATACCCCGTAGTAGTGAAACAACAGTGTGCACCAGAGACAAACTCATCCCACACATCAAACCAGATGCTCACTCATGTGGCAGAAGTGTAGACTGGCTAAAGAAGTGGACAAGCCAATGATACTTAAACCCTAACTCTGGCATCACAGAGTATTTGTCCGTTTTTGTGAGCTGGAAACTGAAACCTCCTTCAGGAGTGTTGCTGGGGTCCTGCTCACTCTGTCCAGGTTTTAGTCTGCTTTTATTGCGGATCTGTGACCCGTTCTTGTCAACCAGATCTCACACAGGCAACTGTCCTCTCTCTGACTGTGCTGCTTGGCTGCTGTCTTTGCACACATTGCTCACAAACTTTGGATGAAACTCCATCAAAATAAACCCAAACCATGTCAAAATCTTTCCACGGTCTTTTGGCGTGCATTTGGTTTTTTTTAAATAAGATTTGTCAGACTTTTTAAATGAGTTATACCTGATTTCAGCCCATATCGGTCATGGCTGAACACACAGTAAATTTGTTCAGGTTCTCTCTGTCTGTGTTTGAGATGATATACACATTCATCATACCCACATTTACAGGCTAAGTTCTCCTCTTGAAGTCATTTCTGACAGGATCAGGATGAAAACTGCTGAGTAGATTTCCAGAGCCTCACTTTCCCAGAATCCTCGTAATTCTGGTGACCTTTCTTTGTCCTCATGTGACAGTTTTCCACTTTCAGCTCATCAGAAGTTTAAAAGGCTGATTGCAGTGACATTAAGAGCACGCGCATTTCCAAGTAGGATCCTCTCTGAGCTCCGTCTGATCCCACTCTCAGAAATCATCCAAAGACGTCTGGCCCACTGTTGGTCTCTCTCTCTCTGTCTTTAGTTTGTGTTTACACAGTGGTAAGTGGTCGACTTCATAGCCTCCAGGATTCATATCGACCTAATGTAGGTTTGTCTGCGGTTTGGCTTTGTTGTTCGAGTGTTAGAAAAGCTTAAATTGACACTGAAATCATGTGACATTAAAAATAAATTCTGGAGAAGTTTTGGAAATTCAGGAATATACAAAAGCTTTCCCAGAATTGTGACTAAGTTTCCACATGGACTCAGAACGCCAGCCACAGCAAACAATGTAATGCGATCAGCATAATAAGAAGACACTGGTGGTGCCGCCAGTGTAATAAAATATCGACCAATACGACAATAAAACGTGGGCTCAAATGTGGCGGATTTGTGTTTGTACTGAAACCTCAGCTTCCATTGGTGGCCTTGGAAACCTGTCATCGTCTTAGCTAGGGGGGTGTTTGTAAATGTTGTGAAAACCTGAATAGAAAATCCCACAAAATCATCCAAATTAGAGAAACTATGTTGCTGAGTATGTGGAGGAGAAATCAAATTAAGTTCAACGCAGGCTTGTTGCATTCCTGGTTGGTTTTTCATGCACACTCGCGACCACACAGACTGTCAGGAATCATGTTTCTAAGAGATTAAAGCAGGATTTTATGTGTAATAACTGTCTGCGCTAATATTTTGAATGATCTTTGGAGCGTTTTTAAGACCAGGTTGAATAATACATTTGATTGTTTTCCTTCCAGATGATGAGAAACGTCTGGTGGAGGAGGTCTTCAACAATGCCGTGGACTGTCTCTCAGATGAAGACAAGAAGCTTCCTCAGGTGAGGAGTGCGGCTCGTTCTTGTTCTGTTTCCTCTCAGTTTCTCAGATTCTTTTATTTCCATCTCCATTTTCGCTTCTACCGTGTAAAAGCACTGGGGAACATTCTCAGTATTTCCTCCAGGGTCCTTCTCTGCTCAGAAAAGACAGTTAACGTACTTTCATGCAAATAGCTGCTCACATACTGTCAACACGGGCTCTGACACAGAGCTCCTGTTATTCTACCCCACTGTGTGAAGCCACTTTATGAAAACCAGCCGTGCTGAGGTCATAGTTGTTAGTGGGTCGACCACGACGGCACGAGCAGCTACAGGGCCAATCATGCACCACACTTTTCCACTACGAGGATTCGGGTGGATTCGCTTCATCGATCCATCATTAATCCCAACCGACACTTTATCTGCTTATTGATGCTCTTCTTCGTGCGTTTCAGGTGGAGCATGTGCTGCCCCTGCTGAAGAGGGGGATAGGAATCCATCATGGAGGCCTGCTGCCCATCCTGAAAGAGACCATCGAGATTCTTTTCTCAGAGGGCCTGATCAAAGTAAGACTGACGCTGCGTTTAACAGAGTAAAACAAATCAAAGTCAGTTATTAACCCGGGTTTGATACGCTTCAATCTCTGCATTCACCAGATTGGTATGCATTGTCATTTCCTTACGGGAACCTTCCAAAAAGGATAAATAGAGTTGTATCCAACATAATCTAAATGGATTTTTGTCCATATCTAATATGCCAATATTTTCAAACTTATTGGAAAGATATAACTAACATTTATACACACGTTTTTTCTACTTTAGGAAACACCAGGTTCCACTCTACTGTAGAGTTTACCCTTGACTCTTATTGGGACAAAGTATTTGTTTTGGAAATGGACAAAAACATATAGTTGTACTGTAACGATAAATGTGTTTTGAGAAAAAAAAACTTTGTCACGGATGGGATGTTGAAGTTTGTGCAGGACGCTTTATATCTGCTGCTTGTGATAACTAACCTTCTCAGTAGGGCTGGGTGATAAACCAAAAATTTACTGATACCGAAATTCACGACAATAACCAATGTCATTTTGCCCATGTCAATATATTCGGTGTCCAAAAATAAATAAAACTTCTCACGTCCTTTTAAGACGCTGTCCTACGTCAGAGACGTGACTCCACCCCATCCAGTCCATAACAAAGATGGAAAAGACAGACTAGGAGATGGAGGTTCAAAAGTTGTAGCAGCTGAAGTAGACGAAGTTAATGTGGGAGGGGATGAGCAGCTTGTGGAGTAGTTATCGTCCATTTATGGTAATCGAGGTGAACTGTTCAATATATTGTGATATTGATTTGAGGCCATATCACCCAGCCCTACTTTAAAGCTGTAACTTAAATGTTGCAGCCACGATATTGTGCATCCCTATGTAAACTTGAATCTAATACAAAAATGTGCGGCTAGGATTCACTTTAATTCCCTGCATGATCCTGTATATCACTGTGAACAATATACCAGTATAAAATGCAGAGAGATTTGTCATTATATGCAAATATTAGAAAGTTTAGCAAGCAGTAACCTTGACGATTAATATAAAAAAGTTCTAAATACTACCCCGTGTATCTTTCTGATGACTTCTAGCTCTGTAGAGTTGAACTGAGCGCATCCTGAGTTTGTTTCCCTCACGCACACACAGGACGATGAACGTGTCACAGAGACGTTTACACTCTCTGCTGCTTGTTTCAGGACGTTCCACGATAAACAGTCACTGCTTTTGATATTGCCAGAAATGTTGTCTCATGCTAACAAAATGGCAGTGAATGTGATTTCTGGGAAGCCAATATAGATGCAAACAGTGAGAGATCAAAGGAGCATTATTGTCTCCAAATCTCCTCCAGCTACATGTTCGGCATGATTAAAGATTTACTGACTGAGTACCCCACTTTTGCTCTGTTTCTGCACCTAGAAATGAGTTTGTTCAAGTTTTATGTGAATTTCAAACTTATCAAACTTGCTTTATTTATTTTTTTAATCAAAAACAGACAAATTCAGGGTAGAAAGACTAAACCCAAACATTAAATTAAACAGTACTCGACAAGATTGTTCTCGTAAGCTGCTCAAGAAATGGAGTTGTCAGGGCCTGTGCGCCCTGAAAAAAAGGAAATAAAGTGGTTAAAAAATTGGATAATTTCACCCTGATGTCACCTCTTCATTCACATTTCAGGCCCTCTTTGCCACAGAGACGTTCGCCATGGGCATCAACATGCCGGCTCGCACCGTGCTCTTCACCAGCGCACGCAAGTTCGACGGCAAGAACCACCGCTTTGTAAGAGCGAACACGCACTCTCACACTCACACGGCAAATTAACAGAGATATTTTGTCAAGAGGAAATTTAGTGTTTTCACTCACTCAACTTTGCATGCAAAATCCTAACTAGAACATGTGTTGTGAGTTTTCTTTGGAAAGCAGGAAGATGAGCCCCAAAAAGAAAAGGCGTGACCATATTTGGAAAAGCTGATCAAAGAATTAGAGGACTAAACAAGTTAAACCACCACCAGAGAGTAGAGTAGTCAATGAAATAGTTAAACTCCTTGTAAACTTAGCTGTCTCTTAGTGGGGTTGTCACACAGTGTTGTTACTCTGGGGCCTTTATAAGGTCTTCAAGCCCTGCAGCTCACATTGCCACATAAACAGCCACGTATTGTTTAGAGGAGGAGGTAGGGGGGGCTGTGTTTGTGTGTGTGTGTGTGTGTGTGTGTGTGGAGCTGCTGTCACTTAGAAGCACCCTTCAAATTCACCTCATTCACACACACACACAAACTTACTGACGGAGTTAGAGAGAGAGAGAGAGGGAAACTGCCCTCCAAGAGGCTCATGAAGAACATCTGGTGCCGGCGATGATGCCAAAGCTCCACGCAGGCACTCACACTTCTGAACACACGCGACTCTCATTCCTGAACTGCGCTGTGTTTCCAATCGAGAGCTGATCCCGTTGCATGCCTCAAATTAAGTTCTGATCGTTTCAACACAAGGATGATCTTATCTGCCCCCCTTCTTTTTTTTTTTTTTCCTGCAAGTGTTTTTATTGCACAAAGACCAGTAGATGTATGCAGTTTAATCAGAGCCATGTGCAGTTTGAAGAAAAGCCCTCTGAGATTGGAGGAAAACTAGCGAAATCTTGTTTTCATGAGGCAGACTCATCATGTAGATCTCTTTGTTACTTACTCATACAGCTGGCAAAGCATCAACTGTAAAAAAAAAACAAAAAAAAAACAGCATCTGTCTTACAGTATTTGGGTTTTTTAGAGAAACACAAACTCTCCTCCTTTTGTATCAATGTCTCTGCCTCGTATTTTAACACTTGTATTTAACGCATCTTTCATGTGATCCAGATCACATCAGGTGAGTACATCCAGATGTCCGGTCGAGCTGGAAGGAGAGGTATGGATGACAGGGGCATCGTTATCTTCATGGTGGACGAGAAGATGAGTCCAGCTGTGGGCAAACAGCTGCTGAAGGTACTTCGAACACAGCTGCGAGGTTACTGTTTCAAGTCATGAAGTGCTGCTTTTCCATCACACCCTTGCAGACCACTTCAGTTCTGTCGACACACACTCCTACGAAAAAGGATCGTCCCACTTTCTCATCAATGAAACTCATCTCCTGCTGTCTTTCTGAGAATTTATTGGAAAGGCTGAATGGAAATCGTCAGATGTGACTCTGAAGTTTTTCCTCAAAGGATCGTCGGGCCGCTTGTCGCTCAATTAAACGCTCGATAACACAGAGTCACAGAGTCTCGTGCTCCTTTATCATCCATTCGACAGATTGATGTCTGCCATAAATATGTAGCTGCGGAGCTTTCCAACAAGGTTGTTTTAATGTAAAACTGTTTGTTGGCGCTGTCATGGTGCTTAACTCTCAGGGAGGTTTGGAAAGCTTCCTGACATTTCTGTGGTTTTGGAGATGTGATTGCAAAACTCTCCAGTGTTTATTTTGGGAGAAGTGACTTAAGGCAGCGTTAATTTAAACCTCACAGCTTCCTCGGAGCTCATTGTATAACGCTAACAAACCTACCAAAGCACACCATTAACCACTATTGTAAACCAAAATTAAAGCATTAAATCCTTATTGTATCTCTGCAGGGCTCAGCTGACCCTCTGAACAGCGCCTTCCACCTGACTTACAACATGGTGCTCAACCTGCTGCGTGTGGAGGAGATCAACCCGGAGTACATGCTGGAGAAATCTTTCTACCAGTTCCAACACTACAGAGCTCTGCCTGGAGTGGTGGAGAGTAAGCACTCCTTTTAAACTCTGACAGTAGAGCAGGATGAGCTGAGGGTGTGCAAGAAAGTGAAGAATAAAGCAGGAACCTTTTCTTTTGCTTGGATTGTGAACCAAATTTAAGTATAAAACCGACTCAAAACATTGAAACCTGATATCTTCAAAAATCTGTTGTTCTCATGAAATTGAAATCTGGTCCGGTTTGTTTCTCCTTTTTGAACATTTTTCGGATGCTTCAGACTGTTGGACCAATCACAGGAAGTTCTGGAAGGCAGTCGTCTGGATCAGAAAAAGGAAAAAACAGCTGTTGCAAATCGATATCTTAAGATTTTTCAATCACAGTCTTCAGAAAATTGTCCAACCAAATGCCAAACAAAAACCGATACATTCAGGAAAGGATGAAAACATTGTGCTCCCAAATATATCCAAAAGGCATCAAGTTATCTGTCTTTATCTGTCTGGTTTGAACTGTTTCAAGCAGATTGGATGCTGCAATGATTCATTCTGACATTGTGGTGCATTATAGCCTGAGCTTTAACCCCGTTGCCTATTCTTGGTGCAGAAATAAAGAAGTATGAGGAGCAGTACACCTCCATCGAGATTCCCAACGAAGAGGGCGTAATATCTTACTTCAAAATCCGACAGCAGCTGGCCAAACTGGGTAAAGAGATACAAGAGTTCATCCACAAACCGAAATACTGCTTACCCTTCCTGCAGCCTGGACGTCTTGTAAAGGTAGGTTCACTCATTTTTATACCAGTAACTAAAACTCAAACTCCAGAGAACCTGGGGGTGCTGGGTAAAAACTTTGATAGAGAACAGAGTTTGATGGTTTCCAGTCGTTAGTTGAAAATGGTAGCAGATAGTTACACAGGTATGTTCTCTAAATAGGTGGCCTGTTTTAGAGGATTTACGGTAATGTGATTTTTGTTGTTGTTGTTCCTGCAGGTGAAAGACGAAGACGCTGACTTCGGCTGGGGAGTCGTCGTGAACTTCTGCAAAAAGTCCAACACTAAAGTAAGCCAGCGCCGCTCTGTCACATGTTCTGTATGTGACTCCTTTCACACACACACACACCGCTGTGACTCATGTGAATTTCCCCTACGCAGGCGAGCACCGACTCAGAGCCGCTGTATGTGGTGGAGGTCCTGGTCCACTGTAGTAAGGAGAGCGTGAAAGATGCTGCGACCGAGGCTGCGAAACCTGCCGCTCCAGGAGAGACCGGAGAGATGCAGGTCAGCGCTGCAAACACACAATCCTCACTAAAGCACACACACACGTATGATAATGATAACTCTTTTTTTTTTGTGCAGGTGGTTCCAGTGATGCTCCATCTCCTCACCTCCATCAGCTCAGTTCGCCTTTACATCCCCAAAGACTTGAGGCCCTTTGACAACAGGCAGCTCATGCTCAAGTCTATACTGGTGAGGCCTTCTTGTAAATTCATACTGGAGCTCGAGGGACTCCTCAGAAGCTACGATCTAAACTGCTGTTTATTTGTCCTCCCCTGCAAAGGAGGTGCAGAGACGTTTCCCAGATGGCGTTCCTCTGCTCGACCCCGTAGACGACATGGGCATCAAAGACCCGGCACTCAAGAAAGTTATTCAGAAAGTGGAGGCCTTCGAGCACCGCATGTACTCGCACCCCCTGCACAGCGACCCCAACCTGGAATCCGTCTACTCCCTCTGTGAGAAGAAAGCTGTGGTGAGAAACGATACATGTTTGCCATCAGTGAAAAGTCTGCTATAGAAAACAGTACACCGCTAAATGTCAGAGTTCCTACTTAACAGTAGATCTGGGGTCTGTTTTTCTTAACTTTGAATGAATAATTACCTTATCAACCCTTCTTATTTACTCTGGCTCCTGTTTTATAAGGTCACAAATCCTGTCCTTTCACTCTTTTCCTGTCAGCTACGTTGGTTTTGATCTTTTATTCCACTCATGACAATCACAGGAAGAGAGCAGGGACATTACTCCTGAAGGGCCCCACCCTCAGCTGTAGGTCACACAACATCTTTGTTTAGTACAGCAGACGAGGAGCTCACTTCCTGTCTTTTAGTGCTTTCTCACTAAGGCAGCAACACAACTCCTCTACAATAAAGAGGAATAAAAGCACATGTGCCTAAACAAAAGAGCCCAGAAAATTTGTAAGAGGAGTTTTAAAAGTATCAACCATGGCAAAACCCATCAAAAAAAACTACGATCCTTCAATAACAAACTGTTTTTGTTTTGCTTTTTGCTGCCAGAAAAAAAAGTCAAATATTATCTATAATATGATAAATTTGTGATAATATCAAGCAGTTCACTCAAACTTATTTATAGTCATTTAAAGTTAAAAGTAGCATTTTCAGTCTGACTTATTTCTTTCAGTTGACCCACACAGTCAATGTTTGAATTTATTTTGTGGACTTTTTTATTCGCCTTGTTTTAACCTTCTCTTGATAGGTGCCGTTAAATAAAATGCTTTATTATTATCATTATTATTATTAGTAGTAGTAGTAGTATTAGTAGTTTGGGTGGCAGTAGCTCAGGAGGTAGAGCAGTCGTCCAATAACTGGAAGGTTGGCGGTTCGATTCCCCCCTATCCCAAGTCTGTCCGTTGTGTCCTTGGGCAAGACACTTAACCCACCTTGCTCCCAGTGTGTGTCCTCCACTGGTGTATGATTGTAAGTGTTGTGTGGAGGTGGTCGGAGAGGCCGTAGGCGCAAAATGGCAGCCACGTTTCCGTCAGTCTGCCCCAGGGCAGCTGTAACTACTAAGGTAGTTTATCAGCACCAAAGTGTGACTGTGTGAGCGAATGAATGATGTATCCAATGTAAAGCGCTTTGAGGGTCTCTGATAAAGCGCTATATGAAATCTGATGCATTATTATTACTATTAGTAGTAGTAGTAGTAGTAGCAGTAGTATTAGTAGTATTTTTATTAAATACACCCATCCTATTAGCTTTAAAAGTGCACTAACAGCTTTAAGGTACATGCATAATCTCAGGGACATCATGCATCCGTTTCTGAAGATGTGATGTGAAAGTCATCACATTGTCTCCAGCTGATATCTGTCTAATCCAGAAACCTTCAAAGAGACGGATTTGAGTCCGTCACCACGAGGTTTAGCAAACACCCAAAATGTGCCCCACCTGTCAAATGAGCCACGCCCACAAGTACTCCCAATAAAGCATAACTCTTAGTGTGATCAAAACAGATGAGAGTCTGAAAAACTGAAACAGATTAACGCTTTTCTCACTGTTTTTTTTAATCTACCAGAAGTAGCGTGCACTTCAAAATAAAAGCATGATTTTTTTTTAATATAAAAAAGGTGAACCATTTAAGCATTACAATCCTTTTATTAGTAAAGTTTATAAGGTATTGCTTAAATCCACCTTTTTCTGTCCTTTCTTTGATTATTTTGGTCCTTTTTTCCAAGTTTTCCATAAATATTACCACAATGTCTTTATTGTGATATTTTATGGCGAAGATTTGCTATTGTCAACATCAACACTGGTGCCTATATTTCTGCGTGGCTCAGTATCCATCAAAGTCCTGGGATGTGGTTAGTTTGAGGAAGATTGCAGAGAATTTAGCAGGACAAAAACAAGCCGATGATGACATTATTAGATAACGAGGAAAAACTCATCCTGGAGTGAAACTGAATTTTTCAATGTTAGCTCGACCAGTGAGGGGGTAAATGTAATCCAGACCATATTTGACAATTTGCATAAACATTTGCATGCCCCTGTGGTTTTGTGAGTCTGTGTGTGTTTGAAATGACAGGGTTACTTTAGGATTACTTCATGTTTGATAAGCAGAAGAGGAGATTAACCATCTTTTAATCTAATCCCTGGATAACCCTCTGCAGCTTATCCTCAGCCTCAGTCTTACATCTAACCTTCACGTTGACCCTTTGCTGAACTGATACCTCACCAAATCTTACACATATGTAATCATGGCTGCTCCAGTGAGACTCCTTTGTTTTTCACTGCTGCCATATACTTTTGAGAAATATGAGGAAGAATCAGAATAACTAACCTTGCAGTGATTTCTTTCCTCCCCCAAGTCAAGTTTTATCAAAGTGGGCACCCAGTCAAAGAAAAACTTGTGTAATCCTTCGGTGTGTTTGCTCTGAGATGTGTTGCAATGATGAGGGGTAAAGGTTAAAGCAGAGGACCGATTAACAGGCTGAAGATCATCTCTGAGTAGATTACTCAGCGATAAATCACTTACACAAATAATGAAGTGTTTGAAATGACGCCATGCCTGAAAACAGCTGGTGTTTAATGCTGCGCACATACTGACTTGAACAGCGTTTTCTAGAAGCTAGTACATCATAACAGTAGATTTGTGTATTTGCATTTTCAGATCGCAGCAGACGTTCGAACAGCCAAGCGGGAGCTGAAGAAAGCTCGCACCGTCCTGCAGATGGACAAGCTGAAGTGCAGGAAGAGAGTCCTGCGGCGCCTCGGCTTCGCCAGCCCCTCCGATGTCATCGAGATGAAAGGACGGGTCGCCTGTGAGATAAGCAGGTAACAAAGTGCTGCAGACAAATAGAGGTGTCAGGAAAACCTTTGACCTCATTATCTCCTGATAAGTCCTGATTCAAAAGTGATGAGCACACCTGTTTACTCTGAGAATGTAGTCTATAAATACTCAGTAAGTTTCTAAGACAACGTTTGGGCAAAAATACCATCAAACAGAGACCAAGGTTTGTCTTAGCAGTTAAAGGGATATTCCGGCGTAAAATTAATTTGGGGTCAAACGCACCGTAACACCGAGCTAGACACCCCCTCAAGAGATGAATGTTGCTGACCGCTTGCTTCTCTAGTTATACCAACTTTAGTAACGACCGCACGATAGCAATACACAACAGTCTGAGTAGCATGTGAAGTCCGCCAATCTGTGTTGAGTGAGATGTGCTCCACATGCTTGAGCCTGTGTGTAACTTAAGTCTTTGTCTCTTTGTAGCGAGCCTCTGATAGTGTACAGCCTCTCACATGCTGCAGTTTCGCAACAGTGCTGGGAGGACGTTCCGCCATCATTACGCCTTTGTACTTGCAACCCATAAAAGTGTAATACTGGTGTCCTAGTGTGTCATCATTACCCGTGGCATTATGTCACTGTTGGATCACGAGATGCACAGTCTGTAAACACACAGCAGGAGCTTCATCCTGTCGCTGCTGCTGCACATTATAGATGAATTCTAAGAGAGGAGAAGTACCCAGCTTCTAGATGGCAGTATGAAAGCGCCTTTTCGACCAAGATGTTTTTGCAATCCACCTGAATCCCTTCATATGTCTTTGGTTTTATATTCAGTGATTCATCTTGTGATCTCATGAGGTTTCAAACACTCACAAGTAAAGTTGTCAGCTCTTCTTTTTGGATTTTTTTTCTTCCGTCTTCTCGACACGTCGACCACCATTATCAGTGTTTGTCTGTGTTTTGTTTTTGATTTGACCGTCACCTTTTCCCTGTGTCATTTCTTGATACACAGATTGTGAAATGCTTCCAGAAATGAGATTTAAAACCCGCTGGAGCATCTTCAACTTCAAAACCACCTCTCTGGTTTTCTTGAAGACTCCAAAATCAGGCAACTGGACTGTGTAGAGTTGAGAAGACGTTTCACCTCCTATCCAAGAAGCTTCTTCAGTTCTAAATATTGCCAGTGTGAGGAGCAGATATTTATCTTACTGGAGAAAGGGACAGACAACGACTGGGACGACTTTCTTTCCAACTCCTCCCAGTCATTGTCTGCCCCCTTCTCCAGTAAGATAAATATCTGCTCCTCACTCTAGCAATATTTAGAACTGAAGAAGCTTCTTGGATAAGAGGCGAAACGTCTTCTCAACTCTACACAGTCCAGTTGCCTGATTTTGGAGTCTTCAAGAAAACCATGACCTGGATGAATGAGAATCTACATGGACACCTCTCTGGTGCACGTTATTGTCTGTTGTTGTAGATCTGTTGGGCATGCATGGGAACATTGTCTCTGTAGTTCTCATTCCCCTCTGCTCTGCTTCACTTTAAAACAAAGAATACCTGTCATTACATACAATTACTTCTCTATGAGTGTATTGCCAAAGGGGATGTAATTTGCATGCTAAGTATGCAAGTTTAGAGGCGAGGAACCACCACAGTATTGACAGATGTGTTCATTACCGGTGAATTGGACAGGGTCTTGAATTCCTGGTGATTATAGTCCTGTATGTATTTTGGCTGAGGGAGATATGAATCTGAAAATAGGTGGAAATCAGCTCTCATTTAAAGTGTTTGGACTAAATCAGATTCGTCTTGATAAGATTAAAATAATTTCTTCTGTTTTCTGTGAATTCTCTCAGCGGTGACGAGCTCCTCCTGACCGAGATGATCTTCAACGGCCTCTTCAACGACCTGACGGTGGAACAAGCCACCGCCCTGCTGTCCTGCTTCGTCTTCCAGGAGAACGTACGAGCGATCGAACGCACACAAACACTCCTAACTCCTCTGATTCCGCACACAAACAGATATTTAAGCCGTTCCCCTGCCTAAACTCTGAGACAAACAGCTGAGTGCCATTCCCACACATCCCAGCTCCGATCTCAGTCTTCACCTTTCCCCCCTTGCACCGCAACCAAAACAGAAACCTGAGGGTGGTGTGTGTTTGTTCTTCACTAATGAAGCCTGTTCTCTCATTGAGCTTTTCTTTGGCTCAGCGTCAGAGGAGTCCTCCACTAGTGCTGCTGTCTGTCAGTCTTTAGTGTCTTATTCAAAAGCTCAGTCTGGGAGCAGCTGTTAGCATATGTTGAGCTCCAGTACGGGACCTCTGTGTGCGCAGCTGTCGTCTGTCATTTAAGAACACCTGCTGCTGCTCCGGCTTGGGATGACGGCAAACCCTTCAGCCTGGGTGTGTTGCTGTACCACTGACGTGAAAGTGCTCCAATCAGGGATAAAAATAACCAGATTTGAAATATAAACCTGATAAATGAACCCTCATTTTTCTCCTCCTTGAGTTAAAATATCTTAAAAGGGAAGCCAGAGGATTTCTTTGAGCAGTTTGGTCCACAAATAAAGCGTCTGAAGTTTTCCATCCTTCTTTAAAAATGTTCCCCTGCAGGCCAGCGAGATGCCAAAACTGACAGAACAACTTGCAGCTCCTCTGAGACAAATGCAGGTGAGACAATCGAAATAATCTCAAACTTGGACCTGAACCCTTCCAAGTGAAGACTCTGCAGCTGAACTGCCGTTGCTCTTGTGTGCAGGAGTGTGCAAAGAGGATAGCCAAAGTTTCTGCAGACGCCAAGGTGGAGGTGGACGAGGAGACGTACCTGAATCAGTTCAAGCCTCACCTGATGGACGTGGTGTACGCCTGGGCTAACGGAGCCACGTTTGCTCAGATCTGCAGGATGACGGATGTTTTCGAAGGTAAAAACTCTGATTCATTTTCTAAAGATTAATATTCTATCTGGTTGAAAATACTTTGCAGAGTTTTTCCATCTTTATGCTCCACTACCAGATTTATCTGACTCTTAATTCTTCATAGGCAGCTCCATCACAACCATGTGCAACTACAACTTTCTGTACATGCGTGAACTGTTCAAGTATGATATCAGTCACAGCAGGGGGGATTTTCTCCGCAGAACAGGACATTTTATACATTCAGAACATTTGCTCATGTGTTTACTCAAAGTTTCTGAATTGAATAAAACCATTGCTGTTAATTCGAGGCTCACTAATCGATTAATTGTGTTATCTGAGTTGATCTCGGTCCATCAGCTCTCCTCCTAGTTTTATCTCTGACTCTCGGCGCTGACCTCAGCTCTGAGATATTAGCGATCATCGTAATCAGGGAGAAATGCAAAGTTGGGAAACTTTAAAGAATTTCTCTTGTTTTATGTTTTAGATATGCTTGTGTGAAGAAAGAAACTTCAGCGATGAGAGCTTTATTTATAGCTGTGTTATCTCCAGATTTTCATACTTCTCTGTAATACATTTTTTGATGGACCCTTGAGGACTGAGAGTCGACAAACCTCCTCTTTAGATGCTGACTTTGTGCTGGTGCCAAAATTACAAGGCATTCCTTCTCGATGATTTTACTCTATCCTAAAATGTTCTGAATAAACCGATGCTGGCTTCTCACAGACTCTATGCTGTCTGTGTTTGTGTGTCGTGAACAGGGAGCATCATCCGCTGCATGCGTCGTCTGGAGGAGGTCCTGCGGCAGATGTGCTCGGCAGCCAAAGCCATCGGGAACACTGAGCTGGAGAACAAGTTTGCTGAAGGTGAGGAGTGGCGTGTTTTTAGAGTCAAATATAACTAAAAAATCAAATCAATGAGCCATTGTTACTTTTTTAACTTCTTCCATCTCTCACATGAAAATAATTGGACTTGTTTTTTTAACATTTTATGACCTTTAGTTGCTCAAACAAACACTTAAAAATAGTTTATTAATACCGATAAAATAACTTTTTATGTAATCGTCCCTGTAGCTTTAAAAATGTCTCTTTTTACACCAGCTCAAATAATGAGCACTTATTAGCAGGGATGTCCTGATACAGCTTTTTTTACTTCCAATACGATACCGATATTGCAGCCTCCAGTATAGGCCGATACCGATATTTATCTGATATTGGCACAAACTTGTGCATGATAAGTTCTGCACGCAGCTGCAATGTCTTTTTCTGACTTGAATAAAAAATACTGTCACATAGCCGACATCACTCCTACTCCTTGCTACTACCTTGTTGTTGTGATCATGGATCTGGGCGCTGCTAGATAGAGGTGCTGGAGCGGAGTCTGGAATAGACTGCTTGTATCTGAGTGCTGATATCGGCCGATATAATCAGATATTCTTTTTTCTTTTTTGCTGATATCAATATCGGATCAGGACATTCCCACTTATTAGATTGAAAAAATGAAATCATGTGTTTAACAGTGACTCATATTTTTGTGTTTCTTCAGGAATAACGAAGATCAAGAGAGACATCGTATTCGCTGCGAGTCTCTACCTGTAGAGAGCTCAGCTGCTGGTGGATTCATATTTTATTTTGACCTTTTTAGTTAAGATTATTCACACGCGACCCCTCAATCTTGGTTCAGTTCAGTTCCCTCCAGGTAACGCATAATTCCTCCATTTTTCTGACCACTTCTTCTGGAGCCACGTGAAGTCCTGTTATGGATGTCGTAAGGTGCATCGCAGAAATGACTGCGCTACTCAGAGTGTGGGAGAATTCATCCTCACGGCCAGCACACACTGAAAAGTCATGCTTTTATTGTTTCTGTTTACATCAGGACAGTAGTGCATAATATGACATTATTTTTAAAACATCAGACTAAAAGTAAACAAAACAGGTCAGGCTTTAATTTAATTTGAAGGCTCTTGACAAAATACATCAGACAGGTATGTTTCATTGGAGTTTATGTTAGTATGTGAAATGGCTTTACTTTTCCTTTACCTCTTCTACACATTTGTACATATTTGTAACGTTTTTTTTTTTTTTTTCAATAAAAGTCTGTATGGTGATTTGTTCTGACATACAGATGATACAAAAGCACATAGTCGTGTGTTCACTGGATGTTTATACTGGTTCTTACAGACACAGAGAGCTGATAGCAGCATAGCAGTCCAGCAAAGGCAACATGGGACTTAAACTAACCGTTAAAGCAGCAGTGACAGACCTGGAGTCAGCAGCTCGGGACGTGATCCGCTTCAGCCTGCAGCCCTTAAATGAGCACCACACATTAAGGCAACAAAGTTATGACACTTTAAAGACGTCCCTCTTGGTGCTGAGCTTCACTTCAAACCAGATTCTGGAGCAGGCTGACTCCAGGTCAGGGAAAAGCACAAAGCGAGGTTACATTCACAGGTTTCCAACCCTCCTCTATCTCTCTCTCTTTTCTCCGTCCTTGAAGTGGTCAGACCCTTTAGTGGGCGCGTGCAGGTTAAGTCTTCCCACTAGTTCAGTAGACACAAACATGAATAATTTGTTGGTTCCCGTCCTCACAGAATGTCCGTCCATCTCAGTTTTAAAGCGTATTTACAAGTCTTTGACAGGCAGCCTCACCACTTTCCCTGGAGAATTGGTGGTAGACGAAGTAAAATTCCCTAAAATTTAAAGTCTTAAAATCTACACAGGCCTGAGGTGATTTTTTTGGGGTCGGGGGCTGTAGAGTCATCAGCGAGCTTCCTGTAAATCCATGCAGGAGTATTTGGGTGAAATTTTGGGTGAGATGAAAGGCGAGACTGCCGGGATCCTGGGTGTGCGTTTGGACAGAGTAGAGTTTGTCCAACTCTCTCTCCTTTAGCTTAGTTTGGACTCTCAAAGTTTCCGTTTGTCGGGGTCTCCTGTAGGGTTGTGTGTGGGATATCCGGCTCCTGACGGGGGGCGACACGTGGCTTGAAAAAGTCAGACACGAAGAAGACCTGCAAGGAAGGAAAATAGTGAAGAAAGGGTTGAATTATCTGCATCTTAGCAAATCACCCAAAGGGGATGAAACATTTGTCCAAAAGTGTTATAAAAAGATCCAGATTAGGCAGGTCTGTAAAACCCAAATCCAGATGGATAGCATAAAATAGGGTGACCATATTCTAACTTCCTAAAAAGAGGACATGACTACACAGGGGTGGAGTCACGGAGTCGCATGAAGTTAATTTTGAGTTTTTCTGGTCGGATTGAGTGTCTTTGCGCGCTTCTAACTCAGTAAGTCCACGTGACACGAACTCCAAACTTGTGTACAAAACCGCAGACATTTGAAGGATTTTATAAACTTATATAACAGTCCCCAAAAAAGAGGACATGTCCGGGTAAAAGAGGACGTATGGTCACCCTAGCGTAAAAAAAAAAATCTGCCTATAAGCATCTCAACCACTTACCAATTAACTCACTTTGTGTTGCTTTAAACAAATTATCCTTACAGACATACTGTCCAGATGTTCATAAGAACTCTAAAACAGCTCAACAGAAGCCAATCAGTTCTTATTGATTGAATCTGTGACAGATATCAATAGACTAATCAATTTTATTATCAGTAAATTCTCTGCAAAGACAGCTGACAGATTAGGACCAAACACTAAAGATCTATTTCCTTATCATTCGTTAACTGCACATTGATGATCTGCTGAAACTGTAAATTCCAACTGTACCTGAAGTAAACAGGGAGACTGGAGGGAGGTGAATTATGACTTTATGAGGAATTCAATTAAATTCAGGAAGTCCAAATGCACAGAGGGGTGATATTTTCAATTTCAGTCTGATTTATAACTCTCTACAAACTCCCAACTGGAGCTTTAGAGCATCAACCACCAAGTTAAACTTCAGCTTATCACTCACCACCAGTAATGCCATGAGGGCGCCCTGAAGGAGTCCAGCCAGCACGTCACTCCAGTGATGTTTATAGTCAGACACCCTCGACAATCCCGTGTACACCGAGGCGGCGATCAGGAAAAACTGGATTGTGGGTCTCAGCAGCCTTGCCCAGTCAGTCTGGAGTCGAGCCTGCAGGTAGAGCTGAGAAGGGAAAGGGCACGGCACCATGTTATTACAAGTTTGGAGATGAAAGTGAGCTGCAGAGATTTGCAGATGAATCAGTGTGTTTTCACCAGAGACAAATCTGTTCTGAACAAAACAAACATCACTTTTTTTTGTAATTCAAGTAATGAGCTTTAAAGTTTTCTGGCATCTTTGAAGTTGGGAAATAACTCATTAAGTTGTGATACAATCAGTAGTTCTGTGGAACAGGATCTCTAATCAAATCATTTCTAAGTAGTTAATATCACAACAGTCATCAAACATGTTGTCCTGAAAGATCCTCGGTCATCTGAACACTGTGTCCCTGTGTCATAAACCAACATTTTGTTTGTATTGTGATCAGGGTGCGTCTGGATTTTCATAAAGAGGCACAAACAAGCTCGGCTGCTTTGTCCAGATCCTCGTTTCCCTTCTTGACAGACTATTTTCTCACAGCATCTCAAGTGTTTTGAAGGTCAGTGAGTAAAAGTCAGCTGCTGTCTTTTTCCATCCATACGGAGACACAGAGAGCTCGATATTAGCGCCAGGACTTTGTCCCCGGGTCTATTTATATCTGCTGGGATTGAATGAATCAGCAGCTTATAGTTTATCAGGGCTGGGCTCAGAACAAACAGAGGGTACACAAAGATCCTGCGATTCTTTTGAGTTTAACGGTGATACTCAAAATGACAAGGCGGTCAGTGTTGATTCAATCTAATGCTGTTTACCACGCAAACATTTAGCTTTAACAGAGAGAACAAAACGTGAACTTTTGAACAGAAACATGAGTGGTATAAATCCTCTCATTTATCTCTCAGAAAGACAGTAAGTAAGAGCATTTCTCAAAGTTTCAAACTCATTTTCAGCTATTTTATAACATCAATATGATATGTGATATATAAACGGGTACTTACAGCCAAGAACAGCATGCAGTACATGGAGAAAGAGGAGTGGCCTGAGTAGAAGGAAAGCCTGAAAGAAAGATAGAAGCACAGATCGTCACCTTGTACATATTTAATTCACCGTAAGACAACACCCAAATGAATCAGACAAAACTGGAATGTCTTATTGTCTTAACTGTTCAACTCAAAATCGTGACAAAGTGCATTTCCACGGAGCAGACAGGCCTCCAGCTTCTGCCTCCTGCCCCTGGTAACTTCCTGATTATAATAACAGTGCTATATTTAATACTGTTGTCTGGAACACATCCATGAACGCTCACACACACACACACACACATTAGTTATGCTGTAGCCATGTTTATTTGAGTTGCACTCGCTGGAGGCTTCATGGAGTAAATAATAAAAAGAGATAAGATCACATCTCTGTCTTGGATACATGCTAATAGAAGAGGAACGTGACATGTAGAAGTTAGACATCAGCGTGACTTGAATGTACCACAGTAAAGATAGTTCATGAATGACACATTCAACTGTTAAAAGCCAGCCGGGTGAGATAGGCAAAGACTGTGTCGCTCACAGGGGAATAGAGCTATCGTGTTTTAACCACGATAAACAAAACTGCTCTCAAAAATATGTGTCAGCTGATCGACTGTGACTAATGCCATGTCATTTGGAGGGTGATAAAACTTTCATTTTGACTCCAGGACAAGGTCGGAGTTTCCACATGTCAGGTGAAACATCTTAGGCTGGATAATAATTTCAATAACCTGTAAAATTTAAAGATGTACTTTTAGGTTTAAGTCTAGTTCACTCACGCTCAAAGTTAAAGGTAGTGAACTTGGTAACTCTTTTTAAGTTTTTCATGTAAATCTACTATAACTTTTGAGACCTTGTTTGCACTTTGTTAATAACTAGCCAAGTTGACTTAATAGTACCGTACAACAACGACACAGACCTCTGTGCAGTCTCTGTTGCACCCATAGACTGTATATACTATGGACAACCTGGTTCCGCCTTCCGCCTGTATACGGATTTGAAGCCAAAAAGCTCTCGGTAATTCGGTTTTCTCCACTTCCTTGAGACCAGAGCTGCGCAGTAGCAATGCGCGCATTCGGCCGCGCAGTCGCCGAGAGTCCCTGTGATGACGCTCGGCTCAAACAGCGTATCCAGAGCAGTGGATTAAACTTGTTGATATTTTATCATTTAACCTCGATGAGTGCTTGCCTTGTGGCCATAGAAGCGAACGGCGTCCGATGTGACAGGCGGTCATGTTGGAACTATTAAGAGTTCCATAACCCGGAAGTGGGGTCCGCCGGGCTGTACAGCGTATACCTATGTGAGTGTCGCCACTCTGTTTAATCCACTGCTCTGAGCGTATCTCCCCGGGTGAGCGACGCAATCCCTGAACGCCCATAGGCTGTACCAGGTGTCAATCATAGAAAATATTAACCCCCTAATAACTTTTAAAAACGGAGCTGTACAGAAAAAAGAGGACTTGGGCACAAACCAGTCTTACAATAACTACATGTCAACACCGCAAGCAGGGGGGAGAAAAATGTATGTTCTGTGTAATAAATTTCTAAAGTTTGTCCACAGCTCCATAAGCTTCAGGCGGGATTTATGACCTGTACTTCAGCCCACCATCAGAGGGTTCTGTTCTCGGAGTGGCTTCACCCAGCGAGGAGGCAGACGCTGTCCATTCTTTATACAGTCTATGGTTGCACCACATTAATAATTCATTTTGTTTAGACCTCAATAAGCCTTCACTCGTCGACACTGACAACATCCAGTGGTTAGAAATTTCATTTAGAGTCAACCTCACGAGGTCTGAAGTCTTTATTAATTTTTTGAGTTGCATCTTCACCTCTTTACAGCACAAAAAAACTGCATCCTGCTCTCACTGTGTGCCTCCTGTCTTGCATTAGGAGTCATGTTACAGTAAAGCGATCCTGCACAGGCTCCCCTACTGCGCCCTTCCCTCTCCTGCTGCGCTTATTAACTCTATTACTGATGAGCAGGCCACACTGGAAAGATAATATGGCTTTATGTTTATCTTAAAAGCCTTAGAGTAAGAACAGGAGTTTGTTTATATAAACATGCAAAAGGATTTTGTGCCTGTGATTTTGGCGCTTTACGGTAAACATGGCAGTGGGATAAAAAGTGAACGGAAAAACTCCTGCTTTCAAGAGACGCAAAAACAAAATTCAAAATAAAAATGGTTTTACTGAAATGTTCATACTCTGACAGTTTGTAGAAAAGTTTTGTTTATATCTACGCATTAAAATGCAACAGGTTAGTGCAGAATTTAACCGCATGAATGACTCGAATTGGATTAACTGGTCTGACACTGTGAAAGCTGATCGAGCCTAGCCTCATTATTTCAGCTGGCAGAGCGGTATCAAGCCTCCAGGAAATATCAAGGATCACGCACCACACCCTGGTAGATATATAGTCGATAACCCAGAGGACACAGAGGGTGGGTGGATGCGTGCAAAAACCTGAACCTAAAATACTAACAATCTTTAGATACCTGTGGAGAACAGATAACAGTTCCTTGTTCCTCATAATGATGAACTGTTCTTTAACAGTCATAAATCTGCTCAGCTGATGCCACTATTCAGGCCTCTGCTTCTATTATTACCTCTTTTCCCTGCTGGCTGTTCCTACACCAGGAGGAGAAGTGGATATCCTCTCCCTCCTCTATACTTCCCTTTGCTCAGAGCCGATAACGCACACGGACCGTAATCAAAACAAGCTTTACATTCCTGCGATGTTACTCAACCTCTGCTGTTGCACACTGCCAACGCATTCTGCTAAAAACACGGCCTCCTGTCATCCATGTGCAGCCAGATACTTGCTATAAATGACAGGTTGCACAACTTGACACCGGGCATGGTCGTAATGTTTTTAAAATGAGGTTTACACAATCATTCAAGAGTTTGGACATTTATCTTTGTTCTTACTCTGATTTTTGATTTTGATTTTGTGGCTTTACTTGTTTTTTTTGAAGGAACTACTTTTAGTTCCTGAGTGATATCCATTTTATGCTTTGGCAAGTATTTGGCAATTTTGTTTAATCAAATCAAGTGAACCCACCTGCCCTCATTGGACATTCTTGCGTCTCCTGTGCAGGTGAAGTCTTCGATATATTCCCCCAATGAACAGTTGATCTGTTTCCAGTCAGGTTTGCACACGTCCAGGAAGTGCGGCCTGAGCCTACCGATGGAATACTTGGCTATATCCGTCAGAGACTGGCTCATGGCGGCACCAAACAAGAAGGTACCGACAGCTTTGTAAACAGAGGACACATAGCTGCCGAAAGAGGACTTGGATTTGAGGCGCTTTAGATAAACTAAAAGGCACTCGCCAAAGATCATCTGTAAGGAGGGAGACAGGATAAAGAGTCAGAGAGTCATATAAGGAATACGTGTAAAGTAACAGCTGAATATCACACAAAATAAGAGCCAGAAATACCAGCTTTAACATACAAAGACTTTAGTGGATATACGCCTGTTTGCTTCCTTGTTGACACCTCAGTAAGAGGATCAACACCACTATCAGGTTGCTAAGAAGCACCTTCCACAAAAAGCTTCTTTGCTTAGCATTAAAACTGAACTGAGGGAAACAGCAAGCTGGACTTTATGAGAGCCAACTGGCCTGTCAAAGCCTGGACAGATTAAAGGTGGGGTGGGCAGGAATCCGTTAAAGAAGCATCTTTATTTGTGGTGTATATACAAAAAAGCTTTTAATATCAGTCAATAGCTATTAGTTATTCATGACGTGGGAATATAACGATATCGCTGTGTTTTCTTATGCTTGTGTAGTCAATATTTTTACATTTTTGAGCGGGCCGCTCTTTCTGACTTAAAACAAAGCCGTTCTCCTCCTCCCCCAACCTGATTGGTTGTGAGGCGGCTGCTGCTCCCTCATGTTGTGAGGCACGCTCCACGTCCTTGAATAATGTTCACGAGCCCAAACAAAGTTAATGTGCTACAATATCAGACAGTAGAAACCAACCAGAAAGTACGGAAAATTGTCTGAATCCTCCTTTAGCCACGACACAAGCAAGAAAACAAAGTGAATACTGGAGACTCTGGCCAAATAACGGGCGCTTAAAACAAAAGGTAGACCAGACAAGAGCTAAGAAGCCGGGTCAACATCAGAAGAAACGATGGGGGATGCTTCGGGATCTTACGGACCCTGTAACCTTTCTGCTGGACAGGTAAACCGCTTTAACAAAGTCAGCCGAGTGTCTGTAACAGATGTGTTTCTTGTCAAACAGGACCTGCTGCGTGTCGTAGCGCCGCTAAACTGTTGACCTCGGGTCCTGGACTATGTCACTTTATCCTAGTTGTAGAAGTCCTGCAAACATCGTGTTTGCTGGAAGTCTGTTGGTATCTACAGTAGCACCAATGCTATTTACTTTCACGTTGACTGGGCCCCATTTGTAATCATCTGAAGTATTTATCTGCATTATATCTGAATTTGATTAGAATGATACGAGCGAGCAGGAACGTCTGTTTGTGGGCGGGGCTTTCTGGAGCAGAGAGGGAGGGGAGAGGAGGAGCTGAGGGGAAAACTGGTTGGGAGGGGTAGAGTTTACATTCAAGATGTCTCCCAAAAACTGGCACTTCCTCAGATCCTGCCTACCCCACCTTTAAAGCTCCTGTGAGGAATTGACCATCAGTGGCAAGACTGAATATTTGTATTTTATTATTGTCTGAAATCGATACAAGGGGGTAGGTCCAAACCTTTCATTTAAAGAAACAGCCCTACTTTTACTATTTCCATGTTAAAAAATATTCACAACAAATGATAAATATGACTGTCAAAAGTCGGCAAGATGAGATTTGTCATCATAAATTATTGCTCAGACATGAAGTAGATAAGCCGAGACTGCTTTGTCCACAGGGGGCGCCAAATTTGACACAAAAGTTCCTCACAGAAGCTTTAAACAGAAAAGATAAAATATATCAGCTGAGCTTCAGAGGTAGTGATGAGGTGATTGTTTAACCATCAGAGGGGTCCATGTCTTCTTGCAAGGCCGAACTAACAATCTCCTGGCTTTTTGAGAGTTATATTGATTTTTTATCTAATTCTTCAACCATTTTCTTTTGAGACAAACGTGTCAAACTTTCTTTTGAATATCCTTTTAAATGAAGGTTTAAGGTATCACAGCCACAGGATGATGTCCACTCAAAACAATAAACATTAAAGGCAGCAGTCACAGGGTAAATAATGGCAAAAAACCCCAAAATGGAACCATATGATACAATGTAATGTGAAATCATACAATGATATATGATATGATGAATACTCCCTGTGATAATAATTAAATAAGAGTAATTTGGGAAGCCTGATAAACTGCATGATAATCCTACATATGCACTTTTATTGCCTACATGGGATATAAAAGAGAGGTATCAGGAGGAACTGGAAGATAAAGAGTGCTTTTTATATCACATTTACGTACATTAATAAAGACTGTAAATAACGATTGATTTAAATGTGTTTAGATAGCTGTTCTATTCCTATATTAAAACCTTGATTATGACACTGCTAGAATAATTGTATGGCATGAGTCAGGACAAGAACATATTGCACTAATATCACACTATATTGCCACATCAAAATTCACTCCCAACCCTAATAAACACGTGTAAAAGGGTTTAATAATAAGGCCGGTTTAGGTCTGACAGTAAAACAGTGGAATCCTTTTCATCCTCATACAAATTTCATGTTTCAGGTCAAAACAATGACTCACGCGTCCCTCTTGTGAAGGGTGTTGTGGTTTAGATGCTTGTGTGTGTTTCACAACCCTGCCTGCAGATAACAGGCCCACAGGGTCCATCTAAAAAGAGCTGATGATTGAATTTACTGTTCCTGCTACGTTATCTTCAGATAGAGAATCTCCTTTTGTTTACGTTGTAAAAGTCCGTGATTATTCAGAGGTTTCGATTTGAACTCGGCTTAAATGGAAGCTGACTGCCGCCTGTTTAAACACTAAACTGATTGTGCGTCTCTTTCTCGTGGGCTCTCTAAGTGCCATCACATATTTTCAATTCCATTCGGCATCGACTGACCGAGTTTACTACTGCGCTGCTCGTGAAGAGTTTCACATCTGCTGGATTTCGTGTCCCTCTGAAGCAGCTGGAGATGAATTTAGGGCAGGTGAATTTCAAAATAAAAGAGCCAGCTTTGAAATATTCTTTTTTTTAGAGGCTTGGGAAAACATGCATTCACCAGAGTGACTTAGAGACACAACATTAGTGGCTTGTGAAGGGAGTTAAAACCAAACACACATCACAGGAAAGAAGAACTTAGCATGGATTTAACAGAAAACATAAAAGTGGGTTATAGTTTGATTTAGAAAGAAGAAAGGAGAACCATTAGCAGCAAACAAAACAGGTGCACTTACAGTGAGAACTGTGATGGGAATCATAACCCCTCCTAACAACTGATGAGAAATGGTATCTTCTTTAAACGGGTACTTGATTGAATCATCGTTACAGAAAAAGCCTCGGCGGTAAGGACTGTGCCGCGCAGTGAGTATAGCAAAGGGGAGTCCAACTGGCAGAGAAGCAGTGAGAGAAAAAAAAAAAACAAGGAAAATAAACAGGTTACAAGATCATTTCTACCCATGATGCAACCTGTCTGTGCAAAAGCAGGAGACTGCAGTCATGTTGCATCCTCTGAAACAGGCGATGGAGGCAGCATCAACCTTCACCAGCTTCCAGGAAACAAACGTGCGCATGTTAATGGTTAGACGTGTTGGCAGATAAATGTTAACAAAGAGTGGATGTTAAGAAAGAAAAATTCAACTCAAAAAGCACCAAATGACATTCCCAAGCAGGTTATCGAGCCCGAGTGAAATGTGAAACCTCAGTACTTTCACTTCTTGTGCAGCAGGTGTGTTTGGTCGTCAGGGGTCGTGTTTATAGACCGGCTTCAGTTCCTTTGGTTTAATTTCCCAGAAACAAATTCCCAGTGAGCTGTCACAGCCAACAGGAGTGGTCTCACATACCTGACCTCAAACACGCATCTATGTTTCACTCTTTGTGAAGACACGGAAACACTTGACCTTTTTTTAACCTCCTTTTCTCACTGAGAATTCAGCTATCTGAATTTACATTGATGGCAAAAGAAAATTTTTAAAAGAGATAAATTAGCGATGCCACAAAGCAGGAACAGATGACGAACACGGGAGCGAAACACACACACACACCAATAGCGCTTTCACGCTCTGTCATTCTCCACCCCAAAAAAAGAAAAATCCCTCTGATCCAGGAGAGCATTCCTGCTATTTTAAGGAGCAGACAGGCCCAGCGTGCAGCCTGCACGTTTGCTGCAATAATTACCAACAGAGAGAGGAAGCTCAGCCCAAAGTTAGCAGTAAAAAACAAAAGAGTAGAAAACTCCACTTTGATGCAATTTATTCAGCAAGAAATATCAGTGTGGTAATCTACTTTAACTCTGGTTTCATGATAGGAATGACTAGTTTATCAATAACACAAATACTGCTGATTAAACTCTAATACTTATAGCTGATCATATTAATATCTAATAAGTTTTTTTTACTTTTATTGTTCTACTTTTTAACCAATGCTGTCGCTGCTGCTTGAGTTACGTGTCTGCAACATAACGAAACATAATTAAAATATCACGAAGCTGGTCGTGTGTCCCAGTTACAGTCACATAAACCTTCTCTTTGGTATAATTCACATCTTAATGAGCTATTCTCTGCTTTATATGTTATTTTAAGTGGACATCCTCCTGAAGCTTTTTGATTCACAACATTTAGAGCTTCTGTTTGAGAACAAAATAACGGTGGCTGTTTTTTAAATGACATTAGACGAACTAGAACTCCTGAATAATTTAAGTTAATGTCTGTATTTTCAAACAGGAAGCTATCCTTCCTGAAAACATACAGTACATTAAGTCCTGACTGACAATGAGGCTCCTTTTTTTGTTCCACATTTTGATTTGTCACCACATTAAAAAGACGTGCGTGAGCCAATGACCATCACAATCGCTGCTTTCCATGTTGGTGTGCCAGTTCAACAGCATGTTTACCAAAGCTGACTGCATTCAGGTTATTAACTACACCTTCAGCTGTTGACAGGTAAATGTATGTGCCATGGAAATTATGCCAGTTCAACAGCATGTTTACCACAGCTGGTCTCCTATATGTGCCATGGAAAGTTAATGTAAATGCCAGTAGATCTGTCTGCAGTGACTCCAACTTACGCAGCTAATGGGCAGGCTGAAGCCCACAGTGTAGAGTACTGTGGAGGTGACTGTGCTGTGGTGGAAAGGGTACTTGATGCTGTCGTCGTTACAGAAAAAGCCCCTCTGATAGGGGCGGATCTTACCCAGGTTAAAGGCTGCCAGAGGCAGACCTCCTGTGGACGGAGAGATCGGGAGGAAAAGGGTCAAAGGTTAAATGAAAACAAGAAAGTTTTGAGGTCAGAGAATCTGCCATCTGTCAGATAGGAGAAACAACCTGTGGAGAAATATGTTTGAATTTCACTCAGACAGAAAAAGAAACTCCAACGTTTTATAGCAATTCAAGGAGATGACTGACTTTCCTTGTGTTTTAAAATGATCATCAAAGACTAAATGTGAGTCAAGCATCCTTCATCCAGAGAAAACATTTCCTCAACTTTCAGCCATGGAACCACACTATGGAGTGAGTCAGTTTGAATGTTTTGGACGTAAATGGAAGACAATAACCCATAAATAAGCTTTATAGATGATACTTTTTGAGACTTTGTTACTGAGTTTATAAGAGTGAGTGGTAAAGATAAGTCAGCCATGTGGGGCCTTTTTGGACAGCAGTTGATTGAAAGTTACTTTAAGAAAAACAAAGTAAATTGTTGCAGTTTGTGTTCCCAATTGTTTTTTTTTTTTTAAATAGTTTTGAATGACAAATGGAAGTCAAGGGCATAAATAAACTGGCCTCAAAGACATTAATCACTTGAAAAATACTTAAGTCCTTTTTTAGGACATTTTTACCTCAGGAAAAGAAAAGAGAGTAACATCACTGTTACTTTTGGTCACTTTTTAGGTTATGGTGGGGGAAAAGTTTTCTGTTATTCAACTTAATTGACTTTTTCAACTCTGCTTTTACATTAGAATCAAATTTAGGACTATTTTTGGTTGAAGCCCTTTAAGTTTATGATAATTCGATCAGCAACAGCCGTTTTTAATTACTATTTAATGAGCCTCCATGACAAACAAAAAAATAGCACTGCTGACCTATTCACATTCTCACATTAATAAAATATTTAGCTCAGATCATATGAGACCTCCACTTAACGTAAATTAAATTAAATTTATGGCTTATGGACAGTCCCTATTTTCAATAGATTTTGGACAACAGTGGAAATCAATGGATCATACTTGTTGTAAGACCAGCGTGTTCTTCACATCTGTTCCCTTTAAGAAACATACAAACTCTAGCCAGTCATATCCTTGAGCACTGTCTCAGATAAAGAGCGTTACCAAACTCAACATTGCGCGTAATCTAACAAAAAAGGACACTCAACTGCAGTGACCTTAGAGTTTTTTTAAGCCTGCTTTTTTCAGTGGGGAGGGTATCTGAGGTTGTTTTTCTGCTGCTGACTCGAGGGGCTGACTTGGTGAATGCTCCAACAGTTGAAAACCATAAAGATAACAGATCATGCTAATAGGTTTTGATGGTTCAAAGTCTGAGTCAAGCTGCCATTACTTCTCCAGGGTTTAAGCCTTTTAAAGGGGAGCCAAACAATTATCTGTTCTCCTATTCAAACAGGATATTTGGGTGTTTTATCGAACATTAAAGCAGCAAATGGAGCGACACACCTTAACCTACAGTGTCTTTTAAATCGGCGTTTTCCTATCATCAGCCTCCACCAGCTGTCACATCCTAAGTTGACTGAATACAACAGCTGGAAATGCCAGAAAGTGGGGACACAATCACACCCAAGCCAACAGGCAGAACGCCCTGAGTCACTTTCTAACTGCAGCAAGCAGCCCTGTTACATTTTAACCAGCTCTCATCCTGGAGCTACGAACTTAGAAACCAAAACACACAGACATAAGCATGTTGATATTTAATATAAATGCAAAACTAAAGACTTAGCTTCAGCATCTTATTAAACGGACCTCAAAATGAAACCAGAATTTTCCTCAAGTCCTGCACATCATGTACCTTACGGCGTCAATCTAATTACCCCATTAAAGCTGGCATTATGTATGTGCACCCAAGGTCACATGTGCTCTTGCATGACTGTTTTAAACAACCTCAGACCCAGGATGCCTGGTTATAATCAAATAACCTGTACCATTGGCACGGTAATTAGGTTAGCTTGTGCATCAGCTATCCAAACTGCAATCGTGCTGCTTCTAGGCCCACAAATGCTGAGTTTTAAGACATTTAAAGTCACCCATCAGTCCTCCAGGCAACATATTTATATATTTTTTTTTAAATATCCACAGGGTTTAGTTGAAATTAATAAAACAGTAAATGAAAACAGGTCTGTCGACTCTACAGATGGAGCTTTGACTCTGAGTCATTGTTCATGTGTCAATCATTCATTATCAGAATTTAAAATTAATGTAAGTTTTTATATCCGCACAACTGGAGCCTTATGTATGTGTATGGATATGTATTTTTTTTCAAGTCTTCAAGTCAAGCTGTTTTTTAAATGAGTGCCAAACTGTCTCACTGAGATAACAGGGATTCGACTCTGATAACAACACTGATATGAGTGCAAGTTTCCTCCCACATGCAGAAATTATTTTTAAAGGCATTCTTGGACGTGTTGTTACATGGTGAACCTAAAAAGTAAGCTTTGTCATCGCTCACACGGGGTTGATTGTCAAAAAGCCATTAATTACTGGGTTTCACAGGAAAACCTTTAAGCAGTATTACATAATAACTCCTGTTTGTAAATGAAAGCAGGCATGAGTAAGCCTGTTTTAAGTCTTAAGATCAGTTTCCACTTAAGTATGATGCAAAAGAGACAACAAAACACTTCCTTTGCTTACATAATATTGAGAAGACCTTGCTCTAATTTGCATACAATGAAAACTGAGACATTTAGTTTTTAGTTGAATTTAGAGAGATACACTGCATGAAAACATTTCCAAAATCACACCTAACTCCACATTAATATTAGAGGTGAGGATAAAAGTGTGTTATCGACAGGAAAGCTCACTCGTGGACTCTAAACATTCACCACTCCCTTCACGTGATAGCAAGCTGTTAAATATCCGAACAGCAGGATTATATCAAGTCACAAATCGGCTTATACTAATAAAAATAGCGCTAACAAACAGTCAGTGGAAAAGTAGGGTTATTTAACACTTACCGAGACACAGGCAGGCTATGTCGAGCAGCACAAAGGGGATTCCTCTCGCCTCAAACATGATCGCTCTTGTCTCTCTCTGTGTCTCTGTGTCGAGTCCCCTGCCTTCCTCTGATACCGTGCCCTCCTCTCCTGTAATAAAAACCGGGGAAGGGGGGGATGCTCCTCCTTTGGACGTCGCTGCAGCTGCTATTGCGGTTATTTCCGATAGCGTGAGATCAGAAAACTGCACCGGCACACCATATACACACTAACTAGAGAGTCGACGCCCTCGTAAGAAACATACGAGACCGCCCAGGCCGTAGAAAAACACAGATCATGAGAAGATAGAATGAGTTCCGTCGCTGCTGCTGCTGCTCCTCTTGTTGTTGTTGTTCGTGTCGCTGGTGGGTGGCGGTGGCGGTGGGCTGCAGCAGAGTTGGGAGCTCCGCGTGTCCGTCATGGTGGGTCTTACATGTGTGTGGTGGTGGTGGTGACTCTCACGGTTCTCCGCTCACCCTCACGGTAAGCCGGTCATGAAGACGGACACCTGTCCCGGACCGACGTGTGGCGCAGGAGCCGTGTGACACAACCGGGAAAAGTTCAAGGGCGATCGCAGCGGTGGGCCTGATAGTGCTGCGTTCAAGTGTCAAGCTGAGGCGTCGGGAAATTGAACTTCAACCTCATTCGTGAAGTCCCTGCGTTAGTCGTAAAGGGATATTCCGGTGTAACATTAAGTTGGGGTCAAACACACCGTAACACCGAGTTAGACACCCCCTAGAGAGATGAATGTTGCCAACCGGTTGCTTCTCTAGTTATACCAACTTTAGTAACGACCGCACGATAGCAATACACAGCGGTCTGAGGAGCCATAAACAAACCTCAACCAAAAAGCCACTCTATAGCCACAAATAATGCTCAGAACAGCACCTAACTTCATCAACAGTACATATAGAGTCCCAGCCATAGCACTAACAACCAAACATCTTTTTTAACTTTGCCTAATTTCTTTAGCAAAAAGATTAAACACAATTCACCTACTCTCTTCCAGCAGCCGCTTGTTTGTAGCGAGACCTCGGGCCAGTCCATTATGGACTGCTGCGGGATGACGCAGCTCAAGGACGAACAGTCATGTTCATTTCTTTATCATTTCCTTGAAGTAATAATCACCATGTTAATTATTTTGCACTGCAGACTCATTAGTTCTTCTGCCTTAGCGTCTCGGTCTGATTGCATTTCCATGAAGAAATGATCATAAATGTTCTCCCTTGAGCTGCGTCACCCCGCTGAAGTTGATGATGGCCTCGTCTGAGCTCTGCCTACAAACAAGCGGCTGCTGGAAGAGAGAGGGTGAGTTTTTTTTTTTTTAGTATTTATTTTGCCAATTTACTGTCCCACACTCCAGTCCAGTAGGTGGCAGTAATGTACTTTCAAGTTGGTTTGCCAACCGCCAATAAACTCCATTAAAGAAGTAGATGAGAGAAGGTGAGTTGTTTTTAGTCTCTTTGCTAAAAAAAAACAGGCAAAGTTAAAAAGATGTTTGGTGGCTAGTACTGTGGCTAAGACCCTATATGTACTGTTGATGAAGTTAGGTGCTGTTGTGAGCATTATTTGTGACTATAGAGTGGCATTTAGGTTGAGGTCTGCTCGTGGCTCCTCAGACCACTGTGTGTTACTATCGTGCGGTCGTTACTAAAGTTGGTAAAACTAGAGAAGCAAGCGGTTGGCAACATTCATTTCTTCAGGGGGTGTCTAACTCAGTGTTACGGTGTGTTTAAACCCTAAATTAATTTTACGCTGGAATATCCCTTTAAAGTAAATGTGCACTTTAACAGAGCCTGAGGCTTACTGAAGAGATCTGGGTTAGAGACAAAAGGGTGCAACCATGTAGCTTGTCTAAATTAAAGAGTTAAAAAACTGCGTCCAATCACAAAATACTACATAGCCTTCACCAAAGGGTAACATGTAAAAAACTGTCCAAGTTTGGGCGACAGTGAGTCATTTTCAGCTATCATAAATTACACAATGATGTTTTCTATACTGTACTTCATATTGCTTTAAAATAGCTGCGAGGTGGTTGACATCAGACCAAACAAGTAATAACATGCTCCGAGAACAACCATTGCATTTTCAAGAGAAAATATTTGCCATGTGAAGCACATTTTACTGGTGGAAAAAAAAAGATAGGCCTATAAAAATACCTGGAAATATCACATTGACATGTTCAGGACAAGATCAGCAAATGTAGGTCCTTGCATAAAAGGCTCCAACATCAAATGAACCCAAAAGTTCCTCACAGAAGCTTTGATAAGGGCCAGGGCACCAAGTTGTGCAAAGGGCTTGATTTATTTCTTAGGATTATTCAGGCCTGAGTACTGAGGATGTGAGTGCACTCATGTAATCCCAAGGATTTTTTTTTATCCCCACATTTGCTAAACTTTTAAGGGTCTAAACCTGCTCAAGAACTCATTAAACTTTGCTGGTATCAGGCCAGGTGAAAATATTGATATTCTGCTGGTTTTGATATAACTCAAATTGACTAGTGTCCCCTGGAAGTTGTAAAAGTCCAGCCCTCTCAGGTAGTTAAACCTCAAAGACGACGATAAGTACACATAATTGGCATCTATCAGTCATTCTTGTTTTTGACTTGGACTTGGCACTTCCTCTACTGGCCATCTACTGCACCTGTTCACATACAAACATAAGTAGACAAACAATCTGTACTTTCTCTTTTAATATTTTGGAGCTGTAATCCAGCTACGCTCAATTTACTGTGGCTGAAGTTGCATTTTTAGTTGCTGGAAGAAGGGGGACAGAGTGCTTATCTTCACTGGGCTGAAGCTCTATGGTAAGAGGATTTTCTTTGTATCACAGCTGTAGTTTCATGTTTCAGCGCTGAGATTTAACAGCTGAGAGTTTAGCTGGTTTTTAGGCTCATTTAGTTCTAGTTTAACTGTGGAGAAAATTATCTGACACTGTTACATAGAAACCTCTCTGCAGCCTCAATAGAATCACAATGAAGGTTTCAACGTGATCTAAAGGAGCCAAGACTCTGTGCTTATGTTTATCAATGTTAACTGTCCACCAGAGGGTGCCGTTTCTACATAAATCTGCCCTGCTATAAATAATGACTGTATTATTCCATTTAATTTATAATAAAAAATCACACACCATCACATTTTATAAGTCTTTATCAATATGGATAATTCAGTTAATTAGTACACCTTCGTATCTGACAGAAACATACTCGTAGTTTAAAATTGTGACATGTTATTCATAAAGCAGTTAGTGGACTTTATTTCTGGTCAGTCTACAGTTTTTGTTTTTCATCTCCATAATTTTATTTCCCCTTTCACAAAGAACACTACAAAGACATATAAGCGTTAAGTCCAAGTCCAGAGTTGTGTTGTATCAGTAGATTGTGACTTATACTCTAGCTAACCCGAAACAAATGTTTTACTCACTTTTATTTGAGGGGAAAAAACACGAAAACAAAAACTACAAGCTAAAAGTCCTGAACACTTTACATTGGAAGCTCCTATTTGCCAAAATTTTCAGCAATAAATATAATGCACTCAAACAGTAAGTTTCAAGAACAACTGCGAGAAACCTGGGAATTAAAGTAATATTTTAATTTACATGTCACAATTGTAATCTAATATGGATATTCATTTCTGTCAAAGTCCAGTGACTCAATTTAAAGAAATTATGATTTTAAGGTCTGTCTTGTTCACTAATTAAGCACTTAGTTCCCTGTATTTGTAGTGTTTTCTTCAATGTATATTAAGACCATAGTACTAAATCATGAAAGAAGGTTTAATTATTCATTTATTCATAGATATTTAAGACTTATATCAGCTTTTCTGACAGCCATGCAAAAATAAGTGCAAACAGATCTTAAGCACAAATACAGTGCAACTTTTCACTTATGTTTGTTTTTACTGTTTCAAAAGACATCACACTAAAAAACAACTCCTTGATCAGTGAAGAAGCCTGAGCCTCTTTTCTTTCAGGACCAACTGTGGGCTTTTTCCTTTTGTGAGTTGTTTTTCTTTGTTCATACTTAGCATTTTTTGGGGAAGCTACATTTGTGGTTTATTTAGTTGGAGTATAGTGCCATGGTATAGTATGATAAAAATGTCATAGTTTATTTCGGTAAAAATATCATAGTATGATAAAAATATCACAGTATAGTTTGAAAAAAATGTCATACTATAGTACAGTAAATGTCATAGTATAGTATGTTAAAAATCATAGTTAAGTATGATAAAAAAAATATCATATTATAGTATAATAAAAATAATAGTATCATAAAAAGGTCATAGTATAGTACAGTAAAAATGTCATAGTAAATTATGATAAAAAATGTTACAGCACGATATGATAAAAATGTCACAGTATAGTATGATAAAACAAATCATAGTTAAGAAATGTTAACAGTTAAATTGCTGAAATCCTTCATCTGCACCAAAACTGCATGTAAAGCAGAAGGAGACCCAGAATTGGCTGATGAGCTGAATCTATTCTCTAAAAGGTTCAACACAACCCCCACCCCTGTGTGCTCAGACAGTCCATTTGGGTCGTCAACCATCACCTTCACTTCCCTTTCACACCTCTGCTGGAGACTCTGCTTCCCTTCCAATCAGCAACTTTGCCATCCCCCCTCTGAGTTCACCTGCTGCTTCAATGGACAGCCTCCCCTCACCCCTCTGCTCTCTCCTACCAACAACCCACACGACAATAGACAAATTCACACAGCCCACCACCTCCCCTTGTTCTGCTTTCATTCAGCCCCAGGCACCTCAGGGCATGTGCCGCACTGCTTACAAAGGTCTTTTATCTCTCTGTGAAGTTGATGAAGCCTGTGGAAAACCTCGTGCATTGTCCCAGTACCCAGGGAAGGACATCCCACACTCACAGACCAGTGGCATTCATGTCACATGTGATTAAAACAGGAGAGAAATAATACTGAGGACACTGCTTTCCTAGACCCACTGCAGTCTGCATACCAGCCTCACACTGGTGTGGAGGATGCATTTCTGTCTTGCTGGTGGTGATGGAGCGGCGGAACTACTTACATGGCCGGCCACGTTTGCAGTAGGGGTATTCATCGGTCAGAAAAAAGCACTGCATATATATAATCAATCATTAATTATGAATCAGTAAACCAGAGTGAATTTGGGTGGATAGCCTTGAAAAAGGTCAGAAGTTACCTAAAACAGAGGCAACAGGTTGTGAAGATGGGAGAGTATGTTTGAATGCTTGGATTGTTTTTGGCATCCTCCAGGGGTCAGTATTGGGAGCCCAACATTTTTCATTCCCTACTTCAAAGGTAAAGGATTTTAATTAGGAAAATCTGTATTATTTATTTATGACACTAATATTTAGGTTTTCAGTGAGGAGTTATAGGAACTTTCAGACTAACCCACGTAAGAGTAAATCAAATCAAAAATTGGTTTGACGATTTAAACTGTTATTTTAGTTCTGGCAAAGAAAACTAAGTACGTCTTGGATCACAAATCTCTCTTTAAGATTTCTTGATTTATTCTTAGTGTTACAGTTTTTTGTTTTGTTTAACAGAGAAATAATGAATTAGACCTTGTGGATTTGAAAACTTCACAAACCATGTATAAAAGAAAGGATTAATCTGCTGCCAGGGTAAATTCAGAAATGAGAGGGAGAGGGCTTGTGAATTAATCAAAAAGGATGTTAAATTTAAGACTCTGAAGGTTTGCTCAAAAAGTTTCTGTATTTCAGGCAGTGTAGATAAATCATGGAGCAGACTGAATATTAAGCTAAAGCAATTTCCAAACATAATTCATTTTAAAAAGAGATTTAAAGTCGTAAGTTTTTCTTTTAAATCACAGATAAGTTATATTTATATAAATAGAGATTTGTGTAAAAGGACATTAGAGTCTAGCTGTAAATAAATGATGGTTTATTGTGTTTACTGTATAATAAAGAAAACACTCTGATGCTGCTATGAGTTTAAATTACTGTTGGCAGTTGCTATAAGATAATCAGTATTTCAATAATGGAGTTGTGGAAGTTATCAATAGACCAATACTAGTAGCTGATGGGATTCATTGGCCTCCTGTTTTGCTAACTGTGATTTATATTTTTGAAATAAAGACACTGATAAATAACCCTTTATAAACACAGCAAAATACAGAATGCACCAACTCAGCTTTATTCAACTCGTTTACATGAAATAAAAAAAATACTTGAAATATAAAGAGATTAATTACATGTATTATTACAAGGAATGTCTCAATGGTAAACCATTAAAAACAAGATTAAAAAGTGCCTCAAATCTTCACATCTTTGGTCATCAACCCCAAAATACAGCTTGTCTCGCTTCTCTTAAGAAGTGCTGGAACAACTTATAACTACAGTAACCTTGAGGCGTTTGTATCTCCATTTCATCTCCAGTTTCTGCGACTGAAATTATTCACTCTGTGTTTACATTCATGACCAGATACACAAGAGTCACATTGACAGCAGAAACGAACATGTCAAGATCAATAGTCTCAATCTGACTTAATAAAGCCATCGTCAATTACATGAAATTCAACAGCAATACTGTCTTTAATACAATTCAATATTGTAACACTGTTTGCCTTTACAGACTCAACTCTAATTTCAACCAAAAAACACTCACCAGTCAAAATTTTTAAGTTAAACATCCTAAAAATAAATTTATCTTTAATGTTTTCTGTTTTTAAAATAAATACAAATGCCCAAATTTGAAAGGATTAAAAAGAACAAACAAACATATTACTTACACTAACTCTACAAAAACTTGAGTCATAACCAGTATCTGACCATGTGAAATATTCAAGCACGGAAATGTTCACTTCATTTCTAGAAAAAAAAAATCAGGGTTTTTAGATCTTACAAGTTAAAACTGAAGGCAAATATCCAGCATACACCTCTGATTGTATTGCTGCTGTTGTTACAGCCACAGACATACGGAGAAGTTTAGCTAAAGCACAGAGCAGAAGGTAAACTAACATGTGAAACTGCCACAATTAACAACATTGTTAACTTCCATTTCTGTTATCTGTAAATTCTTTTCAATGATTTGGATTAAAATTTGGTTGCCAACATATATGAAATTAAACAGTGGCGAAATCAGTTAATGAGAAAAAAAGCACTGCCTGCTAGCTAACAGTAGCTCGCCAAGCAGTAGTAGTCATCTGTAGTTGTCAAATTTCCATTTGGCTCACTTCAAATCTCATATATATATATATATATTTTTTAATGTGATTGAGTCTATAGTGGATTTGTGTAGCAACAAAACAACTAAAACTTTAAAAAAAATAAATGTAGTTAACATTTTGGGTGTAAAATCCAGCATAAAAACATGAAATGAAAGCATTAGGCTTTAACCTTTCTGTATTTTTCTCCATGAGCCACCCAGCCTGAAAACTTTCACTTCTTTTGTCCTGACTTTACTGTTTATGTAGTTACTGTTTTGTAGGCTTAAATTAACATTTCATTTACACTATATTTCTGTGATAAGTAAATTCTCATTTTTCCTTCACAATCTCAACTTATTTTTCCCATTATCTTGATTTAACAACATTAGTTTTCCAATTCATAAAGATTAAGTTTGCATGTTATCTCATGGACACAAGAGGCGTTTGGTGGCCTTGCAGCTATGTTTGCACCCCATCTAGAAAGATAACACCAGTTTCTCCTGCTGTTCTCTCTGATACAGGCAAAATCCCGCCTAAAAATGTAAATAAATAAATAAATATCAAGCCTGATTTCTTTGTGATAATTTTCTGACATTAGGCCGGTCACTAAGATAGGTTATGCTGCCACTGCTTACACTAATAGGGTGAGTTTAGTTGACTTCAATCTTGGTTTTGTGCCTCTGCAGCCCTTGAGATATAAAGTTTTGACTATTTGTTGTTGAGATCTGAAGAAAACTGAAATTATCTTGTCATCACAGGAAAACTCGATGCTTCCATACTGTACATGTTTTTTTTTTTTTTTTACACACCTCTCTCTTTATTATGCTCCTAATGTGAAAGGCCCACACACAATACTGTCCAGGCAACAAATACAGAAAAAAAATCAGTCCTTATAAATGATGGCTTTTAAAAATAAACATTTAAAGATAAATAAAAATGAGAAATCAATAATTTATCTTAAGAAAGGGTTTACAAGGCCATTCCAGGCTTTTAAAAGAGTCCTTCATTCACGTTCAGTCCACTAGGTGGTCCTGTTTCCCTACGTATTAAAAACCTGTAGGTTTAATCGGTTTTCACCAGTCACCCTGAGGAGACAGTGTTTGGGTTTTATTTACTGAAGGCACACGGTTTGGAGAGATTCCAGAGCACAAACTCAGAAAAAAGTCTGTTTTCTCACCCACAGCCCTCGCTGCAGCAACCAAAGAATTTAGAGGACGTATCAGACAGGAGATCTGTTGATGAATGTCCAACAAGAGTCCACTGCAGTGGTGGAGGTGAATTCCTCAGCAGTTCAAACTGTCCTGGAAAATAAGTCCACCTTGTCCTCACATACAGAGAAAAAAGTTCTGAAAAAGTTTAAAAAAAAAAAAAACAGTCTTCACATTGTTGAATAAAGATTTCCGTCTTGTCATGAGTTGGATGAGTACAGCCTCATATTGATACACAATATAAAGCTGCAAACATCTAAGCATGGAGACTGAAAACAAAGATAAACAGCTAGTCTGGCTCTGCGCTGAGGTGATAAAAATCTGCTTCCAAATTCACAAAAAAAAATCTGTTGTGTTATTTTAATCCAATTCAAAACAACAGTGTAGAGCTACTGAGCAACCCAGGCTTGTAGGAGGCTTATTTTTGGCTTTGAAGAATCAAGCAGAATAAATTACCATACCTCATGTCCGTGTCTGCTTTTCTTCACTTAGTTTGGTTTAATATAAACCAACAAAACTGGGAAATATTGTTTCTTTTAGTCAGCTAACTCAACTAAGAAAATAAACACAATATGCCACTAGTATCAGAACAACTATGCATTTTTTGTACAGCACTTTTTGAGCTCACTTAATCAGTAAAGAAATGAAAAAAAAAAAAGGGTTCAGAGTTGCCTCTACTAGAACTTTCTACTGACAGAGCGTGCCAGCTGATTCTCCTTGTTTCTAGTCTGCATGCTAAGCTAAGCTAAGCTAATCACTTATTAGCTATGGCTTCATATCTACAATATGGTTTCCTCATCTAACTCTTGGCAAGACAGCTCATGTGTGTCCTGTTAAAAATCAGAGTTTAATTTATCTGCAATGTTTAGGCAGATAGTAGTTATTGTGGTGACCTCAACCACCCACGCGCCTTCATGTCTTCTTCAAGTTTGAGTTTTGCTGTTTCTGTTTGCGTAGGTGAGCCTCGATTTCCTGCCTGAAGAACAGCATCCCCAGCTGGCCGTGCGAGGCCTCGTTCATGGCCTTGGACTGCATGCACATGCGGTACTGGTCAGGCGGGAGCTCATCAGCACAGTGTTTCTCATGCCACAGGTGGAAGAGGCCTCGTGACGGCGCTCTGACCACCTGCAGGTTGCTGTGGAGATACTTCCTGTACAGGTGGACGTCTTCACCCCCCCAGCCTTTGATGTTGATGTCAAATCCACCTGCAGATGAGAGCGCAGGAGGTTAATGGAGTTGTAATCCAAAGCTTCATTACTCCATATGGGATGTGCTCTGTTAAATGGAGATGTTAAACCTTTGATATTTAATCAGTTCAGAATAATTAACATCCTCGGCTTGGTGTTCGTAATCTTTTCAGAAAAGCTGATTATGAATCTTGATGAGAGTCGACAGTCTGTGATCATAGTCAGTTTTCTCTCCACACTGCCAGGTTTGTTGTTTCATGAGGAGGCGGTGAGGAAACTTTGGACTGAAGCTGGATACTAAGCAGATCTTGACCAGACATGTTAAAACTCGTATCTTCAGATGTCTGAGGAACTCATGTCTGCTTGAGCTCTCATGCTGTGTCTCTTGACAGCTTTATTTTGATTTCCCTGTCTGTCTCTGTCTCACTTTTTAACTCTGCTCCAGGGCCAAACAGAGATAAGACGGGATTCTTAACCTGACTGATCAAACGTTAGGGTTGTTTGTGTGTCTGCACTCATAAAGACCTAAATGGCTTTGAGAAATCTGCCAACTAATGTATAAAGCTTTACTTTGAGAGGAATCTTGCTTGTTCCTCCCCATCAAGAAGAAAGTTGATGATATAACACTTCTATGTAGTGATTACAGCTACCTTAGCTCATCATACAGGTAAAAAAAAGTCTGTAACTTGCTATTGTATACCTCTAAAGATTCAGTCATTTGCATATTAAGACATTTTGTGCAAGTATTTGAGAAAATTACTTTAATTCCTGCTTTATTGTAACATTTTTCAAAAGAGTTTATGACTGCAGTTGCAAAATGGAATCATTTTCATCCCCTTGTAAAAATGAAGTCATTTGCAGCACCTCAAAACAGAGAAGGGGATGCCAAATATAAAACCAAGGCTTCAAAGTTGTCCACAAATACTTCAGGAAGTGAGAACATCATGCTGTCTGCGGTTTTTCCACACTTTTAAAATAGACTGAAATCCTTACTAATGCCTTATTATGAAACACAAAAGTAAACAAGAACAGCAGCAGCAAGGCAGATGAGTTTTAAACTGTAATTTTTTAATGCCGACAGCTGGAAAAACAGCCTTGTTTTAATCATTTTGAAGGTGAGATGATTGCTCTGTCCACAGGGGGGCGCCAAAGACAGAAAACTCCTCACAGGAGCTTTAATTTACAACTTTATTCTTATAAATCTGTGGCTTTAACCCCACAAGTTTCGAGCTCTTCAACTTTCTCTCCAGAATTTATGGAGTTTTACTTGTAAATGTAAAACCTAAATCTTGTACTTTTCTGTTTATTCCCAACAGTATACAACATTTTATCGGTTAAGTCTTTATTCTGACAAAATAGGGACTTTATTCTTGAAGCTTTTTCCAACCCCAATGTGGTCCCAGTCCTCTGTCACATTTACTAGCTATTATATGCAGTTTTCATGTTCAATGATGACTCTTTGTTTCAAACAATACCGCTGATTGCAACATGACTTTCATATCACAAATAAAATGAAGGCACCAATTAATCAGAGTGAGCCTGTGCTTGGCAGCAAGGCTGAACTTCATTTGAGTGTTTTGAAAGGCCTGTACTCATCTAAAAGGCTCCATCCTAGAAGTAAAATGTGTCTGTATTGAGTGGCAAATCATTGATCGCTCATATAAAACATTCTTTATGATCAAATTCATTGATATGCTCATGATAAAGTGGGATTTAAAGTACAGCTCTAACACCGTTTAGGATCCCCTTTGGGGATATTAACCCAAGAGTTTCTCCTACCAAAATAAATCTTCTCCTATTTTACATACTGGGCTCATTTACATATTTACCCAGTTAAGTGCTTGTATATCACTGTAGGCAAGAAAGTGAATGAACCGCTTTTAGCAAAATGTCACACTTTCTCTACTTCTCATTTCTTGTATCAAATTTCAGCTGTAAAATGAGAGCATTTATATGCCTTATGTGTGTGTGTGTAAGTGTGCGTGAGGCAATAAACCACTCTGAATTTCCCTCTAGCCTCTCATTGATTTCACTTTGGAGGGAAACTAAATTGATGTAAATCTGTCTTGAGAGCTGATGTTTCTCAATATACAGATGGGGAGGACACAGGGCTGTGAGATATGCTAATCTATGCTGCTGCTGCTCTGAGCGGCTCCACGCAGAGTGATATAATGAAATCTCCTCCCAGTTAAGAAAAGTAATGTAATATTTCTGTCCTGATGTCTTTCATATCCATTAAGCGGTGGCACTATTAGCATACTGTAGCAGAGCGGGTGTTTGGTAGCCATCCAGGAAGCCCATTTCTCTCCGTGTTATGTAACACCTCAGCACAGATGAGTGCTATTGTTTACATGCTAATGCATTCCTCAGACGTTGAGTTGGGTACAACCCTGGTGACCGTTGTTGTTGCTGTTATATTTACCGATGTTGATGAAGTCGGACCTGTACTGGCAGGTCATACCGAAACCAAAATCCCTCCAGAACCCTGTGTCTTTCTTGATTGCCTGCAGACAGGAAAATAAGTCTGAGAGCGCTTGTAAATGGATACATATCAGCACAACAGACTTCAGTGTCAACAGGAGCAGATTTATTCCATAGATCAATTTACTGAGCAGCTTGACACTGGAAACATTTCTTTACCCAAGGGTGGTATTTTCCCATTTATAGCTTGTAGAGTGCATAAAAAAAGAGTGAAAAAAGAGAGGATAGCTTTGATTAGTGTTTGTTACCAGCTGTTGCTCCACAGGTGGGACGTGTTCAGGACCTCCATAGATCAGAGTGGGGTTGTACTGGCTGAATAAGACCGGGTAGAAGACCTTTTTACCTGAGGAGGAGTGAGAAAGTACTGTCAGACAGGAACTGATCTGAAGGGAGTCATATCAACTGGGGGCTGACTGATAGGGGAGAGTGGATCACTACATCAAGGCAATCACAGTTTTGTCTCTAAACAGTGTAACTGCATATATTTCAAGATGTTGTGCATCCCTGTAAACCAGCAGCAACTTACCCCACTCTCCCCTATTGGTGTTTAAGGGCCGACAGTGGATATTTGGAAATGATACGCACTAACAGTAAAAATCAAACTTTCTGTCAAAATTTTAAACTTATAACATTTCTTAAATGCCCTCAACAATTCACCAAAACTGAAACATAAAACATTATATACAGGAGTTAATAGTTAACTAGTTAAAGTGCTGTTGCGTCACATGGTCATGTGACTTTTAGCCACACAGTGATATGGGTGGGACACTAGATTAGACAGTGTGGTGTAAGAAAACAGAACCAGAAGGAGAGAAACATCAGCAGTGGAGCCAAAGTGGCACATGTTTAAATTAATGAATTTAATTGGATATTCCTCTCCTCTTGCCAAGGGCTACACCCATGTGGATGAAGGCTGATTAAGATAATTGACCATACTGAGTATCAGCTCCAATTATATTAGGGGTGATCCTGATTTAAGATATTTCCAAAAACACGTGTGTATAATGATAATCCTGTCGAGCTTCAGAGTGCAACCATGTCAGAAAAACAGAGTGTATGTGTCTAACCAGGCTGGGTGTTGAGTCTGCAGGTGTTGAGGAAGTCAGCAGTGAAGTAGATATCCACATCACAGAAGAAAAGCAGAACGTTGCTTCCCTTCCAGGCTCGGGCCCCGACATCAAGACCCCGTCCCCGAGAAAACTCCTCATCCAGCTGCAGCAGAGTGTAGTTCTTAAAATTCACCTCCCTGCAGAGAAGCACAGAGAAAGATGGAGGTTAGACAGAGAAACTGAGAGCATTATAGCAAAGGTTGTTTATTTTTACTCTCTTTTTGAACAGGGAAGGGAATGTGTAACCACCTTTCTTTAGACATCACATAATCTTTAGAGGTTTGTAAAAATATGTTCAGTTATTTTTATACTACAATACACATTTTTCCCTTTTTCTTTTCCTTTTATGCAACTGCTGTCAGCAGCTCTGTATTTGTCACTGCACTGTACTGTGCTTTTTTTCACTTTTTATATAATGCTGCTGTTGAGCAGAGCCCTCTTATCTCCAAAATCACAAAATTTGATGAAAATATTTTTTAAAAATGTGTTTCATGGCAACCAGTAAGGGATGATGATTAACAGGGATGATGAATGTTAAAAAATTAAATGATGGAATGTGGAGATGCGGGGTTTCTTCCCTACAGCAGTGATAAACAACTTACATTTATATCATGACTGATTAAAAAGGCTGCTAGTTTCCTTCTTTGGCTAAGTTCCTCTTTCATCTTTTTAAGAGCCACTTATTTCAGCACAATTCCTGTAATTTTTGTCTTTATTTAAATACATTTTAATATGATGAGTTTTCCTCTTTTTCGTTTCACCCCTCAAAAGTGCCTTTAATGCATTTTCACTTATTTCAGCCATCCTTAAACACTTCTGTGTTTCAAAAACTTTGAAAAAGGTTAAAAAGGATTATGAATTAATAGTTTCTGCAGAAATTGAATCCCTAATGCAAATATTCAATACTGGATCTCGCAGGTGTGGCGGGGATGAGGGTCTGTGAGCCCATTGTCCACCTCAGCTGTGAGATCTTATCGTGTCCAATCTGCATCAAATACATCATCATGATTTTGTATTTTGATCCACAGCAGCTGCACCACAGAGTTCAACACTGAGGCTGTATTAATAAATAAAAGAGTGAAAAGAAGTCCAGGGCCTTGAATTGCCTCTTCCGAGTACATTTGTAATAGATTTAACTATCACAACATGGCACACAAGTGTACAGATTATTCTCAGTGAAGTAGTTGGTTTCGAGGACTCACACAGCTGCCAAATGTGTTGTATTTAACTGGTACTTAAAGGCCACATAGGAGGGTCAATACAGGACAACAACTGTGCAATTTCACCCTTGGCTCCCCTCGTGGGATAATCTGTCCCTATTATCCTCTGTTTTCTGCCTTTAATATTTCCCAAATAAAGATTACAAAACAATGACCTCATAAATCCTCTGGTCAACATCAGCACAGCTTTCATTTCCAAACTATTTTTTAACTTCTTTTGGATTCTGTTTGTACAATATTTCACTGGTATCAAAGCTCATCCATCAGGGGCATGAAGCCCCATCAGGATGTGGTGAGACAAGCAGCTGGATCCAGATGTACATAGCCATGTTTTTTTTTCCCTCAACCATAAAAATCACACTGTCAGTGACTAATCCTTTACTCATGCATGCACAGACTCACATGCACACTCACACTTTCATCTAACTGAGTAAGGAGACACTGAGGGAAACTGTTTCTCTGTTTGAAGCAGAAAAAAAGGGTCTGAGGTCTGTCCACATCCATGTGACTCTGGATGACTTAACACATGTGAGACAGAGCAGGTAGGCAGAAAAATAAACCAGGATGACCAGGGGAAACACAGTCGGTTTGTTTGTGCTAGAGGCAGCTTGAATCATGCTTTCCCATTTCACTGTAGTGTGTGTGTGTGTGAGAGCGGATGTCAGTAAATGCTCTTTTCAGCATTTTTATTCATGTCCATGTAAAAGTGTGGAAAAATCCTTGTCTCTGTAGCCTATCCTACAAAAAAAAAAGACCTGACACTTCTCTCCGAAGCAAGAAAAGATGACCCCATTTATAAGCAGCATTAGCATTGTTGACTCATTTGTCGGTCTAATATCAGTTTTCGGTTAAACGGAACAATTGCAGTGCGCCAGTCAACATGTGTTGGTGCTCTGTCAGTTGATTCTTCTGCAAACACAGTCCAGGCTCCACGTCTGTCTACGGTTTATAAATCCAAACAGAGTCGATCTGTTTCAGTCTACACAGAGTCCCAAGAGAGGCTGACCCACCCGCTGGCACTAAACTGTCTACAGATGGTAGATCCACAGCACAATGGCTCTGTTTGTCTCAAACAATGTTAATGCAATAGTAGCTACGCTCACATGTTGAGCCGGTCTCAACTGTAATGGGGCGGTAAGCTCTTCTGTCTGAGGAAGAGAAATCAAGACTTTACAGCGGTAGAACCTTCGTGGGAACCAGATATATTGACTTTTATTCCTATGAATATGAAAAAGTGGCAAAGTGTTTTTTATGTCTTTGCTGTGGAGGAATATTTTGGCACATTTGAGCTTCTGAGAGTCAAATGAATATATTTATATCTGCATGCTGATTCAGGGCTGCAGGAGTAATTTAGCCTCAGATCAGCTTAAAATGAGGGAAATAAGCTGAACAGAAGTCTATCCACTCACAAGAAACTCTCAATCTGATTTTACATTTCAGTCCTTTTTAAAAAAGTTGAACCAACACCACCAGTCTTCCTACTAGCATCCTTGAAGTTTTCAGACTCTTTCTTGTTCAATATGAATTAAAATCAAAATTTAAATTACTGTTTGTTTCTCTGATGATTCAATCATAAGTAAAATGGGAAAAAAGTAAGGTTTACATGGCTGCAGGCTGGTTCTTCCCCCCTCTTTTAACTGGGCTGTACAAGCTAAACTAAGCTAAGCTGCTACTAGCTAACTTAAGCTAGCAGTAGGTTGGCTTAGCTCAACAGAAACATTAATATATCAGTGCTTTGTAAACTTAAATGTTACTAACTTAGGGATAAAATCTGCCTACAAGCATCTTCAAAGCTTTATAGCCAAACTTGTTATGTCTGGGTTGTTTAACCTGAACTAAAATCTGAGCGAAAGTGAGCTTTCCCCTTTTAGCCTAATACAGAAAGCTATGCTAACACTTCTTGGTTTAGTAAAGATGGTTTATCATGGTCTCTGTAAAAGACACAGTTTTATCCCAAAAATGAAATCATTTAATACAATTTTTCTTCTAAAATGTGGAACAGGTAGGTGAGGAAATTTGCATGTGTGTCTGTGTGTGCAGGTGTATCACTCAGCTCTCAAGAATATCACACATTATAGCCTATTTCGCTAGCATTCATGGACACTCAACTCAAGTAAAACTTCAATAATTAGCTATACTTTAAGTTAAAAAAAAATAGCCACACAAGCAAATACTTCTTTACAAACCAGTTTAACATGGAAGACACTTATTTCTAGTTTGTTATTCAGTCTAATCTGCAATTTTTAAGTGTTTTTGTAGCCTCTCCCGGCTAATAGCAGACTGAATACCTCCCAGTAGCAGCTTCATAATTAGCTTACAGTTTCACATCATTCCTGAAATTCTTGCTACAATTAGATTATCCCCCAGTGTGTATTTATATCTTGAGAACGGTCAAATGATTAATAATTCAAAAGCATTTGTATGATGCTGATGTTCTCCTGATTACCAACATGATTCAGAGAAATTGTGTCTCGTCCAGCCAAAGTTGGTTTATTATTCACAGTGCTGTGTGTGCTGGCCGGAGCACATTAACTCTGGAAATTACTCCGAGATGTTTACTTGCCCATGTACCTATTTCCTGAGTCTCTAAAAGGGCCAAAAATACGAACATGTGTGCTATTATTGCCTGCTTGGGGAAAACTCCTCTTGAACCCTGCAGTACCCTTGTTTTCTAAATTACTTTTTATATTTGGCTGTTTTTCTCCCGTCTCCCCCCACAGGCATCAGCACCCCTATTATGGCTTAAAATAGTCAATTTGTTTACTGTGGGCGTGATGGCTGCTACCTTGTTCAGGCTAAATTGTTGAAAGTGTGTCAGAGTGAGAATGTAAAGAGCTGTCATGTTGTGTCTCAGCAGCAGGCCTGATCCTGTTAGTTCTGCTGAGGACAGGGAACCGAGACCAGATTTTCTCTTTTCTTTCTTTGTGAATCTGCGCCTCAGTGTAACCGCTGCATTTATTTGTTTGCACGCGCATATAGCTCGAGGACTGACTGCAGATACGGTGCTTACCATAAGTGAAAATTCTCATCTGTAAGAGCCTTTACGTGAGCTTTTTTACAGTCTAAACATGTTTCTGAGATACCAGTGAAGTATTTTTGCCTCTCAGCCATACTGGGAACATGCAGTTTGAGTCTGTTTGTTTCAAATAAACCAACTAAACAACCATTTAATAGATCCTGATCACAATTTTTATCCAAATATTCATGGTCTTCAAAGGATGAATCCCTCTTACTTTGGTTGTTCTCTGACTGAATCAACCTTTTGACAGGTCTGATGAAGAAATTCAGGCCTTTGCAGGACAGACTCTGACCCTCTTTACTCTTTATATCAAAATGTGATCCATACTTTGACATATTATCTGAATAACCAAACTGTGCGATGTGAAATGTTCCCTCATCATGCAGAGATCTTTTTTGAGAGTCTGGCCTTTTACTTATGAATGTGTAAATGCAATTTAAACATCACGCTGACATCCACACCAAGGACATTATTCTGCTTTGACCTCTATCAGCAAGTTTTTATCTGAAAGATATAATCAGATTTCTGTGAAGATAATAACAATGCATTAAAAATACATGTGCGAGAGTGAAGGTGACTTTTAGACAGAATTTGCTGTCAACTCCAAAACAAGTCCAGACAAAGCTCACAGGTAACTTTAGTTGTAAAAGTGACCTTTAACTTTTCAATGAATTTGACCATTATCATATATCTAAACACAGAAAACTATAAACATATCCTCTAGCATTGACCAGTACTCTAATTGGGCTACAACACTTGGATACCCAGAACTGCCACTTCTAAATTCAACCCTCTGGGCTTTTTTCAGCACACTGGGACTTCGGCGAGCCATCAATACCAGATTCTGTTCCCTCCTTATCACAGTTTTTCTTGGCAATCCAATAATTGCTCCAAAAATAGATCACCAGTGGCACATTATGAGATGCTCTCATCCTTTTGCCAGTGCTACAGGAAGCTCATTTGTCTGATTTCACCACAGAGTAATGTCAAATTTACGCCAACTGGCAAGTTTGGGGGAAATGAGGCAAATCTGAATAAAAAGGAGGCAACAGCAAAATGGAACTAGATGATGATGATGATGATAAAGGTCTTCTTTTTTTCCTTTATTAAAGCTCCTGTGAAGAACTTTCTGTCTGTGATGACTCTGTCGCCCTCATGTGGATTAAGTGAGAACTCTTATATTGTTGTCAATTTTATCTTATCTGTGTGAAGTTTGCTGCTGTCTTTTTAAGATGAATCCATCAGGAATATCAGCTGTAGGGTAAGTGACTAAGACTGTTACCGACAGCTACATGCTAAAAACATCACAGAGAAACCCGATAGTTGTCTTGAAGCCTCAAAAATTTCTGATTAGAGGGTTATGATAACCCTTCATACATATAATGCTATTCATAAATACAAGCTATTTAAAGTGTACTCTGCACATACAGGCATTTTTGATGATCACAATAACCACAGTCGTCTTTGTTTATGTTGACGGATCATGGCGGCTGGCGTACATTATAATTTCAGTCTTGAGATATGTTGCCCTCGGCTCTGTGATAATGATTCATGTTTGCCTTCAGTTTTGCTTCTTTCAGCGTTCCGTGTGAAGTCATTGTGTCATCAGCCCTAAAGGGTCTATCAACATCATCACCCCACATGTTCTGTTTTGTGTACACACCAGCTTAACCTGACTTCAGGAGGAGATTTTGCTGGGGGCCAGGCAGGAAAAAAAACTATTAAGATGGGTTCAAAGCTTAACCCTTCACAAAAAAACAAAAAAAAAAACAACTGCTTGGCATTTTCAGGACTCGAGTGATCGAGCGTATTAAGCTATCCTGTAAGCAAACAAGCTGCCAAACAAAGCGCCCACCCCTCCTCCCTGCTGTCAGCCCCTCACAAGCTGGCGAGTAGCATTCTCATTAGCAATGATTGGGCGAATAAAGCAAACTGCACTTACTCCCATAATTACTTGTTGTTGAACTAATTAAACAGCGCCTCTCTTTTTGTTTTCCAGTCATTTTAGAAGCAAGGGACTCTGAAAGGAGGAGGAATCCCAAACAGAAAAAAACAATATCTCCTCTTGAAGACCAGCTGCAAGTAAACCCTTACTTCTCTTCCCACCAGTATGTCCATTTTCTAGCTTTTTTTTCTTCCGGTTATTACTCACATGCGAGGCATTTTCCCTCATTTGCTCACAGCTATAATTTCTCTCCCTAACAAATGGATAAATTAATGTTTTTAGCATTGCTGATCATTCATGCTTTGCCCGGAAACCCACAATGCTTAACAGAGCAATTCCTCACGCCCCACATAAAATGAATGTGAGGCTTTTGTCATTATTGCTACATTAAATCATCGCATTAGCGGGTCTCCACCATAAGTCAGTCTGCCTCATAAATACATTTGAAATAACGGAGTGAGGCTGCAGTCGCTTCCTCAACATCTCAGTGCAGCCAAACTTACTGTAAGCTCTCTCCTGCCTTGGATTTTTTTAATACCTGCAATCGATTTTAAGCAAGTCAATCTTTCTCCTCTTTGCCTTTCATCTTGTCTGTTGTTTACAGAGCAGGCTGGCTGCTGTATTCTCCCCGGGCTTTTGTCTAGAGGAAAGCAAAAAAAAAAAAAAAAGAGGCTTGTGCTTTACAGTGAGCCGGGGAATCAGCAGTCTGTGCATGTAATGGAGAGGTAAGTGCGAGCCATAAAAAATGTAGAGTTGTTGTGATCACTCTCAGGCTCAGCCCTCGGGCGAGACAGCTCCACTAGTTATCAGCGGTGAGTAATCTGCGCAGAGACACTCTCTCTTTCTTTAAGATGAATAATGGACAGCTTTCAGATTTCCTCCCTGATTTGTTTATCACTCCATCCACTCATGAGTTTCCCCCTCAGACACCTTCTTGTTGACATTTTCCCTTACATTTTCGTCAGAGCTGTCAGAGGCTCTTCGGAGTATTGTTGACCCGTCTGTGAACTGAAAGAAATGCCACAGTAACATTAAAGGCTTATGGAGGCGTCTGCCGGGGAGATGGTGCAAGAGAAAGATGAGGTAAATGCTGCTGTAGTTGAAAGGGTGATGGAGTGATCTCATCCTTTGTTTCTTTATCTGTCCAAATTTTAGATCCCTCCTCTTTCATCTAAACACTCTACTTCCTTTGATATCCTTGCCGATGCTCTTCATCCTTCCCTGGAAAAACTGTCTTTTCTGTGATTCCTCTCATCTTATCTTTGCACCTTTTGCACTAACTTCCCATCTCTTTGTTCCCCCCTCAGCCACCGTCTCCCCTCAGAGACTAAAACCCGGGGTGTATCCTCACATATCGACTGGTATCTCTCTCCTTTTCCTCGTTTCCCCTCCATTGTATCGCTTCCTCTTTATCTAACCTTGCTCTGAATCATTATTCCTGAGCGTGTAGGGCTCAGAGACATACATGCCCCCCGATGGTTTGATCCTGAGTTCAGGCTTTGAAGTGCGGATATGTAAGCGTAATACTTGAAACTTCAGCAGCTGATCCCATCTATTTTAGACGCTATCCCTTGTGTCTAGCAGAAGCCTTGGAAGAGGATGGCTCTGATTTTCTGTAGCATTTCTTTTTATCTATTCTGTTTCTTTGGCTTTAGTTACTGAACGATCTCATTGGCTCTAAAATCCATGCAGCTTTAACTTTGATTTGATTGCTGAAAAATAGATTGATTGGAGTACAATCTGACTAGTGTCGAGGAAATTTGCTCCAAATCATCTACTGAAACTCATCTACATGTATTTTTACACAGGGAAATTACGCAGGGACAACAGTTCGCTCAAAGCGAGGAGTGATACTGCTTGTGACTGAAAAAAGGACAAATAGCAGGAGGTTGTTAGGGAGCAGGAGACAAATCAAACCACTTTCCAGAGGTGAATTAAATTTGTAAGAAGGGCAGCGGAGAATCAGATCAGCCTCTAATGATGCCATCACTGCTGGGAACAGATATTGACTGCTTTGTGAGTGAAGGTGTGTGGGTTTGTGTGTGTGTTTGCACTTGAACTGTGTGGTTTTGTGAACAAATTTGAGTTCATAGACGTCAAGAGTGACAGTGATTTTGACCATTTCAACTGCTCTGCTAGGGTTTGGATTTGTTTTTGGAGGGTTTAGTGAGGGATGATGAGGTGGACAGATGATGCTTGGGGCCCAGTAACTCCTCAGGCTGCTGTCACAATATACCTGGTATCCGTCATTGTTTCCAGACTCTCAAAACAAGCCTAAGACAGGTACAAAGGTCCATTCATCTATTTTCTTCTGTCTATCCGGGGTCGAGTTGCGAGGACATGCTAAACAAGTTGGCACAAGTCTCCTTCCTCCCAGCAACACTCTCCAGCTCTACCTCTGGGATCCTAAGGCATTCCCAGGTCAGGTTTGTTCTACCCTGGGGTCTCCTGACCAGTTGGACATGCCTGTAACACCTCCAAAGAGAGGCATCCTGATCAAGAGTCCAAACCACCTCAATTGACCCCTTTCAATGCAAAGGAGTAACAGCTCTACTCTGAGCTCCCTCTGTTTGTCTGAGCTTCTAATCCTATCTCCAAGGCCCAGCCCAGCCATCCCTCAGGGGAAACTCATTTCCACAGTTTGTAAACATGATCTCATTCTTTTGGTTACTACCCACAGCTTGTGACCCTAAGTGAGGTTGGAAGGTAGATCGACTGGTACATCAAAACCTTTGCCGTCTCCTTTCCATGATGGTCCAGTGCAACACTCGCAGTAGAGATGGGAATCGAGAACCGGATCTTGTTGAGAACCGGTTCCAAATGGTTCAATCCATCGACATCATTTACATTTTATTCCCTTAACGATTCCTTTCCTCCGGGTGCCTTGAAAAACAGTCTCGTGAGTGCCAGTCTACGCAAACGGGAACAGAGACAGAGAAAAAAACATGGCAGACAGTACGAAAAGTAGGCGGGAACGAGCTAAAACGTGGCTTAATTTTACTAAGAAAGACAACAACAGTGCAAAGTTTGTCGGGCAGTGATAACGTACAAAGGTGGAAATACTAGCAACATACTGAAACATTTGCCAACGGAGCACAGCATCAAATCTAAGGAGTCACATGTATTTGATGCTCTACGCCAGTTGTCAGCCGCTGCAGCCCTGTCTCAGCACGGCATGGAAGGTACATATGATAGGGTGACCATACGTCCTCTTTTCCCCGGATATGTCCTCTTTTGGGGGGGCTGTCTGGGGGGAAGTTTATAAAATCCTTCAAATATCCAGAACATGTATTCAATTATTATAAAACAGTGCAGCGCATCAGTGCTCTCTGCAGCTCTGCCCCTCCGCTCACTTCTAAGCAAAGCCACTGACCTGACACACACATGCACTGTCTTCGGAAATCCTGAATAATATGCGTTTAACTGAGTTAGAAGCGCATAAAAAACACTTGACTCGAACCAAAAAAAAACTCAAAATTTCGCGCACACGTAGTAGTGTCCTCTTTTTGGTGACTCAGAATATGGTCACCCTAACATATGTACCATGTTAACATAAACACAATGCATACCAGAAATGCTGTACAAATAGAATTTTTGTTTGATTATTTTTAGACTTTTTACATATTTTTCCGTTATCAGAGACTCAATAAAATTTCGAGTTACCGGGGAAAACCTATAGTCTACTTTTTTAAATCAAACAAAGGCATTGATAAGGGAATCGTTAAAGAATTGAATCGATAAGCAGATAATGGCAAATAGATAATGGCATTGATATCGATAAAATCTTATCAATTCCCATCCCTATGCACAAGTCCACCTATCAATCCATTTTCCCCTTGAAACCCCAAAATACTTGAACTCTCTCACTAGGGGTTAAGACTTACTCCCCACCCAGAGAGAGCAGTCCACCTTGGAACCATGGCCTCAGATTTGGGGGTGCTGACTCTTTTCCTCTTTGCACTCAGCTTCAAATCGCACCAATGTCCACTGGAGGTCTCAACGTAAAGAAACCAAAACAGCCACATCATCTGCAAAGAGCAGAGATGGGATTCTAAAACTCCCAAACTGGGAACCCTCCTGCAACCTATGGTCCTGTCCATGAAACTGAATTAGTGACAAGGGAAATTGATTGTAAGACTCCTCCAAGTCTAAAAAACACATAGACCAAATGGGAAAACGTCGATATCCTTTCCAGGAGCCTTGAAAAGGTGGTCCTTTGGGAGTTGACAGGTTGAAAGTCAGGTTGCACCCGCATTACCAATATCGTGACTTGCGCTTAGCCTCAAAACTCTGCTTCACAAAACAAATGGGTGAAGTCACTGATGCGACCGCCATCTATGATACAGTCTGTGGTTAAAATCAAGTATTTATCACAGCGTGTTCTATGAGAAAGTCTGGTTATAAGATCTCAGTAAAAAAGAAATTGTCAGTGTTTGCCTGCATGTGTGCACTGCGCTGTGAGTCACCCAGTGTGAAAGCTTTGAGGGTCGATAATTAGAAAATGTGGTAAGTTGATAATGTGATATGTGAATAATTCAAAGGCATTATTCAAGAAGTGTCTTGTGAGTTCAGCAAATACTGAACAATCTCATTATATTTGATGAAAACACTCATGAAACTTGGTGCACATACTGTGTTAAAGCTCTCACTTTGAACATGTTAGCATGCTGTTTCTGGTGTTAGCTCAGAGTACTGCTGCGCCTCAGGGTTGGGTTATGCTCAAAATGGAGCTAGTTCTTACTTTAGTCCCTGATAGCGGGCACATTCTCACACACAGTCGTTCCTGGAAAGTTTTCACAGAGCTGCAGTTGTTTGAACACACAAAAGATGACAGTAATGGATGCAGAGAGGATGGAAGAAAAGAGCGTGGAGGGGGGTTCAAAATCTGCCAACTTTCTAAACATCAGACACCTGTTCAACTCCAGCTCTTGCTGCTCTATAGATAGAACAATGAGTATATTCATCCAAATAAATCATAGATGACTCAGTTTAGTTTGCAGTCGCAGCTTAATTGCCTGTACACACACTCATTCATCTTCCTGAGTGTATTTATGAGTGCGCTGTGCGTGTGTGTCTGCTCGCGTCCAGAGAATCTGAACCACAGGTAGCTTTCTCCGATGATGATTCACATTCATTTCAATCACAGCCTGAAAGCAAGATAAAGCAAAGAGGAGAACAGAGCTGATTACAAGCCCTGATTAACATCCAGATAAGCTGCTACCTAACTGATGAATGCGTCGTGTGCAGCGTGAGAGGAATATGAAACACTTTAGAGAGTTCAGGGCCGATGTGCTGTTCAGGGAGAGAGACGACAGGAGAGTTTTGAAGATCCCTCATTTCACCCACCGTCCTTCCTCTTACTTCTGATCCAGTTATTTTTAATCAGCAGAGTTTCTCTAACAAACTTTTCCTAACTGGCTGTGCAGAATAATAGTCCTGATTATTGTGCTACAGCAACTATCCACAGGATGCATTACAGCTTTGCAACTTGCTCCAAAATGTCTGGCTGGTTTGGCAGAACTACTTCCATGCATTTGATTAATCTCTGCTGTTTGGCTTCATTTTGGTACAGCAGGAGGAGGTGTAGATGTATTTACTATTTTTATAGGCATCAAATGTGAATAAAGCTCTTTTTCTTTGCATCAAAGTCACTTGACTTAAAGCTCCTGTAGGGAACTTTCTGTTTGTGTTGATTTTGGCGCCCCCTGTGAACAGGGTGATACTTCTTATTTCTTTGCTGATTTTGTCTTGTACGTTTATAAGTGGTATTTTCTGACAACTGTCTATGTTGCTGATGGTCATATTTTCTTTTTTAGTAGTAAATCTGTTAATATCTACAACGGAGTATTAGGGCCACATTAAAGGGACATTCCGGTGTAAAATTAATTTAGGCTCAAACACAATGTAACAGTTCGACACATCTGCGAGAGACGAATGTTGCTGACCGTTTGCTTCTCTAGACACTAAACACAACTCACCTACTCTCTTCCAGCAGCCGCTTCTTTGTAGCGTGACCTTGACCAATCCATCATTGACTGAGGCATTATTCTCTTCAGTAATGCTTTTATTACAACTTTATTCTCGTAAGTAATTATTTTATTACGACTTTATTCTCGTAAATTAATTTCGAAGTCTTAATGTTTTTTTTCTTAATGTGGCCCTAATACTCTGTCGTAAATATCAGCCTATTTTGAAGCTTTAAACATTAAAAAGTAACTCTAACCAGGACAAAATTGATTGAAATGCCTGGTCTGAGCCCATTGTTGTGCAGCAGCTGTAACAATACATTTTAATCTTTCTGTATTTCCACATTTGCAGGTTTTCATTCAGCCCATTTTTAAAGATAACTTTTTATAAATAAATCATATGCTGCCTTTTCTAATCCTTTTATTTCCTTCTGAGCTACAGCAACAGGCAGAGACGCCAGGAGACAAAGAGATGCTGTGAGATTCGACAGATCGTCCAATTGACTCAAGGCCAAAGAAAAAACCTCCAAGGCTGGGAATCGACAAGCGTCGCCATAGCAACTCCCTGGGGAGAAATTGCGGCTCACTCCACAGGGAGGACCGTATCGGCCGGCGGCGATGGTCTCTGGAGGTGTGGGTGTCGAGGTCCGTGTTAGAGGTTTTAGCATGAGTCAGGGATGATCACAGGCCTGATGTAATTTATCCGTGTTGGCTGGTGGCTCTCAGCTTCTCGGCGTGGGTGGCACTCTGCTACTCCATTATTCATCAGACAGATGAGTGGCTGTGGCAGGACGCCCAGTCAGGAGGTGTGTGCGTGTGTGTGTGCTTTTGTGCGAATGTCGGGTGAGGCGGAATACAGAATTTGAAGATGGGAGTTTTTGCTGGAAAAAAAATGTCTGTAGTGTTTGCTTAAAGATGAAGGGTGCAAGGCTGCTGTGGACTTCATTTTTATCTCATGAATTGGCCTCCATATCCTGCGTTTAGCCTTGAGTTCAAAGAGCCGATATTTAGTGTGTCTCCAACCCCAACCCACCTGGATGTGTTCTCCAGAGTGCTGCGGACTTCGCTCATCTGCTCCTTCCCAAAATACACCACCGTCAGATGGACCCGGCTGTCCTGCCGCACGCACACCTCTCTGCGCACAAACAGAAACACACAGAGGAAGGGACATCAGGGATGAAAGCACTCTCACACTAAGCGGAGTGGAGGTTACAGGAAGGAAGAGCTTTGTGATTAAAGGAGGGTTTTTAAAAACAAGGCCATTGTTTTGAAGGTTTAAGCCTCCTGAGTGTTGTAACGAGAAAAACAACAACATTTCAGAGAGATACATTAAATCAAAACAAAATATCCAATAAAAAAACTATAAAATGATATTAAAGTAATAAATTTATAGCTGTAAAGTAGGTGAAACCTTTAGATTTGATAGATTGTAATGCTCTTTTTCCCTTCATTTCCTTAAATTAAAGCTCCTCTGAGAAACTTCCTGTCTGTGTCTGTTTTGGCGCCCCCTGTGGACAAAGTAACACCTCTTTTTACTTTGCTAATCTTGTTCTACTTGTGTTATCATCACAGTGATTACAGTCATTAGAAATTATCACTCTTTGCTTTTAAAAGCTGCAAAAAAAGGCATTACCAGCTAAAAACTCCTCACAGGAGCTTTAAGGGAAAAAAAGATTAAAAAAATTAAACAAAAAAATCCCAACATTAGACTTAAAAATGACATAATCCTCGTTTCAGGTATAATCCATGTTGTTTGCAGTCCATCTCTGTGTTTACAGCTCAGAGAGAGGGAAAAAAAGGGTGGGACCAGGTGGGAGATGCCTGCAGGCTCTGTGATGGAGACATGTCAAATGTATCACACACATGCTGACGATAATTCACCTTCTGTCCCTTGACACGCACATATGCCGGATGTGTCTGAATTTTCGCCACAAGCATAAGATGGAAAACCGTCTCATTGAAAACAACAACATGAACATAGGATACTTAAAAAAAAAAAAAAAAAAGCTTTATATGTGCTTTGGAAATGAGCTGACTGGATGATAGAAACTTTCTTATCCTTGCAAATAGGGATGCTATTAAATACTGAGGATTACAATCATAGAGAACAAGCAAATGACAGAGTAAAGATGCCGTCACCAGTGTTGATGTTTTTTCACTGTGTCAAAGGAAGATTTCACCATTGCAATTTGCACAACATGTCTTGCAAGTTTCCCAAGAGGATGAAGTCTGAACACAAAAATCTTTAGAGTCACTCAGTCAGTGTCAAAGAGCGCCCTAGTCTCAGCAGGCCTTTGAAAACCACACAGGTTCATTAGAGAAAACCAACGTTATAGCAGTCATTGACAAAATCACTGAATCTAAATGCGCACTCAAACGAAGAAATAAACACTCATCTTATCTGTATCAGCCATCAGGAGCAGGTGATTATTGGTTAAAGTGTAAATACAGCGAAAGCTTTATAACGCTTCCCTAGTTGTTATGTGGTTAAGTGCTCTTTAAGTAAATTGTTTTTTTCTCGGCTGCGATGAGGCGTTTAGTCTCTGCAACCACAAAATAGATTTCTAAAAAGACATAATAATCATGTCTTCATAAAAGGGTAATACTTCCCTGTAAAAAATCCGGGGTGCCTGGCTACAAATGTTTCCTGCCTGCTTGTGTGAATGCACATTTTATCTCCTTATTCGACACCGGGGAGACATATCACAGTACATCATAAGTGCTGTTATTTCCCAGTCTGAAAGTGAATAAAGAATACGTGATAAACAGGCAGTTCCTCACTGTTATCACCCCCTAAACACGCTCACATACGCAATTTCTCCTGGCATACCTTTAATATGGATGAGGGTAAAATGTTTGCTCAGCGACTCGCCGACTCTTTCAAGTAAGTACACTTTGTGCCACGTTGTATATCAGCTGCTGGTAGTCTGCCCAGGGGGGCTTTTTAATGGGCTGCAACACTGCTACTAAGCAGGATTTATCATGTAAAAAAAGCTGTGATAAGCAGCAGCAGCAGCACAATAAATCAGACACTAAGGAGGATGTTTCCTGAACTGATGGTGACAGACAGCAGAGCTGCAAAAAGCACATTTCACTGCGAGCTGACGGGTTTTGTCCTGTCAATCAGTCCTTAATAGTTTGTCTCATTTAATGGTTTTTATCACAGCCTGCACATAATTGTGATTTATATATAATTCTACACAGAAAAAAATGTTAAATTGCCTTTTCGTTTGCTGCGTCGGTGAAAGTGAGCTAGTGCCAGAGATCTGTTTTAATCCGTGCTCTTGCTTGAATCATTTAAACCTTGCTCTGATTTGTTTACGTTCTAATTATGCCGACCAGCACCAAAATAAATTAACTGATAACACTACGCATGCAGTTTCAAAATTTTAATTGCATGTTTCCACAAAAATAGCCCCTCTGATGATAATTTCCCTTCCTCTAATCTCCCCTTCTCCTTCTCTCCGCAGCGGGTTCACCAATTAAAATGTAAAAGTGGAGTCGAAACTCGGTTTTGAATAACAGAGTATCACATTTGCCTGAATTAGTTACGTGTGACACAAAGAGCCATCCTGAATAATTCAGAGTCTTCTGTTTATGTCGCAGTTTTTCTGACTTTCTGATCAGGAGCTTAAAGGAGGATAAAGATTGGAGACGTCTGAGGAAAGGTTTGATGTTTGAGTCTCACCTGAAGTTGTTCATGAACTGTTTGAACTTGTCCGTGCGTCTGGAGAGAGGGACGATGATATTGATCGGGATGTTGGCGGTGTCCACCCTCTCGTTTCTCACCTTCATGAGAGGTCCAAAGGGACGGAAGAGGACGAGGCGTCTGAATTCATGACTAGACTCTCCTCTGAATGTCAGCTCATACAGCGTCCCTTTGTCTCTCTCTGTGCGGGTGATACCTGACCGGTGGGACACAGAGGACACAAAGTCAAAAACAAGCATTTTAGATCAACTTGTGCTTCGGCCTCTCTGTCCTGTAAAGGAGGCTGTTTTTTAACCATAAGACATGGGCACAAAGACTCATGGGAAAACCATCAGAAGACATTTTCATTAGAGTACAGTCGACATAGGGACAGTCAGTCGGGGCGGCAGTAGCTCAGGAGGTAGAGCGGTCGTCCAATGACCGGAAGGTTGGCGGTTCGATTCCCCCCTAATCCACGTCTGTCCGTTGTGTCCTTGGGCAAGACACTTAACCCACCTTGCTCCCAGTGTGTGTCCTCCACTGGTGTATGATTGTGAGTGTTGTGTGGTGGTGGTCGGAGAGGCCGTAGGCACAGAATGGAAACCACGTTTCCACCACCACCAAAGTGTGACTGTGTGAGCGAATGAATGATGTATCCAATGTAAAGCGCTTTGAGGGTCTCTGATAAAGCGCTATATGAAATCTGATGCATTATTATTAGTCATCAGATATTTTTGGTCATTTTCAGTCGCCTAATTATACACAAAAGCTTTAACAAATTAATATGCCTATTCAAAGGAAGATTACCATTAATAACTCACTCATACGTCAAAGGAAACGGCAAAGTAACAACAGATAAATCTCATAAACACAACATTTTATTCACTAAAATAGGACTAGTTTTCCAAAAAATTATAGTTTAAAGTCGTAAAAAAACGCTAGAAAACTCACATTCAAAAACACATTTATTGACTACATTTCAATTCAAGCTGCATCAGCGAGCACAAGTTTCCTCTTATTGTTTGATAGCAAATATAATCAGTGAAAATGTGTTTTTTCTATAATTTGAAGGGGTTGCCAATACTGATAATGTGATAAAGCCAATATCTCAATGTTTTTAAGTTTGTTTGGTCCTTTGTTTTTTTTTGTGGCCTGCAGCTACACATCTACCCAATCACGGTTAAGAACTTGAGGGTGGCCAGTGATTGCAACGGGGCCTCTGCCACCCCCACTTGTCCCTCTGGACACACCCATGGCCCAAAGCCTACTGGCAAACACTTACAGCATGTGTAATTGTCAGTCCACTCAGCTGTGCTTTGCGGTGTAAGTTTGGTACATTTGGTACAGCGGACGCCAACGGTATGGAGGTTAGAGCACTCACCGTACCGCCGACAGGATTTGGTGCTCTCTCTCACTCCCTCCCCACATTCCTCATCACTCTCAAACTGTTCCATCAGTCAAGGCTTAAAGCCCTCAAATGAAAAAACTCAAGCAAATTTATGTATAAATTAAAAACTCTAACAGAGTCAAAATAGATACTTTTTAAAAATAAATCACTCTAGCGTAGCTGTTATGAATAAATGAGCAGTGGAGTCAAAAACAAATCAAACAAGGACCGGGGATGAGATGAGGACTGCAGCTTCTGGACATGGGGTCTCTCCCTCACCAACTGAGCCAAACTAGCAGCCTGGAAAAAGGCTCCCTCAAAGTATTGTAAGTTCATCCAAAGGTTGGGGTGAATTCCTAAAAGTATAAAGTTCTCTGAAAAAATCTCAACATATGTATCCACAAACCTCCTAACCAATTAAAAGTATAGAAACGTCTATCTTGGTGTAACGTTGGGTCCCTCGATGCCTCTTTAAAGTGAACAAACTGATGCAAAGTGGCAGTGATATTTAATTGAACACAGCAAGAAGGCGTCTTGTTGTCGCTGCAAAGAAACATCTCCTCAACTCTAACTTTGAGAAAGTTTGTATCATACATTAATACTTTAGTGAACCAAATTAAAGTGTAATTCTGTTCCAATAAATATGGTATAAGCCGGAGCGAAAAAACAGTGACTTACAAAGTCAGTTTTAGTTATTTCGCCTGTAGTTTCTCCATTTATCTCTGAGCTGTAGCAGTTTTTCCCCCTCTTTTCTCGTTTTCTCCGGGGTGCAGCTTTTGTTTACATCCCTTGAGATTTCGGTGTTTGCTCGAGCCAAAGATCATGCTTTTCCCTGTGAGTTTTTTTTCAACGTCTATCTTCGAAAATGATCTGCAAAATAAACATTTTTTCAAGGGGAACATACTTCAGCTTCCACTTCATCATTATTCCTCAGTCCTCCTTTCAGACAGACCAAAACTGCGCATTTGTGAGAGGAGAAAAATGGTTCTCGATGCTGTTGAGACATTGTTCATGTACTAAAAGACGCTGGGCTGCTAGCCTCAACAGAACATACAGTACGTACATATGAAAAACCCTCACATACACAACAGACGGACAGAGACGCCACTCTAGTCATCCAGACCGGCTTTTTTGCTCCTCAAGAGAGAAAGGTTATTTTTCAATTACAAGGATTATTACTTGCAAATGGACCAGCTGAGGTCTGCAGGGGCAAAGAGAAAGAGAGAGAGAAAGGAGAGAAAGAGAAAATAAGAAGTGAAATTAGAGAAAAATAGACCAGGAGGAAGAGGGAGACTCCACAGGAAAACGACATGGCCTTCAAAGAAAGAGAGAGGGTGATGAAGAAAGAGCAGACAGTCTGATGATAAAGGGGAAGGAGAAAGCAAGTCAGACAAGAGAAGAGGAAGAAGTCTGTGGGCAAAGATTGATAGTCTGATAGCCGTGAGGGATAAAGGCCTTCCAGTTAAGAGTCCCCACTTTCCGTGACGGTGGGCTTCATTTCCTCGACGAGATAAGCTTTCACTTAGCAAAAAACGCTGAACAATTTAGCCTAAATGCCCTCACTTCCTGGCTGTCGCTCTGTCTAACTGCTTTCCTCTGTCCCTTTCTGAGGACAAAATTAAGTGTTAGGAGAGTTCATCTTGCATACCTCCTCTGTTTGTGTGCAGTTTCAGCTCACTAGCCTGCTAATACGGGCCTGAAAGCTCCCTGAAGATGCTTTTGTCAGTCCTGGCAATCTCACCGGCCTTTCACTTGTTTGGCTGGTTGGATAACTCTATGCTTGTTTAAGATTTTCTTCAAATCAATATCCATTAAAGAGCATTTAGAGCCAAATATGAGCAGAAGGGAGACGTTTTGTCGCTAAAAGAAAGCTGCACTTTCCTGCTTTTTTCCCCCCCGGGTTTCCAGAAGCTGTGTAGATACACATCCATTACAAAGACAGCCACATAAACACACATATACATTACGCAGGGCCACACACAAACACTCATACACATGTAAGAGGCTCCATTCTGTGACCTATGGCTCATTTCCCTCTGAGCCAGGTGCCCCTATTACTCACTTTAAACCCTCCACCCACTCACACGCTGAAGGGGGTGACCTTCAGAGAGTGGATCACCCACCGCTGTGATATTCACACACAAGAACTCAGCGCTGGAAAAGATGCTGCTCCGTGAACGAGGAGCAGCTGCGTTCATTTCCTGGGGTTGTGATCAAGGCTGAGCAGGACAAACTGAGAGGAAATCCTGGCTGTTACACACTCACGTGCTTTTGACCTTTCTGGGATCGATCTACAAAGAGAAATCAAATAAGCCAGAGGTTGAAGGAGAGAGTGGAGGTGTTTGGGTGTTGAAAATCAGTTCTCGTTTTGCCACAATGTCCCCGGGAAATTAGGTTTACGGAGTGGTAGTTTGTTTTCTCAATTACATCTCAGAGATGAATGCTATGTGATTAACTAAAAGACAGACGCAAAGAGTGATGTTGCAATTAGAGCTGCGAAAACCTTGAATCTTAGCAATCAAATTTGTCTAATTCCTTGTCAAATTATCCCATTACTCTTAATAAAAGTCACATTTCCCTGAGGAGTCCAGAAATGAATCTTGTTTCCAAGATGTTTAAAAAAAAATAGACGCCTGAGTTGCTTGTTGTGTTGTTCGGTAAGACAGAAAAACGCACATTTTTGAGGCTGTAATGAGTAAATGTTGCATATATGTGCTAAAATCAGATCATTTGGTGATCAATCTTATCTCAGTCTGTTATAAGAAACTAAATAACTGCTGCAGCTCTACTACTACTAGCGCTCCAAGTTACTTTTCTGATTGTCAAACTGGATCATGTTCCCTTCCAGTACCCCCCAGTGTGGTCCAGACTGGTTGCACCTGGGCCCCAATGGATTGCCCAACGTGGACCAAGCAACAATGGCCATGCAGTCTCCACAGGGGATGGCTCAGATGGTTTGATGAAGATGGTTTGATGAGGAACATACATGGAAAACACTGAAATTCGCTGACTAGAGAATATTGAATATCAATTTTCCATGTTGGATTAATATTCCAATTCTTTATCCATTTACACACTTCTGGGTTTCCAAACTGAGTCCCAAAACTTGATATGTTTGTTTTTCAGTGTAGTAATCATACCAGTGCTGCAGTATAAAGTATCATCTCCTACATCATGATAAAATACAGCAGAACGTTTGTGTTTAAATGTAACATCCAGGGTTTGACTCACCTTCTATAAAGTCAGATGGCGAGTACACTTTGCTCGCTTGAGTCTTGCCTGCCACACTCTTGCCGTCTTGCTGCGATGATGGCGTGTTGAGACTGTGCAGCGCCGTCTCCAGCACCTCTCCCAGTTCGTCCCTTTTGTCTTTCCTCACGGGCTTCTCCTCAGGGTGCCTCGTCAGCCCCATCTCCAGCTGGTACACCCTCTGTAGGGTGAAACTCTCAAAGGGCACCACTGCATACTCGCTGGGCAACCTGGTGCCAGCTGTCACCTCCGCCTTGGAGAGCTGGCTCCTCAGGAACTCCTGGAGGTCTGTCTGCTGGCTCTTAGCTCCCTGAGCCTCCCCGAGACCACCACCTTGTGATGCAGCCCCAGCTTCTAGTCCTTCTGCGGGGCCTCCTGCAACTCTCTTCAGGCTCTCCTGCACTCCTTTCAGCTGTTGGCTCCGCTCCTGCAAAGCCTCTTTCAGCTGAGCAATCTGCTTCTTCAGTGAGGAGATATGGAGGCGGTGCTGCTCCTCACGCTCTTGGAGGAGCACTTGATAAGACTGAGCACCAGGGGGACCTCCGCTTTGGGGGGCTCCAGCTCGGACCCCTCCTGTTCCAGCTGCTCCTGCTCCAATCCCGGGCCCTGTGCCTCCCAAACTGGGGTAGTTGGGTCCAGCACGGGGTAGGGCGTGACTCAGCGGGGGGTCGTCAGACTGCGGGGGACTGCAGGTCATGACATAAAGAAGCGACAGGGAGCAGCAGAGGAGCACCAGCACGCCTCCGATACGAGACACCCAGGCTAGAAGTCCACGTCGCAACATCGCTGAATGTAGCATTAAATTTCACCGCTGGGATTTAAACAACCATTCACACACACACACACACTCACAAATATCATGTAACCTCACACACTCCAGCCTCAATGATAAGAGCCCATTTGTGATTATGTTCCATCACCCAGTGAGGAAGCCGGCTACTTATCAGTATGAGGTCATTTAATCTGAATTAGGTCATTGCCTCCCTGCCGCCTCAGATTGTAACATGTTTTGTCATTTGCAAATTGAATGTACGATGTTCAAAAGCCTGAAAAAAAAACATTTTCTCCCTCTCTGTTGTTCCAATTAGCTCCATCGTCTGTTGGAAGACTGTGTCCCAAACATTGTTACATCACTCAAATGTGACTCATCTGTTCACATGGGCTCTCACTCTGTCTGTAATGCCTTCTTCCTGTCTGCCAGACTGTCACCAAGCATAGAGAAAGTGTCTCAGGGAAACGTCTCACGGTGATCCAATATTCAGCCCGGATGAAACAGGATGATGCATGGGGCAAAAATGTGGCGTTTCATGAGAAAGCAAATCCTGGCTGGTCAGCGGAGGCTTCCTCATGTTGATTCCCTGAAAATTGAAAACAGAGAGGAAAGAAGAGAGACTATCATTTTGGCTATCCACACCCAAAAACTGCATCACAACAACATGACTTGTGTTATTTAAAAATCTGAAACTTGCCAGGCCAACCTGACATGTCAGTTTAGCACGGCCAAGGGTTACGGCGCCCGTGCCAAACTAAGCATTCCTTCAGGACTGCAGCTCCTGGAAAACAATGTTGTCACTGATGTGTTAGAATATGAGGCAATGTGCGAGGGTGTGTGCTTCAAAGTGTGCAAACCGCATGTGTTTTTTGTTTTATGGCTTGTGTGTAAGATTGATACTGAGGAAACTTGGAATACTTTCATGTATCCTGCAGAGGGACGACTCTATTTTTTATTTATGTAAGTTTTATTTAAACCATGACGTCTCCTGAGATACATTATCCCTATTCTGAGACCCAGAGTGACACTTTTGCCTATTTAAAACCATTACAGTCATTAGGAAGCACTTTATTTTTATGTAGTGTTTGACTGACTTAATCAAATGCAGCGTTTCCAAATTAAGTTTCTGTAATCGTTATTTTAAGCCTAGGGTCCAAAACTGTGTGCTCTAGTTTCTTCTTACAGTCAAAGACATGCAAATGAGATGCAGTTAAATAATCAATAAGTGTGATTGTATGTGTCAATGAACCGTGATGAACTGCAGACTGTCTCAAGTGATTTCTCCTCCCGTCAGTGATAAACTTTTTAAATACTCTCCAGCAGAGGAAGAATACAGCAAAGAATATATTAGATAAAATGTTCAAATGACAGTGTTTCCAGTCACAGAATAATCATTCTTATTTAGCCATCTGGATCAAAGAGTGTCAACACAGATGGGAGGAAAAGCCACCATCCTTCAAATGTAAAGCTCGAACCCAAAGATTGTTAGCTTAGAAAAAAATAGAAAGAAGAGACAGCTGGCCTCTTCTGGGTTATTTTGTAACTTTACAGTATTGACAAAACTGCAGTGAAATGACTTGCACAATAACTGAAATAACAATAGAGAATATTTGCTAGTAGTAGGTGTGTCTTGTGACCAGTGGACAGTTTTATGGGAGCTGTTGCCATGCACATGCTCGCTATGACCTTAGCAGCCTCCTGGTTAACAGTCAGGTGATTGTTATTTAAACTTGTATCATCTCAGACAGAAACTGAATGATTGTTTGAGATTTTATTCACCTACTGATGGCTTAAGGTTCGTATGTTTTAATAAGATACATCAAAACACGTCTAATGCTTTTTTTTTTTTTTTTACAATTAAGGGTAATCACAACAATAGTGTGTACTAAGGTACTACTTGGAGTGAGTAGGCCATGTGGCAGACACCTCTAGCTCTACCTTTCAAGTTTTTTAAAAAGAATGTTTAAAGGGATATTCCGGCGTAAAATTAAGTTATGGTCAAACACACCGTAACACTGAGTTAGACACCCCCTTGAAGGATGAATGTTGCCGACCACTTGCTTCTCTAGTTATACCAACTTTAGTAACAACCGCAAGATAGCAATACACAGCGGTCTGAGGAGCCATAAATAAACCTCAACCAAAACACCACTCTATAGCCACAAATAATGCTCAGAACAGCACCTAACTTCATCAACAGTACATAAAGGGTCCCAGTCATAGCACTAGCCACCAAACAATCTTCACCGAAATGCAATCAGACTGAGACGCTAAGGCAGAAGAACTACCGCATCTGCAGTGCAAAATGATTAATATGGTGATTATTACTTCGAGGAAATGATAAAGTAATGATCATAAATGTTCTTCCTTGAGCTGCGTCACCCCGCAGTAGTGTAGCTCTTGAGACTGCTGTGTATTGCCATTGTGTGGTCATTACTAAAGTTGGTATAACTAGAGAAGCATATGACCAGAAACATTCATCTCTCGACGGGGTGTCTAACTCGGTGTTATGGTGTGTTTGACCCTAACTTAGTTGTACGCCAGAATATCCCTTTAAACATCCTTTTTAAAAAACAAAGTTAGAGCTACAGGTGTCTGCCACATGGCCGACTCACTCCAAGTAGTACCTTAGTACACACTATTGTTGAGATTACATGGGCTCTGCATGCTGATTACAGGTGCTGCTAGCCAGAGTTGCTGGAGCAGAGTCTAACTGGACTGCTTGTATCAGAGTGCTGATACTAGAGATTTTAGATGCAGGTGTTATCCGAAATCAATATCTGATCAGGACATCCCTAGTTAAAGCCAAAACGTTCTAGATTGATTTCACTTTGGACACAGTCATGCTTGCCCCATACCATGTCTTTAGTCTTGTGCTTAAGTCTCTTGGCTCTCACTCTTTGTTTTGTTTTTGCATGAAAAGTGAAATATCATCCAACTCTGCCTAAAAAACATATTTCACATTTGTCCATCAACTTTCATGAAAAATAAAGAAATTGACTATTTTTGAGGACTCAAAATTCAACTCTGACCATCAACTGTAGTAAAAATGGTTAAATGCAATTTTTAAGGGTATACACTAAATGCTACCTTAACACCAAGAGGAGGGGAAGGTATCCCAGGTGTATACTGGAGTGTAAATTTGACTCTTTCTTGAGTATGTACATAAGTGTTTCAGTGTGTGAGTTACAGTACATATCTGTGAACCTATCAGCCTCAGTCTCTCTTGACTCCTCACACAGTTAGCTCTTTGACAGCGCTGCCTGCAACCGAGTCTAATGAAAGGATTAGTATACGGCAGGAGTGAATACTGAGCTGTGCTCCAACAGACGGCCGAATCAGGAGAGCCGGGGCGTCTCTCCAGTAGGACCTCCACTGCGACTCGGAAAATGTTTGAGGAGAGGCTGCACGGGGGAGAGGAGTGGGTGATTGAGTTCTGCTGAGCGAAATATGGCCGCTTTGATGGAGCATCATCTTTTCAATTACAGGAAAACCCTCATGATGTCATTATATGAGTCCATAAATCCTCAGAAAAATACGGCTAGACATTAATGGTGTGGTGGCAATTTAATCACTTTCTCTGCTCGGTTCACAAGCAGACCTCATTATTCTTGTATCCATGTGATCACAAGCTGGGAACCTTTACATAATTACATCACTTCTCCCAGATGACTTTGGCTTTCCTGGTTCCAAGACTTCCTCTAATGAGCTACATCAGTGCCAGAAAGAGGAACCACAAGCATTCTCACAATAAAAAACATGAAGCTTGTTTTGACATCGGGGAAGTCAATTTGTAGTTTTTGTCAGGGAACAAAGAACTACTTTGCATAAAAAAACAAGACAAATTAAAAAGCAGAGACTTGGTTGACACAAACATGAGGCAAATATCAAGTTCAGGCAGAACTCATTGATAAAAAACGAAGGATCAGAGTGAGCTAGTTGTACTCAGAGAGCTTCCAGTGTAACTTTTGATGAGGAGGCTAATAAGGATATTAATTCACAACCACTCCTTCGAACCTGTAGTCAAATGTTCGATTGTGCCACTGAATATAGGATTTTGCCGGTGTGGATATAATACATTTAAAAGATAGAGTTATATATATAAATATAAATAGAAGAACCATGCATGTCTATATTTGGCAACACTGCATTTCTCCTTCTGCAACCTTGCTGGTTTCTTTGTGAAACAGTAGTCAGATACACAACAAACACAGTAGAGGATCTTCAGTGGAAAAGCAGCGATCCCCTGCTGTTCGGTTACAAACAAGGAGACATATCACTGAAAGAGGAGCTGTGGCGGCGGAGTTTTGCAAGCAGAGACTCACAGTCAAACCGCTGGGTCTCACTGGGGATGAATGAGCTGATTCAGGGCTGGTTATTTGACTCCCCATGGGGATAGGCATGGCTGCAACACAGGAACACTGGCAGCTAAATAATCAGGTTTGCTTTCATTGGTGGTGTCTCAACAGGCGTCCACACCTCCTGCTCTGTGTTATCAGGCTTGTAAACATAATATTTATCTTTGTTTGTATTGAAAGGGCATGCTTTTAAACGCAATTATTATTTTTCCAAGACCAAACAAAATATTATTTTAGATAAGGTTGCATAGTTTCCCAAAATGTTGTTTCGTTCTTTATGTTTTAGGTGCAAAAATATTTCTTATATTACACATCTTCATGAATATTGCATGACATTTTTAACCCCTTTTTCTTGTCCACTTCCCCCACACACAACTTTTTCAGTAGTGCCACCAGCTTAACAAAGCTTTTACTGATCCAGGTAATTCGATTAACTTTTACTGGGACAACTTTGACATGGACATTCATGTTTTCTGCCCAGTGTTTCCTTGTGAATTTGACTCCCAATCTCAAAGTTTGTTTTTTCTTCCATCATGAGGTTCACATTTGTGGTTTTGAATGAGATGTCTCAACAATTTCAGGGTGGATTACTTAGGAATTTTATACACAGATGAATTTCCTCCAAAGACTGAACTGCAAAACAATTTTGATCCCTTTGACCTCTTTTCTGTCATCAGTTACATCTTGAACCGTATTGATACTAGTGCTTTGAGTTATTACCAAATACCTGCGAGATTATTCTGAGTTATTCCACTCTGCCTCATATCATCACATAGCAAAAGTTGCTAACTGAGCCACAAATATGATGAAGAACATAGAAAACACCATCTAAGTATTGATGTTGGCCCTTCTGTAATGAAACTTTGCTTTATCCCTTTGCACTTTTACATTAAACTCTGCAAGGGCATACAATTGATGTCCCATTGTGAAAGCAGGACATGCAGTTTATGCAAACAAATAGGGCAAGACTCAGAAACACACACACTGAGCGTTGTTCCATCCTGACGGCGCTGACATTCAAAATGATGCCCTTTGCCTCTGTTGGGCCTCTGCAACCACTTTTAGCCAAGAACCAAAAAAGGTTTTGACTCACCATTCTTAACATTGATGGTAGTAACATTACAGTCCTGTCTTGACCCAATGTGGGCATGTTAGCTCTATTTCAGCATTTTTCTCTCTTTTCAAAACCAACGGTTGATTAAAATCATTTACGGTTAAAATTTATGTCTGTGCTCTTAAGCAAAGTTTGTGGCAGATGGCTTTCGACCATTAAGTCTGTTTCGGTCCAAAGTTTCTGATTGTTTCCCCCTTGCATCTGTTGCACAGGGCATGCTGATTGGCTGATTAGGTTTGGTATTAAAGGGATATTCCGGCGTAAAATTAAGTCATGGTCAAACACACTGTAACACAAGTAAGACACCCCCTCGAGAGATGAATGTTGTCAACCGCTTGCTTCTCTAGTTATACCAACTTTAGTAACAACCGCAGATAGCACTACACGGCGGTCTGAGGAGCCATAAACAAACCTCAACCAAAACGCCACTCTATAGCCACAAATAATGCTCAGAACAGCACCTAACTTCATCAACAGTACATATAGGGTCCCAGCCATAGTACTAGCCACCAAATATCTTTAACTTTGCATAATTTCTTTAGCAAAGACAGTAAACACAGCTCACCCACTCTCTTCCAGCAGCCGCTTGTTTGTAGCGAGACCAAGGACCAGTCCATTGTGAACTACAGTGGGGTGACACAGCTCAAGGAAGAACATTTATGATCATTACTTTTTCATTTCCTTGAAGTAATAATCACCATATTAATCATTTTGCACTGCAGATGCCCTGGTTCTTCTGCCTTAGCGTCTCGGTCTGATTGCATTTCCATGAAGAAATGATCATAAATGTTGTTCCTTGAGCTGCGTCACCCCGCTGTAGCCCGTAATGTACTGGCCCGAGGTCTCGCTACAAACAATTGGCTGCTGGAAGAGAAAGGGTGAGTCTCTTTGCTAAAGAAATCAGGCCAAGCTAAAAAGATGTTTGGTGACTAGTACTATGGCTGGGACCCTATATGTACTGTTGATGAAGTTAGGTGCTGTTCTGAGCATTAGAGCGGAAGTTTAGTTGTTACAAAAAAACCTTGAAAGACAGAAGTTATTATTTAAACTGATGTCAGCACAAGAGGAAATAACGTCATTCAAAAGTGTGAATTTCTGTTTGGCACCTCGGCACAACACTGTGCTTCAAATTTAGACGCCATCATCAACATTTATTCCGAGGACGTTCACTGTGTTTGTTAATTCACATCAAATTATCTCAAAAAACAACTCTGTCCGACTCTGATAGCAAATCAAAAAGTTTCTGATCTTTTAATGTTTTAGAGCGAAGACTTCCCTCACATCACTCCGATCAGGACTGGCACCTGATCTCAGTTTCCTGCTCTCAGCTCTGCTACCGCCTCAGCCAAAGACCTAACAGAGCAGCATCTGCCTACATCTTCTTCACACAACACAGCTAATAAATCTACATGCAACATAAACACTGTCAGCCTTGTTTACCAACAGAGAAACAAGGCGGAGGACACATTTCTTCCACTTCCTGAGATGACATAACTGATAAATGTGCTTTCCCTCCTTATCACATATTTCATTCTCTCTGCTAGAAATAGAGACTGAGACACAGGGACGAGAGTGGTAGAGGGTCAGAGAGAGAGAGAGAGTGGAGAAATGAATTATCAGGTTGCCACAAAGAGGAGAAAAAGAAAGAGAAGAAAGAGAATGATTTAGTATTCGGTGACCAGATATGTTTCCAAAGCAGAGCTCTGCAGCATCTGGTTCAGCCTTCGAAATCACTTCCTCCCCTCCTGCTGCTGCTTCCTGCCCACAGGCTAGGCTGTGTTGTTGGTGTATGTGTGCCCTTAAAAGAGTGTCTATGTGTATGCCTTCTTCACTCGCGGCGAAAATATTAATGTAACCCTTTCAACACCTGTTAAAAAAGCTGTGAAAAGAAGTCCGGGAAGGAAAAAAGAGAGCCAGAGCGAAGAGAGGATGAATTATCCCTCAGTCTTCTGCTCACACTGATGCAGCAGACATCACACACAAGTGGCAGGTTATCTGTGTGTGTGCTTCCCTCTGTCCTACAGCCTACACAGGTCAACTTTTAAATGTCTGAGGCACTTGAGAAGCAACCTCGCGACCCTAACGTCTCCACTAATGTGGCATTTCAGTCCTGCTGTCAGAATTAAAGAGCAGATTCTCTGTGTGCTCTGCTGTTATAATATCTTCAAACCCAAGCAGACCACACTTATAGCCTAATGTATGCACTGAGATCATGCAGCATGTGCTCCTCTCAAAGGCAGATTCACTTTGCAGATTCATTAATTAAGAGGGACACAAGAGGGAGAGTCAGGGAGAGAAAGGCAGGAGACAAAAACAGGACCAGACTCTGCAGACTCTTTCTCTGCTTGAAATGATTATTGTGTTTCTGTTTTTTTAGCTTCTTAACTGCAAATTACCTCCATTCACATTTTAGATGACTCTTACATATATTCAGCTGAAGACATTTGACATTATTCCGACTCTATTTTTAGTAATTGTTGTCTTCTGCACAGTTTGAAAATCCATTAGCAGACTGTTGAAGTCGGTCCAAAGTAAACATCCAATTAAGTTTTGCCATAGTTACACAATCATTGTAAGTCTAATCAAAGTAAAAGGTTAGGCTATTGATTTAATGTTGCACTTCCATAAATCTGAAGAACTGAAAAGAGAGAGAAATTAAAAATGTCCCCGGGGGTTCAAGGTTCTGCTTTTATGGTAATAAGGTGTAGTGTTGCAACTTAAATGCACAAAGTCATTGTAGTAATGTTGATGCTTCGGCCAAGATGCTGGAAAATGAAGGACTTGTTTTTCATCAGCGCCCACAGCTTCTGTATTCCACAGTTAATCGAAGTGTGTCACCTTTCCCATCATGCACCTGTCTTTCAAACATAAAGGCCAAATAGAAGGTGATCAGATGTTTACGCCGTAGACTGAATATAGAATGGACGCTGTCTGCCTCCTTGCTGGATGAAGCCACTCTGAGAACAGCACCCTCTGTTGACGGGCTGCAGTAAAGGTCATAAATCCCACCTCTGCCAGCAAAGCTTATGGGGCTGTGGACAAACATAAAATTTTCTCCCCCCTGCTTGTGATGTTGACATGTAGTCACAGTAAGACTGGTTTGTGCTCAAGTCCTCTTTTTTCTGTGGAGCTCCGTTTTAAAAATTATTAGGGGTTCATATTTTCTTTGATTGACAGCTGATACAGCCTATTGGCATTCAGGGATTCGCCTCATCACAGCGACTCTCGGTGACTCTCCCTCCGAATGCGCACAACGCTACTGCGCAATGCTGGTTTAGGAAATGAAGAAAAATCCCGGAAATACCGAGAGCTTTTTGGCTTCAAATCCAGTCTATGGTTCATGCTAGCTGTGCTCCAGCATAAGCGGGTGAGTTGTCTTTATCTCAAAATCTTGCTGATGTTTTTCTGCGGTCTTGAGAAATGACATTGATGCAGAAGCACTAAAAACTGCAGTACCCTGAGTTTCCACTTGAGGCTGATGGCAGAAGCACCGGGAACTACATACACACTAGTCAAAAAGCCTGTTTTTAGAGCCGAAGTAAATGCGTTTTCAGCCTGGTTAAAAAAAAAAGGTTTTGGTCCGAATGGGTCAGGACCCCCACCACACCCCCTTAACAGGAAGCGGACTATTTTGAAACACTTTTTTTGTTCTGTATTCCTAGTAACTCTACTTCAGATATAAATGGATGGCGTCACTGATGCTACGTCCATTTATTATACAGTAGGGTGACCATACGTCCTCTTTTACCCGGACATGTCCTCTTTTTTAGGGGCTGTCCGGGCTGTGTCCAGCGTTGGGTAGGGAAGTTTATAAAATCCTTCAAATGTCCGTGGTTTTGCCCGTAAGTTTCGATTTTGTGTCACATGGACTTATTTAGTTAGAAGCACGTAAAAGACACTCGATCCGACCCAAAAAACTCTAGTCACGGAGTCGCACAAAATTAGCTTTGTGCGACTCCGTGACTCCGCCCCCCTGTAGTCATGTCCTCTTTTTGGGAAGTCAGAATATGGTCACCCAATTATACAGTCTATGTTACCAATTAGGGAGCATTAAAAGCCGATATTTGACCCGATTGTCAACATTTATATGACTTTTGACCTGAGACACAATGATAAGACATGCAATCGATATTTCAACTTCCCACCCAGAGTGAGATGTCAAAAAAGATGGCCTCCAAGGGAATATGGGCTATTCAATCATGTATCAATCGTTCAGTTGTTGTGAACTGAAAAATCTTACAACGAACGAGCGTACATCAGGCTGCTGCAGAGGAGCAAAGAGTAGCTTGTCTCGAAGGATGTTACTTTCTTACTTTTCTATGCTTTTCATCCTCTATGTATTTTCTTATTCTATAAAAAATTTACAATGACTTATGAATTATTAGTTTGTTCTTATAGGAGTGGATTGAGGTTGTCAAAAAAAAAAAAGCACTGACTCAGCCGTGGATTGAACAGCTCTATCTAATGGTAGTAAATGAGTTAACTCTGAGAACTGCTGGTTTCGTATTTTCTCTTTCAAATCAGATTCCCATATTTATAGTGCGACGCATGGTTGCATTAATCTTTAAACAACACCCCTCCTCCCTCAACCCTCCGATACATATCCGCTCTCTCTTTGTAAGCGTCCTCTGTGATTATCACAAACCACCTGATAACCTTCACAAGTATTCATGTTTAAACTCTGCTCCTCGCCCTCTCCCGGCGCCTCTCTATCCTGTCTTCCTACAGCCTCCAGTGGGCTGTGTGTTTGTTACAGGTCAAGGATGTTAATGCGTTTATGTGCACGCTGGCCTCGGTGAATGTCAGAGCGTTGGTCCTCTCAGACAGCTCTGTCTGAACCCGCCCTCCAGCTATCACACTGTAAAAATGAGGAATGTCCTCTGGGGAGGGAAGGAAGGATACAAGTGGAGGAGGGAAGAGAGGAGGGAAGAGATTAATTAAGATAAATTAAAAATGAATAGGAAAAAAAAAACAATGTAAAGTAAGCCCGCAGATTACTTGAGGGAAGTAATAAAGTGGTAGATTAGATACATGGCGTGAGGAGGAAATGAGGAAGCAGAGGGAAGTCAGGATAAAGTGAGCATGTGGGAGGGAAAAAAGCAGAGAAAGGTTCCTTTGATGTCTCCTGTCCCCTCAGGTGATTCCCCCCCCCCATTCATTAGGGGCCGGTTTCCCCGGAACCTTCCTGTCGACGTGCCATCTGGAAAGCCCTTAAAAAACAAACCGCATTACTCTCCTCTACTCCTCTACAAGCTGCTCGTGTTAACATTCACCACCCGCCCCCTCCCTTCCTATCCGTTGGTCCTCAAAGTGTCCCATTTCTTCACAGTTAGGTTAGATTGTATCAGATGAAACTTTAATGGAGCCTCGTGGGGGAAAAGGGTCAGAAAAAGCAGAACTAAATGTAGATAGAAAGCTAGATAGATGGCAAAACTGCTTCTGGACAGAATAACAGCTCGATAGCTGGATAGCCGGATAGAGAGGGATCAAATCTTTGTTTTCTGGCCTGTTTGTTTTGTCTATAAACCAAATGAATCCATCAGCTTCTGTTTAATTTGCTCCAGAAGACACATCTGGCCCCTCTCCTGTCAGACAGATTTCCATCTGACTTGATTTAGGTCAGGCTAATCACTGCCATTGTCAAATTTGGGGCGGTATCAGACCTTGTTTTGGCATTTTTGTATTGAACTGTGAAGGCTGCCTCTGGGGCCAAAGTGAGGTCAACATCCATGAGTATCTGTTTGGTTATGTAACTCGTGTTTATTCCTCTGAACTAATTTGTCGCCTTGATTGATTCATTACTTTGGTGTTTATGAAAGTTTTGGATATGTTTCAGCTCCAGCCCTGATGGTTTCAAACAAAGAAGTATGAGATGATAAAAATAAATATGAAAACATGATTCAAAGGGAAACACACATAACTCTACATCCAGTTAGTGCAACAAAAAGTCTGCCAGTCTCTCCCTCCTTTCTTCGCAATCAGCTCACAAAACTGCACAATCAAGAGAGGCAATTTATTTTTTTATGGGTGGTATTTTTCAGGAGACATATTTATATTTTTGGGAGTTTTTTTGCCTTCATGATAAGACAGATGGAAGAGAGACAGGAAATGTGGGGGAAGACATGTAGCAAAGGGTTGTTGCCAGGAAGTGAGGCAGCAACCACTGCAACAAGGATGACAACCTCTAAACATCCAACCTGGACATTTTTACTGGTTGGTTTAAGACAGACCATCTTCTGACTTGCTGTTGATGGTAATAAAAGGCAAAATAAACAGAGTGAAAGAAATATATGACCATCATTCTCAGTCAAAGGGAGGTGTGTGTGTGTGTGTATATATATCTTCAGAGAGTGTGTATCTTCTATAATAATTCTCATTTCATGAGCGTCCATCAGTGTGCAGTACTGTGAAGCTCTCTGCTGAAGGTCTGCGAGTCGGGGATGATAAAGGATAAGAAAATGACTTCTAATTTTCAGTTTGACTGCCTTGTTTACTTTACCAAATCTCTCTCTCTTTATTTTATCTCTGCGTCTATCACCCACTTCTGCGAACTTCAGCCTCCTCCTTAGGTCGATAACATGACTGGAGGTCTGTTTTTTTTTTTTTTCTCACAAGCTCTGGCTTTTTAGCACAAAAGTGACAAATATCGTACTGTTTAACAGAAAATGGTCTTGAGAAGTATCTTAACTATTGTCAACTCGTATTGCGTTGGACTTTAAAGAGACAAACGAACTGTTAAAGTGAAGTGATGCAGTTTTTTGGTTGCTTTTGTTTTAAGCTCAATACGTGTTTAGGTCCACAGCCCTTAATAATGCCTCAAAAAGTAGAAAATAGAACTAATTCTGGGCTAAAGTCGTCTTTTTATCCTTTTTCTGGTTATTTTTTCTATTCAGAGGAGATACAAAAGAGGGGGATTTTTCATCTTCCATAAGAAGACTGGACTGAAAAAGAACAAAGGGAGTGGGGTAAGGACAAGTGACGAAATTACAGCGTGAACTGTAAAAAAAGAGTGACTTTCATGTATGATTCGGTTTCCTTTTCTCCCATCAAAGAGCCGCAAATACAAATCAAAAGCAACACCTGTGGACTGTTTCACTATGACAATTTATAGTAAAAAATGAGTACATGCATTAATTATTAACTGTACAAGTTAGCAAAAGAGCAGCCTGATGAACTGACATTTGGTTTGATGATTAAATACATCAGCTTTCAAATTCAAGATGAGTCAACGAAAATATTTCATGTTTGACGAGAGGAGAAGTTTGACACAAAAAAGACTCCAGCGATTACTATTATTTTCTCTTTGCAGCGTGTAACAAAAGATTCATGAATAATTTACTCAGGGATATCATTACCGCAAATGTTTCTTCATATCAGAAAGTCAGGTAGTACAGCATGTCAAGGTTGATCAGCCTGAGAAATCCTGCTGTACATTCAGCGCCTCAATTTTAGAAGCTATCATTGCCGTGAGGCTTCACACGTCAGGATACAAACTGCAGAAACTGTATAGGAATTTATAAAGAGTTTATGTATCATGATTTCTTTCCCGGATTATATTTTGAAATAAACTCATAAATAAGCTCCAGTATCCAGAGGTGTGCTTTATAAGCATTTAAAATGGTATCAGCCAGAGATGGATCTGTGAGCCATCAAAAGCCAGTCCCTCTGATTTAAATGAACAGAGGGCAACAAAAACATCGATTTTAGTGCCCTTAGAAGTCAAAAGAGAAAATTGATCCCTTCCATAAACCAATGATACAACAACAGCCACCGCCCAATTCGACAATGTGCTATAAACAGCGTGTCCCTGCACTATAGGGAACATTAGTTAGCACTCCCTCATTTAGCATAACACAATGAGAGACCACAGTGCAGTTTTGATAGACATAACTCATCTCTGGGTAATTATAGTGAGATACAATAAATCTTAGTTTGTTCAGTGAAGACACTCCCTCTATAAGAGGAGTCACAGTTGCAGACAGTGATTTTACAAGTGGGAAATTATGACTTCTCGATGATACAGCTGGTTTCACCGTATACACAGACAATTTATAGCATATACTTTGACATCATGTTTAAGGAAACAGAGGCTGCGTGAGGATACCATCAAACAGATGTGCTCGAGTCTTTTTGAACGCTCTGAATGAAGGAAGTCTGAGGGGTTGTTTCCCAGTTGGTCATTAACTTAATAAGACAGGAGACACTGGGCCATAATTTCTGTTGTTATTTGCCAAACAATAGCTATACTTATCTATTTTCTTATGTAAACCTCATATTTGATAACTTGTTAGTCATTGTTGGACAAGAGCTAACATCAGTATCTAAAGGGATATCCCGGCGTAAAATTAATCTAGGGTCAAACATCCCGTAACACCGAGTTAGACCCCACCCTTGATAGATTAATGTTGCTGACTGCTTGCTTCTCTCGTTATACCAACTTTAGTAACAACCGCTTAGCAATACACAGCGGTCTGAGGAGCCATGAGCAAACCTCAACCAAAATGCCACTCTATAGCCACAAATAATGCTCAGAACAGCACCTCACTTCATCAACAGTACATAAAAGGTCCAAGCCATAATACTATCCACAGGAAATCTTTTTAGCTTTGGCTGATTTCTTTAGCAAAAAGACTAAACACAACTTACCTACTCTCCTCCAGTAGCCACTTGTTTGTAGCGAGACCTCAGGCCAGTCCATTACGAACTGCTGCGGGGTGACGCAGCTCAATGAAGAACATTTATGATGCACTGCAGATGCGGTAGTTCTTCTGCCTTTGCATCTTGGTCTGATTGCATTTCCATGGAGGAATGATCATAAATATTCTTCCTTGAGCTGCGTCACCCCGCAGCAGTCTGTAATGGACTGGCCTGAGATCTCACTACAAACAAACAAGCGGCTGCTGGAAGAGAGTAGGTGAGATGTGTTTAGACTCTTTGCTAAGGAAATTAGACAAAGCTAAAAAGATGTTTGGTGGCAAGTACTGTGGCTGGGACCCTATATGTACTGTTGATGAAGTTAGGTGCTGTTCTGAGCATTATTTGTGGCTATAGAGTGGCGTTTTGGTTGAGGTTTGTTTATGGCTCCTCAGACCGCTGTGTACTGCTATCGTGCGGTCGTTATTACAGTTGGTATAACTAGAGAAGCAAGCAGTCTGCAACATTCATCCTTCAAGGGGGTGTCTAACTTGGTGTTATGGTGTGTTTGACCCTAAATTAATTTTACGCCGGAATATCCCTTTAACGCTCATACATGGCTCTTTGTCCTTCCAGTTTTCACTGATATATTTCTTTCAGTCTTAGTGGCCCATCAACCCAAAAGCAGCTAAATGATGATAATTGTTCAGATTATCTTTATCCCTGCTCTGCTGCAGTAACACATTATAACAACATTATGTCTTCAAACCCTGAGAGTGATATTAAAAAAGATATTTTCCTTGAGTGAGCGTAGCTGATCGAGCAAAATATAAAAAAATAAATTTGACACAAATTGAATTAATCCGGGGGGTGACACAACCAATCTGTTCATCAACATTCATCTGCAACATACCGCTGCGATTTCACACCACCTCTTTTTCAATGTCCTACGGAAATGTTTAGCAAATGAGTTGAGAAAGACATTAGCAAGTGCGAGTCAGTCAGGGCCAGAGCTCATTACTTCCCTCTTCTCCCTGGACACTAAACCGCCACACTGACTTTACTACCACACTGAAGTGCAGCATTCGTCAACTGTAGCCTCTCTGCATGTGAAGGTGTACTGTTTTTGTTTGGCTGGTAGCAAGTACAAACAGGTCTTATTGTTGTTTACAGCAACGAATGTGTCTCAACCGGCTCCACCCGCTGCTATTGAAAATACATAGTGAAACAGAATCAGCCCTCGAGGCGAGATATCTTTCATAAGCTCTCTATTCAATTTAATAGATTTTTGTAAACCTGTATTCTCTAATGAGCAGGGGCAAGTTTAATATAATCACAGGTTTCACTACAGTGCTGGGGCTTCACACCAGCGTCATTACAGCGTTACTGGGTAAATGTCCTGTTAGATTTTTGTGATCTGATCTGTGAAACATGAGATTGAGTGTGGTGTGTGCTGCAACACAAAAATACACACTCACAGACATGAACTAAATACACAATTAGGACACAGCCACATAAATGCACAGGAAGCAGTTTTATCTCCGAGGCACATGAAGCACATATATGTCACCCAGTATCACATCAATTTTTCCACTTAATCACTCATATAGGGTGCAGGCATGTCTGGTAATCTACTCTCAGCATTCAGCATGTGCTCACTCTGCATAGTGTTTCTCTTCCCTGCTTGCTAAACAACCTCAAATCCCACATAATCTCCGGCTTCATTCTTCCAATGTGTGAAGAAAAACAAGTCTGCCAGCTTGCAAACCAAATATTTCAGGGTGCTAGGTGCCTGTTTGTGAATGCACTAAACAGGATTAGAGCAATTTTTCCTGATAAAACCACAGGCTCGCTCAGTATGCAGTGTGCAGTTTGTATGTTAGAGTGCAGGACACAGTGTGGAGGAAAAAGCTGCACTTTTACTGAGTGCTTGTAATTTCATTACCTGGCTACCTACTAGGAATAATTGTGGGCGTTTTTTTTCCCTGTAACTCCTGCGAGAGTTAAGCTTCCACTTGGCTCAGACAGGACCCACAGACTGATAATCTGGCTGGTATTTCTAATATTTAACATTTAGTAATGTTTTACTTGTAACAAAGAAGGGAAAGTAATCATTGAAATGAGTAAATAAAGCCTCCTCCACACACCTCTCATTGATCACAAAGAAGCACTTTATCTTAAAGAAAAGAAAGTTAAACAGTAATTTTAGACAAATATTCACAGTCAACTGTGCTTTAAATAAAGGAAGATGCACAACTAAATCTATATTTAAAGCGGTCTTTCTCAATAACTTCACAAAAGTAGTAGGATCGACAGGGAAAGATCTGAAGTTTACATTAAACAGTGAAAATTATCAGCGTGAAATCAGCCTGTGATCATTAAGTCAAGAATTTATGATCATAATTTAACATTTTCAGGTATAGGTTAACATCTTGTGATCTGTTAAGTAGCCCTCCCACTCACCTCCTGTCCCGGCTCTCGTTGGATCACTGAAGGCTTTTGTTTTGTCCCGGTACCGCAGCGGTTCTGCCTCGCAGCTCTTCAGCTGTCTACAGCCGACTATCGCAGAGTGCATGAGCGGGTGTGAGCGTTTGTACCGCTGAGGAGCGTGAAGTCAGCCGTAAAGAGAGAGGTGAATACCTGAGAACAGAGGGGCCGCCTTCAAAATAAAAGCACATGCATGGAAAGGCAATACATAGTTCTCAAACACTAATAATGGCAGGGAGATTTTTGAAAATTGACATTAAAATCACTTACATTACACAACAAACATAACCAGTGAAAGTATTCAAAACAACAAAAAAAATAATCAAAGCATGAAAGTAAAAATGAAATTAAAAAAAAAAAAAAAAAAACTAATAACAATAATGCAAACCCAACATGTCCAAAAAGGAGTAGGATGGAACATGATGCTTTTTTTAAAAAAACCTACCCCTTCTCCTTTCCTTAATAATAACAGTCAGTCTCCAGCAAAATTAAATTAAATTAAGATAATGATTAATACAATATTATTATTATAATTTTTTATTATCACCATTGCTATTATTATCATTATTATTATTATTACTATTAGTAGTAGTAGTAGTAGTATTAGTAGTATTATTATTAGTAATAGTAGTAGAACATACAGTGCTTTGGTAACCAAGCCAAACAAAAAGGAACACACAATAACTACATGTGTAATCCTAAGTGTTGGCTTCCTTTTCATTATATGTATTAAATTTAATGTTATTAAGTGCCCCTGTAGGTAAATCAATATGCAGGAAAATGAAACAATGTGAGGTGCAATATGAACCACATAATGTAACATGTCTAGGACTCCTTATACATCAAAATTGTAAAAGTGATCAATTATTTTTTAATAATAATTATAACAACAACAACAACAGTAGTAATAATAATAATGATGATGATGATGATGATAATGATTATTATTATTATTATTATTATTATTATTATTATACAGAGGAAGATGTGAATTTAAATCTGTGTGACATAATATAAACAGTTTGTGTGGGTCTGTGTGGCTATACATGCTATACATGTTTTCTCTTTCTTAGGGCCCTGTGGTATTCAGGTATTGCCTTTTTTTTGCTCCTATCCCAGGATGGGTCCTTTATTCATACCACAAAATTCTAGTCCTACACGAACTTACAAAGTTAACAACCCCTCATTTTGTTTTGTTTAGACCCATGTCTTTTATTCTGAAGGTCTCGAGCGGAAGTTGTAATTAATAGCCTGGTTATCTTGACACTGGCGCTCTTTCTTTGCAGGGTCCGCCGGTCCACCCAGCACTCTGCCTCCCTCCCTCCCATTCTGACATAAAGACAGCCTTGTTACTTGCTTCAGGACACCGTTACAGCAGCAGAAACACTACCGCCTTTCATTCAACAAGTCACACTGACTCCAATAAATGTGAAGTCGGCATAAAGGTCCATCTTCATCTGAACCGACCTGAAGACGAGGGTCTGTATCAGGCAGCAGGCAGGAAGCACAAACATCAAACTAGAGAGCTCAGGGGAGATTTTTTCCACCCTTTGGTCTCGTTTAAAAAAAAAAAAAAGTGTGGTTTTACATTTTAATTGGAGACTCGTGTTTGAACAGAGACCCCAACATTCCTCTACAGACTGCTAAGTGTAGACAAATTCAATTAGCCTATAGCAATTACACAGATGGGAATCTACAAGGAAACCCTGGTAGTCTGACATATTTGACAAGTTCTGCAACCAAACTGGACTTAGGCTGAGAGATAGTCCAAAAGTATTGAAAGGCTCAATATTGGGACACTGGAAATGGGGCAGGGGAAAACTGTCCTGTGGTCAAAGGACCCTGGCAGACCTGGACTACGCAGATTACATCTGCTTGGTGTCTGACCGCGTGGAGCAGGCACAGGAACTACTGAACAGAGTGGAGGTGGAATGTGCTAAGGTTGGCCTCAGACTGAATGCGAAGAACACTGAGGTAACTACCTATAGCTCTCACATGGACCATCCGCTGATTACAACCTCAGATGCCAATGCTCTGCGAGAGGTCAATAACTTCAAATACTTGGGTTCCTGGTTGAACTCCACAAAACAGGACCTTAAGGTCAGGAAGGCACTGGCGTGGAGGGCCCTGAACGGTATGTCAAGGGTATGGTGCTCGAATCTCTCCAGACATATAAAGCTGAACCTATTCCACACCACTGTGGAGCCCACCCTCCTGAATGGCTGCAAAAGCTGGACCCTGACACCCACCCTGCAGAAGTCCCTGGATGGGTCAAACACCAGAAAGCTACAAGCTGTTCTGAATGTGGACTAGAACATCCACATTACCAACAAGGTCCTGTACGGGCAACTGCCGAGGCTCAGCAAGAAGGTAGCATCTAGGAGGCTGGCCGGCCACTGCTATAGACATCAGGAGCTGTCAGCCAGCAGGCTGGTCCTATGGGAACCAGCACACAGGCACAGTTCGTGAGGACGTTCAGCACTAACGTATGTGGACGTCCTGAAGAAGGGTGTGGGAGCTGGAAGCTCTTTGGAGCTGGCCGGGTGTATGGAGAATCGGGAGGATTGGAGACTCCATCGGAAGCTCGTCTGAGGACAACCGAGAGTTCCCTGATCTAGAGAGAGGGACCACTTGGCTTGTTATTTAAAGCCAGCATCTATGACGGTAAGAGGATGGGGGTGCCTAAGTGAACATGGCGTAGGTTGCTTACACACCACGGAGGGCACCATTAATGCTGACTGATGTCAACAGATTTAGGAGAAACTGCCATCCTACCCAGGAAGAACTTAATTTCAGCGAAACCATGTTTTGCATGAACAGCATATCCCTGGTTGAGCTATGCAATCTTCGTATGCCCATAGGCTGTATCAGGTGTCAATCATAGAAAACATGAACTCCCTAAATAACTTTTAAAAATGGAGCTATACAGAAAAAAAAGACTTGAGCACAAACCAGTCTTACAATAACTACATGTCAATATCGCAAGTAGGGGGAAAAAAAATTATGTTCTGCCTAATAAATTTCTAAAGTTTGTCCACAGCTCCATAAGCTTTGCCGGCGGAGGTGGGATTTATGGCCTATACTGCAGCCCGTCACCAGGGGATGCTGTTCTCTCAGTGGATTCACCCAGCGAGGAGGCAGACGGCATCTATTCTGTATGCAGTCTATGGTCCAGGTGCTAAACTGGCATGCTTGGAGTCCCAATTTATCACCCAATGAAAACATTTGGCACATCATGAAAAGGCCCTGTAGTGTTAAGAAGCTGTTATCTTGCGTCAGACAAGAATGACAAAAACAACATATGATGGTTTCCCTTGAATACAGAGTTTTGCAAACCATCAAAACCATCTTGTAATCCTTTTCAAGCATCCAGACTTTATGAGCCAGCGTAGATTATTGATGGGCTTCATCAGTTTGGCTCAAGCATGCCAGAATAATGGGGGTACACTTGACCTCTGACCTCACATCATGTCACACTCACTCACTTTTAGAGCCGATGTGATAAAACAATCACAAACACCCCTACAAACAGCAGGATAATGTAACTTCCATTTAAGCCAATGATAACCTTCACAGCCTGTCATCTGATGTGAAAAATGTGTAAGGGAAGGCGAGGGTGAACTCGCCGCCCTCAGATTCCAACATCAGAATGGACCACAAAGACTCCCTTCAAACTTATTTTAAATCTCATTTAAAATACTTTCCCCAAATACTCAGCCTCACTAGGGTAAACACACAATCTATATCTATGCTAAAAAAATGCTCTTTTTAAAAGTTTGAGGAATATAAACGTGTCTCGAGCTGCTCAAAAAAAATCTTTTTTCAGTGTACGTTGGAAATATTGCATGTCAGCTGGGCAAAAATACACTTAATCTCTTTGCAGATAAATATGAAAACAGGCCTCAATTTATTAGACCTCACATAAAGGTCTAAAATCTAAATGGAGACATATAATAATAAAACCATTTTTGAGCAGAGTAGCACTTAAAAAGGTCTTAAGCTTGAGAAACAACTCGCTCTGGACTTGCAATTTATTAAGTTTATGTCAATATTGATGATACTCATGAGACATTGAAACCATCTTTGTGTCAGCTGTTTTACTATGTGAGGGTTTGGGTAAGATTTCCTAAAGCGATTTTGATATTTGGCTAAATTGGGACCCCTTGTGGTTAACTGAAGAACTGCAGCTTCTTTCACAGGAGTACCTGAGGAACGATGATCCAAACCAGATCTGTATAGCTGGAATAGAAATCATCAATCATCAGCAGATATAACACCGTTCTGTTTAACTTGTATAGTAGAGTCTCAAGCTTTACCTTTATCTTGAAGGAGTTGCATCAGTTTATACTCTGATGGGCTGATAGACGTAGGAAGGCTCTTTTCCTACACAGTCCTATGAGACACACCTGTGTTGAAGAAAGGTGATGAATACACCTGAAGTGAGGCGAAGCAGAATAATTTCCCCCCACAGGAGCCTTCAGGCATAAATTAATGTGACAGCTTTTTCTTTGATGTGGTATTACAAAGCTGGAGATAGTGGCCCAGTGCAGACTCATCATTATGTCCTCATCACGCCTGTTGGATGTTTTCTGCGCAAAGTGATAACAGCGGCGTCAGCATGCACAAGAGGGGGGGAAAGCAATTAGTGTGAAGGCTGTGAATGTGCTAGCATGTTGGGAACTGTGTCCTGTGGGCTTTGTGTGTCATAACAAGACTTAAGGGAATCCTTTTGTTTGTTGGTTAAACACACACACACACAGACACACACACACACAGGCTCCTTGACAAAAGGAAATCGCACAAACAGTGAAGTAAATCCACTCATAAAAACACACACAATCATATATTTTTTTAATAATATCCATCTTAACTCATAAAAACAAAATAGAAAAATATATAGGCAGCTCAAGGTTGAACTACAAGACAGACTTTAGAAGTAGAAAAGCGAGAGTGCTTTACAAGCTCTCTGTCAAAAGTGGGCAAAGTTAAAGGGATAGTTTGTTTTTTTCTAAAGTTGGGTTGTATGAGGTACAACACTGCTGCAGATGGAGAAACTTGTATATTGAATTGCCAAACAAAGTGGCTTTCCGACCACAAAGCGCATGAAATTTTCTCCGTGAGGCACAAATGCATTCAGATTTACATGCTTACTATAGATGGGTACCTCATACAATCTTTCCTCAGAAAACCAGAACCAAACCTTTAAGCTTTTTAACACACCAGCCTCATAAAACACCAACTAGATTTTCAACTCCAGCACAATTTCTCTAAAGCAGCACGTTTCTCACATGTGAATCACACTCCTGAGGATTGCCGTAAATGCATAGGCTGTTCGCTAAAAGTCAAGTACTAGAAAAGAGACGTTTCAACCCTTTTAGATTGAAAATGAACTCATCTCCAAAGCATGGCATGAGCAATATGATTAAAGTATTATTTTTGATAGGTACACATTTTAGTGTATTTTTGAAGTACAAATAAATCCTGGATTAGACCAGAACAAAGAAAACAGATCAAGGTCAGTTTGAAACAGCAATATAATTTGCTCTTTCAAAGCTTTAAATCATCATGGGAAATTACTGCGACAGTTGGGAACCACAAACTAAAAAAGAAAGCAGAAATATTTCAGTGTTGTCCAGCTCTCTAACGTGGCTGCAGCTGTGGCAGGGAAGGGCCGACTTTTTCCTTCTCTCTCCCCTTTTTTTTTTGGTTTTCTATCCCTTAAAGTTCTGAAAGATCTCTGCAGCGTCCAGCCAGGACCTGAAGCAGGCCAGACCTCGGTCTCTGATCTGTTTCCTGCCCTTGTCTGTGATCACGTCTCCGTTCTCCTTTACTATCACCAGTTTGGGCACTGCTGTGATCTTGTAGCGCTGCTTTAACTCACTGAGAGAGAAAAGAAACACAAAAACAGTCATTATTCTTTAAAAATTCTGCAACACATGCAGCTGAATATGACATTTCTACCTGTATGCTGTAAACTACATTTATTTCACACCAATCAAAACAAGATTTTACAGCATTAAGAGTGACCAGGGCTGCCACCAATGATTATTTGTATTACTAAATGCATGTAGACAATAACTTTATTGATACTTTTGTTTTTAAATGAATGATGATTTTTAATTTCTCAGAGCTGGCTGTCTAACTTGTTTTATCCAATTAGGGGCTAAAATCCCCAAAATATTCACACTTTTTATCATTTGTGACGGACAAGCAATAAAATCTTATATTTTGAAATTGAAACTTGAAAATATCATTAATTTGAAAACGTTATGACCAATTATTTGAGCTGTAAGACTTTGATTTTATGTCTATTTTAAGTGCTTTATTTACTCTTTTTTCCCACTATGAATACATGATAGCTACAGAAAAAGACAAATTATTTTACATTGTTTTATTTTGAGCCACTGCTACCATGGTATAGCGGTACCATCAATGCGAAGTCTAAAAAACTGCTGGATCACTGCTAAGTCCTTTGGCAAATACCTATTTTTTGACTTCTTAACTATTTTTTTACTGCTAAAAAATGTCAAAGTTTCTACAATTCCAGTGGTTGTACTTTGAGTTTTGTTTTTGTTTTTTTCAACTATGATTGTAGACTGAATGTGAAATGTTTTTAAAACAATTTTCTTCAACTGAGCACTTTATTTTGTTCTGTCTTTATAGCTGTAAATGCTGCACTTACTAGATTTGTCATATAATTCTTTTGTAGTGTTCGCTGTTTGCATCTGTGGATTTGTTAGAGAGGAGAAGAAAATCGGCAATTTGATTTTAATAGGCCATTTATAGTTGTCAAAATGTTTTTTGCTTTTCTCATATAAATCAATTTATTCCAGGAAAGGATTGGCCTATTTTACTTTGTGAGCTATTTTTATTTAAGATATATTTGTCATTTAAATGTGCACCTTATGGAGCTTTGATTAAAAAAAGGTACTCCTGTGGTTATACAGTCTTCATGTTTACATTGTTTTGTCCTTTGGTTGGATGAAATTATGCTCAGCTGTCCAGTTTAAATAGAACTACTTGGTGACATGTCATATTTGGCTTTGACTGTGACTAAACATTTGCTCTCACTTTGCGATAACAATATCAGGATATACATCGTATATTAATATTCAGCCTAAATATATCTGGATATTACTTTTTGTCCATATTGCCCAGCCCTACTTTACACAATAAATATGGACTCAAAAGCTGTTTAAAATGCCAAAAAATAAATTGCATATATGAAATAAAAGTGTGATTAATCAGGATAAAAAAGACAATTACATCATATTATATTACCAGTATATATTATACAGTATTTTTATACAGTCCACCTATAAATACACAACATCATGCATAATAAATACTGTTTTCAAGTGTGCACCCTGAGTCATTTTGATGGATTGAGTAGGATACCACAAGATAACACTGACAAAAGTCTGCAATGTACTTTAAAAGACGAGTTTGGTTTAGTTTAACGCATTAAGCTGCTAACACTTCCAGAAACCCTTTCAACTCAGGACTTTTTTTGTCTTTTTTTCAAGTTATTGCACCAATGAGGCCCTGTGCATCCCTGACTACAGTGTAAATAAAGCTCATAGTTTAGATAAATGAGATGAGTGTTCAGGAGGCTGTGATAGACAGACTGTCTGCTCTCCACTAATCTCTGAGAGGGTGACCCTTTCAAGTGTTTTACATAAGCTGAAGCCTAACAGACTAATAAGACAATAGCATTAGAGCATAATAAGATAAAAGCTGAGCAATTTTAACTTTTGCATGTAAATTAAACAAGTGAAAACATTTTGAAAAGTGACAGGACTCTAGGAAGTACTTTTTATAAGTTCAAAAACCAAACTTTGAAAACTTTTTGTGTTTTGATACTCACTGTTTGTAGTCATCTGTCCAAGGCAGGGCTAACCAGTCTCCGTGCATGTCATGATAATATTCAACCATGTCGTCCGCGGACTTATCAGAGGAGATAAAAACTATTTCAAACTGAGCTGGAGGTTCAGTTTCTTCCACCAGCTCCGTGTAAAAATCACACAGGATGGGTGTGAAGTCTCGACAGGGTGGACACCAACCTGCAGAGAAGTAAATCCCCACTACTTTATTCCTCAGCGCTTCTTCAGGGTCCACAAACTCCCCGTCTTTATTCAGCAGAGTCCGCCCTGTAAAGACCTCCACCATCTCTGCTCAAGTCTCCAACCCTCTTCAAAATAAACAGGTGGAGGTGTGACCGCTCGGGCTCACATTTCCGTGTGTTACTTCACCTGTAATGTGAACCTTTCAGCGAAAGCTACTTACAGCCAATCCCGATAATCACCCGCCGACCAATGAGGACACAAGAGCAGCCTGTTGTAATTCATTAGCCATGTGAGTTTGAAGGAAAAGCTGCTGCAGACAGACCCGACGCGCCTCGTAGGATTGGCAGGACCGGCTGCAGTGCGACAGCTCACAGCACTTTACGATAGCCTGGGCGTGCGCCTGCGCAGAAACACTAATGGAGCTGCTACTCATCTTTTAGTGTTTACAGTCAAGTTTTACCTACAAAACTTTACGTATTAGGGGTAAACATGCTTAAGAAGTGTCTTAAGACGAAAAAAAAAAATCAAATGTGGAATTTATTGTGATTTTTTTATGCTGAGATTCTGAAAACAGGGCTAACTCTTTGGCTGAATGGCTGGCACCTACCCCCTCACATGGGTTGAAGACATTAAAAATGATAACATAAAAAAAGATTAGACTTGTTGCCAATCATCTCGTTTGTTTTTGTCTGTTAAAACAAGGCAAAAGATGTCAAAGAAACTCCTCACAGGAGATTTAAGCATACTTGACTTTTACATCTTATAAACCAATTATAACACTCATGAAGCTTCTAATCATTACCCTCTCCCTTTCCCTCATTTGTGGCCTCTTCTTTCTTCCTCTCCTTCCCCTCTGTAGGAGTAAAACAAGAAAGAAAGAGTAAGGAATTTCTTTTTTTATCTCCACTTGTCCTCCTTCCTCCTCCCATTTCCTCCATATTTAACCCATTTTACTCCTTCTTTTCCCTTCCTCCAGCACTACAATACTTACAAAGCATACCAAAATGTCATCAAAAGTTAAAAAATAAAATAAAATTATAAGAAGTGCAATAAATTGAAATTTTCTACATACATTGGTGTATGAATCATGCTCCTCTTTCTTTGGATGAGTGGACAGAGGTCTTTGGAAAGAAACTTGGCCACTCCTCCCCTGCCAGCGTTGTCTGCCCGTTAGTGGAGTCCACTCCTGTGTTGAAAGACCAAAGGGAGGTTTGTTACAGGGGGATTTTTCTCTTTTTCCAAAACAATTTTACACCAACATGACGTCTAATTCTAATCTATCCAACATGAGACGGCTGGTGGAACAACTGAAGCTGGAGGCAAGCGTGGAGAGAATCAAGGTAAAGAGGAAAGAGACAATACAGGAGACAGACTAGAGAGTTTGTAGTTCACTGCTTTAGTTTCTTGTTTAACTGTGTGATACTTAGGGAAAATTATTAATTGCTTCAATTGTTGTAAATGTTAATTTTTTACCTACTTACCCTGTTTCAACCTGGTTGTCTGAATACAGTTTCACCTGCTCATTATATATTATCCCCTCAGTTCATTGCTTGTCTTAAAGTTAGTAAACTACTTTTTACAGCTTTATCAATTACTTACAAGTACCACAGATTTTAGGTTACTAGTTCTTGAAAAGCATCAGACTTGTTTTTGTGCTTTTCAGCCTTTAGGTTTCTCAGAAAAACCTTTTCCTCTTAGTAAATAAAGGGTTGCAAGTTTGTTATGCCATACTTAACTATCAGTTTTGTGGTCCCAAAACCTCATCTGACATCTGCATTTAAAAAACTTTTACAGTCCATGTATTAAAGTGAAAATTTGACTTTAAGGTCAAGTCAAAACTTAAGCCTGTTAGGTTGATCTGATTCACGCTAAAAGGAACATTTTTACTAAATGTAACATGAGACAAGATGAATAGTACTTCTACTAATGGGCTATCATCATTCCTACTTATTGTTTTAGTTACTTAGTCGTGATCGTCAGCCTGCTGTTGCCTGGATTGCAGGACAATATTTTCCTTCATTTTACCCTTTCACGAATAGCGCCAGGTGGCTCCTCTTGTTCTCACCTGCACTCTGTAACCATCATTACTTCTCTGAAAACAGCGCAAATGATCAGACGACTGTGATCAGGTTGCTTTTGTCTTTGAGAGTCACACCCATATATCGTCGTGCATATTTGTGGTTGCAGGTGTCTCAGGCGGCTGCAGAGCTGCAGCAGTACTGCCTGCAGAACGCGGGAAAAGACGCCCTGCTGGTGGGAGTCCCCACAGGCAGCAACCCCTTCAGAGAACCGCGGTCCTGTGCTGTGGTGTAAAGGTCAGGGTCTGTGCAGGTGCAGCTTTTATTCATATATAAGACCTGTTATTGAGGCAGCATTTTAAAATGTGAAACCTTTTTTTTTTTTTTTTTTTTTTTTACAGGAGAGGAGAGAGAGGACACATGGTGGAGGAGAGAATAAGTTTTGTTTTTGACTGTTTCCTTTGGATGTTAATTTCATGAGGAAAAACACAACATGAAGTTTTAAACATTTTAGAGTTTCAAATAAATGTCTTCTTTTACATTTCTGTACCGCCTTGAGGATGAATTTTGTTTGTTAAACGTCATAATATCTTACATTACTTCTTTCCTGGTCAGTCTGTGAACGCTGTAAATGTTAACAGAGTTATTATCTTTGAATTGTCGAAAGCGGATGTTTATAGCCGGGCTCTAAATCGTGCATAGGAATCTGGTAGAGTCAGAGTTTCCTGATGTTCAGTCTAAGTTAGGAGCACGGGCAGAGAGAGGAAACGGAGTCTTCCTGTTCAAAACTACAAACACACTCAACAGAGTCACATTTCACTCAGCGTACAGGATTATAAAGACTTTAGAAATTCCTCAACAAGCTGCTTTTTTAAACAAATAGAAAACACATGATGAGAGCTGGAAATTATGAATCATGTCCTAATGTAGAGGGTGTATTTAGTAGAGTGTTTTTGTATATTTACTGTATTTAATGTGGTTTTTTCTTTAAAACTGTGCACAATTTTACTTAAAACAGTCTGAATCAGCCCTAAAGATGTCTAGCCGGTCAGGCGCTCTCCTCTTCACCACTTCCTTTTCCTCTTTGTACACTGTGAGTGGACGAGTCTTGATAGTTTGTGACGCCTCCTTCCCTTACAGCCTTTGTTCAGCTGTATGACACACTGAAGGCCTCAGATGTTTGTCCTTTTTACTTGTTTTGCATTAAACAAGGAGAATTTTTGAGTATTTGAACATTTGTTAAATTTTTGTTTTTATCCTACAGCACATGAAGAGTTATCGTATGATTTTTTTAAAGAGCAAAAACTTCTCTAAAATTATGCAAAGTATGTTGACCAATATTCAGTAAGTATGTTGACTGATCATACAGGTCCTTATCTGACAGAAAATATGAGTAAATACATGGATGTACCTCACTGGTTCATTAAGCATAGGTTACTGCCCCTTGTGGGTCGTATTGGTACTGCATGTGGGCTGCCAGTGGTCCTCCAAATTCTACTAATCAGGCTAATTTGTTTCTTTGTCAAGAATAACACAGAGACAGAAAGGTCTGATTTCCTGTAAAGGCATTCATAGAGGTTTTATGACTCTCATAACCATCTGTTTACCATACATCACCCAGCTTCAAACTGACTAAAAATACAAACACATTAATCTTGATTTTTAAGATGGTTGTGTTGATTCAAAAGTTATTTTCTTATGCAGCTAAAAAAAATAATCCCCCAAATTCCACTTTTACCTTTCCTGGCTAGTGTCTTTGCAGTTTTCCTAGTCTTGTGTTCTATCTCTGCAGATATCTAGTTATCTTTTAACCACAAATTTAAAGTTTCAAGCTCAAAGCTCCAATGAGGAGTTTTTTAATCTTTATGAAATACACTGGAATTCATTTTGGTGCCCAGACCAAGAGGAAGCTACCTGCTGCAGTCCAATGAGAGATGACTAGGCACTTTTAAGGAATGACTTTCCAAGATTTATTGTGAATCTTAAAGTTTAACAATTTAACTCTGCAGGACACAAACACAAAACAGAACCTTTAGTTTGGGCTCTTTGTGCAACACAAAATCAACATTTTTTCATTGTTTAGTATTTACTGGAAAAGCTGGCTTACATTGTTTCTCTTTCATTTCTCCCTCTCTCCAAAACAAGTAGCCTGTTTTTCATACCTACATTGAATCATAGGAGAAGTATGAGAGGTAGAGACAGCCAGTTTATTTATTACCATTGCCTTGACTTTGCTGTTTCATCATGCAGTGAAGTTCTGGGGTTGCCTGTTCACACTTCAGATAAAATCAAAGATGGAGAATCTTCAAATATTAGGGGTGTATTGCAGAAAAGGTAAAATTTCAAAGGAAAAGTGATGTCTTATGCCATCTACTGGCCATTGGGAAAATGAACATATCAGCTTTCCCAAGCAGCAGAGCCAGTGATGGATTAATATTCAGTCAAAACCCAAGTAAAAAAAAAAAAATACTCTATTACAAGTTAAACACTGCATGGACAACATTATTTAGAACAAGTATGTATTAACTAAATTCCTGATTCATAGTTTAGCTATATATATATATATATATATATATATAAATAAATGGCTGAATAATGTAAATACACACACAACTTCACTGATTTGTCCTCAAAAGCATTGTCCTCTGTGAAGCATTAAATTAAACCCACGTTTGTGGCAACTTTATCCTTTTACCTTGCAAAGCCCTGGCTACAAAGTTGAGAGTAAAGCACTTTGTAAAAGAGATATTTCAGTTTTCAAAACTGCTTTCCAACAGAAAAATGTAACTACCACAATCCAGCACTATTACACAAAGAGACTGAAGTATGGCTCTGTTACTACTTTGATTAAAAGACCTAAAATATAAAATAGAAGACTTTCCCTTTAAATACAGACATGGTATAATATAAAGTACCACACAAAGGATTAACATTAGTTGTAGCCTTTTGAACATTAATATTATTATTCTCTTTTTTTTTTCTTTTACAGTAAAAAGCAGTTAAATCAGCAAATACTTGATGATACTGCAGTGTTTCTGATTTTGTCCTTCATCTCTAGTTTAATCTGTTAGTCCAGGGAACCTACGAAACTCTGTTTCTACCTCATTGTGTTTCTCTAAGACACACACAATGGAAAGCTTTGCAGCCGAATTGACAGTTGTTGTTTCTCAGTGAGTCTCACGCCTCTCACAATAATTTTAAGGACACTAAGTGGAGCTGGCAGAGAGGTGACGTTATTCCTGAAAGAGCGAAAAGAACCTGCATAGCTTGAATGGAGTTGTTCGTATTCTCCTTTAAAGGTGTGGGCGGTGCAGCAGAGAGCAGGGTTAGGTTTCAGGGCCGCCCCCCTTTCTGTTTTTTTTACTCTCACACACACATGCACACACACACACACTGGAGAGCAGTCTAGCCGAGGGGGCAGTTTGTGTGTGAGAGTGAATGTGTTCTGGATGACTATGAGCTTAATCGCCATCAATGAAGGACCACAATACAGGACGCCACTGGGAAACCTGCACGGCTTGTCCACACCTTTTTCAAAGGTCAACGACCTCTGAAGAAGGACTGATCCAGTTTGTCTTGGATTTGTCATGAAATTGAACTTTCATTTACTGGATTTATTTCAAGTGAAGAAATGGCAAAGGTTTACAGGGTCTGTCTAGGAATAATAACAGGTAAGATTGACTGTTTTGAATCTTCTTACTTATACCTGTGTTTAACTTTCCTTTAAACTCTCTTCAGTATAAAAGTTTTTCAACCTCAGATAGACATATTAAAGTGATGTTTACACTTGATTCATATTTCTAATATGTGCTTTCCCACTTGAAGAGACACACGTACGGTCAAAAATGCGATTGTATGAGTTATGTCTGCTGTTTTTGAATTGTTGACACACTTTTCAACACCCATGCGCCTTTGAAGCAACGCCGCTGAAGCCGGTTTGAAGACAGTGCTCTCTCTTCACAGCCATATTTGAACAGTAGATTTCAGTGTAGGTTAATGATTGAATGAAGAGTCCATACACCAGCAATATATCCCCTGTGATTACTTATCCTTGTCAAAACAGGCTTCCCTAATAGGGAGTATCCTGGGTTTCTACAGCTTGTGGTTTACTTTCATGTCATCAAACCGCCCTAATAGCTGCCTGTTAATAGGGTTTGTGTGGAGCAGTAAAAGTGCGTGTTTGGGAGGAGTGGGTGTGAACAAGAGAAATCACTCTCTCCAACCCAAAAGGCTGGCTGGCTGACATCATGACTCAGCAGGATTTCAGTAATAACTAGGGTTGTGATTGTACTTTTTCTTCCTGTCATCACTTACGTAGATCCTACACTGCGGCTGAAATGTCATCACAAATGTTTGTCCGGTGCACACGTGCACACATTTGTTTGTTGCGTGTGTCTGTAATTGTCTCTTTGTGTGTCTGTGTGTCTGTCTGCAGCTCTGGCTTTGTGCAAATACTCTCTGGCAGAGTGGAATGTCACCGAGAAGCCTGCCAACCACACTGTGTCAGACTGTCATCACCATGGCGACAGAGAGAATTGCACAGGTAGATATGGACAAGAAGGGGTAGGGTGGCGATACCTTTGTGGTGTTATAAACGCAGCGTCGAAGTTTCAAGGTGTAATGGAAAATTTTGAAAAGCAGACGTGTTGATATAAACACTCAAACACACACGGAAACAAAAAGTCAGGGAGTTAATGATAAAGAGGTTCAATTCTTGGCTGTCCAGAGAGTTTAGGAGTCATTCAAGTGTCTAATCTGATCAGGAGTCTCTGGGCTGATTGTTTGCGACTTTCTCATGCTCTGTTGAGAAGCAGGGGGAAACAGCAATTATAATCATTAAACCTGCAATCTTGAAGTTCAGTTTCCTAAACAGTACACTCCATACTACAGAAACCCTGGTCTTTGAGTTATCTTTCAACTATTTCCAATCATAAATGTGTACTTAGCATTTCAACATTTGTCATCTACTATAACTGAGGTGTATTGGAGAAGGAACCGCTCGTTCTTACCAAGCGATAAAATGTGTCTTTACATCATGTCAAGTGATTTACGAGCTGCTATAATGTTTTTTTTTGCTCAGAGCTAGGAAGCTATAAAAACAGTAGTTACAGCCGAAACAGCTCAGTAAAGCAGCTGGAGACATCCGGCTTTGAAACCACATATTCCAGTTTTTACAAGATTTTATGCAGATTTAAAAAGTCATATTACATTAAAAGTACTTGGTGATCACTTTTTGCTGCATTTGCTGCTTTTAAGGTTAACTGTTTTTTTTAAGCTAAACTAGCCTAAACAAGGACAAGTTTAATCAATTACTAAACAAATAAAGAAATAAATTTGAGCTTACCCACTTTTTGTTGTCTCATCTCTTCAAGGCTAGCTGTCTCCTTTGTTGAATACAGCTAGTAACCAACAGCAGGGATGTTTAGAAAGCAGCAGGTTAGCTCTGGTCAGAAAAGAGAAACCTCGACCTCGCTAAAAAAAACAAAAAAACACACTTATCTTCACACATCACACTAATCACTTAAAACAATTATCACATGCTAATCAGCTAGCTTAGCCAACATTATACAAATTATACTTATTATTCAGTCTTTTCTATACTGACTGTTTCCCCCCGGAAAAAGGCAGATTCAACCAACAACTAACTAACTTATATTTTGGTATTTGGACACATAAATCAATCATCAGTTAATTAGGCAGCCTTGGCATTGGTTGACATTATTTACCAAGTCAAGTTAGCATGTTACTCATTACTCAAAATTCTTAAACGATAGCAATTATTTTACAGTGTAGTATTTTTGGTCTGTGTACTTGGCGGCCAACAGATTTTCGTTTTCAAATAAAAAAACAAAAATCAGGAGATGGGCCGTCTCCCGACAACCAGTAAAACGAAAAACCGAAAACAAACTGTTTTCCATTTATCATTTTAGTCATTAAAATCGGAGAAAGAAAAAACAACTCGGTACTTGACTTTCTGTGATGTGGCTTTAAACGGAAATCGAAGATCAAAATATGTGCGTGGCAATCTAGTGTTTCAAGTTTTATTCACTTGTTTGTTGAGACCCGGAAGTTGTGATTTGGAGCGACTGAGCGAGAGGCTCTCGATTTTTGTTTTTTCATTTGACAACGAAAATCTGTTGGCTGCTAAGTACACAGACCATTTTCTACATATTAATTTTTGGTTTTTGTTTGGTAAAGTGCTTTTAAACATTATCATTTTTTAGGTGAGCTTTTTCCCTCATAAGCTGATCTCATCCGACCACTTTTTGTTGCTGTATTTTGTGAAAAGTCAGGACAGTGGCATCAAATCCATTACCTGAGCTTACGCTCATCAGGAGAGCAAATTAACTTATTACTCCTTTGAACTTTGTAACTGGATATTTTTCTTTACAACAACAAGGTCAGGGCAGCAAGCAGGGTCTCATGTTTCTCCGAACAACTGAGGCGCTCTCATTGATGTCACCTGAAAAGCAGTATTCTTTTACAGGCTCATTTTCAAAGATAATTTCATGAGAATGGGTCGTAAAGATAGCGGCGGCTTTTAGGGAGCCACCAAGTGTTACCGGGGTCAGAGGTTTAGCGTTATGGCCCACTTACAGCTGCATGGAGATGTTTTAGTCTGAAAATATGTGCAAAGAAGATTAAGAACCAGACTGAAACATGGGAATTATTGAAATTTTAAGCATACGATCCATGAAATGAAAGATATGTAATTTGTGTGACATATGTGGTTAATGAGACTTTGGTGACACCAGGCTTCTCCGAGCACTGCCTCATCACCGGATCATTTTGCAAACAGTCTATTTATACATCAGGCCATGTCAGGATGTGAGCATGTAAGTCAAAGAGTCAGGCTGACAGGAATGACACAGTCACTAAAATAAGTGTGCATTTTGAAAATAAAGTCGATGAAAGGTTGGTGACAACATCAGTGCTGCTTTAATGACGGCACATATATTTGATTATTAGGGTCACTAATGGGATTGAGTCTGAGAAGTAGAAACAGCAAGAAACAGGTGGCCAGAGGGGTTTATATTCACCTTCAGTTCCAGCCTTTGATGAAATGAGATTTAACTGAACCATCACTAAACACAAGCCAATTACGTTGTTTTATCTTTTTAGTAGATACAGAAGATACTGACGAGTGGGGCGGCCACTTCTCAAAATGTCCCAAGGAGTTGACACACTACTGCATCCATGGGGACTGTCGATACGTCACAGATCAGAAGACGCCATCTTGCAGGTGAGAGAAGTCCAGCGCAAACAAACAGAAGAAAAAGCACTTTGGAAATAAAAAAAAGAGATGGATTGAGTTGTATAAAGGTGGGCAGAATGAGTGGAATTAAGGAGCTCGGATTTGAATGTCAAGGAAATGCAAACAAAACTAATAAATTCAACAGTGGAACCGTTTCATTGGCATTACTGTACTGTCATTAAACAGTCCCTTAATGTTAAATCTATTTGCAGAAGCACATGAGCTGACAGACAACTGCAAGAAAAATTCACATTGAATAATTGACTATACGTATACTTTTCTCTGTTGTATTTTTCATTCCTGTTATTTTCAATTCCTGTGTATACTCACACATGGCAGAAATAAATGATATAAAACCCTGAATCTTAAACCTTTAAAGCTCCTGTGAGGAACTTTCTGTCTTTGTTGATTTTGGCACCCCTTGTGGACAAAGTGGTAATCATTATATTTGTTGCTGATTTCATCTCATCCCTCGGAGAATTGCGTCAATTGACCATAAGTCTTCCATGTTGTCTTTTCACGAGAAAATGTCACATTGAATGCGATGTTTTGCTTTAGAAAAAGTAAAGCCTGGACAGTGCACCCACTCTCTTATAGCAGTCACAGGCATCAATTATTACAATAAGGAAACTGTCCATCTTGTTGTTAATGGCCTCATTTGCATTTGAACGCAATAGACTCTGTTCATTTCAGTCTGCTTCATGACCAATCAAGAACGCCTCACAAAAGCTTTAAGTGGTATTTTTTCGTCTTTTAGATGTATGTATGGTTACCATGGTACCAGGTGTGAATATGTGGACCTGGGCTGGCTAATAGAAGAGAGACGATACATAATAATCGTCGCCACCATCGCTGGGCTTGTCTTACTCACTCTCCTTATTGTTTTCATCTGCTTCTGCTCACAGTAAGTGAAATTCTAATATGCTAAATACACTTTCATCCTTGACTCTGGCTGTTTTCACGACTTTGTTTTCAGCCAGTGTTTTGGTCTACTGTATGTTTGAAAAAGGATATCCTTACATGTTACGTCTCTGTCAGTCGTAGATGCAGACTGTGCTGGCGGAGGAGAAGACGAAGAGAGGAGCCGATAAATGGAACAGAGAAACACAGCATGATGGACACTGGAGCAGCACACACAACATTAGACGCAACAGAGGCACCGCAAACTAACACAGTTTAAGAGCTGTGTGTGAGCTCACGTGGGACCAGGATTGTTTGGACACAAGAGAATTTGTCCTTTGATATGACAGCTGCTGCCTTTTGTCTCAGTTTGAGAGCAGCAGGGAGCTGCAAGCGGCCTGTCCTGGATGGGACTAAGGCCTGCTCAGAAAGACATTTACGGAGAAAGTTCATGTCTGGTGGTGTTAGATCGAGCAGAAGCACCGGCAATCGCACCACTCCATGTCTGAAAGTTTAATGAAGCTCTGGAACAGAAGATGCCCTCCTGGATTTTGATCAAGACATGTTGGAAATGGTTGTTCAGCTGGTTCTGAGTTGGCAGGGGAGGCTTTTTTTTTTTTTTTTTTTCCAATGGCATGGAGCCACATCCACTTGTAGCCTTAGACTGAGCACTGCTGACTGCTTAGCACTAAATAAATTGTTACTATGTTGGAAAAAGCTGTGGCACCAGCTGGCAGCTGGTGATAACGGTTGAATGGGGTTATTTGCGTGCATGCAAGACACACTGACTGTATGAAAAATGAAAGACGAGGTGCTGTGTGATGACAGAACTCTCCATATTCTCTTCGGGAAACACTTTTCATGTAAATAAGTTATTAAATGTTTAAAAAAAATGTAATGCACAAAGCACCAGCAGCTACAGGATGCTGTGTGGAAAGACTCCATCTTTGTGTCATATTGTTCCTGTCATTGCTCACAAATGTATATTTTTTGTAATCAATATGACAAAATCAATATTTAATTTAAGTTATTCCTGTTTTTGAAGCAAGGCCTCTGCATTAACTCACACAGAATATTGTTACTCGGTAACATCTGCAACGCAAGAAATGCTTTCTATATACTAAATGGTACATTTCTGGACTCCAGAGGTTGAAGGGGGACAAGGAGAACTTGTGCGGAAGGCTGTTTTGAACTGTATATTTGGAGCTGAGCTGCGTCCAAGCTCAAGTGGCAGAACAGCCGCTCCTGTGTGTGTGGAGGCTCCGATGAAGTGAAAGTGTTCCAGTGTTTGAGACAGCTCTTCCACAGCCAGCCCTCTCTGGATTTTTAATGTTTATCTCTATTAAGATGAAACGTGGAGTGAAGAGAGCTAAGAGACAGTCTGTGAAGTCTGTGTATAAACCACCTATTAATAAACAAGGGCACTCTTATATGTGGTATCATTAACTTTGATTTAAACTACAGAATAGGACGTGGCCAGATCTGGTGGAAAATATGATACTCAACATGTGATTGAACTTTGGTAACACTTTATGATGTGTTTGTGCTTCCATGGTGTTGAATTACAAACTGGAGTATCATCCAGTGAGAGTCATAATACAGTCACGCCCCCTGACATAACGTGCTTTAATCCGTCTGTAACAAGGGAATTATATCGTATCAGACTTTGACCTTGTTTATAAATCTCAAATGCCATTCCTTGAAATACTGGCCGCCAAAAATCAATGAATAATGTGTGGATTTACAAGGGTTTATACAGGCCAAAAGAGAGAGACAGGGGCTATCCCCTGGAGCCAGACCTTGGGGGGAGCTTGAGGCAAGTGTCTGGTGGCCTGGCTCTCCGTGATACCCAGCTGTGCTCAGCCTAAAATTAGAATTTGGAGCATTGTTCTGTGAGGCCACCACCTGAAGGGTTAGGCATGGATATCAGGTACTTTTAAGTCAGATGGTGGGCAAGTCAGGCCCCGGGCATGTTCATCTCTGACAGTGTAGATTGGTCCTTTGTCTGGCGGGTAAGACACCACAGTTGGTGCAGTAGGTGGAGAATACTGACCTGATATGGTTAGATCTCACTTTCACACACACACACCCCTGGCTCCAAAACTGCAATCAGGAAAAGCTGGACAGACATAAGCAGAGAGAGAGAGAGAGGTGGGTGGAGTGGGGCTCTCACAAGCAAAGTGAGCCAAAGTTGGGAAGTTCTCTTCAAAGGATGAGAAAGTCCTCTCCTGCTGCAGAGGGGAAGGCTCCAACTGTTCGTGCACATACATTTAATACTGATTCAGAGCCTCCTTGAAGTCTGGGCAAGGTACTGGAAAGGGCTCTACCTGTGGACTCTACTGTCACTTTAGGGGACTCTTCGACGCCAGAGTGCACAATGATGGAAAATATCTAGAGGAGGTTGACTTAGCATCTGATTCTTCCACTTGTCTGATCTGAACCAAGTAGTACTTTGTTACTGAACTGTGCTAGGCATGGATTGGCGATAATGAACAAAAGGTGGTTTTACCATGTCATAATGCGCCAAAGATGGTTGATCATCTTTGTTGTCATGTCATTGAATCTGCAGCTGTATTTCTAGGTGAGCAGAGAGATCACCTGACATTCTGTCCAGAAATAAACCTGGTATGATGCTGAGATATCATTTCTTTAAAAAAAATAAAGAAATGACGACTGCAGACGTGATGCAACAGCGTCAAAAGTAAAGACCATGGACCTAACAAGACAATTGATCCAAAAAGTGTTAAAGGGCTATTCCAGCACAAGAGAGATAAGTTATAGTTATAGTCTAGTTATACCAACTTTAGCAACTAAATAGCAATACACAGTGGTCTCCGTGGCTATGAGCAAACCTCAACCAAAACTCCACTCTATAGCCACAAATAATACTCAGAACAGCACCTAACTTTATTTACAGTACATATAGGGTCCCAGCCATAGCACTAGCCACCAAACATCTTTTTAGCTTTGCCTGATTTCTTTAGAAAAGGGACTAAACACAACTCACCCACTCTCCTCCAGCACCCACTTGTTTGTGGGGGAGCCCTGACAAGTCGATCACCGAGTGCAGCAGGGGAACGCAGCTCAAGGAAGAAAATTTATGATTATTTCTTCATCGAAATGCAATCAGATGCTGATGCTTCAATGTCAAAAAAGTGACAATCACAGAACTGATGACACACACACACACACACACAAAATAATAGAAAGGGGAAAACTGCCCGCCAGGTGCAAAACAAGTTAAAATAGTGATACGTACTGACCTGATGCTACAAATGATTTTTAAAAAGTGATGATCACATCCTGACAGAAAAAACAAATGCAACACTGACCAATACATCATTTAAACAGTGACTACTGCAGATCAGATGCAAAAACAAAAAAGTGAAGACTGCAGACCTGATGTAAAAAAGTTTGAAAAGTGAATACTGTGAACCTACTGAAGAAAAAAAACATCAAAAAAGTGATTGAAGCAGACCTGGTGAAAATAAAACATGAAAAAAGTGACAACGTTAAATCTGATTCCAAAATTAAACCAAGTGATAGATACTGACCTGATGACTAAAAAAAAAAAATAGAAGGACATGAACAAATGTCAAAAAATATGACCACAGACCCAGTGAAAAAGTTTCAAAATGATGAGGACTGTGGCCCTCATGAAAAAAAAACATTCAAGATGGGAAAAGCATCAACTGGACAGGAAAAAAACAGTGTTAGAGGACACGGATATGTGGGCGAATCAGTGCCTTTTCAGTGGACATGCTCCCTCAGAGGTTAAGTAAGGGGCTCAGAGATCCACAGGGAGTTTGAGGTAGAGTTACACTGCTTCTACCTTCTTCAGAGCAAGTCTAAGAAGGAAGAGACCCCAGGATGGAACTAAAGCCTGCTGGAAGTATTTTTAAGCCTCGTGTGGCCCTTAAATACCCCCTAAAGAGTTGGATAGTATTACTGAGGCAAGGGGTGTCAGTATTTTCTGTATATGCACCTTAAAAACCCCTGTTGTTTCTGCTGTCTACCACAGATGTCACCAGAGAGAAAAAAAAAACATTTACCCTGGCTAATATGATTGTGAACTTCTTCACATTGAATGCCTGAAAATCATTTAAAAGACACACCAGGGAAATAATGGAACAAAGAAGAAAAAGGAGGTAATACAGGCTTTTTGCTCAGTTACTTTTTAAAGTCTGTCCTAAACTTTCCATTTTAAAAAGGCTTCATTTCAAGGACATCTATTTTCTTCTCAGCTCACAACAAAGGTGTTTGAATCCTTGACCTAATTTCAGGTGACCTGTGAGCTCAGCTGTCTTCAGGAGAGTGACCGCTGAGGAATGCTGGAGTTTCTATATGAGGGGTGTGTCCTCGGGGATAGAAACAGCACTGATAAGAGACAGATACCAGACACTCTGCAGTGGAAGTTCGATATGCAACAGACACTATAAAAACTCTTTCATAAATCCTGACGTGTCGTGTCGTTTTCAATCACCTTTACCAACAGTATATTTTAGCGGCCTCTGTGGATATTAGACTTTGGGTGACGTGTGGATGTGACGCAGGGTTCATTCAGCTCAGTCTTCACACTAAATGCTGACGGCTCCATCTGTTCTCTGGCATGTGTGCAGGCTGCTGGCACTAACAGCTGTGATATGACAGCAAAACAGTGTGACTGGAAGAGATTGTGGACATACGGTGAGGGGGTGGAGTGGGGGCGGTCATAAATTCTTCTTCCCCAATTCAAATCAGTCAGAGTTGAGAGTTTTGTAGTTAGCACAGCTTCCACAAGAGGTCAGCAGAAGACCTAAAACAACAATCTCCAAAATATTGAACAGATATTCATGAATGAATTCATTTACTGAGATTATTTCTCATCATTTGAAGTGTGAATTAATTTTGTGTTACTTTATAATTTGATTTCTCAGTCTGTCTGCCTCTTTATATCACACATGAATAGGTTTCTTTCATTGCTCCATTTATATGACAGGTCAAGGTGAGCTACAGCTCATGAAAATCAAAAATCCACTATCTCAAAGCTTCAGATTATTACAAAACACTATGCAACGTGGCATGGTGACAATTAGCCTGTGTCAGTGCCAAGGTTACTCCTTCAGCTCGTCCGTATTGTTGCTCTGGTGTCTCTCATCTGTCTCTTAATGATCCTCCAGACATTCTTTACGGGGTTCAGGTCAGGCCAGTTGGCTTGCCAATCAAGCAAAGTAATACCAGAATCAGCAAACCAGTTGGTGGGAGTTTTGGCGTTGTGGGCAGGAAATCTTTAGCTTCTCCGCACATGGATACATAAAGTGCTCTACAATCTCCTGGTAGACTTAAAGCTGTGTTGACTCTGCACTTGATAAAACACAGTAGACCAGGCATGTCCAAACTATTCCACAAAGGGCCACGTGGCTGCAGGTTTTTCTTCCAACCAATCGAGAGCAGCAGTCTGACCTATCAGCTGTCTGAAGACTGGGATCAGCTGATGAAATGAATCAAGTCTGGTGTGCTGCTTTCTTGGTTGGAAAGAAAACCTGTAGCCACATGGCCCTTTGTGGAATAGTTTGGACATGCCTGCAGTAGACCAACAGCAGCAGATGACATAGCACTCCAAGGCCCAATCCCAATCCACCCCCTACACACTCGCCCTCATAATGAAGTTACACTTGTAGCTATGGAGCTGTGTCAACAGAAATGGAAGGGTATAATCAACACAGGGGGGTATGGGACGCCCTCCTCACTTCACCGGAAAATGGAAAGATTCATCGCCATAGCAACACAGAGACACTTCCTGTGCAAGGCAGCTTTTATATTCTTAGTAAACGGACATCATGTTCAGCTCTGAGCCGCTACGGCTGCCTCGTTTCTTCATCCTCCCAGTAAAATCATAAATCCAGCAACCATTACAGTGACAGGAGCTAAATTAAACTTCTGATTGTTGGTGATTCCACACGTCTTTAAAACCCCTTTACTATTTGACATGTGCCTGCACACTCAAATCAAACCTCAGCACAGAGTAAGATTTCTGACTTCCGTTTGATCTTTCCAAACCACATCTTTTGTGATATATATATATATATTTTTTGTCAGTAAGACAAAAGTGGACACATACGGAACTTATTTTCATATGTTGTTTCTTCCTCCTCCATTTTTACTGGCGCACTACCTGCAAACCCGGCCGTAAGATTGCATCGGTGCAGACTCCCTATTGAAGGGCTGAACGGTCCACTCGCCCTCCTATGGCCCTCCTTCAATATGGCGGAGCCTCCGCGGGGACGCACAAACGGAGGGAGAGAGTGTATAGGGCGAGTGTCTAGGGGGCGGTTTGGGATTGGGCCCCAGTCATCAGACTGTGAAAACTTCATGTTGGACTTCTTTGGATTCTGAGCTTCTCTGATCTCTGGGATCTTGATTTCTAAACAAGAAGCCAAATTCAAATTCATCAGAAACAGAAGTTTGAACCATTGAAGCAATAGTTCAGTTCTTTTTCTTCTCGCCCCAGGTGAAACTCAAGATGTTGCCCTTTGCTCAGCAGGAACACAGCACTTGTGGCGCATTTCCTGGACCTGTCTGTGTGTAGAGGCTCTTGATGCTCTGACCCCAGCTTCAGTCCTTGTGAAGCTCCTCTAATTTCTTGAATCTGCTTTGTTTGACAGTCCTCTCAAGGCTGCAGTTATCCCTGTTCCCTTCCAGTGAGTGTCCCTGATAGACACACACACACAGCATCTGACCTCTATCAATTGTATTTGTCCACCTCACTCAGTAGAACTAACTTTTTGGCCAAAAGAAATAGCTGTAATCATGTCAAATCCATTTTTTGACCGGATAATACTGAGAGCTCTAAAGGGGTGAGAGTAAGCAGAGTGTGGATACTGCAACTATCTGTGCTGTTCTAGAAATCAATTTCCTTCAGGACATCAGCTGTCATGTGAAGAAATCCTCTGAAGCATAAGGAATGAGAAAACCATCAGTGATATGACAGGTGGTCCAGACTGGACAGGCAACAGTTATACCTGAGATTATTCCTGTCAAACTTTTGTTTTCTTCTCTCACTGCTTTAAGTGAGTCCATTGCAGGAGAGTTGCAGCATAGATGCGTAGTACAGAGCTCAAATGTTCGGAGACAGAAAATCAGTGTGATGAGTCAAATTATTATTCAAGGTCAAGTAGATTGACTGTCATTTCCTATGTATTTGTCAGTTTTACAAGTGCAGTCAGAAATGCAGAAATATGGTAACAATGCTGAGCCAACATCGAGCATATAAAGTGTAAAACATTAATATTAAGAAAGAAAGGAGTTTTTTAATGCTTATGAAATAGTCTGAAATTCATGTAGATGCCTTTTTATGTTAGTGAAAAGCAAACAAGACTGTCAGAGACGAGACTGAAAATTTGTATGTGACCTTCTTGGTGCAGAAGGGGGAGGAGGAAGGTGTCAGTCACGCAGCTGAAGAAACAACCCCCAATTTTACCATTCCCACAAAAATGTTTACAATAAATGACATATTTGAATGTTAAAAGTCAGCAGAATGACATTTCAAGTCAAAAGCATTACTTCAGCTCTTAGAGGAAAGGTAAGTGAAGACTGCTTTGTCCACAGGGGGCGCCAAAATTAACACAAACAAAATGTTTAAATTAAAGTACAGTTGAACTTGTTTACTCCAAACTTCTTACAGCTTATCTTCACACAGCCCTCAATAATAAAAAAGGTTTTTGATTTTGCCATTTTCACTCTAAGTGAATCCTAATGTTTACTGATCACAGCTACTTCTGATTCGGACTAAATACATTATTTTGTGATTTAAATACTGACACAATGTGTAACAACCAAAGGCGTAATGGTGGGTTGAAGTTGTTCAGCCTCCGGTCCTCCTTCAGAGGTAGTAACAGAGACCGAATGGGGGTAAGGAGGCGGCAGTTGAGCCTTCAGGGAGGAACAGCGCTGATGCACCCCTCATGGTCCCCGCAATGACATAAGATGAGTGTAAGGACACGCCGGAACATCAAAATTATGCCATTTTGGAGTGGTTTGTATAAGAAGCTATGCACATCTAATTTGTGTCAACATTTAAGGAAAATCTCGGCTGAATTTTTGGCACTGTTTGAAATCTGATTTTTCAGTAGAGCCTTCATTTAAAGCTTCGGCTACAACCCTTATCTTTCCCTGAGAGTTACAAAAGCACCCTGGATGTGACCACTGACCAACTCTTTCATATCTTACCCTCCTCCTATGCTTGCATGTGCATCTTCCCTCTTTACATCCATTCTCATATTTTCGGCCTTATCAACATGCTTGGCCTGACCTACCGTTGTTCTGATAATTCTCCAACAAAGAATGTGTCAGGGACCAAACATCAATGCTGATGGAGTTCATCCCCTACTGAAAGCCTAGATAATGAATGGAGATATGCTTTTTCCAACCTGAAATAATTACTTTGCTTGAAACATCCCATCTCTATCGTGACACTATCTGTTACATTTGATGAAAGAATGATGCATGCTGAATATAGACGACCCGCTCCATGAAAAACAACTTCATATGTTGATGCACCTTACTTTTATTCTGTTCAGTTTTATCTGTGGTTTTCCTTCACACCTGTTGAGCTCAATACTTTATCTGTACCACATTAACAAACCAAATTCATCTTTTCTCTGTGTTGCAAAACTGAATCAAATAAATCACAATCTGGACTGATAATATTCGCAGCCCAGTGACCTTAATAGTGAGTAAACGCTCCTGTTTGTCTGTCTTTGGTTCGCCAGTTTGTATGAATAGAGAGAGATAAAGCTAATTACATAAAAAGACCTACTGTTTGCTACATGTCCACTCCGAAATACATTGTAACTTCAAACCGGGTCATCTAATTAGACGACTAATAGAGAGAATAACATTATGGACACTCAGCTCTTAGGTGCACTGAATGCTAAGCATAAGCTCTTTGTCTGTAATGGCTCTGCATCCACCCCAATCAGCTGAAAGTAGTTTAGGGCTTAGGTTGAAGACTTTTCCTGCATTGAATGAGGCTGCCATCAAGAGGAAGAAGATATACTGCCAACTGGGGAAAATCTAATGTCCCAATGCTCTCACACCTGGCAGAGAAAGGAGATTAAAACTGAAAAAGGAGTGGGTGAAAGTATTTGTTGGCCCCTGTGGCAAAAAGGGGCGTGACAGTGTTAAACAAGGCTGCAAAGTCACTAGTTTGATCTACTCACATTACTGTACTTAAGTGGCTTTTTAGCACTTTTTAAAATCATTAATTTTACTCATTTTATTTTCTGTTAAACTCAAAAAGCATAAGTGAAAAAGATGTCTAAAAATGGACAAACTTTTTATCATCTGCATGTCAGCCAGCTGACTGCGGCACATATAGGATACTGCTAAAAAAAAAAATCCAATCTCACCAAGTGAATTTATCTCATCTTTGGTCTAAACGTTTTATCATCCTGTGAGTTAAAACGACTAGACAGGTCCGAATATAGATCCAAGATATTTAAAATTTCCCTCATAAGCGTCCCACAATAAGTGTTACATCGTGTTCCAAGAAACTAAGTGAAAATGTGCTTGGAGCCATTTTACTCATTTAAGTCAATCAAGTCCTTCTATTTGGCCCATAATACCAAACCTCCAGGCACAGCGAAGACTGATTTAAGAGAACAGGGACCATGGAAAAGTATGACAATGACAAAGTTGTTGCAATTCACTCCTATTTTCTACCAAGCCAGTTACAAAAGACAAAATAGGAAAATGTACTGAGGCAGTGGGTCCTTTGAGTTGAACTGATATACATTTACTAAATGTATATGTTGTGGGAGGGGAAAGGTATATTTTTCAAACAGTCGACAGCATAATCACCAAAGATGGAAAGGGGATGGTGATGATGAAATGGGGCTTCAATGCAGAGCAAAGAGGCATCAGACTGAGAGATTGTCTGTGTCTCTGTCTGCTGTGAGCACTGAGACACTGGCTGAAGCTGAGAGAAAAAACAAAGATATTAAAATGAATAAGAGATGAGGGGGTGTAAAACACAAAACATGGTTCTTAACTGTCCTGAAATGAATAATCCTCTTCTGTTTCAGTCCTGTTGAATTATTTAGAGATTAGTTAACTATAGACTTCATGATGTAAATCCATATCTGTGGCTGTGATGCTCGGGAAAATGAAATCAAAACACTATTTCAGATGGATTAGTAATGGGAATAATCACTCCAAAAGAAACTATAGAAACTGGATAAAGAAAAATGAAAGGGAATAAATCTGGATGGGTCAACCTCTAGTTCTGATCAGGAGAATAGAAATTTTAGAGTGAATATCTTACCAAGATTATCGTTTATGTCCCAGTCCTTACCCACCAGAGTTTTAAACTCTATTTGCAAAATATTACATTAACTCATTTCTGAATTGTATCCGGAATCAAATTGATTTCATTTCTTTGTTGGAAAGAGACGAAAAGACCGAAGTCATCTCATCTTGGAAATTACTCGCGGGCAGCACATCTCTGAGGTATCATTATGTGGAAACCTGAAAATGCTGAAACTGTTTGGGTACAAATGAAGCAGGGTTATTGTGAAAATGAACTTTTAGAAACTCTGATTGAAAAGACAAAGAAAATGGGGAGAAGAATTATCTACAGGAAAAGGAAAACCCATGGGCATATAGTTGACAGAAGGTAAGAAATTCATACAAACACTATCATAATGAAAAAATAATGAATGTAATCAATTAAAGCATGTCATTCATTAACAGCCGGCCCAACAGAGAGAATTTGTTTCAATTTCAATTTCTGCCAAATACAATAATACATCTTAGCTGTGCTGGAGAGGGTTGCATATTAATTGGTGACTGTGTTTGATACTAAATTCTGATCAGCTGATGCTCCAGCAGTCTGTTATTTTTTAACAACACACTGCTGCTTTAGATCTGTCTCTTAACACAGACCCCAGCAGACTGACTGTTGTCTTAAATCTGCAGAAAGAGGTCTGCTTAATGTGATGTTAGCGTACAGAAGGAGAAGAAGAACAAAGAGCAGAAAGCAATCCACTCACTTTACATAACCCTAATAGGTGTTAGTTGGCAACAGACCTGTCCTGGTCAAGGCCCAGATGTTTGAGATGCAAAATGTAATATTACATACAACCCCAGTTCCTAAAGAGGTGTGGATGCTGTGGTTAACAGGGACAAAAGTTGATTTTGATAGAGTGACAGTCGTTTAAATTCTGTATTTCATTTAAAAAGTGCAAAGAAAACATGTCAAATGTTAAAACAGATTTTTTTCACCCCATTTTAAATTCTATCGCAGTGACTCATTTCAAAAAAGTTGGGACAAAGACAACAAAACTCGGACGACATTGACGCTCCAAAAATCAGGAGAGAGAGAAAGAGAAAGAGAACGCCTGTCAGAACAATTCCCAAGTGTGATTTCTTTCTCAGTGCAAACTTGCAAAGAATTCAAGGATTTCATTTTCTACTGAACATAACATGGTTCAAAAAGACTCAGAAAATATAGAGAATTATCTGTCAAAAGGTACAAGACCAGAACACAATACTGGCAGTAAGTGGCACCATTGAAAAACATACATGACTCTGTAGTGGATGTCTCTGCATTGGCTCGTTATCACATTCAAAAAACACTGTTGCTGCACAAAATGGTCAAAACTGTACCAAGAATAAGTCATGTATAAACATGAACCATATGACTGAGCTCAAGTGGAAATTTATGCAACTTATAAATATTTCATATACTGATTGTCTTTGACTTAATCAATCCCCATGCTAATATTTACTCCAACATCACAGCCTTAAGTTTGGTATTGCTTTAGTATTAGGTAAATTAAGTGGCATTATAATTCATAGGGACTGTATGTTGTCACCGCTTTGATATCAAAAGATGCCAATGAAAATGGACAACTTTTGAAAATTTGACTTCTTCCCTCAGTTTGTTTTCCATCAGAATAGATTCTTAGCTTAAAGGGATATTCCCGCGTAAAATTAATTCAGGGTCAGACACCCCCCCCGAAACATCTTTTTAAATTCACCTAATTTCTTTAGCAAAGAGACTAAACAAAACCCACCTACTCTCTTTTAGCAGCCACTTGTTTGTAGCAAGACCTCAGGCCAGTCCATTACGGACTGTGGTGGGGTGACGCAGCTCAAGGAAGAACATTTATGATCATTCCTTCATGGAAATGCAATCAGACAGAGACGCTAAGGCAGAAAAATTAACTTCAAGGAAGTGATAACGTAATGATCATAAATGTTCTTCCTTGAGCTGCTTCACCCCGCTGTAGTCCGTAACGGACTGGCCTGAGGTCTCACTACAAACAAGCGGCTGCTGGAAGAGAGTAGGCGGGTTTTGTTTAGTCTCTTTGCCAAGGAAATCAGGCAAATGTTTGGTGACTAGTACTATGGCTGGGACCCTATATGTTCTGTTGATGAAGTTGGGTGCTGTTCTGAGCATTATTTGTGGCTATAGAGTGGCTTTTTGGTTGAGGTTTGTTTATGGCTCCTCAGACCGCTGTATGTTGCTATCATGCGGTTGTTACTAAAGTTGGTATAACGAGAGAAGCAAGCGGTCGGCAACATTAATTTTTGGCTGGAATATCCCTTTAATCTCTTAACAAAAAGATTGTGGCTGCAAATTACACACTCTGAGCCACACATAAAAGTAAAACCAGTCGGCAGCAAATAACCGCCAATGGATGACTTTGAGTTGGATCACAAAAGCTTTAAGTAGATGTCGACATCACCCCCGCACGCAACCTTCCCCTTCATAAGTGTTTCTATTCGTTCCGCCCTTCCTAATCTTTGCCTTTAGTGTTTTGAGATGTGAATTGAGGTTCTGTTTCTACTGCAAATGTGACGCTTTTTATCCTAAAAAGGGACGTTTTTAAAGTACTTTGGTGAAACTCAGGGCAGTTTTAATTATAAGGATTCATAGCACAATATGAGCTATGGTGTGATTTTTTTTCCTCCCCTTTGTGTTGTCTCAGGACCAAGGACAGAGCCCGAGTGCGCCTGAGCTTTGCGTCAGGACGCTTTTTCCCCCCCACGGATGAAGAGCTGAGACGCACGGAGAAAATCTCAGAGCAACACGGAAACCCGAGGAGCTCTATCACCCCTCAGAGACGCGCCGCTTCACCTCGGAGTTTTCTGTTTATACCTTGGTTATGAGTTAATTTAGAAGCCTCTCGCTGTAGGATATGTTTCTTACACATGACTTGCAAATAACATAGGAGCTTGCGCAAAAGCATGTTCTTAAAGGATTCCTGGCCATGACCTGAGAAAAGATGATATGAGGCTGAGATTAAAATGTCTGAAGATCTCATGGACATCACTTACGAAGGCTCAGCAGGCATCGATGCCGCAACCTTTAACTTTAGCGGTGTTTTTAACACGTGGAACCGCTCTCTTGGGGACTTTTTCCACCTGTCAGACTTCGCTAAAACGGATGTTGCAGGAGATGGCGCCGCTGTTGTGCGGGTTGTCATCTCTGTCATTTACTCGCTGGTTTGTGCGCTGGGTCTGGTGGGGAACGTGCTGGTCCTGTATTTGATGAAGACTAAACGCATGTGGAAAAAATCCTCCATCAACTTGTTTGTAACTAGTCTGGCGGTGACTGACTTACAGTTCGTGCTCACTCTGCCTTTCTGGGCGGTGGAGAATGCGCTGGACTTCACGTGGCTCTTCGGCAAAGCGATGTGTAAGATAGTGTCATATGTGACAGCTATGAACATGTACGCCAGCGTGTTTTTCCTCACTGCCATGAGCGTGGCGCGGTACTGGTCCCTCGCCTCTGCGCTCAAAGGGAGGAGGCGGCGACCGCTCTGCTGCGCCGCGCGCTGCATCGCAGTCTTCATCTGGTTTGCAGCTATGTCTGCCGCTCTGCCGCACGCGGTTTTCACCACAACAGTGACCGTTTCCAATGAGGACTTGTGTCTCGTCAAGTTCCCGGAAACAAACGGAAGCGCGCAGCTTTGGCTAGGACTGTACCATTCTCAAAAAGTGCTGCTGGGTTTTGTGGTACCGCTCGGGATCATATCTGCCTGTTATCTTCTTCTGTTGCGCTTCATCACGTCTAAAAACATCCACACATCGAGCGCGAAACGGCGCGCAAAAGTCACCAAATCTGTCACCATCGTGGTTCTGTCGTTTTTCCTCTGCTGGCTGCCAAACCAGGCGCTCACCATGTGGGGGATCCTTATGAAACTCAACGTGGTTCACTTCACTTATGAGTACTACACCACGCAGGTGTACGTATTCCCCGTGTCCGTGTGTCTCGCGCACTCCAACAGTTGTCTGAACCCGGTCCTGTACTGCCTGACGAGGCAGGAGTTCAGGAAGGCGCTGAAGAAACTCTTCTGGAGGATGACTTCACCAAACGTACGGCCGATCACGGCCACCACCAAACAGGAGGCGGACGAGCAGAGGCACGTGCTGGCTCCACTCGGCGCGCCCGAGGAGCCCGCGGTGGTGTTTTACCCTCCAGGGGCTGTGATGTACAATGACAGAAGAGATCAGCCAAACAGCAACTGAACCGCCTCTTCAATTGCTTTTTTGATCGTTTGATCGTTATTTGGTTTCTTGACTGTTATTGTTTGAGAAAAACATTAAATAGCCCAAAAATGTACACTATGCTCTTTATAATAAACGTTACAAGAGGACGTGTGCACTGAGTTTTAGTATGAAAAGTCTTTCTTAAAGGGATATTCCAGCTTAAAATTAATTTAGGGTCAAACACACCATAACACCGAGTTAGACTCCCCCTTGAGAGATGAATGTTGCAGACCGCTTGCTTCTCTAGTTATACCAACTTTAGTCATGACCACACGATAGCAGTACACAGCAGTTTGAGGAGCCATTAACAAACCTCAACCAAAACACCACTCTATAGCCACAAATAATGCTCAGAACAGCACATACAGGGTCCTAGCCACAGCACTAGCCATCAAACATCTTTTCAGCTTTGTCTGATTTCTTTAGCAAAGAGCCGAAAAAAAAATCACGGACATGAGGCGGGGTGACACAGCTCAAGGAAGAACATTTATGATCATGTCTTTATTATTTCCTTGAAGTAATAATCACCATATTAATCATTTTGCACTGCAGACACGTTAACTCTTCTGCCTTAACGTCTCGGTCTGATTGTATTTCCATAAAGAAATAATCATAAATGTTCTTCCTTGAGCTGCGTCACCCCGCTGTAGTCCATAATGGACTGTTGTGTTTGGTCTCTTTACTAAAGAAATCAGGCAAAGTTAAAAAGATTTTTGATGGCTAGTGCTATGACTGGGACCCTATATGTGCTGTTGATGAAGTTAGGTGCTGTTCTGAGTATCATTTGTGGCTATATAGTGGCGTTTTTGTTGAGGTTTCTTTATGGCTCCTTAGACCGCTGTGTATTGCTGTCGTGCAGTCGTTACTAAAGTTGGTATAACTAGAGAAGCAAGCGGTCAGCAACATTCATCTCTCGAGAGGGTGTCTAACTGGGTGTTTGACCCTTAATTAATTTTACGCCACAATATCCCTTTAAAAGACTGCATGAACAATTTCAATTAAAAAGTTTAAGTGTTGCTCTGCTTTCATTCCCCTGAGTGGGAAACAAAAACACTCTCTTGAACTGGTGGGTTTTAAAAGGCCAAAGCAGCCCCTGACACTGGAAGAGCACTAGAATAAACTGATTGTTAAATTAGGAGAAAAAGACCACTTGATATTGAAGAAGTATTCGAGCCTGCATTCGGAAGAAAAGGGTCTCATTAATCTTTATAAACCATAGACACGGCACAGTCTGTAAACTCACTGTGCCATAACAAACATGTTCACTGAGAATAAAGGATCAGCGTCAAGGCCCAAGAAAAGAAATTCTCTGGATTTACAAAGGGCAGCTGCTTTGAGCAAACACAATCGTAACTCTGCTCTTTTTATTCCTGTAACTAGGAGTAGTGCCAAAAAATTCCTGCTTGTTTGCAACCCCAAGGAAACAGCCATGACAAAAAAAATGCCAACATACTTTGTTATGCTTCAGCCATAACAACTATTCACACAATGACTCATGGAAAGCAACAAAAAACACCATCAAAACTGTAACATGGGATTTATTCATCCAATGCCTCTTGCTACTGCTGGCAGCTGTTGGGTTTTAAACTCTCAGGACCAGGTGATGGCGACTATCAATTCTGTGACACAACCTCTGCAGAGCTAGGGAAGACAAAAGGGGAAAAAAAAGACACAAGCAGCATATGGCTGTAACAATTTTCATAGTCATATGCAGACAGAGTAAACCGTGTCAGCAGGTCAAAGAACACTATTATATGCAGTACAATGTAAAAAAAAATTCCTCCTATAATCCCTTATCCTTTAAAAACAGTTGTGTCCTCAGGGAAATTGATCCAACAATCAGACTACACACTAACCAGAAGCTTCAATTATTTCCTAAGGGTCAGAAAGGCCAGAGAACTCTTCTTGCATCTGTTTTATCCTCAAAGTTACAGATAAATGTGATTCTTTTGTGTACAGTGTGTGTGATTTTTCAAAGCATATTGTCTTAATAAAACATGGTTTCAATTCATTGTACACAATTTAACTTGTGATGTGTATTTCATTGTGGTTTATGGTGACTATCCATTGCTTTCTTTTGATGGACCTCTTTGAATATAATGTAAAATGGGTTCTTTACACTCTACAATAGCTGACCTGTAGCTGACATAGGTAACTTATATCCTGGCTGGGCCATCCAGTTGCGTAAATCACTTGCCGTTCCTTCCCACAATAGTCTGGACTTCGGCCAATTGGGAGCCCTAAAAGTGGGCGGGAGTACTTTCCTTGATAGACAGACTACTGTAACCAATCACCGTAACCAAACATCTGACGTCATCACAGTGCGCAACTGTGTTCCCTGCTGGGATCTCAAGCATCATGTAAAGGTTTGTTAATATTTCAACGTGTGTGAGCAAACAATGTCTTTTACGTCTTCTTCTGCGAATATAAATGATTTCTGCCGACTTTGCAAAGTCAACTGCAGAATTAACGGCGTTCTGAATGAACGGCGCTTTGAAAAGTCCCGCAGCATGTGTTAGACGTCACCATCTACACATGGACCAATCAGGGGCTGCTTTTACCTGTTGTCCGGGGAACAGTAGAAACACAGTCAGTGATTGGCCCGGTTATTTTCTGATTTCTAATACCCGCTCTCAATTGGCCAAAGTCCAGACTGTTGTGGGAAGGAATGGCAAGTAATTCACGCAACTGGACGGCCCAGCCAGTCTAGGTAACTTACAGTATCAGTGCAGCTTTTTCAGACAGTCCCCTTCTTCATATTCACATGAGGCAACACAATGTCCCAACACATTGGCATCCTCATAACTTGAATTCGCAGATTGACACATCAACATCAGGATTGACAGGGGATCAGATCAGTTATGGTGGCCATAAACCGTCATAAAAATATTATCACAATACTTTTGGGACACTTAAAAAAATAAATCACAATCTGTCAAATTTATGAAAGAAAGACAAAGCAGGAGCAGCACATTACTTCATTAACTTCACCAACAAACACAATTAACTTACATGTTCATCCACTTCTAATGACATTCAAATTTGTGATTTATTCACATCAGCAGCCTTGTGACTGAATAACAAAACTTAAAACAATGTTTTTTGTCATGCTTTTATTTTGGTAATATTTCTGTTGTGTAGGTTGCTTTATTAACAACATGGTCAAACTACGCTTTTGTTTTGAAGTTTAAGCTACCTTATCAGGACACTGTCCTCCTGGATTAATAATGTTTTTGATTTGAAATGAGGATTTTGTGTTAGAAAAGTTTGACTCAAGATTAAATTTAACGCCTCAAGATTTAATTCAAATCTGGAGTCTCTCTGGTATGGGGTGCCGTTTGTAAAGCAGCCCATTATAAAAACAACAGCAAGATTTGGTCACATTTAGCAAAACAACAGCAAGATTTAGTCACATTTAGCTTCAAACAGCATTTAAAAAAGTGATGTGAATTTTCGGCAGTCATTTTTTTGCGCATTTACAACAACATTTAAATACTAAAACTAAATGTTAAATGTTAAATCTAAATGTTAAATATAAATCTAAATGTTAAATCTAAATCTAAATGTTAAATCTAAATCTAAATGTTAAATATAAATCTAAATGTTAAATATAAATCTAAATGTTAAATCTAAATGTGTTGGGTGAAACTAAATATTTAGCTAATATGCAAATTCACGGTCGGAAACCGGAAGTGCCAAAATAAAAGCTCCAGAAGGTCATATTGATGATTCTTGTGTCGAAGAAAACGAATTAAAACCAATTTAAGGGGGGGACAAATACTTGGGGTGACGTTTCGTGTTAATAACTACCTACAATAGCGACAGCAACAACAAAAACTTTATTAGAAAGACTCGAGTTTTCAGTGTCGCTTCTCCGTATGGCGCGGACACTGAATCTCTCTTTTTAAAATATTTGATGTAGCGATAATTTCCCAGCATACAAAAGAAACTCACAAGAGTCTGTCAAAAACCACAACAACAATCAAGATCCTGAGAAAATTATTACACTTTTTTAAATTGCACTTCTGAAAGCAAATGGACTGACTGAATGCAGAAACTAACAGGCTAATTTAAAAAGAAGTGGTCTGGCTCCTAAATTTGCCCATTTAGGCTGTTATTAAACTCTGCTTTTGGGGTTATAAAGAAATACCTTAATGAAAACAATGATTGCCAGTTTGAATGTACCAGTTTGCAGTCTGTTACTCAAGAGAGCACAGCTGTTATCACTATTCATCTCTGAGGGTGCAGGAGAAGCAGAATAAGACTCTTTCATATGTTGTAATGCATGCATGGAGATACAGTCACATCCGCATTCAGTCCTCTTCAGAATAATTAAACCAACAAGCCTGAAATACCGAGAGACATATTCATGTCTGCCTAATTTGCTGAGATTTTTCTGCACATGTCTGAGAAGTATGAAAGACAGGCAAGAGTGAAAACAAGCTTTAAGAAGTAAGACACTCCTTATCTCTCTCCTTGTAAAGCCTGGAGGCAACAACAGGATGAAAACAAGGAACAAATGAGAGTTATTGCAAAAATAATTTGTTTCGAAGGATTGGTAAGAGCTGGTAGACATGGATCTTTCGTCTGCAGTATAGTAAATGGGACATGGACTGCATATGTGTAGGGTGTTTTTCTTCTTATTCATCTAAAGCACGGCACTGTTACATTTACATTCAGCAAACATTCAGACTAAATTCAATCGCGAATGGCGGACACATATGCAAAGTGCGCATCAGTATTAATTTATTCCTTTCACACACACATGTACACACCCCTGTCTCTACTGACAGTAGCTTGGGGCTCAGTGCTTTACTAAAGGGCACTTCAACCTATAAGACTGTGTGAGCTGGGCTTTAACCCTCAACCTGTCAACATAAAGACAACACAGGAGTTTGAAACCACAGCAGCCACTGTTAAAAGTTTAACTATCCCCGCAAGACAAAAAAATCCGGAGACTGCATCAAAGTATGTTTCTGAAGTAGTAAGATAAATATTTGATGAGAGCCGCTCCAGAAAAATGTTCAAAACATTCGTTGACATCTGCTCTGAATGTGTAAATATTTTAATCAGCTGGAGGTATTTTACAAACTTCTCATTTCTTTATTTCAATTCCAAAAAAAGGGTGTATTTGTGGATGCAGGGACTTCATGTGCTCACAGACAGTGGTTTCTGAAAGTGAATTTGAGACCACGCAGCGATCTCCACTACAGAGCAGGGCTTGACACTAACTTTTTTCACAAGGAGCACATGTGCTTCTAAGTTGAAAAAGTAAGGAGCACAAAAAGAACTTTAGGGACACAATGAAAATTAATCAAATAATGTTTGTCTTATTGGTCAACATAAGTACTATTATTTTAAATCAATTTTAGGTCTTTTGGTCACATGACATGGCAGCTTTTGAAGGAAAACAGCCTTTTCTGAGAACATCAACTGGTAATTTATTGATGGTCCCTTATTCAACACCCAACACTGACAGCGAGGGTGCCGAGTTGATTTAACCGTGCTGCTCTTGCTATTACCGGTTATGGAGAGTGAGAAGACACAGGTAGATCTGCAGTGAATGTCCGTCGAATAGCTAACCTAAAACTAACTTCACTGCGGTTTGCCTCAGCTAATTTTTTTATGCCCACATGTACCCCTGAATATATTTTACAATTCGCACACATCTATTATTACTCGTTAATGCGAGTGAAATGGTCGCTCTGTGAAGCCCTGCTGAGTCGTGTCTTTTTTCAATGCAGTAGCATCTACGGGCCCAAAGATCATGACCATCTAGTGTTAACTCGACCTCCTCACTTATTTTCCTCCTTGATAGCTCTTTTATATCTCTGTCTTGATGCTAAAAATAGGTTGTCTCCAATTGCTGAGAAACCGTTACGATTAGTTTGCTAGTTAGCTATCGGTGCATTAACACTGCACTTGAGTTCACACTCACAAATAAGCAAATGACGGCAGCAGTGCATGGACCTTGTTGCAAATTTTCATCATTCCTGTACATAGTTCACTCATTTTCACATGTAAATCTCATCTCATGCCATTTACGTTGCCAGACAAGAACAGGTGTCTAATTTCATCTTTGCATTAACTATAGATGTACATGTACACGACGTAAGATAGCTGAGCCTTTCTGACCTTATGCAGTTGATTTTGTTCGGAGATGCTCCTTGTTCCTTTAAGTGTTTTAACATAGAACAATTTGTCCCAACTTTTCAGAGTGATTGTTTTAGTTTGATATGTTGTCAATCAAATACAGGATTCAAATGAACAGCGAACCATCAAAACCCAACGTTGTTGATATTTTATACAGCTTCTCAATTTTGTCAGAAAGGGGGTTGTAAAATTCAAGAGAATGATACAGTCTTGACCTTTGACCCCTGGAGTCTGATCAGTTCATCCTGTGGTGGAAATAAACATTTCTGACATATTCTATTTATTATTTATTATTTATTATTATTATTATATTTTCTTCAGGTATTTCTGATTCACTAAACTGGGCATAAAATGCACCAAATACCACGAAACAAAGTTTTGTCTTCGGCTTGCTTGTGGCACTCATTTGTGTAAATATACAGGTAGACTGGAAAAAAAGAAAGCACTTTGACACTACAACAAGCACTGAGAAGCAAAGAGGATGTTTGGGTCGAGCTGATCAACCGTGACTCAACAAAAGCCTTCTGCACTTCATGCTATGAAAAAGCCAGAGGTGAACACAGCCTGACAAAACATGCTGCTACAAAGATGCTCAAGAAAGCAAAAGGTGCAAGCCATAATGATGCCTTTTGTCACAAAAAGCTGCTTGGAACTGTCAGGAACGGAGAGAAAATGTGAGCTTGGTGAGTCATACCTCTTTATCTGGTTACTTTTGTTGTAAAGTTCCAACCTTCGATTTAGCTCATCATTTTTTATAGGTATATTGAAGTGGTGCTGAAAGTGGAGCCCAGAGGCTGCCAGAGTTCAATAAGAGCGCTACGGGGGATTCAAAGTTAAGAGTGGAATAATTCATTTCCACGATAATAACTTCATGGATAAGTAATTCAATGACCGAGTGATACTTGGACGTAGTTTCAGTCATTTTTTATAATAAAACTATCTAAGCTCAGTGGTGGTTGATGATGTTTTCTCCAAGGCGGCAATAACTATATGAAAAATACATATGCTATAAAAGGCACAACAGCAGATGTTGCAACTATGTAGGAGAGACCGGGGCTAGTTGTCACACTTTTTACACTCTTATATATTTCTTGGAATCAATACATCATATGTTAACAAAATGTGTACCAGATGAAAGACCAAAGTCATTGAACAAATGTTAACATAAAATATTATGTAACATGCTCTGGATTTTGGAGAGCTGTCTGACTCTGTATTTCAGCTGAGGTGAATGTTTTGAAATACTGAGCAGTATAAGGTATGGTAGTAGACATTTAAGTCCTTTATTGTACTCCAGATTGATTTATTAGCTAGGGTCACCTGCCTGACTGCCTTCAACATCACATCAGGCACTGCCCTTAGCATTTACATGCATTGGTTGAATGAAAAGTTTTCCACATGGACCCTTGTTTATTTATTTTTCAAGCTCTTCTTGGAGACTTTTTAAAAAGTCTCATCATTCCCTCTGTTTGATTTTAATATACAGCCAATCAGGTCCAAACATTTCACTCTCAGCCTGTAAAGACCTCTTCTCAAATAGAGATATAATGTGCCTTACATCTAGTCTGGCGTTTCAATTTGTTCAGTAAGAGCAGCAAATTTAGGAAGTATGTCTTTGACTGCAAATTAAGTGAAGAACTGCTTCAGAGTAAGACTGAAGACTTGCACAGAATCAATATGCAATTCACCCCACTATAATTAATCAATGTACACACTTTACACAGGCACGCACACTTTGCACACACACACGTCAAGGCTAATATTGACACTGATGCAACAAACCCAGTAATAAACACGCACTGCACCCTGTTCATGCACGCTTCGCGCACGCACGGGACTCACCGTAATCCTGAGTCCTCATCGTCAGGCTGTTGGATAGGCTATCTTCAGTCTGTGTTCACATCTGCAGTCCCACTGTTGTTGTTCCGATTTAGGTTTAAAGAAATGTATCCAAGGTCATTATGTTTGCTTTCCCTTTCTCGTAGATACCGAGTCCACGAAGTGTAAACAACAGTAAAATACTGTTTTTCGGCTTTCTGGTGTAGTTGGCGGCTGTTTGACCAAAAGAAGTGATAAACAAGTCCTTTAAACTTCGGTAATGGTGACAGTGATGTTACATTTTAAATAGTGGCGGGTTACATTGCTTTCTTCGCAAACACAGTGGTTAACTTGCGGTTTTTTAAACTGCTGAGCGGTCATGTTCTTCCGGTCAAACAAGTATCGCTTGTATTGCGCATGTGCAACAATAACGGCCGGAAATACATGATCGATCAGTACATTAAGACGATGAGAAAACTCTTTATTTACATCTAAGCTGTAGTTTATTCAGGAAATCCATTAAGTAAAGTTTAAATTCGAAACTCAATTTGACTTATTTAAAAAAATAATAATAATAATAATTGTCCGCCATTGTCCTCCCTAGCGCCCCCTATTGACCAGCTGTAAAACTATTCTCAGATAGAGGTCATTGATATAAATTGTGAGTTCAGGGGTGTATTAATTTGAAAAAAATAACGTTTTTACTGTAATTTTAGTATCAATTCATGCTAAAATTACAGTTGAATAGATATTTTTTGCTCAGAAGCTTTACTCACATCGTTTCTGCACTTCTTAGGCATGGGTGTGCATCAGTTACTTATTTGGCACTGACAGAGTTGGCATCCCTCGAGCTGGTGTTTCCTTTTAATACTCAGAGGAAGTCAAAACACTGCAGAGGTGCTGTGTTCCAACCCAAAGCAGAGTGAAATTAGGAACAAGGTCTTATTTGTATGTCAAGTATGTCACCCTGAATCAAATGAGCACTTATTAAGAGAGCGGGTCCATTTTCTCACTTGTCTTATGTGTGACACCCACGACATAAACGTGGTTTAGGTACATGGAGAGTACTGTGTGAGTTCTCTATTTATTCTAACACTAGTTTTATTCTGAGATCTCAGCTGAAAGAAAAAGGAGACCTTTGTGAGGTCTCAAATTTGTCTGATTCAGACGGTTCAGTCTCGCGGTCTGGGTTTGTCCTCTTGATACTATCTCAGATGAAAGAAAGTTAAGAGTAGTTCAAGCCCTTATGTCTCATGTCATTAAAAAATCTCAGCACCACATCACCTCACCGTAAGATAAACTTAATATTCTCAAGATAAGAGACTGCAACTCACAGAACAATTTATTTCATTCACAATTCAATTAATTATACAGTATATTCCCATGGAGCTAAAACACTCATCTGATTTACTGAGACAGCAAAATGATGGACCCAGATCCCCAGTGGATGAAGATTTGTTGCTTTTTTTGCTTAATACATTTGTAAGAGAAGTATTTTTGACTTTTTCAGGGTTAGTTGAATGAATCATCCGGTCAGGCTGGCCAAAATAAAGACTGTTAAAAACTTTGTCAAAAACTTTTAGCAATAACTCTCTTTTACAACTTTAATGGTGTTATATTCACTGAGAGACCGTTTCAGAGTTTGTAGCACACTGGGTAGCACTGCTGTCCAATAAACAGAAAATAACATCTTTAAATCTCAGCTGGAACTAAAAGTTGCACCACCAACAAGAAACTTCAAACACAGAAATGAGACATTCCCAAGAGAGTCTGATGGTAAGTATAATATATGAAATATAAGCGTTCAGGATAACTGCTTTGATTCTTTTCTCAGGTTACTTAAATCAAAGAAGTTTCTTCTGTTTTTGGTCCTTTTTGTTTCTCCTAAAACACTTCAAGAGTGATAACATTTTATTAATCCATTTTGTACCAAAAGATCAAAATGAGAAACAAAGAAGAAAAGGTTTTATGCAATTGGAGGGTACACTTAGGTCACCAACAGAGCCAGAAAATGAAGGAGAATGATGCTTTACTCCAGCCTTGATGATAAATGGGTTATGTTTATACAGCACTTTATTTAGACTTAATAGTGCTTTTACATTTCATGACAGGTGCTGCCATCAGTTTTTTGACTCATCTAAGGTTGTCACTTAAAAGCTAGCCTATTATCCTGATTGTTTTTTCATTCTTTGGACGGACCAAGTAGCTTTTGTCTAACTAAATAAGCAGATTCACACATTGAAAGTTAGTGCCTGGTGTGTATTAAGGGTTACACGACCCGGCTCACAGTACATTTGCTTCACCTTTTGGACTAGAGGGTAGACATCCAACCTGAGCCCATTAGAGTTAGAATCTAAAAGGTCAGTCCAAATTTGGGAACAAATTTACAAATGATGTTGAGGTTTTGACCAAAAATATTGGCAGACAACTTCTCACCTTGATATGCTTGTTGGGATGGGCTTGCTTACACTCATTTTGAATGATGAATAATAATGGTGAACTATTTTCTTTGAGTGGACCTGCAACATCCTGCAAATGCGACACATGGTGAAGTGAGGTGGTGAATATTCATGTGATATTATAAGGACTAGGACTGAACATTCAGTGTCAGGATTCCGGTGTTGTTCAATTAAAATGCCGAGATTTATCTGAGGGGGATTTGATTTGGCTGTTTTGAGCCGCTGATTTATGCTGGTATTTAATGCGATAAAGAGTTGACACAGAGCTACGTTATCCAAGTCACGCTCTAGTTTGGCTCAAACATACAGTTGAGGAACTTTGGTTTTAGTAACTCTGGTATAAAATGGCTGAAGCTAAGTTTGATTGATCGAGACAAATTGTAGTCTGCTTTGGGAGTTTTCTCCTAATTGTATCTCGTCTTGCTGTCAGTCAAGAAGCAGTGAAATAATTATGTTGTTATGACTCATTTACATCTAAACTACTTCCATTCAGGAGTCATCAGTGTGATGTATTGACAGCATTTCAGTTTTACACTCCAAGCTTGAAATCAGAGGAAAATGGGCTCCATGTGGACAACTTTAGTGCTACTCAAAGACCACTTTTTCCTTTTATACTTTGAAGTAGAGACTGTTGATGGTGTGTTTTAATTAGATATTACTCTAAGCACTGGGTCCAAAGCTTTCTTTCACCTTTTAACACAATAGGGGGTTTCAATCTTTTAATCTTACCCCTGACATGATGCCAAACAAGGGTGTTACCAAGACTAGGGAATTGTTGCTTTAAGATCAACTACTTGGTATCACTTTGTGAACTTGTTTAGGTGAAAACTACAAAAACAGTCTAATCAATCAATCAATCAATCAATCAATCAATCAATCAACCAATCAAATGATGAAATAAACAACATGAACCCAGGACATTTAATGATATAATAAAGAATTTCCATTTATTAAAAGAACACCATTAAAATAATTTCATATGAGCAGAATCAATCTACATATTTAATAAAGAGGGCAATAAAGATGCAGCCTAACAGGGACATGGTCGATGCCGACACAACCACCACGATTACACTTCCTGCCATGTTGACCAGAGCGCCGAGCCCCGCCCCCACGATAATCTGAGCCAGCTGGACCATGCAGGTAAGCGCGGCACAGTCCACGCCGGTGCCTCGCGGACCTTCATCGTTTCCTTGCAGCTTTAGTTGTTCCTGGAAGCACAGCAGGAAGTGTGGGGATCAATTTGAGGAGAGGAGGGAAATTACGTCAAAGCAGAAAACGATCAATGGTCAAGTTAACAGATTCAGATCTAGAGCAAACAGAAATAGATTAGTTCATGATAATGCCACATACGTAGGTTATCTAAATTACTGCTGTATCCTTGTTTATCTGGTTCAGATTGAACTGTTTTAATCAGGCATGTAATGTAAGATATGTCTACCTACAATGCACTTTTTAGAACCATCACATGAAGGTCTAGTTTATTTATTCATTCAAGAGTTTAAAATTGGCAGGAGTTGCCTTGCAGCAAAACAACCCAACTTTCACTTGTCAAAGGCTTTAAAATTGATTTTTTTTTTTTGGCTCAAAGTTACTCTCAATCTTTTATGAAATCTGCCAAAACATTGTGTCTGAAATTAGTTTTTAAAAAGAAAAATGAATATAACATGGTGCAATGTTCTTAAAAAGCCATGCCAGGATGACGACCCCTTTATTCAAGGTCTGCTGAGTTTAAAAAGACTCTAAAACAATTTTACAAACGAAGGACATCACAGTCTTCAAAAGAAGAATACTCTTGTATTGCTCAGCTTCATAATTAGACTTTAAAGCCTGTGATTATTTTACTTGAATGTGTGGCTATAACCAGGCTGGGTGACTATAGGCGTCAATCCCCTCACCTGTGTCTTTGTTTCACCCTCATTTTGTAAACTTTGAGTGCTTCAGCGTTGCCAACACTGAAATATTTCCAGCATCTGAATCACATATGTAAACATATGATGGATCCATTTACAATCATCAGAGAGGATTTTCCATGTATTCACTTGTCAGTGTTTAAACAGTTGCACAACTGGGCCGCAACCAACAGAAACTTTCATCATCGATTTACTACCGATTACTTTGATGTTCTTTTTCAAACTATTTCTTAACAAAGTCATTTGGTCAGACACTCCCCACAGTGCAGCAAACTGTTTGAATTTATAATAATTTAAATATTTATATAATTATTGGTTATATACTGTATGACAAAGAGAAGTGTCTGATTTACACATTTATGAAACTGGAACCAGCAGATGTCAAAATCAATCAATCAATTAATTAAATCTAGTTCATTTTAAGATTAAGTACAATCTGTTCACACTTTGAGCAACAGTTGGGTGCCAGACACTGAAAGAGACGTATCTATAACCACACCTTTTGTTCTCTCTTATTGAAACTACCTGAGTCTTCACACTGAGACCATCTGTAATGAAATATCCCATGGCGTTTGTATGTACCAATCATTTACTGGAGCCATCTGGTTATTGTGTGCAGTAGTAATGACTACATGATAAGACTTTCTTCCACAGGGGACTGTCTTACGGAAGGTGTCACAGATACAAGATACAAGGTCAGTTTATTATAAGCAACTCTGAGATTGCTCTTCTGTTAATTTTCTTACACAGTCTAGTGGTTACAAATGCTCATCTTCTTGCAAATTGACTTTGTTTCAGTCTATATATTCCTGACCTCTTATCTCAAAAAAAAAAAAAAAAAAAGCTGGCATTGGAGAAATTGATTGAAATTGCTCATATGAAGAGCTTCTAAGTGATTGTGAAATATGCTCATTTGTATTCTAGCTCCTCTTTATGACTTTCACATTAAAATGAGATTTTCAGTGCTGTGTTGTTTCTTTACATTGAATTTAAATGGCTTACACTAAATCGTTAATTCACACTCATGTAGTTCCTCGAAACCAAATTTCTGTGGAAAATAAGTAAGTTAGAAAGCAGGAGGAGTTTATTTTTCTGAGGGTGAACAGGAGGCATGTTTACTCAGACTGCTTTCATTAGGATTGTTTTTTTTACCCCCCATCACTCCAAAAATAAGCTGTTGCTGCACTGACTTTGTTCCTGAGCGTATTTTGTTTGGACACAGTGTTTTTTTAACCCTTAAAGGCATTTCTACATGTCAACAATCCCAGTACCTCCTCTTCACGCTGGTACTCTGCAATCAGGTTGAATGGGATGGTGTAGAGCGTGCTGGACATAACCCCAAACACACTGCAGAGGACGAGCGTGGCGATGATGTTCGGGAAGAGGCCGATCAGACTGGTGCCCAAGCCGAACACAAAGTAGCCCATAAAGTATAATCCCTTCAGGCCGATGTATTGGAGCAGGAAACGCTGCACGTCTGCAAAACACACAAACACGCGCGGACACGTCATGCTTAGTTACAAAGGGTCTATTTTTATTTGTGAACTGCCTTGTCTTTTATTGCACCTCATAAAGAGTTTAAAACACTCTGCAGTGCACATTAGATTTTCTACAGCTGAGTGGAGATGTGACTGGACAGGCTGTCTCTGTCAGGGTGGCAGTGTAAAAAGAAAAGCATGGTGAAAGACTATTTGCTCAGACTCCAGACTATAAATAAAGCCAGTTTCACACCAGGAGGCTGAGCCTTGCGTTTTTTCTTAAACGTATCAAGTCATTTCTTCCCTTTTACTATTTTTTCTTTTTCATTTAATCTATCTGATGGCTACAGCCGGAGGGAGCTATATGTAGAGGTGAAGGATTCTTATAACACAAGCCTTTATTCTGTAAATGGTTTCACAGTCTACATTAGCACAGCATAACCTGGTAATGTAAAAGGAAACTCACTCTGTTTCCTTTATAAACAGCTTCACTTACAGGAGTAGAGAGCAGAAGAAACAGCATTAATACACAATCCCCAGCAGCCCACTTCCACTCCTCTCTCATATATGGCGTAGGAGGCTGAGTTGTGGTCTGCATAAGGATTTCCCTTGTAAACAATCTGCATTAAGGAAAAAAAAATGTAGAGGTGAGTTTTTCAAATCCACAAAAGGCAAAGAAGTGGCCTTGGCCTGACGATTAAATGAGTTTGCATTCAAAATCGAAAGTGTGTGGCTCAGGAGCTGAGTGGTAAACAAATTCTTGCAGGAGAGAGAAGGGATGGAAAAACAGATACAGCCGTTGTATCGTACATACATAAGATACAGAGCGGCAAGAGTCACGGTCTTTCATTGTTCAGAGTACATCCCTACAGCCACTTGTTAATGTGCTTGTTTTGGCGTGTAACAGGTCAAACGTGAGACGACCCAGAAGTAACGAGCTGAAAGGGAACATGACGTCATCTACCGTAGCAGAAGGAGACATGCTTCTGTCAATAATTTGATTCTGCTGTTTGCTCGTAAACTGGGACAAAGACAGCTGTCCAGTTAAACTGCCTAACCTTGGATTGATCCTGAAACCCCAAGCTTGACATAACTGCACATGTAAACATACTGATTGATGTTTCCATTACTATGAGCGTCTGCTTCAAAGACGAAGAAACACCTGTCATTACATTGACTGTATGAGTCTGAGGGCTCTTTACCATGTGATTGGAAAGTCAATAATGGTTAATGGAAGAACGTCAATACATTGGTATGGACGGAGTTAGGAAACAGTTGTTTGGAGTGCAGCACAAGTGTGGAAAAGATGCGGTCAAGGTGTTTCTCTGTTGCCCTTTAGTGCAGTGATCCAAAAACATTTCTTTTAAAATACCCGAGGCTATCGAAGAAAAGCATTCATGTCATTCAGGGCTACAGTCACGGTTTAAATACCAACCCTCATGGCCTCTCCAAGAGTTTCACATTTTTCAAAAAACTCAGTAGAATTGACTGAAAGTCCAAACATCTTCACAAGTGTTGAAGTGTGCATGGCTTTTTCCTGTCCTTTTAAGGGTCAATGACTTTCACCCATTCACAAACTGAAGGCAGAGGCTCGCCAATTTGGTATTCAATGCCTTGAATACCACCACAGGAGCCTGGATCGAACTATAAGCCCAGTACTTAAAACCTCTACTTCTGAGCCAGATTCACCCCCTCTCCTTGTGATAATCCAATACATGTCAGGTAAGTATTACATACAGGGATGGTAAAATAATGCCATTTGAAAACGTGTGTACACTTATATTTAATAACATCATGCATAACTCTGTGCCTCAGTTAGGGCACCACAAAAAGTCTGATGCACCCCTGTTAGCAATCATAAAACACATTGGTTAATACTGATCTCAAATGTCAGCTTTGTAGCTTTGATAGCTGGTGTTTAAAAAGAAGCGGATTCCCTCAGCGGGGTGCTCCTGACCTCCCACTCTTTTTTCCCCCGGATTTCAATGTCTGCAATTTCAGATTACACGTTTGCGCCTCAGGTTTCAATGAGCCGTGACAATAAGCTGCGTGTTTTGGTGCTCTGTGCTCCCTTGAATCAGAATTCACAGCATGACACAGGAGGTAATTCACCATTATAACATCTGTCAACATAAGATTACATACCACAGTAGACTTCTCTCTCACCCTCACACTCCCTTCTCTTTCTGCCTCCACACAAACAGGGAATAATGCAGCCTGAAAACAACAAAGTAGTGCTGCTTGTTGTCCTTCCAAGCTTATTTTATATTGTCAGTGTTTCCCTTTGTCTTCTCAATCACAACAATATGTGGCATTAACCCTAGGTTTCACAGTTATTGACATCCCTGATTGTTTCTGTGACAGGCGATGATGACAACCCCCTAAGTTGCCCGAGTCAGAAATGACTTCTTCGAATTGAAAAGACGAGGTTTAGAATGAAGTAGAAAAATAAGAAATCTCTTCAGAGAAAATCTGCAACATTGTGCAGGAGACAGCTGGCTTACCTGTGGAGAACTAAAGCACCACTTGAACTTGATATCCAATTTTCTCCATTACTAAGCTCACTAAGTGTGAGAAATGAATGACAAAAAGTGGAAGAAAATTTAGATGTTTTTTCAAATAAATAGGGGTGTTATTAGGAATATTTTCCCCAGTTAATGAATAAATTACTGAGAATACATCGTGCCAATGCCTGGGATTACGTCTTTCAATGACTTGATTGTGTTATCAAGAGTCTTAAACTAATGATAGGCCTGAGAAACAGAGCTGAAAGCAAGAATGATCAGGTATTTGTCAGAGTTCAGGAGGTAGCATTAAAAGAGTTGGAGGAATGATGCCTATTATTACACCAATTACTGTAATTCTCCACAAAGTGCTAATAATGGCAGGAAGATTTCAGTGAGGGAGACTTAAATAGGACAAAACTTTCTTAGTTGCCTAAAGCTTATGGTGGTGTTTCTTGACACTTATTAGTTCAATTCTTATAGCTCAAGTCAAGCCTAAACTTGTTTTATTCATGAAGACACAGCGGCATCATTACCTGTCCCATAAAGTCAGTGAAGAAGAGCATGTTGCAGAGGAAAGCAGTCCATCCCAACAGGTGACTGACGCACAGGCAGCGGTAGTGGTGCGGCATATTAATGATGGCTTTCATCAGCGACCTGAATGTCATTTTCTTCTGGGCCTGTTGAAGCGTGCAAACACCACAAGAGTCAGTTTTTTTAACAGCAACAACAGTGACATGCTTTAGAAGAAACTGAAAAGCTCTTCCTCCAGTATTCATTACTCTCCTGGTACGTCAAAAGCTTTAAGTTTGAATGCTTTAAGGTGAAAGTGTGTGCACAATAATGCATTGATTACAGCTCAAGATCAAGAGGAGAAACATAATGAAAAGTGACTCATATGTAATTTTCTGTTTTTTATGTGAATACTGTGAAGACAGTTTGATCCTCCTTGAACTTAATAATTAATTAAAGCAATAAAGGAAAAAAGGGGACATAGTGTGTGAGATACTCTTGATGTAACATCTTGACATTCAACCACGTCCACGGCTCAGATGAGATGATACAAAATGAAAAACCCCTTTTCATAAGAACTGACCTCAAACACGACCTTAACAAGAGGGTTCCAAGGGATAGTTAAATGTCAAACTTCTATAGAAAGAGAGGGAATATATCAATACTTATAAACTGCCTCAGCACAAGATCGTGGGTGGTGTTTCAAATGTCATTTTTGCATTTACATTCAGATTACTTTATTATTGCTTCACATGTTTCAAGAGTTTCTTCTGCAGAGAAAAATCTACATTCTAATTTCACCTGTCATATGTCTGAGTTATCATTTACATCAGAAATGAAGCGGTTCGTGCTAAATCTGTTACACTAAAATTTGACCAGGTATGAATCCAAGTATAGTGATTCTACAGGACAAGTATTCAGATTTGGTATAATGATGTCTTGTGATTTCTTTTCGTGGGATTTTTGACCCTGGACCACTAAATGGGACTTTTAAGACCAACAAACACCTGAGTGAATGTATTTGTAATTTAATTGATTAACAAACAAATAAATGAAAACAAAAATAGAGTTTAAATACTCCAACCGAGCAAAGAGACTGCATGTCTGGTTGATAAAAACAATCTGGATGACAAAATATCAACTTAAAATAGTAAAAAATATGTACTGATTTTATCTTTTTATGCTAAAAAATAGGAATAATAGCACTTCCTTTATATTCACTGTAAAGGTTACCACCATTGTCTCTCCAAAGGTTAACTTTCAGAGGTATCAGCATGCCTGGCATAGTACTCCAAACATGACTATCAAAGCGTTCAAATCATTTCATTAAAGCAACCAGAGGCTGAGAAGAGGCTTGAAAAAGAGCTGACATTAAGACTACTTTTAAAGGTAAACTTCAGAAATGCCGTTCTCGCAGGTGGCAATATGTCTACTGAGATTGGAAGCTCTTTTTATTATTTACTTTGGATGTGCTCGAATCAATCTAACGGTCCTCATTTTCTCTGCGGGAGCTACTCTATAGAAAATGTTTCTCCATAAGATTTTTCTAAAAGAAACAACAGAAATTAAAGTGAGAAACAGAATTTTGTTTTCCCTGTAGGCATAAAAAGGATGGATGTTGTTGTAAAGTGGTAAATCAATAGATTAAATTTGTATTCCAGAAGTTTTGATCAAGTTTGTTATTTATCCTTAAGTACCTTGTTTGGCTGTTTGGCGCTGGAGGTCACAGAGTTGGCCTCACCGAGGGCAGAAAATGACCTGGGCCTGTGATCAGGGATGGATGTAGGTAAGGAGACAGGCTCTTTAGCCAGAGACCCATAAACATTGCTGTGGGATCCCAGCAGGCGGAGGGCACTGGGAGGCGTGAGGTCAGCGGCAGATGGTGCCTTGCCCAGCGGTATCTCAGGAATACTGAAGAGATGCACGGTGAGGAAAATTCCCCATGTCAGTGCTGAGAAGAAGTAAATGACTTGGTACTCAGAGCCCAGCAGTTTGCCGATCACAGAGTGGCCCCAGTCCATAGCGCCTACAAGATAGCCGAAGGCCCCCCCTAGACCTGAAATAGACAGTGAAATGGTTACAACTCCATGAAGACATGAAAAAGCAGATGAATGGAAGCATCAGAGAAAGATGTGGATGTGTTTTAATCACCGGTATGGCATAATAAGCAACAGTGTCCTATTTCAACATCTAGTAACAACCCTTTATGTACTATCCCACAGTGACTTTCATTCATCTTTGCTATTGTTGCCACCGATTTCTAAAGTAAACATTTGGCTCTGTAGTTATGTAACGCTCTGCTGTACTAATGAGCAACAACTGAGCAGAGCTGCTGCATGGGGCTGAAACGGTTTCAAACATAACATCTTGGAAAAAAGTGCTTTCTGTGGCTAGAAACTACACAAGAACCAAAGACCTCATTTATTGGACTGGACATGTGAGAAGTACCTTTATTTGACTGATAACTTCCTAATAAATCATGCATAAATATGTGTGTTAGGGCCTGTGTCCACTTGTTTATTAATCATGCTGGTAGCACCTATTTTCTGTTCAAACCGATGGAGTTCAGCATTTTCAGCACAAAAACACCCTCAGAAACAATTATTTTTGTCACTGCACTCATTTCAAACAAAGGTTCAACTAATGGAACTGCTATGCACACCACTGTCGCTGCTCCATGACCAACCAATTAAAATCTGATATCAACTGTATCTACAGCTATGGCAACAAACTGTAGGGAGGTGAAACAAACTACACTTGTTTTTTGAGGCATTATTTCCATGTCTAAGGCTGGTGCTAACTGTTTGAAGAGTGTGAAAATTGTTTTAATTGTTTTCGTTAAATTGCTTTTTATGTTTTCTTTGTCAAAGTTTTGTTGCATAAAAGCAAAAATGAAACATACTGGATATTTTGTAAAGGAATATAATCAGTACAAAGAAAAGCAGAGGTGCCACAGGACTAGTGATGGGCACTGCAGTTTTTTTAGTTGTACTGAATCACTAGAATCAGTTCACTAAAAAGATTCGTTCAAAAGATTCGTTCACCAAATCACCGAATCATTTGGTGGGAGAAGCCTGCGACTCCAACCTCCTGAACTGATACACAACGGAACGTTTCAGGATTCAGTTCAATTCATAGCTTCTGGGACCGGGAGACGAGAGTGTTTGGCTGTGTTGCTTTGTTCAACAGGTTTGTAAAAATGAACTTGTTTATAAGTCATGATGTTTTAAGTGAGCTGTCCTATGGTATACCATTTATCAGGTCTGCTCTGTAAATTGGGCGCAGTGTGATTTGTTCACTGAACGTTTAGAAGAATTCACACTGAACATGCACCGTTCCCTCGCAAACCGCTGCAATGATAGGATGCTGCGGGTTTAATGCGCTACTTGTTACATGCTGTGTCCAATTGTGTGCAAGTTGTTGTTGGCAATTTAGCAGTGAAAAAAAAAGGTAGTTTTGTCTGACAAAAATGATTCAGAGAGTGTAGTTCAATGTGTGATTCGATCACCAAGTGATTCAGGCATCGGTGCATGCGATCCCTCGTTCGCTGGCTGCTGTCCTGGCAATGCTGTTTCTCACTTCAGCTCAACTGAAGTGAGAAACGAATGAATCACTCGTGGAAGTGATTCAGTTCAGTACGTTCACTTAAAAGATTTGGTTCTATTGAACGAATCGTTCACAAACAACAAAACACTACACAGGAAAGCTTTTGTCACTTAAGAACACAAATTGCTGGTGAGAGGCTCTCTGATACTGAGATTGTGGATGCTGCCAGAGCGAAAACTGCCAGTGGACACAGGCCCTTAATGTTAAAATCATCAATCAGTTTGGAAAAAAAACAGACTTTTTGTGTCCTCATCTCTGGGATAAGTGTTGATACTTTCAATATTTGTTGCAACAACTGTACTAAAAGCAGGATTTATTAGTGATGACAACTCTGTAAGTGATTATACTGTTCTGTATAGGAACTTTAATCTATACGCGTAGTTAGGGATAAATTATAGAATGAAAGGGAAGAAAAATGTTGTGCTTTTCGCAGAGGTTTGATAAGAAATCTGTCATAAAAGAAGAACAAGCAATATTTTATCCAATTTTTTTTATTGCGGCACATTAAATCTAACAGTGGGTTTCCTGATACATCTACAGGAAATTATCCCTGCAGACAAGAGGCACAAATCAACACAAAATGATAAGCGCTGCAGGAGTTGAAGAGAGATGATAATCACCGATTATGTCAGATTGGGGAGTTTTATTTGTTTGCTTTGCTCACAGCAGTAAGTCTCAAACACTCCTGGCTACATATTTCAAACCCAGTTTGCAGGCGTTGGATGTGACCTTGTCAGGAACAGGAATAAGAGCCTGCTCTGTTTCCTCTCACATGGAAGTTTGACAACTGCTGACAGGGGGAATAAGTCAAATATACCACCACCTCCCATACTAAATGTGCTTCAGGGCAGAGTTAAATGCCACAAACCACTCAGCTCTTCCGGCTTTCATTAACAACACCGCCTCTTCTAATTTCTCTAAAAAGGCATTTAAATAATCTGACCTTAGAGCCTCGAGAAAAGGTGAGGGACCCTAATTGCTTATCTGAGAAGCACTTTAAGAAGCAAAAACGGCTTGTTTTGTGTGTTACTGTGGTACATTTGCTTTAAGATGAGCAGATGGACCAAAACGACCTCATCTAATCTGCACTGATAATGACTCAGAGTGTTTGTTATTCAGCACAGAAGAAGATGTAAAATGCCATGGCACAATCATATTTTGTTTTGTTATGATGCAGTTTCTGAAATAATGACCCTTTTTTTCAGTGTGAAGTATTTGATTCCAAATAAAAATTACTCACTGACAAAACAAGGACATCACACTTTATATTGTATATTCAACTGCTTACCATAAAGTGCATTACTGGAACCTCCCTTTCTGTCACTACTGTCAGTTTGACTGTGTACATAATTTTGCAAATGGAAAAACTCTGGGCTGTATTATTTTTTGCAGGGCGTAGCAGTCATGCCACTAGACCTCAGAAAACCTTCAGAGGTTAGAAAAATGGGAGAGGGACTGAAATCAGCAAGATGAGGTTTGACCTACTTTTAATAAATTTAAAAAGCATCATTCAAGTTGATTTAACGCCTTATTTTACAGGATGAAAATGGCTTTCTGAAAAGCCAGAATTAGTGTGAAAATGCTGCTGTGGACATTTTAAACTTTACAACATCTTATTTGTCAAAAGGCAGCAGGATGAGTTTATTTGTGATAAGACGCTGCTTAAGCTCTTAGAAGAGACAATGAGAAAGGACTACTTTGTCCACAGGGGGTGCCAAAGTTGCCACAAACCAAAAGTTCCTTACAGGAGCTTTAAGAAACATGGTCAGGCTACAGGAGTTTAATGCAGATGTCAGCAAGCCAAGCTAACTAGAATACCTCAATAAGACAAGGTTTACCCAAGTACATGTTGGTTGATTAAACGATGTCATGAAATACATAAAGGTTTATCCTGTGGGAGTCAAGAATAAGTGAAATAGAGTCACCCCCAGTTTCCACCGCATCCAGAACGGCTACGAAAAGGCCATATCCATTGATCTCAGCTGATCACAACCATTCAAGTTAATGTGTCAATTTCCTCCGGCCTCTTTCCATTATGCTGCAGATCGGCGGACTCCACAGCTGATCACAAGAGTTCTAATTTTTCTGGACACCAGGGCATGCTGGAAAAATTCAGTGCAGATTAACCATAGAATGTATATAGAACAGACACTGTCTGCCTCCTTGCTGGGTGAAGCCACTCCGAGAACAGCACCCTCTGGTGACCGGCTGCAGTATAGGTCATAAATCCTGCCTCCGCCAGCAAAGCTTATGGGGCTGTGGACAAACTTTAGATGACTGGTTTGTGCTCAAGTCCTCTTTTTTCTGTGAAGCTCCATTTTTAAAAGTTATTAGGGGTTTATGTTTTCTATGATTGACACCTGATACAGCCTATTGGCGTTCAGGGATTCTGTAGCTCACCCGACGAATACACTGTTTGAGCCGAGCATCATCACAGCAACTCTCTGCGACTCTCCTGCCGAATGCGCACAATGCTACTGCACAGCGCTGGTTTCAGGAAATGAAGAAAAATCCTGGAAATACCGAGAGCTATTTGGCTTCAAATTCGTATACAGGCGGTAGGCGGAACCAAGTCGTCCATAGTATATACAGACTATGAGATAAACCCATGCTGGAAAGGAAGTCAGGCAGAGGCACAAAATATAACATCCAGCTTCTCTTCAAAATATAACACTATGTGTTTCAGGCGGATCATATTTCACACCATGCAAACAGGCGGGGACAAACAAGTGAAAGGTTTATAGACAGCATTTCACTCCGATGGCACCATGGATGAGGAGATGCTGATTTTAGAAGTCTAGAAGTAGATTTCCTCCTCTGGAAGGACACAATCTCCTGCTTATATGGTTATGTAACTGTCTTTACAGAGACAACTCATTATTGCACAATTGCAAATGAATCCACGGGTTCTTGTGAGTTCTCCCCGCTGTCTATAATCCGCCATGAAATTCGCCTCACAAACGGATCCAGTTTACTGCATGTTGAGTTAAGGGGCTAAGAAGCAGCAACGACAGTTCATAAGAAGAGTCCACCCTCTAGAGTTGAATATTGATCACATTTTTTTTGTTGAATATGTTTAATTTACCAGACTTGTTAATATTTGGTCTGTAGGTGGAGCTAGATGAGAGTGAATCATAAAATATATTAAGATTCATCCCCTGGTAACCATGAATGTGTATAATGTTGTAAGGGCTTTCTAGCAAATGGGCCAGAACACTAATAACATTTCCTAAGACTTGTTCACCCTCCAGCTGAAATTTGGGCGAACAAAAGAATTACAAAAATCACAAAGAAACACACAACAGTTTGTGCTCCTCCCTCCCCAAACCTCACATACCAGCAGCAGCAGCGGCATCTAAGAGTCATGTGCCTGGCCTCTGTCTCTCTCAGCCCAGACCCATGACTGCAGCACATGACTAGCTCAGGGCTGGATTACAGCCTGACTAGCATGCTCACACCACCCGGTGCCTGCTGACAGCTGAGTGCACCGCTGACACTCACACTAAAAACATCATCCAGCACTAGAGTACAGGTTTCTTTTGGAGATCTTCCCAACCGATTTCTTTGGTACAGTTTTTTCAAGATTGGTGGGGTTTTAGAGACAGCTTGAATGTGGCTTTTTGGTGTAGCGTAGAAGTTCAAACTTTAGCTGAATGACCGTAAACTTTACCTGAGATTTACAGAGATAAATTCAATGAACTGATATTGTGTAATAAGAAAACTACATATTGATTTGAAGGATAATAACTTCAAGTAGAGCTCAAGTCTTTGAATTAATGTAATGTTTTTGTGCTGCTTAATAATGTTCCTTTCATTGTTTCTTAGACTCGATTACTTTAATATAGTTATATTATTTAAATCTAGAGGCCATCTTTTTAGACTGTTTACAGTAGGGTATTGGGGAGTCCACAGTGAAGTATATTTCCTGAATAGCAAAGGTGAAAAGAAAACCACCAACTTGTTTCTGAATGCATCTTTAAGTGCCACTCGACAGGAAACTGGACAATATTTGAGAAGATCTCAAATGCTTCTGTTGCCTTGTACATCTCAGCTCCTTTCAGTGAACAATAAAAAAATATATACAAAATTGCCTTATATTTACCGTTCTCTGTTTTTTACCGTTGTTTGTTTTTATCTTCTTGTAAAGCACCTTGTGTTGCAGCTTGCATGAAAGGTGCTATATAAATAAAGTTTGATTTGATTTGATTTGACTATTCAAAGGAAGATGTTTTAATTTTCCATGGGAGTGGAATAATAATGCCCATTATTCCGGCTAAAAACATGTTATACATTTTTTTCTTACTGCATTGTATTTTGGATAAATTGGACATTATTTGCTCTGATTATTGTATCTCAGGAGAAGGTTCTTTTCATTAATTCAGCCACATAACCACAGCCTGAAAGTGGGGTCAAAGTGAAATCCATTGAGAACTCGCAACATGTAAATGTTTCTTGATTTGAGAGGCTGAGGAATACACAGTTTAGAGAATTTGGGAATGCAACTAAGACAAAAGCTCTTCTGAGAAGGAGTGCTAAAAAATAAAGGAAGCAATTTGTTGTAACAAAGCGAAACTGTCCTGATAAAATAGTCAAAACTGAGAGAGTCAAAACTGGCCAAATCTTGACAAACTTGAACATGTTTTCTAACTTATTCGCAGCTTCATGCTCCTCTATGTGAGCTTTTTAAGCAGCCAACATTACTAAATATAATCTATCAAGTTCCAGGTTGAAATTTGGTGGGGAGGCCAAAAGAACAAGCTGAAATGAACTAAACTGCAATGCGGAGCTGCGTGGTTGAGTAAAAAAATTCTTTATGGCTGTACGCAAACCCCACAAGGTCATTTGATTCAGTGCTGAAACGCAAAATATTTATTAAAGCAGCTTTCAGTTAAAAAGCTGCTGAGCCCAATATTCGGTAACAGAACTAATGCGTTATATTTCTTGGTTAAAGGACCGGAAAACACACTACTCAGAACATTTGACCTGTATGTATCATTGAATTGGCTTTATCCAAAATCACTAACAACGTGAGGAAACCGGAAGAACGTCACTTTTCTTTTCATCGAGCTACAGCATCTACAGTTCAAGGCCTGCTCAGATTTCTTCTTTTTGTTGTAAGATTGTGAATGAAACATGACAGATCGTAAAATAGTCTAAAAACATACCAAGAAATCAACAGAATCAATCTAACAGTAGCATTGGATGATTATCTTTTAGTCATGAGTGCTACAGCAGATGCCTTGGACAAGTCATACATAACAAGAGCTTCTGCTTGATCATAAAGGGATAATTTGACTGTGTTGCTGCATTTCGATAATTTGGATTTCAGCGCAACCACCGTAAACTCATCTGCTCTCAACTGTTGATTTGCCTCTATGAAAAAGCTCAGACCGTTACTGATGTGCACATTAGCGAAATGGTCCTTTACCGATATTCACTTTATACCCACAGCAAAGAGAAATCATCTGCACACTCACTTCTAAACTGTTTTACATGACAGGTACATGGTACCAGCCAACAACAGCACCATTCATAAGAATATTCACTCTTTCTTCAGCTGTTAACACCCACCAGGATGCCACCAGTAGTGCCAGAAAGAGATCATTTTCAACCCATTATCGTGTGTGTGAGAAATTATCAAGCTATTACGGCGGGAATTTGTTTTCAACGGAGACCATAACTGGCAGTAAATCCATCCAGATTCATACTGGAGGCAGAAGAAGACTGTTAATTTGTTTGCTTGTGAAGACATGAGTGCTACACACCTGTGAGCAGAGCGTGGTAGTGCAGGCCCCTGTCTTTATCCTGATAGGAACACACGTCGAACAGGTAAGCCTTGATGGGCCCGTCGATGAAGTCGGCGGCGAAGTCGAACAGCACGACGCCGAACATCACCACCACGATGGCCCAGACGCTCTTCAACGACTTATCTGTGATTATCGCTGGAAAAACAAGAACGAAACATCTTTACATTTATCAGGCGCTGCGGCTATTTCAGCGACTGAATACCTAAAGGGTGAAATTTGCAATCTGTGTAAGGGAGATAGCTGTGAGGAAAAGGACAGAAAGAAAGTATACGAAAGAAATTAGGACAAAAAAGAACCAGATATGTCTGGTGGACATGATAATAGTTCTGCCATGTCTTGATTTTTCAAAAAAAGAAGATTAAAGCAGGAACAACTCAAAGGTCTGCCTACATTTTGAGGATATGTACAGAGGAATGGAGGAATTTCAGGAAGTACAGTCAAAGGAACTTTCAGTCTTTGTTTTACTTATTTTAAAAATCTTTTCAAACACAAAAAGACTCATTCTTATAGCGGCCAACGTGAGGCTGTTAGACCGAGAGCTGCTCCAACAATGCAAACATAATGTCACACGGTTCCTGCAGCGTTTTCTACACCCCTGAGAAACATGGAAAGGTAATCAGCTTACCCTGCTTTCGCCACAGAGAAAGAAATATTTGATAATTCATATGATGATTAGAGCAAAGCCCTGGGGCTTCTTAAAATGAACCCGACCAACAATTACAGCATTCAGAGACCATTTCAGCGTGAATAAATGCATATTGTTTTACAAATTCTTTCCTGCATTCATTTGGTTTAGTTATAAAAGTGCTTCCTGGTCTAATCATGAACAAGATCCCCAGAGAGGACTGATCTTTTGTGGCCAAGGTGGAGAGATGTGAGGCAGGCTTTGGAAAATTATCCTCTCTTTCTCTCATTCTGATGTTGCATGATTACTGTAATTGTTTTCCCAAGTCAGTAGATGTATTTGTGGTATTGAGATATATCAAGCTCAATGATTGGAGGGTTTAGAAAAACTGTGACACGTAGAGTGGAGGAAGTAATTGAATGAAACTTTTCCGGGGGAAACAATACAGCAGTGCGGATGAGCCCAAGAAATGTCGGTTCAGGTCGTTATTCTTCACCTGTCATCTGTTCTTTACTTATCTTTTATTCAAAAGGTCACGCATTTTTCTGTACAGTGAGTTTATCCCATGATAGACTCCTGAGGAGTCTTTCTCTTAATTATATCAGCGGTTTTTCTGCTTGACACTAAAATGCACAGAGAAATTTCTCACACTCATTCCTCATCGTTCATCTGAGCCAGTGGGCACCGGATCAGGGCTACCTTAAAAAGTCACACAATTAACTTAAGTCACAAGTTAATAATGTGAGCGTAAGAGCCTTTCAGGGCTTTATGCCAACGCATTAAACAAGTTAAATCTTTTTAAATCTGGACTGACGGGGCCAACTTCATTATAGGCTGAATCACGGAGTGTGTACAAACTTAAGAGCAAGAGGGAGCCAAAAAATACTTCAAAATAAAATTAAAATCAAAATTATTGAATCAATAAAAAAGTAATCCTATTAAATCAAGAGCCAAGAGGAATAAAAGTTATTGGAACAAGAATCACTGCATTTCTCAGAGGATTTACAAGCGCTTTCCCTTATCAGCAGTCTTCTTTATTGACAGAGATGATTAATCATACTGTCCAATTTCCTCCCAGACAACCCGAGATCTTTTACTCCATTTTTAAATATAGCATGACCAATACCACATCCCTTTCGTATCTTGATGTCTATCTTTAATTTTCTCTCCTCCTCCCTTCTTTACTCATCTTTTAAACCTTACCTGAGATGACCGCATCCCCGTTCAGAAACAAGGTGATCCCCAGCAGCATAAAGATGCCAAGGGCCAGGATGTAAGGCCTCCGCCGGCCCCACGGCGAGCGGCAGTAGTCGCTGGCCGAGCCGATGATGGGCTGGAGCAGGAAACCCAGGATGGGACTGATCAGCCACACCAGGCTGTACAGGCTGCGAGGGAGACCCACACTTAGAAGCACAGGTGTGACAAACGCGGCCTCCACGGCGTAGCAGAATTCCCTTCCAAACATGACCATGCCGTGGAGGATGAGTCGGCCCCTCGAGCGCTTTGGGGGGTCCATGTTTTGGTAAACAACGCTCTCCCCACTGGTCATGTATTCCTCTTTGGAGCCAGAGTAGCCCGTTGAGAACTGGTGCAGAGAGTTGCGGATGTGTTTGCCAGGCTCTGGAAGCCGGCAGGGCTGGGGTCTGGCGGACTGGTCCTCTGAAAGAAGGGTCATGGTTCAGAAAGAGGGGAAAGAGGGGTGGAAGGAGAAAGGGAGAAGGAGCGGGAGAATGACACAGGAGCAAAGAGGAGTTTTGTTAAAAACTGAGAGAGAAAAAAGAGTGAGGTTTCTCCTTCTTTCCAGATCATGCATAAATGGCGAAATGCCCAATCCTTGCACTGGCACCCAGCCTTAGTCCTGAGTCTTAATCCGCCTCTCTACTGCATAGCTGAGCAATGAGTCCTATATCCACAGAGCTTTACTTCACATGTGAAGGTCTAACTCTTGGTCTGAGCCGAACAGAGAGGGACTCAATGAAGAAGAGAGAAAGAAGGGAGGAGTGAGAGAAGTGGGTGTATTTAAGGGATTTACAAAGGGTCTCGTCCTTTCCTCACTCTTCAAAGCGTTGTAGTGAAAGCCAGTGGGCAATTCATGGGAGTGTGTGTTAGGGATTATATGCATGTGAGCATGAGGGATGTGTGGCGAACAAGACCATTTACAACTGTATGCCATTGTTTTCAGTCGCTAATGATCAGCCAGTAGCACTTTGTATGATCATGTTTTCTTACAAAGGAACACAGTCACAACCACAACCCCCTTTTATTTCTCCAACGAGATTCTTTTAATGTGTGTTTGAATGAAACTAGTTTAAAAATTTTCTAAGCTATCAGAATCACATAAGCTTGACATTGTCTATTTTTCTTTCTACATGGAAACTTTTATTGTGAGTCCAGTTTTGTCTGTAAGTTTGACTAACAAATCTCGTCAACTGTTGAATTGAGTTTCGTGGATTTCAGGACAATGGTGACCAGTTTTAGGGGTTTTTGTATCCTGATCATGAGGTTCACGTTTGTTTTTGGGTTCAGCCTTCTAGCAACTTTAAGATACATTGCCATGAGGTTTATTGCAGACATTCATGGTCCCCAGATCACTCTAATGTTTATAATGTAGCACTTCCACGTTTTTCAAAATATTCAAATTTTTGGTTATGAGTTAAATCTTCAAAACTAAAATGTCGATTGCAGCAGGATGTATCAACTTTTGTGGTCCCTTAATTTTTATCTTTTATTTTTTTCCTTTGATCTTGTTACATGCACATGTAATTTATTATTATTTAACATATTGTACATTTGGGTAACCCTTTACAATAACCATAATTTATAAATGGCAAATAGATCGTTTATTAATGTAAGTTAATATAATTTTCATGAATTATTAATGGACTATTTATTAAAGGTTTATATATGGTTTAAATATTGGTTGTAAAACATCTAGATTAAAATATGTGTCAGTAGTACTTTGCAAATGGTTAATATTTGATTTTTAAACCATCTATAAACATTACTTAGATGATTTTTGTAAAGTTGCAACTGATGTTTGTAATACTTTGAGAATGATTGATAAGTGTTTTATAAACCACCTATAAACATTACTTAGATGGTTATTGTAAAGTTAGGGTTAGGGTTAGGTTTATAATGGTCTATATGCTATTTATTTATGATGATTAAACATTAATAAACTATCTACTTACCATTTATAAATGGTCTATTTACCATTTATAAGTTATTGAAAAGTGTTACCTATATTTGTTTTTATTATTATTTTATGTATTTCTATATATAAATTTATCAATTTGTTTTTTTCTTTTTTTACTTTTTAAATGTATCTTTCTACATTTATAGGTACGGGTAAATGTGAATATATATCTTAATATTCATTGCTGTAACATTGACTTGAACCTTTCTACTTTTCTCAGTCGAATTAAATATAAAGTTAATCACAAAAAACTTTTATGGTCCCCAGGGGATGAATCCAGCTGCATCTAGTGACAACTTAGTTTCACTTTAGTGCAAATGTACATGTTACACACAGTTTGTTGTCAATAGCTAATCCCTTCAACACTCCAGATGAGTTATGAGGTTTCCAGACAACATTCATAGTCCCCATTGGTTGAGCCCCAAAGACTTTTTAAAAGACTTCAGGAACTATCTTTTTTAATTTACTTTTGCACTACAGTGAGTCTCATAGAGTCAGCATTAAGTCAACTACATAAACTACATCGGTCAAGATTGACTGAACTCATCCAGTTATTGGTTATATGGATTTCATGTTTGTTTGTAAACTCTGTTTCTGAATTTCAATACAAGATTTGGTCATTTCTGGACATTTGTAATTTAGCACATCATCTGCTTCATCAAGTATGTGCAAAAGTTTTGTTAATTCCATTAGCCTCAGTTGGATGTTGGCAAGTGCTAACACATTAACCTTTGACTGTGGTCATGTGAGAATGATGATGTTTATATCAAACTCAAATGCCAAAGACTCAAAGAAGAGTTGGTTTGTTTGTAAAAACTTTTTTTTAAAAGCAATTTAAATGAGCAAACATGAAAGAATAAAAGCAGATGGCCCACTTCAGACTTTAACAAACAGAACAGATTAACACAAGAACTAATAAAGTTTTATTTCAACAGATGTTTGCAAGACAGGATGAAGTGTTCTCTCGTAAGTGTGTGTGATTGAAGACTTCATTGTCGTGTGGTTTTGTGGAAAATCTGTCTCACATCTTACTCTTCAAGCCTAACAATTGTTTAAGCTGTGTCGTTTTAATTCATCAGATCATTATGGTTCCCTTAAAATAAAATATATAAATATTGTGAAAGACAACAACAGTCATCGTATATATTAGGTTTCATGGCATAAATTCTGTATAAAAAGGGGCCGTATCTATCATTGCTCACAGAGTTGGTTTTCTCATCCCTGTAGCTGTAACAGAGAATATGATGCTGCGACCTTAATTCACCGCCCAGAGAGACATTCATAACTTGCTTCTTGCTGTGAACTTCCCTCTGCTCATCAAAGACAGCTTTCTTTATAAGGCCAAGTTAGGATCAAGTCTATGTCGTTCTCAAAAATCAGCAGACCAGCTCCAGGAACAATCACAAGAATATCATTAGGATCCAATCCCACACACAGACACACGGCGTGGGAGCGTTCTTCTTCTTGCCTTACTTCGAATTTGAAGGTTTCTCATTTTACTTTTAAAGCTTTCAAACTTTCTCTTTGGTACAGTGACCTATTTTCCTGTAGTAGTCTGAACCCTCTCAGCTGGGGATCCATTTTCTGCATCTATATCCCCTTTTGTAGCCGTAGGATTAATCTGGGAGAAAAAATCAGTGCTGAGCAGCATGACAGGACAGCCTGGAGGGCTGAGACACTTTCCTTTGGTCCAGCTAGAAAAGATGATTGACTCTGAAATTTTGTGTAAAGGGTCCACTAAAATAAGGAGCACAACCCACCAGCAAAAAAATCGAAGTCAGTCTGCTACAAGCACTTAAGCACAAAAATGTTAATAATAACTGTTTAATCATACAGTTCAAGGCTGTAATTGGGTTTTTTAAGTAAGAGTATTCATGATGTCCCCTTAGTCTGGAAAAAGTGCCCTTTTGATGCTCCTTAAGTAAAAAAAAAAAGATTCTCCAAAAGATAAAACATAATGCGGAGTCCTCTGGATGACCTCTCAGTGTGTAAAATGTGAATAAAAGGCCCTCTGGATAACCTTACAGTGGATATAAAATAGAAATTGTGCCTTCTGGGTGATGTAGAAAAGAGCCCTCCAAGAACCTTTCACAGAAAAAGAGCCCTTTTGCTACTCCAGACTTCATACAGTTTCAAAGTCGAGTTTGATACTCAGAAAGTCAGATATATTTAATTGTTAAATCAAACAAGACTATCATTGATTTACATGTTAAAATAACAGATCAAATTGGAGTCAAATGTGAGCTTCATACTTCATATTATGATAATTATGTGTGAATAATTTTGTGGTTTTTTCTTTTAAACTCCCACCACAAATTGTTGCAGAAATAATCACCAGAAAGTAAAGTGCTCAAAAATGATCTTCATATAGAGACAGATTTAACAACAACTTTCTGGCATACAGCAGGTGCCTTTTACCTTTTTTGCCCCTGCCCCTTAACATTTCAAGTTCGCCATATGACTTGATTTTATGACTCAGGCTGCAAATTTGTTGAAACCAAATAAGTTTGTTGTCAATTCTACCAGCTGCACAAAACAGCAGTGTGAGAAGTTTTGTACTTAATTTGTTTTCTTTGTCTCTTAGATCTCTCTCATCTGATCAAAAGTGTTTCATTCTGCTTTAAAAACACATCCTTACAGGGTTTTTAAAATTCTGTTTCCTACTAAACTGAAAAGAAGTAAAACATCAACACTTGACAGATTTGCTCAATACTTTAAAACATTTTTAGATGCCACACTGAGAAATGCACTGGAGGGAAATGACCTCTGTACTTAAGAAAGTAGCTGGTATGTAGCTCTGTACAAACACAGTGCTGGTGTTCTTCCTCAAAGAGTGTTTTTATGGTGTGGTAATAATTCTTTTACTCACTTTAAGGCTGCAAAGACGTCCTTGACAGCTGCCGCTGCTCTCCCTGATAAACACAGGCACAGAATGCAGCTAATTAGATGAGAACAGTTCAGTCGTGTTTGTTCGACCCAACAATCAATACATAACCCCAAGATTGCCCATTTATATACTGGTTATCAATGGACGTTTGTTCTCATTATTGTCACTTTGTCTTTTTTGGCAAAAAACTATGCAAAAGTATCACTCAGATTTTGTTAAATTTCTTTCTCCGTTTGGGTTGAATGTTTGCTGTACTGTGCTGATGCAATGATTCACTGGCTCCCCATCAAGTTCAGAATCAACTACAAAATCCTCCTGTACACTTTCAAGGCCATCCATAACCTTGCCCCCCCCTACCTCTCCGATCTCCTCCACATATCCACCCCCTCACGCTCCCTCAGATCCTCCTCCTCCCTCCACCTCTCTGTCCCCTCTGCCCGGCTCAGCACCATGGGGAGCAGGGCTTTCAGTCGCTCTGCTCCCAAACTCTGGAACTCTCTCCCCCCGGACCTCAGGAACATGGACTCATTACCCCACTTTAAATCCAATCTCAAAACACACCTGTTCCGAATCGCATACTCACTTTAACTGTCTACTTTCACACTTGTATGTTGTTCTTATTTATTTTAATTATGTTTCTAGCTGTGTTTTTATGCCCTGTAAAGTGTCCTTGGGTGCTCAGAAAGGCGCTTTTAAATAAAATGTATTATTATTATTATTATTATTATTATTATAATGAGTGCAATATGACATATAAAGCTGCAGCTGGTTGGTTTAGCTTTGCACTGATGTTAAAAGTTAGGAAAAACAGCCGTCTCACTGCATTTGTTCACCCTTGAAACCCACCTGATAAAACCTCCATATAGTTGTTTATCTGTTCGTCTGAATATGTGAAAACATGAAGATGCATCTTTACAGGTGCACCTTGTTTTCCATCTAAACAGAGCATTTTAGCACAACCATGACAAAGTCATCTAATGTACTGGCAGTCATATGAAAAGTTTATGATTTGAAATATCAAAACAATAAACTAAAGCTGGGGCCAAGCACAAAGTCGGACTTGTTTCCCATCAAATGCAACCCTTCAACTACTTGAGATGTCTCTGTCTGGATCCAGAGGGAAGTACGCTGACCCAGCCAGACAAGTTATGAATTCTAGCACCTTTGTGTCAAAGGATGTTGAATTATTGAAGACAGAAAGTCCAGTTTTCTACCTACACACCAGCCCATAAAGCAGCAGTCGCTCCTTGTATTATTAAAGGTTACTTTCACACCGGTGCTGCAGAAAAACCAAAAGCCAGAACAACACCTTCATATCCACAAGACACTTTTTAATCCCCCTGATTGTGCAGTAGATATGTCTGACTCTGCCATCAGTGGTTTTGTCTTCCATTTCCATTGCAACGCCTCAGGTATAAAAGCCAATCCTTCACCTTAAATGAGACATTTGTACCCAGCTCTTGAGTTATGGTGTTTCAATGCAGGGTTTGATTGCAGTCAGGAAAAATTTTATTCATTTTCAAGTAGCTTTGGCCTCCAGAATTTGGAGCTGACTGTATCATCAAAAAGGCCAAGTACGACTTCCATTTGAGAAATCACTCTGCTGTTTTCATTTTGATCCCTGAACACACTGGCACAAATGCACCATTGCATCTCCTTGTATGTGTTCTTAAGTATCACAGTGCAGCGCATACATTAAAAACTAAAATGATGGTACAGTCACTGTTTCCATCAGTTTGAGCTATAAAGGCCTTAAAGGGAAGTTACACTTAATTTAAATCCAGCAGGAAAGCCTTCAGATGATTTTCTCTTTGGAGATCAGGAATCATCAGACAAGATTTTCCCATCTGATTAAACTCTTCAGAGACCATGATGTGTTGACGCCTGAAAGAAGAACTCTTAAGAGTCAAAGTTATAAAATACGAAACCCCAACAGGCATTATTAATATAACCTCCATTTTCACTACCAAGAATATGATCCTCCTTTTGGGATAGAATGCAGCTTTGCTCTAATTCAGGGGCTGCTTCTTCTGGAGGGGGACATTGCATCACAGTGGCCGCTGTCCCATATCAGAGGCAAATGCGCCCTACTTTTCCCTGGCAGCCACATCCTTTGTGGACAAATACATCATGCCAGTTCAAACATGCGGCTGAGTGATACCATTAAATATCAGGATTTGGGTGCAACTCAATGGAGTAGTGAGGGATAAAAATGTTTAAAAAGACAGCTGTCTTGATAATGAAATCATCTCTGAAAGGATGGCGGTCATGGTTAAGTTATACCCTATTTTAGTTAGCCAGCTAGCTACAGGTTGCTAGCTGGCAGGAGCAGAGCTATGTGAGGCAAACAGGAAATCTAAGACCCATTCAGTTTATGATCCTTACTTGGTTCAAATAGAGATCATAGTTTGGTTTTGAACAATTTGTAATTTTAGGTTTTGTTTTCACTGGGATGTTGATGTCAGTTTCCTGAAATTTCATGTTATTCACATCTAAACTAGGCGCAACTTCACTTTCTTTTGTTTAAGTGGAGGATCAACATCCAGATAAAACCACGAGAGAGGTTTAAATCTCATATTATCACAAGTCTTTGTCCAGGATTATTTAATATCGATTATTGAATCATTATTAATCATTTATTCGCAAACTGAGAAACTTCTTCAGCACATTTACGAGTCGAGCTACAGTAATAACTTCATTAGATGACCTAACTTGACTACTGTCCTTATCCCAGCATGTCCGCCTCTGTTACAATAGGTAGCAAATCCCCCTTTCAGCTTTTCAATACTAGGTCGTCTTCCAGTTGACATGTTAAAAACAGCCGGTGACATGCATTAGCATAAGGCTAACTGGACATCTCTTGTACAGGTCTGTGCCATTTTTTTTAAAGGTGTCATCTTTTTATGACCTTTCTCCATCTGACAAATAAACTATCAAACTACCCACTTTTTCGCCTGCTTTTCTTTAATGGATGCTAATTCAGAGGCAGTTTGTAAAAAGTCCTTTTGTTCCTTCAGAGTGCTTTTACCGTCCGGCCCCTCAAACGACAAACAATGAAGCTTTCTTGAAGCTCAAAAGACATTTTAGTTTAACTCGCACGTCTTCAGCATTTGTCTGTTAGCTTAAATGTAGACCTGGAAACAAGGAAAAGGGCATTCCCCTCTGAAAAGCAACAACTTTTGGCATGTAATTTTTTTTTTCTCGTATTTGACCGGACATTACAAACATAAGCACAGGTGAACTTGATAACCTCACGGAGCAGCTGGGTTGGATGCAAATTCTTCTGTCTTGTTAGCAAAGTTTTTGAGAGGCAATTAGAGGATGTCCTGGAAAATGTCCTTATGAACCTCAATATCTTTAACCGTGTATCTGTCACTAAAGTAGGTAATTATTAGACCCATCCAGCCACAGAAAGATGGAAAATGAAGAAAATGATGGCAGGTATACTATTGTAAAATGTAGATTAACAGGGTTTGAGAATAATTTAAAGACTTACCATTCTTTCAAAGTTCCCTTCCTGGAGCTCAAGTTCTTGACCCGCCAAGAAGCAAATTTCCTGTAAAAACCATGAAATCTCCAGCGGTTCTGCTCTGGTTGTCTGCTGCAGCAGCCGGTAATCAAATGATGACTCATGTGATCCCTTTGGATGGATCAGACTACGAAAGGTGGGAGCAGACAGGGAGCAGGAAGCAGAGGGAAAAGGTCATTTTCTGCTTTTAAATGTTAGACTACATCATAATACAGCTTAATTATTCAGCACTGTAGCTCCTAAGAATGACACAAGATGTTCAAACTAAAGTATTTGGTTTTCTTTTTGCAGCGATAATTACCTTGGTGCTGATTTATTGTTGTAAGAACAGCCTAAACTTTTTATCACCTTTTTTGAGGCCTTTAGTTTTTACCACTTATCACAAAATGCAAATTATTTCTTGCTTTATCACCGAAATGCGGCTGAAATGAAGCATTTACACCAGAGTGATAAACAGGAGGCTTTTTTAAATCTGAAAATAATGTAAAACTACGAAAAAACGTATCAGAAAGAGTCTGAAAAAATGAGTAATACCCTCCCTTTTATCCCTTAATGTGACTTTAAAGCTAATTGTGGTAATTTTCAAAATAAACACGTTTTGGATGTTGTGTTAACTGAGGAGACTTTCAAATTCTAGAGGACAAGATGACAAGTGGACAGGTGTCTCTTGGTATCTCGGCTGCTTTTGGTCCGCTGGCACCGACAAAACAAAAGTTGCTCTTTCTGGTGTTTGTTGCGCTCCTCTAGCCGAGCACAAGGAAGCAACACAAACAATCAAGTGGGAATCCCAGTGTGTGGATTATTTATTTCTCCAAAATAAGGTGTGCTATACAAAAGAGCGACTACGTGTTGTGCAATGTAAAGGGTACCCCAACGTACCTTAGTCTTACCCATCTCCCACCACAAATCCCAAATGTTTTTACTTTGTCTAGTTCCAATATTGTAAGGTCACAGAGTCCAGGTAAGCTGCCAGAGAATCCGAGCACACAAGGGAAGAAGTTTTTAAAGATGGTTCCCCTCTAATGAGCCAGGTGAAGGGTAGCCATGTTCCAATCAGATCCCCTCCACACGTCTCATGGCAGAGCAGAGTAAGGGGCAGCAATCTTCTTCCTGGACTTCCTAATGCAGGGATGCAGGGAGAGGGAGGGAGAGGCAGAGAGAGAGAGAGAGAGAGAGAGAGAGAGAGAGAGAGACCAGACAGGGGGCTCTTCTGAGCCAGCCTCGCACGTAACATGTTCTTTTGGAAAACTTTATAAAAATGAAAAGTTTCGTGTGAAATATAAAACTGCAAGTGGATGTAAACTTCTAACTGAGCGTGCACCAGATTGATTCTAACTTCTGCAATTTTGTGAAAATGTCAAAAAAAAAAAAAAAAATTCCGTAGATGTTAAATACAAGAACTCCGAATAACGGCTAAGATCCAAGAGCTTGGAGCCATTTTAGAAGGCAAAAATTCAAACTTTCAAACCCTCTTTACATTTTACTGTTAAAGTTTTTAAAATGGACAAAATGAAGAACAAGTTTCGCTGTTGTAATCGCCTTATTTCTTGTGCAGTGCTTGGGTGAACGGTAGTTTAGCAGCCAAGTAAATGTTCAGTTTGTTTCTAATAGCAGCAATCAGATGTTACCAGCAGTGCTTGACGGCAGCTTTTTCAAATGATTTTTCATCATTAAGTCAGCGGGTCTAGAGGAGGAGAAGTAATACTAGCTGGAGGTCATAGCAAAAGTAAGAGAAAATGGCTCATCTCCTTGTTTTAAACTCTAGTGTAGGCACAGATAAACCCAGAAAAGATGAACTATGAAGCTCAGGCTCAGGCCCTTTACCCTGTCTGCCACCCCTGTCCTCATTATCTCTCTACATACTCTACTTTTGGTGGGACAGAAGGGACAGAAACAACACATTTTCTCACCTAAAGAGGGTGAGCTCTAGCCCAGATAAGGTCTTTTCTCCTTCTGCCTCTCCTGCACTCTTTTAACATTTCTTTCTTTCACAGGAAGTCAAGTGTACAGCCTAACTCAGCGTTCAAGTTGTCCTAGACCAGACCTGTTCATGCTGATTTCTCTGTTTTCCTCTCCTTTCTTTTCTATCTTGGTGTGTGGGTATAGTGGGAGGTGAGAGATGGCACTGTGGGGTTGTTCAAAGATGCTGGAGCCGTCTGTAAAGCCTCCCTGGGGTGTCCTGAATCTGACTTGGCAAATTATCAGAAGAAAGATGCCTACCCAGCAACAACCTGGCTCTCACTGCCCATCTATTCCCCCATCTCCGTCTCCATGCGTGGGTTGAAGTGGGACTTTCGATGCCATGTGGTGGTTTCAGTAAAGCACACATGAGAATCTAATGGATGGGTTTCTTCACTGAGAGCTTTTCCTTTTCAGCCAGAACACAAGCACTTTTGTTTATTTGGCATTGGTGAAGTAAACTTTGTTGAGATAAGGAAAAGGGTTGAGAAAACATCTTTACATTAGCAATGATGTAGGTTGATGTTTCATTTAAAACTACCTGATTTAAAGAAGACTTATTGCACTGATCTATATTCTAATACATGCATACTACATCATGTTACGATGTTGGATGTCCACATTAAAGGTGGGGTAGACAGGGTTCCGTTAAAGAAGCATATTTTTGTGTTGTATATACAAAAAGCTTTTAATATCAGTCAATAGCTATTAGTTATTGATGACATTTGGGAATATCGTGATATTGTTGTGTTTTGTTATGCCTGTGTTTTCAACATTTTAAATTTTTTGCGCGGCCGCTCTTTCTAAATGTAAACAAAGTCATTCTCCGCCTCCTCACCCTGATTGTTTGTGAGGCAGATGCTGCTCCCTCATGTTGTGAGGCACGCTCCACGTCCTCGGATAATGTGCACGAGCTCAATCAAAGTTAGAGTGCGACAATATCGGATAGTAGAAATCAACCGAATGTACAGAAAACGCAAGCAAGAAAATGAAGTAAATACCGGAGACTCAGGTGGAATAACAGGCGCTTAAAACAGAGGTAGACCGGACAAGAGCTATAAAGCAGGGTCAACATCAGCATAAATGATGGGGAACGCTTCGGGATCTTACAGACCCTGTAACCTAAAGCTAAGCTAAACTGTTTACCTTGGGTCCTGGACTATGTCACTTTATCCTAGTTGTAAAAGTCCTGCAAACATTGTGTTTGCTGGTAGTCTGTTGGCATCTACAGTAGCACTAATGCTTTTTACTCTGAAGTTGACTGGGCCCCATTTGTAATTATCCGAAGTATTTATCTGCATTATATCTGGTTTTCATTGAAACAATATGAGCGAGCAGAAGCGTCTGTTTGTGGGCAGAGCTTGCTGGAGCAGAGAGGGAGGGGAGAGGAGGAGCTGAGGGGAAAACTGGTTGGGAGGGGTAGAGTTTACATTCAAGATTTTTCCCAAACACTGGCCCTTCCTCAGATCCTGCCTACCCCACCTTTGAATCTTGGCAAAGCTTCGTGACATAAGATACATAGATATGACCAGATACTGGTTTCAAAACATGACCACAACCTCTCAGTGTTTGGGACAGCAGCCACAACATAGCTGTCTGTGCTTGCCACTTCTCTGAAGACTTCTTTGTAAATTGGGACCAGAAAAAGCTGTATTCACATCTCAACTGTGACTGAAACCTGAGGCTGTTCCTTCCAGAAAGCCCTTCCATGAAAGAACTACAAGCTGTCAGTAACATTAAAGCAGCAGGTTACATTTCAGCAGCTAATGTGGGTACACACTGATAGCCTCAGACTTTTTATTGATCTTTTGAGTCATTTCGTGACCATAAATTTTATGAAGGGTAACACCCACAAGAAGTGTCAAGCTTTACATCAGTAGAAAAGCACTTTTTAGGTAAAGGGTTATTAGAGCTGTGTTTCTCCAGACAAGGGCTGTCACAGTATACTGGTGCAGACATAAATGGGGGGGTATTGTGCTTTTCCACACTTGCAACAAAAACTGCAAAGTGACAAAGTTTAGTGAGATTCCTAACTTTTTTCTGTTCCGACAACTTATCTGCAGGGAGTAGCTTACACCTTAAAATAAAAGCATAGTTTTAGTAAGTGGAAAATAAAGCTACCCAAACACAAGATATAAAAGATATTAAGTAAGAGTCTGACAAACAAATGTCGATGAGGTAATGTACTCTCCAAACAAGGGTTATCCTGTCTTTCTGTATATCGACTAAAACTCTGTTGAACAATGAAGACGCCAGAGCTACGGTATGTTGAACCTCATGTATGGAGCCTGCATTTATCCCATGCAATTAGCTTAGAGGTCCGTTTGCCTGTTTTGACCCCGTGCAGTCAGAGTCATGTTAGCAGTCACACCACTGACATTCCTCTCATACCACAAGGTTCTTTTTTTACCATTACCTAGAGTGGAGTAGTACATTCATGGAAGTGTTAAAGGGTGATCAAAGCTGCGGCAACATGAGACAAAAGGGAAAATGTGTAGTTTAGGAACAATTATGTAAGCTTCAGTAGCCAGCAGAAACATGACGTACAGTCAGAATGTAAAAGGAACTTACTTCAGGATCAAAAGAGGATGTCTGCACAGGGTTTGACTTGAATGATCTGAGCTCCAGAGAAGAGCTTTAACTGTTTATAAAACAAACACATTAATCCTGATTGTATGACTTACATCTTCTTTGTAATTAAGATTTTATTGACTTCTAAAACTTCTTTTAAATTAAAAAAAGTAGATAAGGGATATAAAAAACATAATCAGGCAGGAAATACAACAGACTTGAAGAAAGAAGATACTGTTACTAAATGTTATTTAGTCTGTTTATTCATTTATACAATTTTATGTATTTATTTATTCATTTAGTTTTATTAATTTAGTATTATAATAATAAAAATAAGAATAATTATTATCATTTTTATTTACTTATTTAATACCATGTATTTATTTAGTTATTCATTTGTTTATTTTTTTTGAAATTTTTATTTTTATTTATTTATGTTTATTTTATCCAATATTATTTCCTAATTTTTTATTGATTTATTCAATTGTATGTATTTATTTATTTATTTTTTATTTATATCATTTCACGAATTTATTTAATTCAATTTTATGTCTTACTCTATTTATTTCATTCATTAATATGTTTATTTTATCTAGTTTTATTAATTCAGGCATACAATTTTATGTAATAATTTATTTCTTCAGTTTTACCTTTTCTTCATCTAATCAAATTTTATTTATTTATTCATTTATTCTTTTTAAATATTTAAATGCCTAACTGTGGTCGTATAAGATAATCCCCACATTTTTTAAAAATTGTTTTTTAATTCTTTTTGCTTTAGAAAGTTTAAAAGCAGGCATTAAGCTCATGTTCAATTCGGATCCCTTCCAGTTTAAAGTTCGTTTTCATACAGCATTTTGCTTATGTAAACTGTTCCAAAGAAATGCTGTAATTTCTCATATTATATTGGTAAACCTCCTCTTTTCTTAGGGTGACAAAGCTGGCTTACTATTTAATGAATTTCAACACTCTTGAATCACATTGAGGAATAACTCTTGTTTGCAAAGGTGCTTCGGCAGGGATTAACAACAGAGTCGAGGCAACAGAGCAAATGAAATATGAGACCACGAAGAGACAAAAACATAATTAAATCAGGCTGAGAGGCGGAGTAGTTTCAGACATGAATTAATATCTGCAGGTGGTTTTGTATAAGATGAAATGTTAGTTGCAGACCTGGAGTGCTAAACTGGTGCTGGCATACGTGTAAAAGATGGTGTCATCTGGCTGAGGATGGATGCCAAAGTTGGTTGGAGGTGGTTATATAATTAGTATAAATAGTAAATAGCAATGGTCCCACAACTAAACCTTGGGGAACTCGAGACCTTTTTAGGTAGTTATGAAACAACTCATTATCAAAGCCTAATGAATCAAGTTGCAGTCAAAGCAGAGAAAAGTCAACTGCGTCAAATGCTTTTCGATAAAACAACAAAAGTGCTGCAGTGTTTTTTGTATCTCATGGTGAGACTGTCTAATTAATGAACAGGGAGTTGGCAAAAACCTTGGCCTGACTGTAATGGAGGCAATACAATGTGTAAATGAAAGTGATTTTAACTGTTTCTGACAAGTGATTCAGATCAGAGATACAGTGGTTTTTAAATTTGACAGTAATTACTCTCATTAGAATAGTGACCATCCCTGGGGAAAAGGAAGAAGAGAGGGAGTCAGAAATGATGAGACTGAAGATGTGCGTAACAAAGATGAACCGTGCTGAGAGCTTGGGCAGGTGGTTCCAGTTTGTCACTAGCAGTAGTTTTGAGTGCAGCACAATCGCAGAAACCATCAGACACTGATCCTGAAGGACTGGTTTACTCCAGATATTGTCACGGGGATGGATGGCTTTTGTTCCTCACGAAAACCCTGTGACATCAACATCAAGGCTGTCTCATAGATGACCAGCTGAGGTAAGATGATTGCTGAAAGCAGTGCAGGTTTTATGCAAATGTGGGGCATTAAGTACAGAGAGTGGTGCTACTTAGTGTGACTTAAATTTGACTATTATCCACACTTAACTGGGTTGTAAAAGCTGGTGCGGGTCCCGAGGTAAAAGTCAGATTTGGCTTTTTTGACAGCAGTGTTGCTCTAATCCCTTATTTGTCTGAAAAAGATCAGTTGACGTGCGTCTTTTGTGCCACAAAGCCTTCACCACATCTCATGAATAAAACAACATAAAAACGTTCAGGGAACCAGGAAATTGAGTCACATTTTCTCAAAAAGTGCATATTTATCTAAAATTGATTAACTTTTTAAAAATAGTTCATAGCCAATTGAGGATGAGGGATATTCAAGGTTTGAGCTTTTTGTAATGCAGGACTCTCGTTGTCACATGTCTAATGCACAATAGGGCAGTCGTCACGGGTATGGACGTCAATAACACCACGGGTGGGTCTTTCTCAGGTGTGTTTGTTGATGGTAAATCAATCAAGCTTGACCTTAAGTCTTAAAGGTCAGGGTAAACAGGTTGGGTAATTGGCTGATGCCTCCTCCTTTGCCATCTCTGTCTGTTCTAAATATGATAAGGGACCACGAGGGACAGAGCGTCCACAGAGGTTTAGTCTTTTGAAACTGCTCATCTGTTTAACCCTCTTCACAACTCCTATGTCACAAATACACATAAGCAAGCAAAACCATTAGCGGCAATAGTGACCATTTCTGACCTGACCTATTGATCTGACCTGCCCAGTGGTGGTGAGGCTGTAGCTCTGTAAACTTCTTTGACATTGGCAGATCCAGGGTTTTGTTTTCGCTTGTTGGAAAGTTAACAAACTGTGTAAATCCAATCAGGTGAGAGGAGAGGGTCAGCGGGTTGAAGACTCCTGATGTATAAGTGCCTCAGGATGTTGAGTCTATATCCTAGCAACTGTACCATAAAGAGCATCACACAGAACTTCAGCTGTTGCCTTAGGTGGGATGTATACAAGCATTGTATAGCCTCATTAACCAATCTATCTTGGTTTCAGTTCCTTCACTTCCTGTAAGTAGAAGATAGGCTACAGAACTGAATAAAAACAGTTGATATAATGTTCAGACAGTCGTAATGTTAAGTTGATTAGTCCCAAAGACTCAAAGCTTTAAAAAGGTGGTTATCATCAACACTGGTATACAGCCCTATGTGATACATTTGAATGAAGTTTGACAAAGCCTGACAATACTGACAGAAAAGCACTGAGTTTACTACACTGACATATACATATATTGAATTTCCCTTTGGGGATCAATAAAGTTCTTCTTATCTCATCTTACAAACCCCCCCATCTGACTGAAACAAATCATACAGGAGAAACATCTGACTTCAACATGTATGCATGTTGAGAAGTACTATGTTAATTATCGCATAAAAGCGAGGAGTCCGTCAGCACAAAGGCTTAAATTAGTCAAAAACAGCCAGCCTGGTTTGGAAGAGGGTTTTAGAACAAATTCACCCACCACAACATCTTGAGAGCACTTTGCTCGGCTTTTGCTTTATTAACCTAAAAACTATCATTTTCATTTTAATCAAAGTGGTATGGAGAGTTTTACAGCTAACATCCCTTAGGAAACTGCAAAACCTTTCTATTAGATTTTTTTCTGTCCATTTCTTCTAATTAAAAAGTCCCAGTAAAGAGTTTTTCAGATGCTTTTTTCCTTGTGCTGCAATTTAGATAGATAGATAAAGATACTTTATTGATACCAAACTGGGAAATACAAGACGGATTTATTTGAAACCATGTTTAAAACAGACAAACTTTCTGCATTACAGGTTATAACCTGAAGGTAAACTTGAGAACTTTTTTCAGTGAAGTATGACCTGACCTTTTAAACTTTTTGCAACTTTCAATTCTCAGCTGCTTGAAAAATTCAGCATCCAAATAAAATGTGAAATGATTTATTCATTATTTATCCCCCAAGCAGCTATCAAAAATTCCAAAAGAAATACATTATCTGAGAGACATGTTTGAGTTTTCTGATGAGGAATGTCCTTAAGTGTCATGAAACACCAGCATACAGCTTATAATAAATTGTCTCATTCTCATGTTTCAAGCAGGATAAACCTATTGTGCCCTCTGTATCCTCTTATCTGCAACCCTGAAGCTTAAGGTCAATATTCAGTTTCTCTTAAGCTGTTTAAGTGTCATGCTGCTGCCTGTTCTTAGAGAGCCCTTACACATCTGCTGCTCACAGTCAGACATACAGGAATTATGAGAGATTTAAAGTATGGAGACATCTCGTTCAGGTGATTTGACATCCATTTTAAACTAGCACTTTCAAATTCAAATGTTTCAGCAGTGAAAGCAGCGTTTTTAGCATTTCAAATATTTCACTCTCAAACTTGTCAGATGATCCCTGGAGGTGTTTGTATACAGCAGAATCCCATAAACACTGAAATTACACCCATGCTGCATTTGATTTGAATACATGAATATATTAATTTTCATAATCACTCCTGCTACGCTTTTAGAGTTTCTGATATTGAAAACAAATAACTTTGAAACTTTCACAGACATAAGTGTGGTGTTAGGATAACCTCTGCTCTAGTTCAACCAACTAAATAAATCATTAATGTACTAACATTGATTTCTGACAAAACAAATTAATACTCCCTGACAATGTAATATGTTCATGTCAGGAGAGTTTTAATTAGCCTTTTTCCTTTTCAATTAAATCTTTTATTATAGGGTGCTGGTTGGCCTCATGTACAGAAGCTTGTCCTCATCTCAGGTGCTGCCAGTTCGACTCCCAGTCATGAAACTTTGATGCATGTCTCCCCGACTCTGCATCCCCCCTTTTTTCTATTCACTACAACTTGTAATTTCGAAATGTAGGATCATTTGCAGTATGTTATACGAAACCAAAAAGGAGTGTTTCATGCAGCTTAACTCAAACTCACTTTTTTATTTGTTTGAAAATGCTATATTTGATCGTATTTTATAAACACAATTTCACCAGACAGACATTCCCAGCCTCCTTCACTGCAAAATAAAATCATAAAATCTGGTTTAAAAAAAAATAAAACTATAAAGGCTACACCAAAAAGTTTTGCACCAAACATTTGGCTGAAAGTTTAGCAGACATTGGAGTTGACTTTTTTTAGGAATGGACAGCAAAAAGCCCTGTGATAATGATCAAAACTGCACAGCCTACAGCGTATGGTGGCTTTCACTCTCACTACTTTACATAAAATTCAAGCCAGGATATTTCACACCTCTTCTTCCATTGTGCCTCTAAAATTGCAGAAAACGCAAAGATCACCGGGTGAGTTGTTGCACGCAGAGAGGATAATAGATTTTTCAAATTAAGGGGTCGGTATTTAAACAAGAGGCATAGAGGCATAACTTGATTAATCGCTTAAAACTTGGGACGTACTTGTAGTTTAAGACTGGCTCTTCCTTCACTTATTTCTGCTGTTGGATCATATAGCTGGATCAGTCTTTGAATGCAGTCATGAAGCCCACCTCCTCCATTTTAACAGATGAGGTTTTAAACAAGAGAATTAAAATGCACATTAAATAATTCTTTCTCAAACAAGCTAAAATAGTTCGTTGTTAGTAAGCTGATTTTTGCTATGTGTTGATTTTTCATAGATGTTTCGTTCCAACCAGCTACTTTATGTAAAAAAGAGGGGGTGTGACACCATGGTTGACAGCTCTGTAGACAAATGCAGTTCTTCTACAGGCGGAGGAGTAGGAGGACTGGAGAGAGACAATGTGACCGGGATGGTTTTTGATGTCATAACAGTACCTTCAAGATGTGGTTTGAGGGGCCATGATGCCAATCCACCTGCTAGATCAATTCTGTGCATGTCTTGGCTCCGAGATATGCACCCAGCCCAATATGTGATTTCACTTTTATTACAAACGGGGAGGACACGCCTCATCCATATCAATGTGTAGTTGTGACAGCAGCAAGTCATCCAAGGACAGCTTCGTTTGGCAAATGAAAGACTCGGAGGGCATTAAAAGCACTAAAAAGTCCCACTTAACAACTATCCAGACTGTCTGACAACAACTATCTATATGTGTGCAGAGTGCGCAGAGGATGATTTCTCACTGCAACCATTTAAGATTCGCCTACACTTGAATGAGCCGTGAACACTGTGCACCATCCATCATGGTCCAGAGGAATGAGGAAAATATGCAAATGAGCCGGAGGAAGCAGTAGTTTATGGTTTTTCAAAACTTCTTTGTGCTTCACCAGATAAATGTGTTTTTAATTAAAAGAAAAACTTCATTCACTTTCTATTTTCACTTGAGACATTTCAATGGCAGCTCAAGCTGCACGTCATTAAGAAATAATTGCATGTTATTTCGTTTTTTTTAAATTAATTATGAGTTAAGTTCAGATATACCATCAAAGCCTCTCGCATCAAAGCTTTCAACTTTACAGCTTTGATTTGACAGCATTACACTCAACGACCCCTGCTGTCCGCATTTGGTCAATCTCAGTGGATGTAAAGCCATATTCCTTCAGGACTTCAACAGTGTGTTCTCCGATAACAGGATCAGAAATGAGGGATGGCTCAGCAGGAGTCCGAGAGAGGACCGGGGCCGGTCGGGGGCTCTCAGCGCCACTTGAGTCTTTGATAAAAGAAGCCCTGTCCCTGTTATGTGGGTGTAAGCTCACTTGGTCAAAAGACAACACGGGTGTCACACAGGCATCGGTGCCATCAAAAATCTTGGACCATTCCTCCTGGGTCTTTGAAGCAAACCGTTCAGTGAAGATCCGTCTCAGTTCTGGCCAATCACTCAGGCTCATCTGAGGGGGCAACTCTCCAGCGTCCAGCTCTAATCCTAGAGGAAGAGAAACACTTAATACAGCAGACTAATGTGTCAAGAAAAGGTGATGTAACAACAAAGAAATCTTGTGCAGCTTAAAGAAGTAGCAACCAGTCTTTATAAGACATATCCCCTCAGTTTAAAGTGTATTTAACACAACTTTACTGTTCTTGCTGCTCCTGAAACTGGCCTGAGGTCTCCGTACAAACAAGCGGCTGCTGGAAGAGAGTAGGTGAGTTGTGTTTAGTCTCTTTGCTAAAGAAATTAAGCAAAGCTAAAAAGATGTTTGGTGGCTAGTACTATGACTAGGACCCTATATGTACTGTTGATGAAGTTAGGTGCTGTTCTGAGCATTATTTGTGGCTATAGAGTGGCGTTTTTGTTGAGGTTTGCTCATGGCTCCTCAGACCGCTGTGTATTGCTATTGTGCGGTCGCTACTAAAGTTGGTATAACTAGAGAAGCAAGCGGTCAGCAAGATGTAAAAGAACGCTCATGGGCTTATTCACACATTAATTCTCAATATGCGCACATCACAAAAGAAAAAGCACATTCAGTTTTCACAGCCAAGCATAATTTGTCAAACGTCAAAGAGAAAGCCATTCATGGTGGTTTTGCATCACATCACAGAAAGAGTCAAGATCAGTAAAAAAAACAAAAAAACTATTGGCTTACAATCAAGTCTATCATGGAGATGCTTTTGCCTGGCAGCAACCACAGTCTACCAGACCACTCGAGTCCCTGATGTGAAGCCACTTGTAACTGCACTTCAGGTTTTCATCATTTATTTGAAAAACCTTCAGATCCTGCTCCTTCTTCTTTGATCATTTCATTCAAAAGGCTCACTGCTGAGTCAGACGGTGAACAAAAGTTGGTCGTAGTTTTGAAGAGAAGATTGAAAAATTAAACCTCTTGTGCAGCAATTATTGTAATAAAAGGGCCTCTGTGCGCTTGGTTTTTTGAAAAAAAAATCCATAAGAGGAATTACTTCAGTTGGTTTTGGACGCTCACACACACTAAAAGTCTTGCACAATAAATCATTTCTTCCAGTCACTAGTAAACTAAAGGCAATATGGGAATTTCAGTAAAGCATTTTGCAACATTTTTGTAACACATATTGCGTTTTTACTAAATTAATCTTTGAATGAGACAACTGGGATTCGGCACACATGTGTAATTCCAACACAGAACAGTAGATGGAGCCTTGATATGAGTAAAGCTGCAGGGGTTTCATCTATATAAGGGGGCACAGAAACTACACTATCCATGTTTACACGCCCCAAGTCTAGAAACTGGGAGGAAATATAAATGATTCAGATATTTAAAAAAAGTGTGCGCGCACGCTTATAGGCAATATTTCTTTTGGAAATCACTATCTATGCATATATATATACTGTATATGTTTCCATTTTCCTCTACTGAATACCTAGGCAAAGCCCCCTGTGGATGAAAATACATATGAATGAGACAGCCGATCAAGGTTCCTCCTCTCTGATTAAAACAACAACAGCAGAGAGGATAAACAGTCTGGCAGAGAAACCGAGAAGCTCTATAATAGAAATCATTGTAGCTGCAACCTCCCTGCAGTCCTCGCACATTTACCGTGACGCATGGACGTCACTCACTGCAATGTTGATTTGTTAACAGAACCCACGCAGATCTTTTCATAGTGTGCTTACGTCAGTCAGCGGTCTCGTCCCGTCTCTCAGGTATCATCTGTAAGTTTGATCAGTGTCTGTCAGCTTTTAACACAATGGTTTTATCGTATCTGGCAAATTTGGCCTGTGCTTTGATAGATTGTGTAATTATTGTGTGAAAACTGCCCTGGCTGGATTTCCACAGTGTGCTTATCATCTCAGTGAATAAGTGCAGGTGACAAGAGGGCCATGTGTGTAAGCAAGCAGCCACCTGAACACTGTTTGTGCAGTTTAGGATTAAAACTGAAATCTACACTCACACTCATGCAGGTTTCTACTAAACTACAGAAAATCGAATCATTATTAATCAGAATTTGAACAAACCAAACGTCTTGAATTCTTACCTCACTGCACGCCTTATTCAATAAAACAGATCACACTGAGTTTTTCTTTTCATATGTGGCTGTTAGTGAAGTGATAAATGTTGCTGCACATTCCCTCTATGACTGTGTATGCATTTCGACTAGGACTCCAAATTCAAATATTCTCTGTAATTGATTTTTTGGAAATGTTAAAGCTCAATGATCGATCACTTTTTCTTAAAAAAAACCCAAAGCAAATGCATCTTTCCTTCATTCCAACATTTGCTGAAGCGACATGATGAGTGGGAGAAACTGTGTTGCGTATGAAGGCATACAAATTGCCACTGCATCCAATTTTCTGCCTACAAGCCCTCATTAGGGCGAATGAACATGTCCGCATGGTTGGGTGTCAGTCACTGTTGCTGATATGCGTGGTGTATCAGCCTTGCCAGTTTGGTAACTCTCTCCTCATTGGCTTTCTACCCATCTGTTGACTTTTCATCCGAAGATGTGGTAATGTTGTGTAAAAATGCATCAACCTCCATGTCTGTGTGGTAAGTGGCGGGTATTGTGTATTCCACCCCCCAAAAACGAGCTGTCATGGAGACCTGCCACACCAGCTGACCTTTAATCAGCTGTTTAGCATTGAAACCTGATTCACATTTACATCAGCACCCTGACAGCTGACTCTAAGAGGAAGCAGTACAGAAAAAGGCGTGTGTTCCTCCATGTCTTTAGCAAACAATCAAACAATTCTTGACACAAAGTGACACAAATTCTCACATACTCTTGTTTCTATAGGTTGGTGATAGGTGGAGTAATGGGGGAGTGTTACATTTCACACTTTCCCCTTCATGTGGCTTAAATCTTAGAGGACTTTGGGACCTACACATGTGTGACACAGGTGGCTTATTGCCTTCAAAGTTCACTTGACAGGTGCCTCACATCAGTATTTGAATCGTACTAACCCTTGAGCAGCTGTCTGTAGAACTGCGGCTCTATGGCCCCCACAGCCATGTGCTTTCCGTCTGACGTCTGGTATGTGTCGTAGAACGGCGCTCCGCTGTCCAACATGTTTTGTCCTCTGGGACGGTCCCACATGCCAATGGCTTGAGACTTCCAAATGAATGAACCTACATAAGCTGCTCCTTCTACCTGAAAACAGACAGAGGTTGGACAGGTCTTCATTCATCCTTTTAAACTGCATTTAAATGCCAAAAAATGATGAAAATCATGTTTTTCTGATGTTACAGGACATATCATGAGAAAAATAAGTACAAAATTGCATTTCTGAGTCTTTCTGCATTCCATCGCTGTGAATCTCTGGCAGACCCAAAGGGCAGGTTCAGAAACAGGGAGATTTCCTACATCACAACTCCAAGCTCCGCCCCCAAAGCCCTGCTATTCAGAGGACGATCCAGAACAAACGTGCGTTAGTAAATGGAATGCTCGTAAGAAAGCTAATTATGAGCCTTCTCCGCTGCCGTACCCATCCTCTGGATGTATTTTGAATCGTGTTTTTTTATTTTATTTTCTTCTTTTTCTTTGTAAGGCGTCTTTGAGCACCTGTAAAAGCGGGTTATAAATAAAATGTATTATTATTAATATGATATTAACTTTCATCATGTCCCCAAACACATTAGTGTCCAAGAGCTGAATGGCTCCTATGTTACCTGCCACTTCTACTACACCAGCAATGTTAGGCTTACAGGCTAACGTGAAGAGGAGGGTGCGAATTGTTAATGATCTAACGTAGCTCTGCAGAAGAAAAGCCCTTGAAAATGACACAGGTAATGTGCTTTTGGCTGAAAACTTCATAATCACAATTTAAAGACCACTGAGAACACTTAAAGTAGTAAAAAAAATGATCGGAGTGGGACTTTAAAAAAGGGTTAGGTACTCTTTTTTGTTGCTTTAATTCGTGTTTAGGTTGGAAATAGACCAAACTCATGAAGTCTGCCTCCAGAGCAGAAGAATGTACTCACATTATGTGAAATGTTGTTGCACTGTCAGTTAAATATGGATATTCTTAGTTGAATAAAAGCTTCTCAGAAAAACCTGCACAAAAGCTTCCCCGCTGACATGAATTCAATAAACGTCGTCCCCTCATCAGCCATATAATCAAGTCTCCATTGGTGTATGTGCAATTACTTCAGCTGCTATTAACAGCAGAATAAAACCGAAGCCGAACACAGCGCAAACTTGATTAGCTGAATGCTCCTAATGGGGTGTAATCAGTCACCCGCAAAGACATTTAAAATGTAATTTAATGTAAGGTTGGCGATTCAACCCTTTACGATGGCTGACAGGGACAAATACCGTCAGTTTGAACTCTAGAGACACACAAGTGTCCACTCTGAAGTAATTTATATGAATAAGTAATATTGATGAGTCTGGCAGGTTTAAAATCTTGTGCATTGCTCATCATAAAGCCACATCACGTTTTCTTCTCTCTTGTATTTTTTGATCAGGAATATTTACAAAGAACCACCAGGATCCAGCGTCTGCTACGTTAATATCTTGACTGTCAAGAATGGCTTACACAGTGGTAAAAAGGATGCCTCCAACTGTATTCCCTGATCAATCAATCTGACCCACAGCGGAGGAGAAGCCAAATGTAGCAGAACAAGAAGAAGAAACAATCTATAGAATGAAAGACGGAGATGGAAGAGACATATTCTCACTCGCTCTTTTCTGCTCTCTGTGTGAAAGTTACACCCCTTCAATCACTTTGGTTCACACCTTCCATCTTCACAGTCTGCTATTTCAAGTCTACTGGGCTTCAAGCTGACAGAAGAAGAATGTGCAGCATGTTGCACGTTGAAGGATTCATCAGTGTCGAGAGTGGTTGGGTCCCTCTTGTATAGATACTAAATCCATCTTTCAGACCTTTAGGAGCAGAACAAACAGGATGTGGACAAATCATCACCTACAAACAAACTCTTACAGAACATGAATGCCTCTAAAAGTTTTGTTTCCGCCCACCTGTTGAATGAATGTGTCACTGTCTTTGACCCTCTTTAAGCTTTTAGGAAACCCCTGCTATTTTCTGGGGAAAATTGGGCACTTAAACATCTAAAAAAAAAATCCTCTCTGGTTCCGAGCTTGCTGTAACTAAGAGGCTCTTCCTGCTGTTAGATGCCAATCAGCTAATGTAGGAGGGTTTTAAGAGCCCCTTTGTTGAAAACAGGTGCCTGCTGCTGCTTTGAAATACAGAACATTAGAGCTGTGCGAGTAAGCCAAAACCAAATATAGATATAGAGAGAAATCTGATAAAGGGACAGCATTATAAAGCCAAGACCAGCTGCCTGCAGATATATTTTTCTAGGTGCATCACTATGACCCCTTTCAGGTAGTGTTTTAGGTTGCATCTCCTTCTATTCAAGTGGCTAAAATTGTGTCTCAAATCCATCCTTGTAAATAATTCTGCAAAATAAAGATGCGAGTCCATGCCTGTGAGCCTTCTGATAACCCCTGCAGTGTAAATTGACTTTGCCTCACACCTGCTTCAGTGTGCACTGAGATGGACTCGACCTTATCCCTAACCCAGCCTTTAATCCCACAAAGATAAGCTGTTATTGAAAACAGATGAGAAAAACATGATTTGAGTAAAACTAGTGAGGAAAAAAAACACTGTTCGCTCGAGCCTGTCTGGGTCAAAATGGTCAACCATTTTCAATCGTTTCTGAGCAGTCTGTGATGAATTTTGGTACCTGAGCTGCCACTCAGGGTCGACACAATTATGTGATTTTTACTGATAAACAGCATTGACGGGGCCAAATGTGCGTCATTTACCCTAACAAAAACATAAATTCGAATTCTTCTGAGTATCTTTTACTGGTTTTTTGAGCGTTCATCAAGTCTCTACAAGCCAAAACAGTTTAACCTTTACATGCAGACTCGGCAATCCTGTGTTCTGCTGTGTCAAATAAACGTTGCAAATTTTTCTACCTTTAGATGAGTAAATTGAATCAGAAATGAACATCAGAATTTGATGTCAGTTTTAATGACCAGACAAAGGAAGTCAGTAAAAGGATCACAGGGTTTGACCTTGAAGTCTGAGATAGTTGAGCCAACTTTTAATAGGAAAAAAGAACAGGCATTTCCCAAAACATGCAACCTTGAGGCCGTTTGGATTCAGTGAAAAGAGCTGAAACATTTTCTGAATTGCTGCCAAAGGTTGATAGATTGTTCATTTTTAATACAAAGTAGCAGAATTCAAAAATGACAGAGCAAACTCAATAAAACTTCAACTGAAATCAGAAAGATCAAACTAAACTTTTCTGGAGGAAATAAACTAAAGAAACTAATGTGTAATGAGCTCAGCGCTGCACTGACGCTAAATGAGTCAAACATTTCACACAAGAACAATCTATCTCATCAAACGCAGCGAGTTGAAGGTTTTAAATTTGCACTTTTCTGAAGATTTATCGACACATGGTTCCATCCGAATCACCTTAAGCTGTTCATTAGAGCACTTCTGTCAGCTGGAGTCGAGTGAAGGTTTTAGCAGCTTCAGCAAGATTCACACACTGATGCGCTTTGTGGAGGGTTTCAAACTTTTGCTGAAAGACGGCCAACTGATAACTTATCGAATAAAAGCTGACTCTGGCTGTGGGTTCTCTGCTGTGAAGTGGAAATGTGTTGCTTGTACCAAAATTCAAACTAGCATTTATCTATTTTCTTAAAACGGAACATTTTCAGGTTCGATGTTGTGACTGAAAATCATTGAAGTCTGTTTTGATTAACTGTTGACACAGCCTCTGAAATTGGATTCAAATTTAATTAAACTTTGTTCTGTCGAAACTCATCAAGTCAATTAAATACTTTGTTAAATGCTCTGAGCTGAACCTGACAAATTAAAGTACACACCTCCTCAAACAAATATACTCACCATGCTAGCATCAATGATCTGTCCTTTCCCCGACTTTGTCCTCTCCAGCAGCGCCAGGACGATCCCCAGAGCGCAGGTGAGACCACCGCCCGCGAAGTCTGCTACGAGGTTCAGCGGAGCGTACGGCTTCTCCTCGCTGCGACCCAACCGGGACAAGAGTCCTGGAACAAAGAGGAGAAGACTGACGCCCCCTTTCACATGTGGACTCTTGACATTTTCTTGATATTCTCCAGAGATTTAGGTCCTAATATTCTCACATCATGCATCTCAGTGGTTGTTTGTGTCAGATACACTCAATATATCCACTCTGTTTGGTTTAGGAGGGGGTGATGTGGGGACTGAGAAGAGCATGAAACCCACTGATTCTGGGTAAAGGACATGCATATGTGAAGATATTATTGAACTAGCATTTAAGGCAAGTGGGCAGCAGACTTCATCAGCCCACCTTTTTCTGTTCAACTTCTCTGACCTCTACAGTTGAGGTGCAGCTCAAAAACTTTTTTCCTGTAACACTTTCACATATTGTAGATTCATCACACACACCGAGTGAAATATTGCAAGAAGCAGTCGGTCAGGAGTTTGGACCACTGAGCAATAGTCCAGTTCTTTTTCCTCTTACTCCAGGTGAGACGTTTATGATGTTATCTCTGGCTCAGGAGTTGCTCAACGGCAGGAACGCCACACAGCAGTCAGCAGGCTCTCCCATGATTGTGGTTGTACAGACTGAACCAGAGTGAGAGAATAAAAGCTCAGCAAACCTTTGCAGGTGTTCAGACTCGAAGAGCCGATCAGAGGTTTTTTCAAGGACTGAAATGACTGACAGGAAACTGGACTTTTGATTTATGTGAGCTGTCTCCATCAGGAGTCAAATGAAAAAAAGTCTCAAAGTATTTCTCTTTGGGTGTGATGAATCTAGGATATATGGAAATCTCACTAAAAATTTAATTATGAGAAAAATGAACTTTTCTAAAGGGTTCAAATATTTTGAGCTACACCTGTTCTCATGGGAGCAGTGTTTTTGTGAGGCTGCTAAAGTGTCGCACATAGTGTAATACATCGCAAAATCCTGGGCTGGTTTTCGAGTCCCGGTGGTGTGGTCAAGCCGCCAAAAGAAAAGAGCCCGAGCTAATGGGAATATTTTAATATGTACTATGTGCAGATTTTAACAAAAGCAACTTCCACCATTTATCCAGCCAAACAACTGTTGAACTTATTTTTTTAACATTTTTTTACAGGGCTTCTGGGCCCGTTTTGTTATTTGAGTGAGGTTCTTCTCCTCTTTCTTCTTTTCTGTACCTCCACAGGGTGCCAGCTTTAAAGGCAAACCCACTGTGTTCCCACAGCAAAAAAGATCCCTCTGTTTTGCTCTGTGTGTGCCCTGCAACCACATAACAAGGGCCGTATTTCACATTAGTCATTGACAGCATCTCCTCCAGACAGCTATGCTTTTAATTCCCACCGGCTTTTTTTAATTACTGTATTAATTGGCCTAAGATTTTAATCATTCTGATGTATGCAAGTGTTTTTATAATATTGTTCTGTTATGCCGTGTCTCTGAGTGGGCATTCTGGTGACAAGCTTACATAAGAAGCAGCTGTTGGTGACCTGGGGGTGATGAGATTGATGTTATAAGAACGTTTTTTTATTTCTCTCTTCAGACGTGCATCGTTTCACAGTGTGTCTTTCACAACAAAGAATAACTATAAAGCATGTAAACAAATCAACGTGAGTTGGATTTAAAGGGATATTCTACTAAGACCAGTCTATCATCATTATCACGCTGTTCCTGTAAATAGCACACTTACTCGCTCCATTATCTCTGGCATTGTAACCACACATCTGTATGTGCTGTTGGTGTTGTTGTTGTTTGTCTCCGTCCATCCTTCTCTCTCTCTGCATCTCCCTTTATCTCCTCTCTAAACCCAGTGTAGCAGCGGAGGAGGATGGTTGGGATTAGCTTTTTTGCTTAAGCATTTTGAGATAACATTTGCTGTGAAGTGTGGGGCATTAATAACAGACAAGGGATTAAAGAGCTATAAACATGTGCCAATGAAGACTTATTAACACTCTTGCTTGGTCCATTTTAAAAGTTACTGTTTGTTTGTCTGGTGGTCGGGTTTTCAGTTTGTACCATGTGTAATCTGTATCGCCCCCTAGTGGTATCAAAAGGGTGTTACAAATATTTAACTGACATTGGAATATGATCTCCAAACCACAGCTTGGTCCGCTGTCCTCAATGAAGCGCTGCCAAATTTTTTGTGTCTCACTACAGCCAGATTTTTAAGCCTCAGACATTTACATAATACTACTTTGAGTGGATTACAGGCCAATTGTCAACAGGAAGCTGCTTTTAAAGCACAAAAGCTGCCAAAAAATGGGAAACTTAACCATGCAAAAAAGTCAGCTTTAACTTTACTAAAGCTTTAAACAAATTCACCCCTCAGGTCCATGATAAATCATTTGCTGAAAGGGAAAATCATCCATCAGCCTAAGACATAAAGCTGTGAAATACTCCATTAGTTTGTGAAGTACAGTGCAAAAATATTCTATCCAAAAAACTGGTGGGTGTGATGTTGTAGTTACCTGACACAGCCAGGTAGTTGATGTCATGCCCAGCAGCGGATGCGTAACTTCCACTCTGGCCGTATCCTGTCAACCTGGCATAGATCAGGCGAGGGTTTTCCTTTAGCAGCTCATGAGGACCAAGGCCGAGCTTCTCCATCACACCTGAAGGGTTAGAAGACATGATCCGATAAAACAAATACAATTTAATTTAACCACATTGCTGTTTCAGCTGAATTGTCCAAATACAATGTAATCTAATGCAGTTAATTATCATATTTTCTACCCGATTTAAATGCTCTCAAGTTTTTTTTCGTAAATGAGGCTGTCAGCTCTGACCTGTCAATATCATTAAATCCTGTTAAAGTGGAGGAATTCTCACAATCATGCTGCTTAACAGTGATGGTTTTGGTTATGGATCTCCAAAACTTTTCTCAAACATCGCTTTTGTTTGTGTCTGTGTTCAGTTTCCTGTTGAGGACACTGTGTTCTGCACATAACTCTTGAGTTTCTGCGTTTGTTTTTGAGTATTTTCTTCTTTTAGCTTGAGTGAACCATACTTTTAGACAACATAAAACTGGGTTACTTGGCAACACTCACTGCTCCGCAAATGCCCTTGTGCAGTGGCCTGATAAGACCCGGCACCGCCACGACCGTTCACAATTAGGCCCAATGTACTCTTTGTAAGTTTGAGTCAAAACTTCCCCTTTAGAGGATTTCTGTCAATAAACAACCGAGACCTAAAGTGCTGTGCTGGAGACATGCAACTTCGTATCGAGATTGGACATCACAACTCTCATTTACTGACCCACAGAAATGAAACCATGTATTGATTGATTGCTAGTGTCCCGAAAAGATTTTAATCATTCCCCAAAAGCAAACCTTGGTGTCATCGCTGATTTGTCCAGTAATGTGTTTATTAGTTGAGAAACAAGCAGAGGTGAAGTCATAACAGTCAGCCAAAACTCTGGGGAAACTCATCCACACTTTTATTTCTTACAATTCCCTTCATTAAATATGAACCCACTGCCTTCAAATCAATTGTATACAGGATGCATTTCAGATTTTTTTTCACTCTTAGACCAGACATGGACCAGCCGCTCCCCGTATGTCGAAGTCCCCAGTCTGTCATTCTCTGCTAGTGCTATGCTGGCTGTTCCAAGGTCCAGACTGATAACCAAAGGTAACAAAGCTTTTAGTGGCAGAGCCCCCTGACTCTGGATCAGCCCGTCAGAGAAGATTCAGATTTTTTATTTTAAACTCAAATCCAATTTTAGCAGAAAGGCTTTACTCCTGTGACTTCTTTTTTCTAAAATTTTCGTACTTTCAGCTTTGGTTTCATTTGACAGTCTAGATGCTTTCCTGTTTGTTTCATTGCCTGGTTGCTTTTATCATTTGTTTTCTTCTTCTTCTTTTATTGCCTGTCTGCTTTAATTGTCTAATGTGAAGCAGCTTTGACACCTGTATTGAAAAGAGCTATAACAAATAAAGTGATAAAACTAAAACAAAAGTAGTCAAAACTTTAAAACTTAAGATGTTTTGGTGAAAAGTAAAAACATTGTGACAAATTTTTGGTCTTTTTCTGCAGGTGTTTTTATTCATATATGCACCAGTCTATTTAGAGATAGATCAGTCAGCTGTGAAATTGGGCTGACTTAGTATTTTGAAAGGGGAGTCAAGGAAACAGAATGGATGCTGTTATGTTTCTTCTTAATTGTGTGTATTGCATGTTTTCAGATCTTCCTGTCCAGGGACCACAGATGTAACTCTGGTCCAGCAGCCTGTGTTGCGCAGGGTCCCTCTCATTTCAAACCGACAAACTTAGCTAAACTAAAGGACTGACATCAGCCCTCACAAGGCCGGTATCAACATCCTTTTCTTTAACATGTTTTTCCCATCTTTAAGTACAGCAAATCAAATCTCTGACAGTGTTGATTCACCACAAAGCCATCTAAAACATGTTACTATCCAAGGTAACCTCTCTCATTATCAGTATCGGCATCAGCCACTAAAAAGTAAAAACAAAACAAAATGAAGCCAAGCAAGCCCTTTGTAACTCTCTGTGTCGTCCATGCAGTGTAAAAAATACCCTACTCTCCGGAGTCTCTGTTCACACAGACTGTCAGCTGTCTTGTTTGAACTGGTCCTGCACGCTTCGGAGTGTTTTGGTAAATCCGCTCATTTTTGTTACATGGCTGCACAAAATTATTGGCAGGGACATTTGTTGCATAGTGATTATTTTGCTGTACCCATTGCATAAAATTGCTGCTTATTCAATTGAGAAATATTTGAGGGGACTAGCTGCTCACTGATTACAGCCAAACAGGATGAAAATTGGTTCATTCCAGTCAACACAGCACTTCATAAAAATGCAACAGGGCAGTGTATCTGGGTTGTTGCTTATTACTATTTGAGTGTTTCTTCATATTAACATAATGGTACATCACTTCTTCCATCACCAGTTCTAACAGTTCAGATTATGACACAGTTTTCCTCTAACCTTTACGGTAGGGTTCGAGGATCACATCAGACTGGACACAGAGTTTCCTCAGCACAGCTACACCCTCTGATGATTTCAGGTTGATGGCCACAGACTGTTTGCCTCGCCCCTGTGTGTCCAGAGACATGGCCACCTTTGTCCGGTCCACACGGATCACTTTGGCTCCAAAGTCTGCCAAGATCATGCCGCAGAATGGTGCCGGGGCCAGACCCGCCAGCTCGATGACCCTCACTCCAGCCAGTGCCATGACCAAAGGACTGTGAAGAAGAGAATAAAAGCACCTCTTAGTAAAACACAAAAGCAACAAGTTACCTTTAGACTTCACACAGTTTTTCTTTTCAGATCATGCTGTGTGGCTGCAACAAAGAATGATCTTTCTTTTTAGTAAATCTTGTGATTTGTCTGACGATCTTTAAGGCTTGAAAATGTCATCAAACTATGAATAAGACTTCTCACATTTACCACAGCAAAATGTGAAGCCTGCAGCCCAGTCAGATTTTTTTTCTGAACAGTCTAAAGTCCAAAGTCTAAGAAATGAGTATCCAGTTCGCTACCATAAAAACTGAGCAAGTATTCAACTATCAAAGACCAGAACAAAGATATTTCTGCATTATTATTGTAAATACTTGTATATTATCTCTATATTTTTACTTATTTTATTTTTTATTTTATCCTCTTTTACTGTATTTGCACTGGAGTATTGTGACAAAAGCAATTTCCCCCTGAGGATTATTTAAGTATTTCTGATTCTGATATTATCATATACAGTATCTTACTGTTTTTGTACAATAATAATCATGCAAAAGCTTTAATAGTCCGATAAAAGATTTTCAAATGGTTCATCACCGCACATAAATGCAGAATAGAGGAAAATAAGAGCAATGAAACAGGTGATATCTCTGCTTTAACATCTCACCTTTTTACTATTCACTCATCTCATTCATCTTACAAAAGTTAGAGACTATGAATCATCATAAAAAAGTGATGAGTCACTGATTATGTTTTTAGGCGGCCATTAATATAATGAATTAATGAGGACACTGTCTATACTGCTGCCTGAAATAAATAAGCCGCTCACATCTCTCTGACTCCAGCCTCTCAAACAGAGTTTAGTTGATGTGTGTATATGTTACACATCATAATCACTGAATGTACAGCCCCATTTCAATAAGACAGCTGTGAAGGACAATATCTAACTGGAAGAAGTGGAGAGACAGCAAACCAAATAAAGAGGATGAAAATGAGGGTTGTTCTTTTGGATTTGTTGTCAGCTACATGTTTTATGTTGGTTCAGGGACACCAGAAATAGGACAAAGTTGCTCAGTGCTAGAAAGATAGTAAACATCTTTGCAGAGTAGGTAAACATGTTAGAGGTCAAACATTGTACGAGAGACTGGGTGAGGAAACAGTTCAGAATTTTCAGGATAATGTTCCTTTCTATTAAATGGCAAAGAATTTGAGGATTTCAGCAACTATGGTACACACTTTTATCAAAAGATTCAGAGAGGCTGGATATGTTCCTGTACAAAAACGCCCAGGCCAACAATTGTTACTGGATGGTTATGACTTTCAAGTCCTTGGGCTGCATTGCATGAAAAATATATGACTCTGCAGTGGAAATCACTGCATGAGCTCAAAATCAAGTCCAAAAACAATTGTTTGTGAACACTGTTTGTCACTGCACCCCCAACTACATGTCAAAATTATGCCCTGAGCCCTTTTAAGAGGTGCTGGGGCAAAGCGGAACTGGCTGAAGCCAACGTAGGGGAGAGTGGGGTAAGATGAGCCGATTTTCATATTTCGGATCACTACATCAAGGCAATCATTGTTGTGCATCCCTGCAAAACAACAGACTGAGTGTAAACATAACTGTCTTGATAATATGGCATGCCAAAAAAAGTGGTCTCAGTCAGTGGTTCTCAATCCAGTCCTCGAGCCCCCACTGTACTGCATGTTTTGGATGTTTCCCTGCTCCAACACACCTGATTCAAATGATCAGCTCATTATTAAGCCATTACAGAGCTTAATGCTAGATACCACAACTGATGCATAAAACAAATTTAAAATGATCTTTTTTTATCTGAACACAATTCTAATAAAACTGATGACAGACTAAATTCACTTTCAGGAGTGAAATATGTTTTTTTGGAAATAAATGTCTAACCCCTTCACCCATGTGCTTCTGGCCTTCACAGACTCCATGAATTGATGCCCATCTCCTAAATATTTGGTCACATGATCAATTTCTTTGACCATTTCCAAGCAACAGGGGGTGGCTCAACTTACCCCACTCTCCCCTACATGTTAACACTGTGCCCTGAGCCCCTTTAAGAGGTGCTGGAGCGAAGTGGAACTGGCTGAAACTTACGTACATTTAGTGCAAACAGCTCGAGTGTGCCGTGGTGCACATGAGGTAAGATGACACATGACACAAAACATGACCCGCAACAGTTAGGCAATTCAGTCTTTTATCACCAGTATGCTCCAGTCTGACCGAACACAAGGTAACTACGTAAGTCACTAAGTCTGTGTACATTATCACATAGGATGTCACACAGAAGGCCTGAATTAGCCGCAGCATCTATGAAACTACATTAACATTAGAGTTTAGGGGCTAAAAGCTCCTAACTGCACTTAGCATGAAGCTTACCGCTGCTCAGAGGACTCAGACGCTTGTTTGTATCTGTACACTGTGTACGTTAGGTTGTGAACGTTATGTGCTGGTGAGGTACCCGACAGTTGGAGAACATGTTGCTAAATAAGCAGGAGTATGTAAAAAATCCCCGATATTCATATAATAACCAATTTATAAGCTAACGTATCGATTACAAAGCGGTTTTTAATACAACTTTAACGTTAATAATCCTTTTCGACTGTATACATGCGACACCATAACGACGAATTGTCTTTTAAAACTGCTCTTCGGGCTCACCTGTTTGGCTGTAACGTGCTTTTATCTAGAAAAGAGAGCAGGTTAAACAGGGTAATCAGAAAACTCTACAATGTGTCTTCTTTTTTTATATACAGTGCTGACTCTGCCTAGCAGGGCGGCTGGCGGTGTATCCGAGTGTAAAATTGAAACGAACCCTGTGTACGCTCCACTTCCTGGAGGCTCACCACCCCGCAGATTTCTGGGAAACTGAGTTTGTTTGTAATTTCACTCAAGGTCTGCGAGGAAACTGGCCAGCTCTCTCTTTTTCTGGTTGCGGAAGAATTAGGTTAATATTACAGAGTTAATGAGATAGACGGAAATTAATTTACATTCACATTAAACATCACGTTTGGCTATTAAATGTCAGTAGGATAAGACTTTTGACAAAAGAGACAACTGAAATATGTAGATGACAAAAGACTGCTTTGTCACAGGAGTAGTGATGGGCACAGCAGTTCTTTTAGATCTACTGAATTACTAGAATCAGTTCACTAAAAAGATTCTTTCAAAAGATTCGTTCACTGAATCACCGAATCATTTAGTGGGAGAAGCCTGTGACTCCGACCTCCTGAACTGATACACAGCTGAACAGTTCAGGATTCAGTTCAATCGATAGCTTATTGGACTGGGAGATGAGAGTGTTTGGCTGTGTTGCTTTGGCAAACAGGTTTGTAAAAATGACCTTGTTTATAAGTCACAATGTTTTCAATGTACTGTCCTATGGTCTGCTCAGTAAATTGGGGTCAGTGAGTGATTCGTTCACTGAACGCTTAGAAGAATTTTAACTGAACATGCACCGTTCCCTCGCAAACCGCTGCAATGATAGGAGGCTGCAGGTTTAATGCACTTCTTGTTACATGCTGTGTCCTATTGTATGTGAGTTGTTATGGGGGCAATTCAGCAGTGAAAAAAAAGGTAGTTTTGTCTGACAAAAATGATTCCAGAGAGTGTAGTTCAATGCGTGATTCGTTCACCAAGTGATTCAGGCGTCAGTTCATGCAGTCCCTCATTCGCCAGCTACTCGACTGGCAATGCTGTTTCTCACTTCAGCTCGACTGAAGTGAGAAATGAACGAATCACTCAAGGAAGTGATTTGGTTTAGTACGTTCACTTAAAAGATTCTGTTCTTTTGAACGAATCGATCGCGAATGACACAACACTACACAGGAGCTTTAACAATAAATTAAACGTATGACAGCATATCCCCTCTGGGCTACCATACATGCATGCTACACATACAAATGATAAATCCATGTTACCATTTTTTTATTTGTTGCATGGCTATTATCAAATTATTACATATATGAATCTCAAAGGTGTATCACCTCTTCTATATCTCCATAGTATGCATAGTTTACATAGATCAAGTCATTTACTGCATGGCTCAGTCAAGGCTTGAAATTTCAATCATTCAGGCTCCATGTTTAATCAGAATCATTAGTCAAGTATACCTTTCTATTTATTGAAATGAAAAGCATAATTGAAAAATAAACAAGCAGTATTTGTATAGATGTTCTACTTTTAATTTTGGTGGGTTGAACAGGTTAATGAGTGCATCTGCCTCAGCTTAGTGCACTGAATAGCAAGCCCTTGTCACCACTGCTCAGGCTGTGATGATGGAAGTAGATCTTTTCTTTAAACCTGGATTACAGGCTGTGTGTTTGAACAAATGTTCATCCAATTAGGAACACACAAGAGAGGTTGAAAAATGAAGGCTGAAAAGCCGATGTAGCACAGACTAAATAAATGACAGAGCTCTTTCATCAACAGGCTTACCCACAGATTTAATGATGCCCTGTCAACGACCCTGCAAGTCAAAAGCTGGTGCAAAGATTCAGGTGAGTGAAATCAGACACAAAAGAGAGCTGAAACAACGCTGCAGTCAGAGTGTCGCTGCCCTCTGTTGGCTGTGTAGCACTGATCTTAAAAAGCCGGAGTAACTTTATGAGGTTCATCTGCACAGGTGGTTGTTTCTGGCAAAGAAGTTCAAGCAACAGTTTCTGTCTGTGCCTTTTTGTATGTTTTTCTGACAGAAACAGATTTTCATAAAACCTGAGGCCTTGAAGCACAACCTGAACTTCAAAGCAAACTGTGAAATGTGTCTGTGATGAGATTTGAAGTAGACTTTAACACCGGGAACAAACATGGTGACCTTTTTTTCCTAACAGAAGAGGAAATGGAGGTCTTGGTGGCATAAATAAGGTCAAACACCTTGAGAATAAAAGAAGATATAACAGGCAGAGAGTGTACTTTGGTTTTATTATCAACAAAGTGCCCTTTTTATTGAACTGTGTTTAATTCCCCTTCACCTGGAGGACAAATGAAGAGAAATTTTTCACTTTTACACTTCCAAGGTTTGACAGCTTGGCCTTCTCATGTCCTTATTTTCTTTCTTGTCAGAGGATAGCTCTAAAGTTCAATCATGTGACTTGCAGCACGTGAAAATAGCCTGTTTTGCATATACATACAGCCACATGTGATTACAGGTGGAAAATAAACCAGGGCATCAGGTGATCTGGAATCTCATTTGCATAACGTACAACAATCCCCTTTCTATCACTTTGGACCGCCTCAGGAAAGTTTTTGTCTTTTTCCATAATATGACTAAAGTCTTCAGTTTTTTCCTTGAGGCAACTGTCACTTTTTGTGTCGACTTTGGCATCCCACTTGTTCCATATCTCTGACAATCTAAAATGAAGTCTCCATGAGTGTGTGCATCAACAATTTGCTTTGTCAGAATCCCTCTAAAAAGACTGTTTCATTCAGTCAAATGAGGAATTATCGAACACATCAAAATCGATTTCAAGCATTGCCCGCTGAAATATTTTCCCCAAAACAAAATCTGTTTTTAGCTTGAATGAGACTCAAAATCAGATATGATCAAATGAACTGTATTGTCCCCAAGGGAGAATTTGCTTTGAGCAATAGAGCAAGGAACATACCGGTTTATCCCATTATGCCACTTGACACAGCTTAAAAAATCAATAATGTTACACTAAAGATTGATTTATTGATTCAGAAGGAGTCCTATTTTTTTACTTGACAATAGGCTGTCACACCATCACTCTAAGCCGTGTTCATATAGTTAACTTTGTGTTTGAACAAAGTAATTAGCTGTTAATTCTCATTGTAAACATTTCACTGTCTGCGATGTCATACCTTTTCTCTGATTTTTTTTTTGTTTGTTTTTGTTTCTTTGCTCATTTACCTGCAAAAACAACACATAACTATAATATCTCCCATAAATTAAGTGAACTTGCAGGAAACAAAAGATTTTACCAGCTAGCATCAAGTGTCTGGCACAACATCAGTCAAAGTTGCATTTTTTTGTAGCACTTGAAAATTTAATATTGGTATATTTCAGTGAAAAACTTGGATTTGAGGCTGAACTCCATTTGATTAAAACAGTAGTTATTTTGTAGAAGTTACTGCTATCAAACAATGATTTCCAACAGTGTTTGAAAAGTTAAGGGGAAACTAAATCAGGAGATAACTCTGCAGAACTAACTTCAGGAGTGTGTGGTATTAAAGTAGCAGACTTTATACGCAAGCACTTGAGTCTACTTGTAGTTGCAGCTGGTGAGTGTGACATTACACCATATAAATGTATTTACTGAAGGAGTTTTGTGAAATCATGAGTGTGGCAAAGGACAATAGCTGTTCCAAGTAAGGATGTAATAGACTACATGTATAAACATATAAATGCAATTATTGCACCCTTACACTCGGACTTTGCTCCAGAAGAGGAAAAAGGCGGGACTACTATTTGGCCTGCTGTACTTCTCTTACAAGAAATAAACTAAGTAACGTGATATTTTGATCCCTATTTGAATTCAGACTAGCTTGTGCCTCGACTGAGTACCCAAATACCAGGGTAAGATGAATGTACTCATCTTTTATTTTATTTTCAGGTACTGTTCATTTTGACTGAAATGTTTTATGAGTTTTTAAACATTAACCCATAATTCAAAAGTTCCGGTGTCCCGCTCACGCCATCCCCTGTGAAACTGGGTCACGCATCTCTCCCCCTCTCTTCACAATACCTTTGGTACAAGGAAGCAGGTTTCCTCTCACCCGTGACACACAGACACACTGTCCATACATAAAGTGACCAGGAAAAGCCCCTCCTGTTTGTTTCCATCCTCAAGACATAAAATGTGATTGTTCAAAAGGTTTAAAATAACAAGAACATGAATGTACCACATGTTTTTACACACACGAACACAGATGTGAAACCTTTGGAGCGACAGGAATCTCGACACAAATGCAACTTCTTATTCGAATATATTCACACTTTCGAAGTGTCAACGAATGACGCACAAGTAGAGGAGCCAACGGATAAGATAATATGGCATCTTAGTAAAAAAACAGCTTTATTTCTCAAATCATCAGTATGAACTTTTTATTGCCTTACTAAAAACAATCCCAGGATGTCTATGTGAATGCTCCAGAGGAAAGACGAACACGGGCTTCAGTGACCTGCTCTGACCTTTTTTGTGTCGCTCCATTTGTCTTTGTGAGCGTATTCTACGAAACCGGAACTTTTCCATTGTTTTTTAGTGATATGATATCAATTTGATGATTTTTTTTTTTTTTTTTACATTTTCTGTGCACTGACAAGCAAGAAGTTGTTTTTTAAGATTTGCCATGAGGATGAACCTCCAAATACATTTGATAAAACATTTCCTGCTCGAGTCTGATTAACTTACATGACCCCAAATCAGCTGAAATCCTGTCATAAAATGAAGAATAGTTTATCTGTATCCATTTTTTTTGGCAAATTTGACATTTTTTCGGACTTTTATCTAATTTTGTTTAATTTTTATACATCTCTGTTTCTTGAAAAGTCTTATTAGATGTGTTGTCTTTTGTTATAAATTAAGAAACTAAGTTGTGTAACAGGTGTTGTATCGTGTACACTGGCTCTACTGAGAGGCAATAACACTAGATTCAATATACATCTAATGTTAAACCTAAGACAGGAAATTAAGTATTAGAGATATAAACATAATAATCTTGTTATCAATTGTAGTCAACTATCTCTCTTATTTGTATAAAGATTTCTCAGCTGTCTCCACACTGTTAGAACTGTACCTGTAACACACTGTTAGCTCTGTCAGCTAACTGACTATCTCACCTTGTCTTGTTTGCTTAAATTAGCATTTAGGGAGTGAATATTGACACAGATATCTTTTGAATCATATGGAAAGTGTTGCTAACAGTTGTTTTAGACTGTTTATGTTTACAGTGCTTCTACTGTGCATATTTATTTCTTTACCCTGGGGGTATTTTTTTAACCGACCCTGCGAGACATCTGCATCCAATACTGCAGGCTACGGCTAAGATCCTTCCTTACTAGTATCAACAGTGAGTCACTTCCTTATCAAATAATGCATTTTACTGTTCAAACAGTAATCATAAAGGTTAGAGCTACAGCCAGGTAGTTTGTTACAGAGACTCTGAGGTTCTACAGTGTGATCATTTTTGTTGTTACCTGTGCAGTTGCAGTGGTGGTAGTGATCTGACTTGCCATCATTTGCCATTATTAGACATTTTAAGCCATTATTTGTTACCTTTATGGTGAAAACTGTACTTAATGTAAACAGTTTTTTGGTAATTGGGTATTACTGCTACTTGTTATTGACGTGTTTGTACAAGATCCTTTTCTTTGCACATAAAAGATAAATTTGTGCCCTTACAAGATGAAGGCCATTACCTTTGCAGGATTTCAGGCAGGGGCTATGCAATTTGCAAAAACTGCATCACCCAACAGTGACTGTCTGAAAACATCCCAAGACTGCAAATCAAATCCATACCTTTTCCTTTTCCTTTCTTTTTCAACATTTCTCCCACAGAAAAGGTTCAAATAGAGAATATTTGAAGTCCTTGTAAGAGGGTAGCTGATAAGAATGCAATCTTTTCGTTCATGTGTTTTGTCGTTCTGAGTGAAAACTCGCTCAGTGGCCTTGGCAGTGAACTGAGGATGTTTGCCAAAAACTCCATTGTCTTATTTTGAGGCACATAAATCTGTCCTCTTCACTTGTTGGGAAGACAACACAGGAAAGTTTGAAAAAAAGAAAGAGAGGTTCATTTTTTTTCAAACAGTTTTGCGTCCTTATTGATTCATGTCCTCTGAATACCCCCTCTAATGATAGCTGACAGGCTTTGTTGATAACATTCAATTATTAAGGCTGTATTAAGAGAGATGAGCATTTTACCTATACCTCTCTGCTATTCATCTTCTCTTATGCATTTAGCAGTTAGTTTGTCTTTGTACGTGTGAGTGTCTTGCATATTCCAGCTAGTAGACCAATGGCTTAGACTAATGTTTTTTGGCTGCATTAACATGTTTGCATGAATATGCTGCAGTCAGTATAATCATGAGTATTAAGGTCTTAATGCCCTTTTGGAGCTGGGTCAACATTACTGTTGATTTCTTTGTACCTAGATTATCCATTTTGATCCAACACTGTAGAGTTGCAAATTTGTGTTAATTCAAACACAGGTCAGTGAGTGCTCAAGTGAGTTAAGTGTCATGTGGTGCGCCATGGGTAATGTGCGTAAGGTGCTATTGTGGGATGCTGAAAGAAACTGTAAACTGGAGAGGACAGAAGTTACTAAGGACAAGTAGGTGCCAGAAGTGTACAGCCCCACTTAGAGAACCAACAGAAATACAACTACTGGTTTATTTTATAAAATACTCTAAGGTTTGAAACCTTCAGATGTATGACGCACATTACATTGTGCCTCAATGTCATCAGAGAGCTGCATCAAGTACTGCTATATCAAATACATTTATTATAGCTGGTGCACCACTCAATGTCACCGTTGTAATTTTACAGCATTAATTATCACCTATCGTAACACTTTGTCATATTTCACAACTTTTCCACTGCTGTGAGTTGAGTTCACGACTTATACTTTTATCCGTTAGCCTGTTTACAGGAAATCAGGCATAAGATTGCCTGTAAACCAGGTCAACAACAATCACTTTATAAGGACAAAAGCTTATCTCTGATTGGCTACTGGAAGGGTCAACGTCATATCTGCGACAGTATTTTGGTTTGTTTGGTTGTTGCGGTGTCCTGATAAACCTCTCACCTCATGGTGCAACTTCACATATGACAACTCACATAGTGTCAACATATGGTTCAGTGTGGACTTTACACTAACTTAAGAGACAACTCCTGCAAAGCATAGACTGACCTTCAAACTCCATTAGCAGTTGATAATACCTGTGATTTATGACAAACTGATTGCTCATGACAACTGTTCAACTGTCAGAACTAAAACTGTTCTGGAGCAAAAGCTTGGAGCAAATTTGGCAGATCAATGATGGGATAAAGCTATGCACAGTATATGCTTAATTACTAATTATGCCAGACTGCACAAGACACAATAGAGTCTATTGCATCTCGACTAACTGAAATATGTCTGGATATTGTGGACCAGTATGACATGGAACAGTATGACCATAGTCTATGATTCTGATTAATGTTTTGCGGGCTCAGATCAGACATGATAGTTGTTATATTTGGAATTTCACATGAGCAACTTCACATTAACTCTTAGCAGTCAGAGTCACCTGACAGGATACAAGACACAGGGAGCAGTGAGTAAGATGCAATAAATCTACAAAGACAGTGGGAGAGCTATAAACACAAAGGGTAATGAAACACAGGTGTGATAGGAGACACAGGTGAAAGTAATGAGGGTGGGGAACAAAATGAGAGAAAGTTAAACTAGACTGTAAATACTTGTGTTCAAAATTAAAAAATAAAATTAGAGGCACACAAAATGTGGATAGGAGCAGAGAAATGGATGACAATACAACATAAGAAATGATAACTAAATTCTAGGGACACAGGAAGTGAAAAAAGAAAAATATTAGTTGATACCTACAAAATAAACACAAAAAAAAGACACTTTTATAAACAAAACTAGGAAAATACCAAAAGAAACTCATGACAACATGTTATCTCACTCTGCAAATCTCTTGACTTCCATCGATATCTCTCTGACTTAGAGTTAATGTGAGTTTTCTGAAACGAGAAAAGATCGATTTAACAGTGAAAGGATCTTCTAACAGAACGACTCCTTTAATGAACGGCACTGTTGAGAAAACGTGCCGCTCTGACGTCTATTATACATGTTGTTGTTGGTTTAAATTTAGAAATGCTATTACATCAGTAGATAACAACTTAGATAAAGTGATGTTATTGTTTGGAGCTCACATAAAACAATAGCTTCTACTTAAACAAGGATCAGACTTGGAACATTATGATAGGATGAATAGTATTCTTATAACAAGAGTGCCAGCTGTTTGGTGGAGGTCCAATATCGTCCCAGCCAAGCCGAGTGAAAGGTCATCTGGAGAACGAGTCAATAAGTCACTGAAAACAATGTCATAAACGACCAAACTTTTACTGTGAAGGTGTCAAACTGCCAATAAAGATCCTAGAGGAACATATCAATAAAGACCATTAATTCCAGGTCCCTAAATTTTGTAAATACAACTAAATCTGTATCGAATGGGAGCGCTAGATTCGGAAGTGGTGTCATTATCAACCTGTTAAACAACTATCTTTTTTGTTTGGGTTGGGTGTGGTGGTCTTTGTTCCCCTCCAATGTTTCCTAGCCTGCATCCTCAAACTGTGTGCAAAAACACTGGGAAGTGAGATAATCCAACAAGCCATAGCCAGGGACATGATACATCCTGTTCAGGGTACAATCAGGGTCAAAGTAGAGCAGAGGTGATGCATGGGAACGTTTCTGAGCTACATTGACAGAGTATCAATAATATTTTGAATGAATTAGACAAAAACATTGTTATTCTCTGTGGAAAATATGGTTTCTCCTCCTTTATGAATTTAATAAATAAAGAAAACATTTTTGCAATATATGACAAACAACATCGCAAGCCTATTAACGTTGTGAAATCAGTTAAAACGAGATACAGTGTACCACAAATGTTCACTGCAGAGGAGTGTAGGGTCAGTGCATTCATCAGTCTATTTGACAGTTTCCTAAACAGTTCCTTGGAAATTCCACCAAAGCACTTAAGCTTTTCGTGTAAGAAAGATAAACAATGCCAAATTAAACTTTGAAGGGCCAGTCTGCAAACACAACAGGATTCTTCACGTGTCACGTCTTCACTGGGAAATACTTGTTTTGGGCTGATAATGAAGAAGAGAAGCGGGGACAAATTCCCCCCAAAATCACAGAAAAGTAGTTCAAAACAGCCAAGTCCTGTTTGAAGGTCTCTCCAAACTGATTCAAGATGTTTTGGCTGTCACAATGCAGATGCCCGCTCTCTCATGAAGGGTGCAATCTGTGAGGGCTCATTATGGTATGGAAGAGAAGCAAATATCTTTAAAAGAACAGAGAAAAATACACACATGAGCATGGGATTAAAGGAACCTATGATTAACCTCACTACTTCTTGGATTTTTAAATTGTTCATGCTGATTGATATGAAAGAACACTCTGATGATGCATGCATCTCTGATTCTGCAAAGTTCCACCTCACAGATTGTTCCTCCCAGCTGAG